CGGTACTTCACCACCACCAAGGTGCTGAACGGACGACAAACTCGGTGGGCAGAATTTCTGTCCGAATTCAACTTCACGATCCACTACAAGAAAGGCTCAGAAAACGCACGAGCGGATGCCTTGAGTAGGAGAGCGGATCACCACGACAACACGTCTGAAGCCTCACCACCATTGCTACATCAACAGACAGACGGATCGCTACGGCACGCTTCCCAACCGACTGAAGACTACGAGATCGCAGCACTTCAGCAGCAGTCGGAAGATCCCGAAGCCAGGCCTCTGCAGCCGTTTGTAGAATGTTGTGCGACCTTCAGAGAACAAAGATTGGAACAAGACTTCCAAGGAATCATCGCGGACGACGAACGCGATGCATGGCAAGAAGAGCCAGAATCCAAGATCGCGGGATTGCGACTTGAAGGAACGAGACTCTGGTACCACGACAAGGCCTATGTCAGGCTGGGTGACCAAAAGGAGCTCATTCGAAAGATCCACGAGTCGAGACTCGGAGGACACATGGGAATCAGCAAGACAATTGCGAAAGTCAAGCAGAACTACGACTTCCCAGGAATCAAGCAGACGGCAGAAGAGGTCCGGGCGGAATGCGACCTCTGCAAGCGGAGCAAGCCAGGACGACACAAGCCGTACGGGCTACTACAGCCATTGCCAGTCGCAGAACGACCATGGAGCTCGGTGACGATGGACTTTATCACCAAGCTGCCGATATCCAAGGACTCAGTAACGGGAGTGGAATACGACAGCATCCTCACGATGGTGGACAGACTCACCAAGTGGAGTTACTTCCTCCCTTACAAGGAAACATGGTCAGCAGAACAACTCGCAGACGTGATCTATCGCAACATAACCTCGGTCCACGGATGGCCAGAGGAATGGATCACGGACAGAGACACCAAGTTCGCATCAAAGTTTTGGCAGGCTCTGATGACGAGACTGGGTACGAAAAGTAAGCTCTCAACCGCTTACCACCCACAGACGGACGGACAGACGGAACGACTCAACCAGGTTGTCGAACAATACCTACGGTTGTACGTCAATTTCCAGCAGGATGACTGGGTCGAGCTGTTGCCAACGGCACAACTCGCCTACAACACCACCGTCACGGAGACCACGAAGGTCACACCATTCTTCGCGAATTACGGCTACGAAGCAGATTTGCGACAAGGGCCCGAGGTTTCGGTGCCCAGAGCGGCAGTCAAAGCCGACAAAATGAGCTCGCTGCACGCGATGCTCAAGGAAGAACTCGAATTCGTACGAACACGGATGAAGAAGTTCTACGACAGAAACAGGCTCGAGGGACCTCGCCTAGAAGAGGGGGGCAAAGTTTACCTCATTTCTCGAAATCTTCGCACGAAGCGACCAAGCAGGAAGCTCGACTTTCGCAAAGTCGGACCGTTCAAGATCGACAAAAAGATTTCGGAGAACAATTACGCTCTCGCGTTGCCCTCGACAATGCGACTACGGACCAACGTTTTCCACATCTCACTTCTAGAACCAGCGCCGGAGAACGCGCGACTCGACAAGGACGCCGAGGCGGAGGACGAAGAAAAAGAATGGGACGTTGAGGAAGTCCTAGACTCACGCATCACGAAAGGACAGTTGGAGTATTTGGTTAAATGGCTGGATTTTGGCCCAGAAGACAATTCATGGCAACCAGCTACGAATCTCAACTGCCCCGAGAAACTTCAGGAGTTCCACCAGAGGAACCCGGATCGACCAAAGGAAACCCCACGGACAAGTCAAACCCGGCGAGGAAATCGTCGGATGAGGCGCTAGGAAAAGAGTCGACAGGAAGGGCGGACCCTTGCGGCCAGGAGGGCACCAGGGAAGTGCCGTCAGGGGACAGGACGGGAACCGAGGAGGCCACCGCCCGGGATGACTCAGCGTCCCGTCGCTCTTTCTCCTCCTCCTCGTCCAGAAGCTCCGACTCGCGACGGAACGCCTCCAAGGCCTCTTCCTCAAGGGCGCGGGACTGTCGCTCCAAGCGGAGGAGCTTGCTCAGGGTCGCTTGGCGCTCACTGTCCAGTTGACGTTTCCGTTCGATGAAGACACGCACTACCATGTTAGAAGACACTTGACGAGGCAAGGGGGGACTCACGATCTGCCCCGTGAACGTCACAACGAGTGCGGTTCGCAGCAAGACACGGGCGACACTTGGAAGCGTTGTCCGCCGCGGTGCAGGTTAATTTCTTTTTACGGCAGTACGAGCAAGTAGACATGACGGAGCCAAATGCGTCGGCACAGGCGACCTGATCATGACGGCGGTCAGTACTGTTGCGCTTGCGAACGCGCGACATGACGAAAAGAAGGTGAAGGAGAAGACTCACCACGGACAGAGTAGGAAATTGTTGGATCTATTTCGGGGACGGAAAGAAGCGCGTGGTCTTCGGGACGAAGACCAACAGGGAGGGGCATCGTGTCACGAACAGCCAACGAGGGGCGTGCTGGAGACATGCCACCACGGGGCGCGGGCCGCCCCGAGCCAATCACCGGCGGCCAGCTGGGTGCTCTGCTCTTGGCACGACAGAGCACGCTACGCTCTGGGTGCTCTGGCACAGAGCAGGGAGAGCACGACGCTCTGGGTGCTCTGGCACGGAGCATACAGAGCAAGGTACGGAGATACCTCAAGACTTAGATAGTATATAGTCACTCGTTCTGGAGAGCTCTGGGAGTTCTCCAGTTAGCAATCACAACTACAGTTCGCTACAAGCTCGAGAGCCTACTGTTGAGACAAGTCTTTGTTGTGCACCCTTTGGCTGCACCGAACCTACGCACCCTTGAGAGAATACCTTCGACCGATACTGAACCCTAACAGGACGGGTCCAGAGACAGGTTCGTCACAGAAATATACTGTTAGTAATACCAACTTATTATTACTAGAGAAGTCCAGACCCGGCTATTCTATACTAGTATACTCGTTAGTATAGGGCTTTTTCGATAATCCTCCTATCACCTTATAACCAGAGTTACCGGCAATCCCACTATCTAGCCCTACCCTTTTTCATTTAATAGCATCTTTATAGAATCTATAGTATTTGGAGGTACTATTACCATTACTGGAACAGATAGGTATTCCTTTCTATAGGTATTTAACTATCGGTATATAAGTAGGTTAGTAGGTTATAGATTAGTTACCCCAGCTTACTATTCTGTCACGGATATGCCAACATGTGGGGCCCAAGGCACGGGACGCCCCGGGCCAGTCAAACCAATCAGGGATGCAGCAGGGTGATCAGTGAGCTCAGTCGCCAAGCAGACTGAGCACAGTGAGCACCGCGATCCCAATCACCAATCAGGATGAACAGGACGTTCTAAGTGATCAGTGTGATCAGTGTTCAGAGGAACTGAGCACACTGAGCACTCAAGAATTAGACAGGTATATAGTCACTCGTTCTGGAGAGCTCTGGGAGTTCTCCAGTTAGCAATCACAACTACAGTTCGCTACAAGCTCGAGAGCCTACTGTTGAGACAAGTCTTTGTTGTGCACCCTTTGGCTGCACCGAACCTAAGCACCCTTGAGAGAATACCTTCGACCGATACTGAACCCTAACAGGACGGGTCCAGAGACAGGTTCGTCACACCAGCCCCCCTACCCCTCTGGATCACCGGAATTGCCATTCTTCGGACCAGAGGATGATCCTTATCGAGCGTGTGTAACCTGAATGCGTATCGGAGCCTTGTATCCTTAAGGGCGACCTCCGCGGTCGGGATCCCCGCATCTCTATACTAGAGATTATTGTTGAGCCGGGCATAGGCGGTATTAACCCTTAAGAAGGTTAAGTTATTTAATAATATTCTCTATATCTACCTATAGAATAGCTAAGTTAATGACTATAATCTTACCTACTTCGAGGGTCTAAACTTACCCTATTACTAAGCTATCGCTAACAATATTAGCCTAAAGGCTAGTAAAGTTAAGGCTGTAGATACTAGCAATCTATATAAGAAGATACCGTTAGTACTTAGTATCTAGGTTATATTAATAGAAAATATCTAGATCGATAAAGGTCTTATTAACGGATCTATTAGTATAATTTATAACTTTATATAGCGGACTAGTACTAACCCTAGTATACTACCTCTTTTTATTATATTAATTAAGTTTAATTAGTATATTAGCTCTCTCTATTTTAATAACCCCGAGCTTACCGGTATCATACCTATCTTCTATAATAAGAGGGACTTCCTTAGAGGTAATAGTAACTATACTTATATATAGTTCCCTCTAACAATTATATATACTATTATAGTATATAAGTTACAGAGTATAATACTTAATAAAGCTATACTAGATATATCTAATAAAGACTTTATAGCTAGGCTTATATATATTACTATTAGCTATATTAAAACTATCCAGAGTATTATATTTAACAGTATATTCAACTTATAGGCTCTATATATCCAAGCTAACACCAACTATACAGTATATACTAAAGATATTACTTATTATCTTCTATAGTTGGTTATACTAGAGCAGGTAGAGGTTTATACTTAATAGTAGGATATCTATAATATATAGATATTTATTATTTATATAGTTTAATATATATAAATTATACCTCTCCCCTCTATAGATAACTATCAGCTAGTACCCAGTATTTATAAAGGTATACCGCGATACTACTATATATCACCAACAACTAAGCCCAAGCTATAGAGATAAACCAAGCCATTAAGCTTAGGGCTACAGGCAACCACAAGCTAGTAAGTTGACGGCCAAAAGCTGTCGGCTTACCTAGCGTAGTAGGTCGACGGCCCTGGGTAATGGCTGGTCGTTGTTTAATGGCGGTATGGCGAGGGCAGGTTATCGGCTCTATTGTTGGGTTGTTGTTGTATCGAAGTATACAGTGGCGATAGTAGGTATCGCCAAGCTTCGCTTCACACTTACTGGGGCAGGCCGTGGGCGTGGGTGGCACAGTCAGGTATTTTAACCTCCCTACCTAGGTACCTAGGTCGTGAGTCGAACATCGAAACGAAGTCGCGTTTGATGTCACCTCATGGGCCCGCTTTTATCATCTCGCGCTGGCATTGGTTTGTTGGCCACCTCATTTGCGCAGTGCTTTTTCGGATTCACTTTTGCAACCACCACGGCTTGGAATTTCTGGACGTGACGTGCCATTGCACACGGGGCACTGCCTTTCATAACCTCCCCGGGGACACACTTTTACCACCATGTCTTCAACGTCGCATCTTCTCCATCTCCCTGCCGAGTTGCTTGTTATGATTTCGTCCCTTTTGCCCAATCGCGACATTAAAAGTCTGCGTTTGACGTGCCGCTTTCTCGTGTCTGCCATCAATCTACGCCTGACCCGCGTTTTCTTGTCGGCCAGTCGCCGCAACGTCGACGTGTTCCGAGCGATTGCCCAGCATGACACATTTCGCAAGCAGATCGTTGAGATCATCTGGGATGATGCGCGCCTCGTCGCGCGCGAGGCAGAGAGGGAAGCCGACTACCATCCGTACGAGCGTTGGACCATAGATGAAATTGTAGAGCTCCACGGCGACCAATCTCGAGGCGACTGTCCGCGGTGGTTTTGGGAGGCTTACGAGGCAAATCTCACAACGCTCGAGTCTCGACGGGGCTACGATGTGGACCGGCCCGATCATGTCGCCCGCGACCAGGTCGCCGCAAAACGGCCGTCCCTGGAAGAGTCTTGGGCGCATTATCAGGTCCTGCTACGTCAGCAGGATGAAGTGATTCATTCCGGTGCTGATGCGGAAGCCTTTCGATACGGCCTGGAGAGATTTACCTCGCTGAAACGAGTCACCGTCACGCCGTTTGCTCATGGCTTTTGGCTCACACCTTTGTACGAGACACCGATGATCCGTGCTTTCCCGCGGGGCTTCAACTACCCCATCCCCCGGACGTGGCCGGTCAACGATAAGGCCGAGAGACCTGTGGCGCATCGGTGGAATGAGATGAGCGAGGACGAAAAGGACCGTTGGCGCGGCTTTCGTATTGTCACTCGTGAGCTAGCAAAGGCCGAACGTTGCGGCGTTTCGGAATTGTTCATCGATGTCAACCACCTCCTGTCAGGCATCAACTGCACCATCTTCTCCGAGCCATCTGCCGAGTACGATAATCTCTTGAATCTCCTTCGACGCCAAGGGTTTCGCCGCCTCGATCTTGCTCTCACGGTCGGTGATCAGGGATACGAGGAGGAATGGAGCGCTTTCCGGAGTGGATATCTCCGGCGCGCACTTTCTGAGACCTCCGATCTGGAGCACATCAGCCTGAGGACAGATGAAGATGAGCAAGACCCTGATTGGAGCCAGGACCCTGTTCGGCATTTCGTTCCTTTAAACACCATCCTCCCAGTCGACAATTGGCCATTTCTCCGACACTTTGGGCTCTCACAGTTTCTCGTGCGGCAGGGGGATTTAATCTCATTACTGGCCAGATTGCCCACCACACTTCGGTCGGTAGAACTGAGTCACCTCGTTTTCCTACAAGGCAACTACCGCGATTTCCTCGGGGAGATGCGAGATTCTTTGAATTGGCGAACCCGTGCTAGGAGTAAAAGGCCGAAAATCAGGTTGGCGATCCCCATACGACAGAGCAGTGAGTTGAGCATATGGGTGGATAAGGAGGTGGACGAGTTTCTTTATGCCGACGGCATGAACCCCTTTCAGACGACAGATGGACACACGGTGCCTTACGGGGTAGGTGTGGTGAGAGATGTTTTCAACCCGAATCATGAACGGCCAAACTTGAGTCTACCAGGTTTGGCAGATGCTGGCTATATCAAGCACGTCTACTTCAATGGCCAGCGAATTGTTTAGCTCAAAGCCAGGCTTGGTCGCCATAGATTGACACATGTGCTGTTGACTCGTGTCAGCGGCGCATGGGTACTGTGTTTGTGACCCATTTCTCCTCGAACAAAAGATTTGCAGCGGCGGACCTACCACCTGATCGCCTGCATTAAGCCGGTCAGCCTAATGGTACGTTGGGCGAGGGAACGGTCATTGGCCGGCAGCTCGTCTTTGGCGTTAGACAGGTATCGTCACGAACTACAACTGCTCTTATAAGGTCGTCGCAGAGGATACGTACTACGATATTGCGTAGAGTTAGGATTAACCTCAGTGACCTGTACGTCCGGAACTGAACAGTAGGAGCTTCCTGTGGCGGCTTGTAAACCGACGTGTTCATTTGCGTTGGGGTCGAGGCCATACGACCTGCCTCTGGCATGACCTCGGCAACGGGTGTTGTCACGCCCACACCCACGCCAGAAGGCATCGCCAGCGGTTGCAAGGTGTCCTACCGCTCTTTTTTGGAGGGGGACACATGTGGCGACATCGCCCAATGGCATAGTGTTGCTCTAGATTCTTTTACTCGTGGAATCCTGCTGTGAAAACGAAGTGTTCTGGCCTCCAGGGTGGAGCATACGACTGCGTATGGATATAGCCTTACCGAGGATTGACAGTTGGACGAGAGGTAAATTTGCAAGGCGCGGTGACCTTTCCTGTTCGCTTGATTGAGACGAAGGTGACGCGGTTCCTACCTACCCAGGGACCAGAGTTTGCAGTAAAACGGGTCGAGTGTCCCCAATTATTCCACAACACCCCTCCCTCTCCCCTCGGGCAACTCAATATCCACCACCCAAGGCGGCCTGACGGGTTGCCCAGCCACAGCCGCATTCACAAACAACGTGTTCACACCCTTGACGACGGGCAGCGGATCCCCCACACAATGACTCGTCTTGACGCACTTCCCCCGAGCATACTCCCCCAGCCTGCGCTCCTTTTCCCGCACCACCTCCGCCCCATCCCCCTTCAGCGGCAGCACCGACCCCAAATCCGCAACCACCGTCGACCCATGCTGCCGCAGCCCAGTAACCCCCCTACCACCATCCCCATCCCCCTCCCCCTCCCCTTCATCCCCCCCCTCATCTCCATCTCCCCACCTCACCACCTCCGCCCCCCACCCCTCATGAATATGCCCAAAACAATGCACCCGCGGCCGCGCCCGCTCCACAGCCTCAAACAGCTCCCCCGCCCCCACATGCTGCCCCCCGGCCGCCGCCCAGCTGCGATCACGCACCCCGCGGGGCGGGCCATGCGTAACAACGACATCGACATCAGGTGGTATGGCGAAGCGATGGGGCGCCTGGTGGCGCGGGTACTGGAACCCGGGGGCGCCGAAGGCGGGCGTGTAGGGGGATGCGTACAGGGTCAGGTGCGCGCCGTTGGGGAGCGGGAAGCGGTGCGTGCCTTCGGGGAGGTAGTGTAGGTTGTGGTGTTGTTGTGCGGCGGTGAAGAGGTGGTGGGCGGCGTTGGGGTGGCCGTGGGTTTGGAGGAGTTCGGGGTGGGTGTGCAGGAGGTGTTGGTAGGTGGGCGTGTCGAGGGTGTAGTCATGGTTTCCGGGGAGGATGAGCTTGAGGGGGGCGGGGATGCGGCTGAGGAGGTGGATGGCGGTTTTGTACTCGGATAGTTGGGAGTCGCTGGTTATGTCGCCGCAGTGGATGACTACGTCGATGGGTTGGAGGGGTTTGGTGTCGGGGAGGTAGTGCATGCCATGGGTGTCTGCGATGACGAGGAAGCGTGTGCGGATGCCGGGTTTGCTTGGGGAGGCCATCGGGTTGTCGTCTTGGTGTGTTGGAGACACGGTGACTTTGGAAGAGGTGACGAGTTAACTACAGTTTGAGCCAGCATCTTGAACAGGCTCAGGGTATCACAGATGTGGGCGATGATGTTCGTGGAGTCTTGGGGGTGGATGTGATGATGAAATATTTGTGGATCTTTGCCCCTTAGTTAACAGACAACGATCGCCTGTCTCATTCAGGGGAAAACTAACCCCTAACCCTGATTTTGCCTGGAGTTACCCCTGATTCATGACCCGAGCGCCGGTCGATTCAGGGTTGCCAGGGCAACTCGAGTTTGCAAGGTGGGGGTCACATGAAGTCAAATTAAAGTTTATCGAGTGACTGACTTGCACATTGCACATCGGCTACCTGCACCTCGGGTACCCTGCCAAGAACCCCCCGTGTGACCTTTCCATGTATTCCCTTGCATTTCGTCACATTCCGATCTGTGAGAGCTTGAAGCCTCCTGGGCACAGCTTCTGGAATACTTGCTCCGGATCATACTTCGCGGCAACCTCCTTCATCAACTTGATGTTGGCCTCACCATAACTTGCCATGGGATCCTGAGACTTGTCCGCATAGTTCAGGTACCGCCACTCCAACAAGCCACCCTCGATTCCGCGTGAAAACTCTGCCACGGCATCCGCCCACGCCTTCACCTTGGGGTACGCGAACGCCTCTTGCTCGGGGGTCTTGACCATGGCCGTGGCGAGGAACAGGACGCCGTTGTGCGGCTGCCGGTCCACGCCCATAACGTTACCTCCCGCCGCGACGCTGTTCTGTCCCATGATGGTGGGCAGGGGTTGGAAGAGGCACTGGGTAATGAAGTCCTGCTTGGGGATGAAGGCCGTGAGGTCGGCGACTAGCTGGTCGTGCAAGGCCGAGGCGTGGGTAAGAATGTGCGGGTCATTCTTCAAGGTAAGAGTGAACCAAACGTCGCTACGAGGCCGACGTTAGTGAGGACTTGTTCGTACTGCACGCGGGAGTGTTTGGTAAGGGGCAGAATGGGGTCTAACGTACTACATGTTCGGGGGGACGTTGTACTCAAACGCCATTTCGGAAACCGACGTCATCTTGACCGTGTTGTGAATCTCCGGTAGCGCTAGTAACTTCTCATACGCAGGCGGCTTCTCAATTCCGGCGACATTGGCGTACAGAGTTGCCACAACGACATCCTTAAAATCGGGCAAATGGGTGCACATGGCTACCAGGTTGCTATCAGGGTCGTTCGCAACGTTTTCGGTGAAGGATGTGACGGCTTCGATGGCCTTCGGGATCGCCTCCTTTGGCATGAACGTCATGCCACCCCACACCTTGTCGCATGGGATTGCCGTCATGGTGAACTCGGTCACGATACCAAAGTTGTTGGAACCCCCTTTGAGCGAGCGGAACAGGTCTGGATGGTTTTCCTTGTCGACATTGACGATGCGGCCGTCGGCGAGCACCACTTCATAAGCCACCACCCCATCGCACGCAAAGCCCCGACGGGCCGTGAAGAAAGTGTTACCGCCACCGAGCAGCAGGCCAGCGACACCGACATTGCCTTCGCGCGAACCGGCAACGGCACGGCCGTGCTTGTGTAGCTCCGCATAGACCTCTTTCCACCGGCAGGCAGGGCCAATGGCGACTGTATCGGAGGCTGCATTGTAGACGACACGGTTTAGTTGGCCCAAGTCAACGGTGGTGCCGCCTTCAATGTTGTTGGAACCGGCCCAGAGGAAGTGGCCGCCGGAGCGTACAGCAAAGGGTTGCTGGGCTCCCACCAGTGTCTTGACTACCGTAGAGACATCACTGGTGGACTTGGGGCAGACGATGGCGGCCGGCCGAACCTTCTTCGCAGTGTTGGACCAGAACGAATCCTGCCGAGCGTCGTATTCAGCGTCGCCCGGGACGAGGATCTGGGCCTGCAGATCTGCCGCCGCGAGGCGCTCGGCCTGGGAGGGGATAATCTGGGATGCAACAGCAGTCATGTTTCCGGGCTGGAGATGGATGTATATTAGAGCTTGAAAAGGGGATACAGGGCCTGGCCAACGGAAGGGAGAGGGCTCTGTCGCTAGACTGAGGAGAAAGTCTGGTAAGTCGCTCGCCAAACTACCTACGTAGGATGAAGGACTAATATTTAAGCACCACCACTCGCGGCCTCTGATCCTTGCACATCGATTCTGAGTGGCCAACAACACCAAAGGATCAGGATAGGGAGGTCGGGACTGAATGACGTGGGGCTTTCTTGGCGCTGCTGCCTCTCGCGGCTTTTTGAATTCCCGATATTTTGTTGTTGGTCTTACCTACCCAGATAGGTACTTTATGAGACGGAGATCTGTGGGCGCGAACGCGGCCGCGACATTCCTCTTACAAAGCTGGTAAAGTGGGCTGTTCATGTGTTACCGGCATTGGTGCCACGTTTGCTCAGGGGCGGCGCGGTTTGGTGCAGTCGTATGCTAACCGTGGTGTTTGGTTGAGGCCTCCATATCAAGTAAGGTACCTCTGCAGAAGTGGAGGATCTTACAGCTGAGTCATTCGGTCCATACTCCTTTCAGCGCGCTGCAGACAGATCACATGCACAATCGGATAACATTGCATCACTTCCAGATCTGAACCCCGCTTTCTAGCTTGATGCTTGAGTTTCTTCCATGGTGGCCTTTTCTTGAGAGATGGGTGGTCGTGCCCCCTCAACGGCGATGCTGGTTTTGGTTGGGCGTCAACCCGGATCAAACGGCACCCAAGCTGCGATTGCAGCTTGAGTTCCAGTGCCAGGCACGATCCGGGACTCGGCAAGATTCCCCGTACGGACATTGGGCTTGTAGCAGAAGTGGAGCCTCTAAGTTCGGGGCTTCGATAGTGCTCCTTGCCAATGCCACATCGGCATTGGCCTGGCACTCGGAGAAGTCTGAATCTCTGCCGACCAACAAATGTAAGCTTGTCACATTGAATGAGGTACCTGTAATATCCTCATAAACCACCCTCATGTTCTTGGGCACAGCGTTCTGCATCTGCTGGATCCAGCTCCAAGTCGAAGCACGCAACGACGTCTCGTTGAGCTCGAAATCGTTGCCCCTGGCACGTTGAGGGCAACAACGAGGCCCAGATTTGATGAAGGAACGCCATAAAGTGATCATGTAGGTAATTGAGTGGTTCAGTTTCATGTGGGATTTCGCATGGTTATTAGCTGGCTACCTAGGTAGGTAAGGTAGGTACCTACTGTATCTCTAACATACACCGAGGTTGAGTCAAAGTCTTGATGCAATGAGACAATGACGTTTCTTAATCTAAACAATGCGATTGTATAGATGAGGTTGGTCCAGCCATTTTTGCCTCAGAGAAAGGCGTAGCTAGTCGTTTTTTATAATGTCAATTATAACACAATATCACCCATTTTGCTTTCGGAAGTGATTGCTTCGGCATGTGGTTTCTACGCCCAGTCTGCTCAAGCTTTCCGAACCTCGTCGGTCTTATGTTCGAACCAGCTCAGCTCAGCCCCCTCAGTTCATCGTCGAGTCCAAAATGGCCTTAACCGCAGGAAATAGCTCCGCGGCCCACAGCTGATAGCCCTCCAAGTTCAAATGGACATGATCCACCAAATGCTCCTCCGTCTTGACCCCCGCAGTAGGCGCCAGAAACACCACCCTCCCCACCCCACACCTCTCCTGCAACCTCTTAACCACCTCCCTAATCTTCCCATTCGCCTGATCCACCAACTCCACCGACACATCCTTCCTGTAGAACAACCCCGTCACCAGCACTTTACACTCCCCACCCCTCGGATTCACCCCCAGCAGCGTACCCAGCAACACCTCCAACGCCTCACAATCCCGCTCCACCAGCCCCTTCTTCGGCGACAGGTTATTCGTGCCCGCCTGCACCACCCACACCCGCACCGTCCCGCACGCCGCCAACATGGGCAGCAGGCCCGGCAAACCGCCGCCCTCCCCGCCTTCGGGTTCGGCGCCAACGAGGCGGTAGGCCACGTTCTGGATCTTGTCGCCGCCGACGCCGGCGTTGAAGACGCGGTCGAGCCGCCGCGGGCTTGGGATGTCGGTGTCAGCTGCAGGGTGCAGGGCGGCGAGGGCGGCGTCACTGAGCATGGCGGGCGAGGGCCAGGGCGCGGTGAAGTTGGGGGTCGAGCCGGTCGTGGTCATGCGCTCGAGCATCGAGTCTCCGACTAACACGACAGTGGGGCCGCATTGAACTGCCGCGTTGTGGGTGTGGGATTGGAGCAGGGGGATGTGCACCTCCTTGGAGGTGTCGTGGGAGCGGGCTTTGAATTTGGCGATGGATTGGAGGGGGGCGATTATTATGGGATTGTTTTTGCTATCAGTTGGGTCGGCAGTGGATGTGGCTTGGGGGCTGGTAGCAGTTGTCTCTGGTGTGTCGGCCATGGTGGAGGTTGTTGTGGTGTTTTGTGTGAATGTGGAAATGGAGGAGGAAGAGATGTGACGAGACAAAAGGCTTCGGGGTATTTTAAAGCTTTCTGATGTTGGCGGTTGAAAGTTGCGGCGCAGTGCGGCATGTTGTGTTGGGCCAGTTGGCCGGGTTTGTTGCAGCCATTTTTGGTGTTGCGCGGCCCGGGCTGAGTCACCCCGCCGATGATGACTTGAACTAAGGGGTTTGGGAGGATTAATTGGGATGATTGTATTTCGGTGTCGGGAAATAAGAGCCGTCACGTTTTGACGGTGCTGCGCAGCCATATCACGACCGTTGAAGGTCCGCAAATGCGAGAGACCGGCTTCCAATGCAAGGAACGACGGGACTTGGTACGGAGGACGTCACGGGACTTGCACAAAGGAAGGGAAGAACCCCGTCCGGTCGGTGTGGCCACGTGGGGATACAGGGGTCCGGGAAATGAGCATGGAAAGACCCTGAAGGCGAGAGCCAATCATCTTGCCAGAATACGGAGTTCGTTTCCCATTTGAGCGTCGGTTTTGTCGCCGGGTTCCCCTCAAATTGAGACGAGGAAGTCTTCGAAAAAAAATAAAAGAAAATTTGTAAAACCGAAAACAAAACTCCTTGACAGCGGGCATTAGTTAGCACGATGCCTCCACGACCATCCAGGCGGTGGGCGTATGGCTACAGCCCCATGGTTCCTGAACTAGCTAGCTGCCCTCCGTTCAGCTACGGGTATAATCCAGACTCAGACCCCTTCGATGACTTCCACGGAGAAGGCGGAAATGTTTTTGGCATGCATGGCATTCCTCAGGCAAAGGCAAGCGAACTGCGTCGTATCCTCTTCGACCCCTCTACGGGAATGGACCCTACCGTGAAGTGGTTTACCACGCAGCTGCATCTTTACGGTGTGTCGTTCAAGAAGTCGTGGAGGAAAGCCGATCTTGAAGCGGCATTGATGGCAGCTGTTAGCGCTGGTGAGGTACGCCGAATCGCAACATTCCAGGATGCAGTTCTGAAACGGCCGTGACTGACAAGACATAGTGCGAAGTATTGGCCCCGACAGTTGCTGCTGTGTGTGATCGTCTTCGTGGAGAATACGACGCCGCCGTGGAACGCCTCGAGGATGAGATGTTCGCAAAGATTGAGGGCGGCCATGCGGAGGAGGGCAACGTTGACCCGCCCCGCTTCGTCGCGAAATATTTCCTCGATGCTCAAGGCCATCCGGACAGAGAGAAGACCAAAATACCGCTTTCCTTCAGATCGTGGAACAATAAAGAAGAGCTCGACAAAGTGGTCAAATCAGTTCCGGGACTCGCAATTCTCAAGACCTGGAGTACCGTGCTCGTTGGCTGGGCTACAGCCATGGAGAAAGGCATCGAGGCCGAGTTCTCCAGGCTGGAAACCTTCTTCAGCCATAAATACGACATCCACAGCGCCCAGGCCAATGTCGACTTAAAGCTCTTCTTGCGAAAGTACCTTTCTCTCAATCCCGACGGTAGTGTCATCGATACAGGCGTTAGGCCATCCGATCCAGTGGTGCTTGCCCCCTTTCGCCTTCAAAACCAGGAACTCGCTCAAGACATTGTTGCCAAGTCCCCGGGTCTGCACATAAAAAAGCACAATGGGACTGCCGTCATCGGGTGGGACAAGGATAAAGTTGACGCTGAGATAGCCCACATGATCGAGGTCGAGAAACAAGACAAGGAAAAACAAGAAGCCGACAAAAAAGCGAAATTCGAAAAGGAGGAAGCTGAGAGAAAGGCGAGATGGGACCGGCGATGCAAGGGGTATTATGAGCTCCTCGCTAAACAACAAGGGCGACCCGGTCTCGTTGACCTCCAGCAGCTGCCTGGATCATACGTTGTGCGATGGCATGGGGAAACTGGGGAGGATTACAACGACCCCCATTACGACGGACACGTCATGAAGATCAACATATTGCATCCCAAGAGCCCCCATGGCGTTAAGGCTTCGTTCTATTTTGGACAGTTCGAAGGAGTCATGCTTCTCGCTATGTCCAAGGAGGCCATCGCCCAGCTCAGGGCTGCGCAACCCAAAGATTATTACGACGAGGACGAAGAGGATCAGAATGATGGCCCATCCTCCATTATTGGCCACAACACCAAGCTTATTCGTGTGGAAAGGAGCTCAACTGGGGAGAAGCGTTCACTGGGAGACATCTCCGATCCATACGGAGTTCAGGCTGCCAGGGCTAAGCGGCAGAGGATCGACCCTCCAAGCCAGGAAGCACTGCACCCCAGTCGCGTGTATTTCCAGTTTGCTTGCAGTGAGGTCGAAGGATACCCCATAGTTGATAACCGCAACAAGCACGTTGGCCATCTCGATTTCGATTCGACAGGCTTGGCTGCAAAGGGCGTCTTTTATCTCCCGGACTTGTTTCGTTCCGAAGGTCAGCATATCGAGATCTTCAAGATCGCCGAGCAACCAGATCGCAATGCGTCACCTGAACCGTGGTACAGGTATGATGGGAGACAATGGGGTGGGTGGTGATTTTAAGGGGTCTGCTCCTGTTCGTCGTCGACTCGGGAGCTAGCCCCGTTGAGATTCTTCAGGTCCGGTTCTGGGCTCTCACTGCACTTTCCGCCTCGTCCAGGTCCTATGTGCAAAGAGAAGAAGTGCTGGCGGAGGCTATGGCATGCACGTGGCGGCGATGCCGGAGGTTGAGAACATCGGCACCTTACCACGGTTCTCTATCGCCAGGTCGTTTCGATGTGGTTGTTAATATCGCGCAAATTACCTTGATTGCCGGCAGCCCCCCTTAACCCGGTTCCCGGGTCTTATTGCTATTAACTCGAGCATCCACTGGATTCGAACCCCAGAGAAAACCCTTCCCTACGCCATTGTTGCTTGGTATTGACGGATGCCATGTTTTGGGCGCTTCCACGGGGTAAGCACGGTGTTTCCTCGCCCGACGGACCAGCAGCCAGTCCCAATCTCTCACGTCGTCGATCGAACAAGCCCTTTACATTTGGCCCCCGAGGCTTTTACTGAAAGCCGTTCGCTCCAATTCCCTTCCCATCCCGGTTAAATCGTGCCGCCCACGCCCGCAGGCGGGTAAATCCCAACCCTCCTATCACAGCCCTTTGTTCTGGATTTCTCCCCATTTCTGCATTGTTCGCGCATCAACTAGTTAACAATAGCTTTGTGATAAGCAAATGTTAGACCCGGTGTTTCGGTGCCGAGTGTGTCAAATCCTCCTAGCTTCGGCACTTCTCAAGGCAGACGAGTTGGGCAAGCGAGGGCCTCGACAGCATACACGGTATGTGCAAGGCCCACACCTTCCCAATTCCGGACGCAGGGCTGCCACTCGGGGTTGCAGTAGGCGTGTCGATTAATATCTCTCTGTCACGGATATGGTCGCATGCAGACGGCCCGGCGGGGCACGCTGGCAGTGCCCCGAGCCAATCAGCAAGGAATGGCCTTCTCCAATGAGAGCTGGATCGTGAGCTCTGGCCGCGATCCAGGAGTGACCAATCAGGAGTGGATCATTGGATCGAGAAGCGATCTAATGATCCAGGACGGATCGCAGGATCATGAGAATATTCTTCGATCCAGGTACAGAGGTACCTGAGGATGTAGATAGTATATAGTCACTCGTTCTGGAGAGCTCTGGGAGTTCTCCAGTTAGCAATCACAACTACAGTTCGCTACAAGCTCGAGAGCCTACTGTTGAGACAAGTCTTTGTTGTGCACCCTTTGGCTGCACCGAACCTAAGCACCCTTGAGAGAATACCTTCGACCGATACTGAACCCTAACAGGACGGGTCCAGAGACAGGTTCGTCACACTCTCCCGTGTCTGCCCGCGCTGGACAGTCGTAAGCGACTCGGCTTGAAACACGACTGGCTGCCGTGACACCCAGCTGGGAGTGCAACCATCCTGACTCGGGTCCCGAGACGGGATGGGAATGTAGAACACGGAAGGACCGGGAGGGCCGTTCGCGATTGAACATCGGTCGGAGCTCGGGACTGGACCCGGTGGGAGTTATGGGCCAAAAATAGACTGTGTGATTCATCCCCTCAACTTCGTTCTCCGTAATGCTAAATCTAGGCGCTGGTCAGTCCCCTAGTCAGTCGTTAAAATAGTACGCTTATGAACTTCTATTACTAGCTTTCTACTTTTTTATATTTTATATCACTGTCTAATTATACTTAGAGTCTGATATTCTCCATCTTACTAGTGTTACTCTCATATCTCTATATAGGTCATTTTACTTATCTTCTAATATATAGAGCAATGGGTACCATAGACTATCTACTAGTTAAGAGAGTATCTTTATAATCTAATTAACGTTTTTATTAATATATTGGTAGAGCTAACTATTGGGATTTGGGTGGGTGAAGCCTATAGGGCATAGACTAATAGGGCTTACAATATACTTTCAGAAGCTATATAAAGTACTATTACAGCTACTAGCAGTAATTACAGGACCTAAGCCTTATAATAGTAGATATTATAGTACTAAAGCTCCTATTATTCTGACAATACCTTTATATGAAAGTAGCGATATACCCCAAAACTACACACACCGCCTAACACTGAGTATATGACACGTACGTTGTGATGTCAATGTCGTATATAGTAAGGGAGGAAATGGCTCAGACAACAATCTTCAACACCACTGATCCTATGATCGTAGTATCAATGCACCTTCGTGCATGGCCTTCTGGTCAGAAGACCGCGGTTACAGCTACCGCAAAAAGGAGTCACTTCTGCAAGTGTGGAAAAAGGAAGAGAATTGCCTGCCCCGTAACCCCTGAAAGGTCCCGACCCTCTGACTAAATACAAGGACACGCCCGGCAGACGAACGTAACGAAGAAACGGAAAAACGAAATTCCAGACCCCATGGCCCTCTGGTCACAGAGAGGCTGACACCCCAGTTCAATAGCTGTGTAAATAGCTCGTCTTTTGTTCGGAGTATGTCTTTTCTGCCACTCACTAATTACATCTACTCGCCCGTGCCTTGAAGACTTTATGTCTTCGAAGTTATTATACCCGAACTCCCTAACCCCGCTACTGTGCTCTACTCAAACTAATACTAATAGGCTAACGTAAATACAAGTCTTGGATCATAATCTATCGATAAATGTCGTGGCGGCGCCTTCGACGACCCCCTCTAACCCTGCGCCTTCCACGCACCCTTGTAATAATGTCGCACAAGCGCCCTGCGATTCTTGCGCCAGCCATTAAGGCCCCATTCATCCGAGGATTCGGCCCGGAAGCTCTCCACCGGCAGCACAACAAGATCCCCGGCATATTTCGGCGACCGGAGGTCCATCAAATCATTCAACTCCTCCACTAGCGGATCCCGCCGCCTGATCTCGTCGAACACGACATCCGACCACGCCATAGGACCCGTCGAGTTCAAGACCTGCAGATCCGAGAAGTCGGCCTCGTCCAGCGCCTTGCCCTGCTGCCGCGCGACGTCGTGCAGCGCCGCGATCGTGTGGTTGACCATCCCCCCCAGCACGGGATGCCCCGGCGCGGCCGCGATGGTCCACTGGCAGAACTGCACGTCGCGCGTGTTCTCGTCCCAGTACCCGTCCCGCGCCACGTCCCACTCCAGCGCGACCACCAAGCCGACCTCGCGCCGTTTGGCGGGCGGCAGCCACTCCTCCACCGGAACGAGCGGCCGCGTGTCCATGTCGCTGTAGATGCCGCCGCGGTGCCATAGTAGGAGGTAGCGCAAGAGGTCAGATTTTTGGGCCGGGTTTCTGAGGGAGTGGAACGTGGCGGTGATGTCCGGGCGGGAGGATGCGAAGCTGCTGTCGACGAACGCGGTGGCGTCCTCGTCGCCCATCAGAGTGTATCCGTAGCCCGGGGCCATCGATATCCAGTCAGAGGCGTAGGTGCCGCCTTTGTCAAGCGTCTTGATGCCTGGCGGGGCGAAGAAGATCTGCCATATTTGGCGCGGGATGGGGATTTCGGAGGCTGGTGGTGGGCGGAGGGCGGTTGTTTCGACAAGGCTTTCCGCTGTTTCTGCTGCTGATGCTGGGTTTTGCTTTGGCTGTCGGCGGTGCACCGAAGTCAACTGGGAGGCGAGGAGACAGAAGGTGGCGGCGATGGCTATCCACAGAAAGTATCGGTGATAGGCGTGCGGCAGCATTATGGGAGAGGAATTCTGATGGGGGATTTAGAAAAGGGGTAACGTATGAAAGTAGAGATAAAAAGTAAAAAACGTAAAATCTGGTTGCGTGAGTGAGATTGGCAGCGTCGCACATATTACGTACGTATGTGCCGGGGTTGCCGACCAATCCCGTTGGTGACCATTGAAGGCAACCGCAGTTACACCTTGCCAGTTACGGACCTTCGTGTCTCAGCGCCGTTTGGCCCCCAACTACGAAGGCTGAGTTCAAAAGTGAATCCTCTGTTGTGCTCAGCCCACACTTGGCAAACAGGATGCCAAGCCCACCGACCACCACAACACAATGCGAGCCTTCCGGCCGCTAGGAGCTCTCAGCACTGCAAAATTAGGTCCTAGGTAGTATTTGAATCCCTTAGTAGGCTCCTAGAACCATTGTAATCAACCTTCCGACTATTAGAGTCTCTCGATAGTATAATATTATATTGATTCTAATTAAGATAACTTAACTATATTGGAATTACTAGATTTAAAAGTTTAAACAGCGCTTTTTTAGTATATTTAAAATTATTATTAGTAACTAGATTAAATATAATTAGTATAATATAGTTAATCATTTTTATAGTTACTTTTATATAGCTAATAACTAACTATAAAACTTTTTACAGTATTTAACTAATTATAAATTGATTATATTGACCTTGGTGTAATTAACTAGATGAAGACAGTTATTACGGTTTAAAGAATATCGTAATTGAGCGTCACAAGCTCGGGGAGTTCCAATGAATCTTGTTAGATAAATTTTGCATTGCGGTCCGTGCGGTTGCTTCGTGGCTTTTCTTTTTCCAGTTTGCGCCTCAAGCCTCCGTAGTGCAGGGGACGGTTCGTGGTGCCAAACTTGACAGGTTGGGCTTTTACCTGGTTCAGCTTGCATGCTGGCTTGGGACACCTCGCCTTCTCTTGGCGACCACGTTCATAGGTCGATCCGTGCAGAGAACTTTCGAGACCAGGGCTTCAGACAACGAGTCTCTCGCCCCTCGGCCCGAACACCCACCAGCTATGATGGGCTGCGGCATGGATTTGGCAGTGATAACACCACGGAAATGCCTGATTCTCGCTGAGAAGCACCAGGGGGAGGACAGGCAGGGCCACATGCACCCACCCTTGCACGCATCCCGCCCTGCACCCCGGCCGGGTCCTGCTCGCGGGAATCGTTCTGGATCTCGAGGGAGGCCTGACGATGCGGAATGAGGCGGGCACCCAACCCGTGCCGTACTAGCATCGTAGGAAGACGCAGTCTATCGATAGTTCGAACTTGTGGAGGGGATGCCGATGAGTCGAGCTGGTACCGCGGCTGGTCCCCAGGGCGTCGATATAAACCACAATGATCACCCCCCGTAGCCGTTGATTTTGGATTATCATTCCCACTTCGTACTCTATTTTGGCATCTTGACCTTTCGTCTCCCACCATGAGCGGGCTTGTACGTAATCTTATCGCAGCCCGCTGCGCTGTGTTGGTGTTACTCCAAACCGTGCTATGCTCTCCGGTTCCGCCGAACTCGGTCATCGACCTCCAGCCAAGGCAAACCATCATCCCTGGCGGCAAGCCGTGCGGGCAGAACAACGCCACGAACCGAGGGTGCTGGAAGAACAACTGGAACATCAACACCGACTATGAGATCACCACGCCCCCCGCTTTCAACACTCGGGTGGTACGTCCCCATATATTTCTTCACAACTGTGATACGTCTGACCAATACTTTGCTTAGGTTGACTTACATATTACCAATGTGACAAACTGGCTTGGCCCTGACGGCGTTCGGAAACCGGCAATGCTCGTCAATGGTCAGTCATTCTATCCACCCACCTCCACTCCCATAACATTACTAACGGGGTGCAGACCAATATCCCGGCCCGACTATCGAGGCTGATTGGGGTGACTACATCGTGGTCAATGTCTACAATGATATGCAGGACAATGGGTTGGTCACTCCCGTACCACGTCAACGATGTTTAGAGGCTAACAGATTCTAGAACCTCAATCCACTGGCACGGTATTCGTCAATTTGGTGAGAGCAACCAAGACGGAGCCAACGGCGTCACAGAATGCCCCATCCCTCCTGGACACATGAAGACCTACGACTTCCACGTCACCCAGTATGGGACCTCGTGGTACCACAGCCACTACTCCAACCAGTATGGCAACGGTGTCGTCGGCTCGCTCATCGTGCGGGGCCCGGCATCGGCCGACTACGATATCGACCTCGGCCCTTACACCATCAGCGACTACTACCACGAGACGGCCGACCGGCTCCACCTCAAGGCCGAGCTGGTCAGCAACGGCCCACCCCCCGACAGCGACAACGTGCTGTTCCGCGGCAAGAACATCAACCCCAACGGGCCCGGCGGCGCGTACGACCGCATCACCTTCACGCCGGGCAAGAAGCACCTCCTCCGGCTGACCAACCCCAGCGTGGACAACTCCTTCACCGTCTCGCTGGTGGGGCACACCTTCAAGGTGATCACGACGGACCTCGTCCCCATCACGCCCGTGGTGCGCAGCTCGCTCTTCATCGGGGTCGGGCAGCGGTACGACGTCATCGTCGAGGCCGACCAGGCCGTGGGCAACTACTGGCTCAACGCGACGCTCGAGGCCAACAACAACTGCGGCCACTCGCGCAACCCCTTCCCCGCGGGCATCGTGCACTACAGCGGGGCCAGCACGACAGCACTACCGACCGACCGCGGCGCGCCCGTGACGGGCACCTGCGCGGGCGAGAAGGGGTTCGCGCCCGTCGTGTCGCGCAGCGTGGCCGCGTCGCAGTTCCAGCCCTCGACGCTGCCCGTGTCGCTGCAGTTCCCGACGCACGAGCGCGGGCAGGTGTTCGAGTGGCGGGTGCGCAACACGCCCATCTCGGTGGAGTGGGACCACCCGGTGCTGGAGTACGTGCTCGAGGGCAACGCGAGCTTCCCCGGCGCGGCCAACCTGGTCGAGGTGGCCGCGCCCGACGTGTGGACCTTCTGGGTCGTGCAGAACACCTTCGCCCTGCCGCACCCGATCCACCTGCACGGCCACGATTTCCTGGTGCTCGGCACGGGCGCCGGCACCTTCGACGCCCCCACCATGGTCGGCCAGCTCGACTTCGACAACCCCATCCGCCGCGATGTCGAGCAGATGCCCGGCGCCGGCTGGCTGGTCATGGCCTTCCGCACCGACAATCCCGGGTGCTGGCTGATGCACTGCCACATTGGCTGGCACGTGGCCATGGGGCTGGGTGTGCAGTTCCTGGAGAGGAAGGCCGATATCATGGATCTGATGCACCTGGACCAGATGCTGCCAAATTGTGAGGCGTGGCGCGCGTATGCGCCGACGAGTCCGTATCTGCCCAAGGTTGATTCGGGGCTGAAGAAGAGGATGGGAATGGGTGTCGGCATGGGACATATGGACTGGGACGGGGAGCCGGCTGTGAGGAGGATTGGTTGATTATTAGGGCTGTGGGGTGGATTTGAAGAAAGGGGATGGGAGGGAGGGGTTGGACATCTCATTTCGCTGGGGTGAATACATAGAGTACGTAATGGGGGGAGGGAGGTTCGGGGCGCTGGACATTCAATTCTGGGCATTCGATGCGAGAGCGTAGGTAACCGTGACCTCGTTACGGGTAGTCACCGCTAAGAACGGTCGGTTTCGCAATGTCGGTCATTGGATGGGCACTGTCGACCGGAGGGACAAGATCGAGTTTCATATGCAGCAGGACTCATCCACATGCCTGTCACCATTGGACATTAACAGTTAGTAGGAGAGTTGGAAGAGGATGGGTGAGGTATCACTGCCCTGTCGTTAGCTAGTCTGCCTATCAAATCCAACTGTCGACCCAAAAGCTCGTCTGCCCCTTGAGAACTCCACTGTGAAATGACAAACTAGACTCTAACAACAATGCAACCCAATACCCAGCAGTCGTGTGCCTAACGACGGCTCACCGCCCTCATCTGTTCCCCGTATTAGCCGCGGCTTCTCCAGCCACCTCGGACCCGCCACGATGGTGAGAGGTTGCCACGGCGCCGGCGGCGGGTGCCCGGTCGGATCTCTAGGGTGCCGCAGGCGGTTGGGATGATGGTTGTTCAGCTGGATTCTAATGGTGCCGCCTCGGACGTGACTTCAACAAAGATCTCCATGGGGTCCAGAACGCCCTCCCACTCGCCGCCAAGACGCATGAGGCCCGTTTTGATGAATTCCTGAAGCTCGCTGACCGTTGCATGGTCCTTTTTATGGCGCCATGTGTCCTTCCACTTGTCCTCAAAGGAGGCGCTGGCGAAAGCCACCGCGAAGATCACCCATTTCTGCGCACTCTCGGCGGTCATGGCACCAGGGGGGCGACGAAACTCGATGGTACCGCGGGGATCCATAAGCGGCATGAAGTTCCATGACAAAAACCTGTCTGAGCCCGTTCCAATACAGATGCTTTGCGTGAGCTTGAGGCCGTCGGACCAGTTGAACAGGTGATCCCATGACTTTGTTGTGACTTCGCCGAAGAGACGCACGAGGTTCCGGGCTTCCACGGGTAACGTGGATTGTGGGGTGGCGTGTGAGGCTAGCGCGCCAGGTTTGTTGGCCCTTGCCTTGTCGGCCCTGATCGCTTGCTCAAGCTTAATGTCGTGAAAGCTGGATCTAGCCCAGGTATTCTCTTTGCGGTCTTCCGGCATGATCTTTGTGATTGCGTCGTCAAACACGGCAATGGCCCGTAGCAGAGATCGAGCCTGGTAAACTGTCCACCCTCGGGAAGGCGCCTGTGGGAGACCTGGGTCCGGACCCGGTTGCGGGTGGACGTGCTGGGAGCAGCCGCTGGTCCACCACATCTCGAAGTAAAGGTTGAGGACGTCGTAGATTCTCTCGATGGTGTTGTGCCATTCCCAGTTGCTAGTGTGCATAATGGGAGAAACAATTTCCAAGGGAACTGCATAATGTTAGTGACCCAGCGCATTTTCTAGTCCGCGCCGGCCATAACACTTGAAGCCAGGCTCGACGGCAAGACAAGGATAGCTCTGGGATGAGCACTTACAATATCTGACACCTTCTGGGGTGATAAAGCCTGAGCACGGGCTCCAGCTTGATGTTCCAAGCCTCAAACGTGACATCATCCAAGCTTGTGCGTATCCCAGCCGCTAAAAGAAGAGCGGCCAAGGTCTTTATGAGGGCCTTCCCGTTAGCCTCGATCATTCTGTCGTACTCAACACCGCTACCGCCCGGCTGAAGACCATGGTTGAACCCATGTTTCTCTAATTCATCGTAGATGGCCTTCTTGGGCGTCACGAGAGACTCTAGTTCCGTCCCAAACCCAAACCCCAGGGCTGGGGCGGGGGGGGGCGGAGTTTGTGTTAGCCATGTCGGTGCTGGGCTGGAGTGATGTGCCAGGGGCGAAATGCAAGAGTGTTAATTAGTTCTCCACGATGAGTGATGTGTAGCTTCTCGTTCCGACGTCCATGGGGACGATGCAACTTTGACAGAAGACGGCTAGTCCTCACTGATAAAGGGTCTGAAGACAAGCCTGGGGAAGGGAAGGGAAAACCTTTCAGCCATGGGGAATATATGGAACGTTGACAGACACTGCGCTGGTGTCAGATAATGCAATGAACAGCGCCTTTGTTCTTCGTTTGCTGTGTCTGTTCTGTTCGCTCTTTGGTTAGATTGCACTGTGTCTCAACCCACCACACGCACCTACCCGGCCAGCTGTGGTTTGCTCAAGATGAGCGGACACCAGGTTCTTGCGGTGAACATCTTTTGGGAGCTTGTTTATGTGTCGTCTGTGATAATGTGGCCGTTGTTCAGGGCGCACAATGGGATATCTCTGCAAAAGTAGCCAACGGGCCCACCCATTTCACTTGCAGCAAAGACAATGTAATGAAAATGCTTTAGCGGCATCAAATGCTACTGGCTAGGCGACCCGATTAGCCGTGGGGGCTGGTAACGGCAAAAGCTACGACTTGTCGAGACTTAGCTGTTACAACCAACAATACACCGAGCCGCATCACCAACCCCTGACGAGAGATGTCAAATATTGAGTCCACCATGCGATTAAGCTCTGTCACCTCCACGAATGGCAGTATAATGATCCTGAATCCCCAAGAGAAGCGAGGGCGGCAAGGTACCTTCCTACTCAGGAGTGGTGCACCAACTCGCCAGCCGAAGGAAAGCAAATCGATTATTGTTGTGGTGATCATGACCGGAACCAAGAAGGTCATGTAGTCGCGACGAGATTTAAACGCACATCGGGTACCTTACCCATACCTTGAGTCAAGTGATTTATAGTGTCCTAGTGCTTTGATTTATATGATCCCGCGGAAGGCGCTACTTATAGCTCTATTTCTCTTGTCTTGCCAGACCCCCACAAGCGCTTTCACTTGGTACTTGGGGGCACGGTAGAGGTCTGTACTTAAACGAATGGAGGCCTCCAAGTGTGGTTCAGTGCCTACGAAGCACCTCCACCGCAGCTTCACCATTGGAAACAGAGCTGAACCCGAGGCTACCCGTTCGGCAGGGTCAAGACTCGAGAAATATTGCTTCTTGTCAACAGCTCGGCAACAACATCTGAACCGTCCCACCCCGCGCCAGTAGCGACAGGAGACCTGGCAGCACCACCAGTCTCTTCACCCCGTGCCCCTCTCGTTCTCGTTGGAGACCATACTTCCACAAGTCCATAACCAGACTTGATCATGACTGGTAGCGAGCCCCCCAAGCAGGAAGCTTCTTCAACCCCCCACACCGCCGAAATGGAGTCCATTCTTGCCACCCTCAAGCCATTTGCGGAATACAAACAGCGGTCCTACGAAATCTCCAAGAATGTACACATCCCGCTTCTAGAAGGGCTCAGCGACCCCTCCGACGGCCCCGTAGTCGTCTTCCTTGGCGACGGCATCTTCGAGAACATGATCACGACGGGCGAGAGCCCTAACTTCCCCGCCCCCTGGCCGTCGCCCGCGCTGCTTTCAGAGGCTACGCTAGCCACATGGGCTGAAAACCCAAACATGGCCATGTACCGCGCGAGCCGCCTGCTGAACGCCGGGGTCAGCGGCGACCGCATCCAGAACCTGGTGTACCGGCTGGTGGGAGACGAGGACGAAGGGGGGACGCTGCCGGGCCTCCTGCCGCTCCTGGCGCGGTGCGGGACGGTTCAGACGTGGGTCTTGCATATAGGGCGGGAGAATGTGTCTGCCGAGAACGATGGGCTTTCGGACGAGGATATTATGGCCCTGAAGCAGCTGGTTCTAGCTTTGTTCAGCATTAATCCTGCAGGGGGCGTGAAGACCAAGATAGTGCTGACGTATATGTTTGGGGAGAAGCTTGAGGTGTACCGTGGGAATGAAGCAATTAAAAACCTAGAGAAGAGGTTAAATAATCCGGACACTGGTATTCGGAATACCCTGTGCCTACGGACACCAGCTGGGTATATTCCCGACCAGCACTTGGTAGATGACGTCCATTTAAACTTGGACGGGTATAAGATATTCGCTGAGCTTTTGTGGTCCATGGCGCCGGCGGGGACCTATGTCTCGGGCGAACATGGGTATAATCTCGATCTCCGCAAAAGGATCAAGACTGAAACCGAGACCAAAGGGGGTGGCGAATAAGCAAACATAGCATTCGAGGATCGCAAGGTCTGGCATAAGAACCGCAAACCCCAGAGTGTGGATTCGCGAGACACCACATACCGAAGGTACCCAATCTCCCTCCCTAGGTACCTACCCTACCTTGGATACCTACCGATATATAAAGGGAAGCTGGCACAGGTAATTATTATCGGATAAGACAACAAAGAAGCCTTTACAATCACTAGAGAAGACCTACACGACAAGATACGCACCCTTCTCTTGTTTGCTCTAGGCAATAAAATTGTTTGATACGTCTTTAAATATCTTGTTGAAAACGTTGATGCCGTAGTCTAGGGACCAATTTAATATCTCCATGTCTATGTAACTGTAATTGTGAGTGGCAGAACTGTGGTAACAAACCGCTGCAGAACACGAAGCTGATCATTGTCATGAGATCAACATCGTCTACTGCGAGTTAGGGATTGCGCCTTTTCCTGCCAAAGATAGTGGCAATAGGGCACGATAATCCGTCTAAGTACCATAAGCCTTTAGAAATCTCTTGATGACGGCAATGAGTTGCTTATCGTAGGCACCACCTACCTCCCAGACCGTCGAGAGCGCCCGAGGTAGATACTGCCGCCTGCACTTCACTTGTAACCGGCATAGTTTCACAGGTAGTGCCGTCTGATTGTTGACTCAATAGACAGATCTGTATTCTTCAGAACGGATTTCATGGAATCATGGTTTTCACATGACAAAGCAGGTGCAAAAGGCTCTACGTGATTTAACGACCCAATAGGTACCTAGGTAGGGATGGAAAACTGGGTCAACATCGTCACCCGTCGAACCTAATATCGAAACAGACAGTTCTCCCTCACGGCGTAGCCGCAGGCGGTTTCGGCGTCCCACTCGAGATGGTGGTATGCGGCCCCGAAACCCCGATACAGTACCACGTATCCGCCCATAGACCCGCGCAGTCCGTCCCAACACCCGCATTCCACGCGTAGAAGTCACTATTAAGCCCACAGTTAGACACGATCCGATTCACGATCTGGCCGACACACCACCCAAAATAAAGGGGGGGGGGGGGGGGGGGTGAAAGCAATGAAAGGAAAAGAGTAGGTAAGGTAGGCAGGGACTTACTCAAGCGAGATACCTGCCGCGGCGGCAAGGTCATAGCAGTAGAGGCCCGCAGCATCAGGCCCGCGGAAGAAGAAGCGCACGCAGCCGTCCACCATGCCGGGGATGGCGGGGGAGGGCGTCGCGACGGGCTCGCCGGGGCCGGCGGTCGACGACAACGACGACGACGACGACGACGGCCCCGTGGAGGAGCTCGCGGGGGGCTTGGTCGTGACCCCGATCGTCGTGGTCGGGCCGCTGCTGCCGTCGCTGGGCAGAGTGACGGTCGAGGCCGGGTGGGTGGTGACTGGGGCCGTCGATACGCACACGTAGTAGTCGGGCGCCAGGCCCGCGCAGTCGCTGCCCACCGCCGGGTTCCACGCGTAAAAGGCCGACGCCGAGATGCGTGCCGCCGACGCGATGGACCCGCACGTGTCGTCCCGCGACACCAGCCAGTACCGCGTGCAGTCCGCCGCGATGCCGCTCTGTGTCGGCCGGGAGCTGCCGTCCCCGGGCGTCGTGGGTGCTGGTTCGGTGCGTGTCGTGGGGGTGCCGGGGATGGCGACGCAGTAGTAGGTTTCCTGTTTGAGGTTGCTGCAGTCGCTGCGGACGCTGGGGTTCCAAGATATGAAGTCTGGGGAGTTGCGGTTAGCTAAGTTTGTGTTGTGATTGGGGTGACGTTGGTGCTCGGATACTTACCAGACTCGGAAAAGGTCCCGAAGGAGAGGGAAATGGACGCGCAATCGTCATTTCCAACGGCAAGGTACCATGATTTGCAGTCCTGTGTTGTGCCGGTAGCTGTCGGCGATGCGCTTGCCGTCAAAGTGGGTGGCATCGGGAGGTCAGTCGACGCAAAGTTGGCAACGCAGTAGTAGACCCCGTAGAGGAGCCCATTGCAGTTCTCCGCGAGCGCAGGATTCCACGCGAAGAATTGGTCTTTGGTGATGTAGTTGTAAATCCCCAAGACGGTATTGCACGTGTCTCCCTATCATTTCTTGGGTCAACAATGACCAGGCAACTTGAGGGTGGTGGACAAAGACTTACACTCTCGGCTTGGTAGAAGTTCTGACAGCTCGCAGGAATACCCGACTGCTGGGGCTGAGCGGTAAAGTTCTGAACGTAGGTTGCAGGGGGCCGGACAAACTCAGTTGGCTCCGGGATGGACGCATTGCCGTCTTGACTCGTATACCAACCGATACTGGAAGAGCTCTGGGACTGCACGCCAATGCAGATATACCACCCAAAGTACAATCCACTACAGTCCTCACCAAGGGTGGGGTTGTACTCGTGACTGGGAGCCAGGACATCGCTTATTAGTGTCATGTCCTCGGCGGCATGGTGCTAAGGGGTACAGGAAACTGTCAGCTACTCACAGTTGCTCCTCTGTGAGCCTAGCTCCATAGAGATTCACAATTCCTTCACAGCTCTCTCCAGGTGCTGCCCAATGCCACCGGTTACAATTGCCTGGTTGCCCCGGTTGAGTGTGTTGTGGGGGGAATGCAGTCGCCGTGTACGGGGCACTTTCGTTGTACGAGGTAACAGGGTTGCGTGTCGAGTAAGGACTTGTGGTTGTCACCACGCTCCTAGTGCTACTGCTGGCACTGCTTGTCGTGGTCTTTGTCGATCCTTGCGTGCTAGAGCTGCTGGGTGAGACATCTTTGTTGATTCCGACCTGTTCGTAGTCAGTATAAGGAAACAACGTGGGAACACACCGCTATCCTCGATATGAAAACCGGTTAACCCACGCAGTACGAGCTCTCTAGCCAAAAGTTGGTGATGCAATCCTTTGACACCGCTGGGTTCCATTCGAAGAACTGATCCGCAGTAATGTCGTATTGCTTCTCAATGGTCGAGCAATCATCGCCCTCCACAACCGTGTGCCACTTATTACAGTTGGGTGCGATGCCATCCATGGTTGGCCCCGGCGCGCCGACCCTCACGCAGTAGGAACTCTCCAGCCAGAAGTTGGTGAGGCAGTCCTCCGACACTGAAGGGTTCCATTCGAAGAACTGGTCCGCTGTGATGTTGTATTGCTTTTCGATGGTTGAGCAATCGTCTCCCGACACCACAGTATGCCATCCACTGCAATCCCATGCGGTGTCCGGGAAGGTATCCCCTCCTGGCGAGTTTTCCTGGGCGGCGACGTGCCCCCGAAGCACGAGGAGTGATCCCAGGGCCGCCCAGATAATCACCATGTTCGACTGTGAACCGAGAGCCATTTTCAAGGCTGCATTTAAAGTCTCTGCGCTATGTCGGCTTTAGTTCACACAAAAGGCTACTTCATATGGGGACTCACCACAGTTCTCAAACGAAAGCGTGTTCCCCTTAGGATGTTGTTGGCCTTAGAGACTGGTGGTTCAGCATCGATGGCCAGTTAGAAAAAAAACACCTAAACACCGGCACTCCAAAGCTAGAATGAGACAACACACGAGGTACCAGGGTTTGGGGTGACTGGGGAATGCGCGAGAGGGGACCGGGTCGAACGCCACCGGACAGAGTGGTATGGAAAGGGGCACCGCAAGTACCGCTGACCGTCCAAAGCCGAATTCCCGGTCTTCCAGTGGGATTCATTTTCAATCACCCGTGAGACGACAATAAAACCCGTCAATAATGGGATGGTAGGACCGATACCAATGGATATGCAGCCGGTCATACTACCGTGTATGGTCAGCTTTCTGATGACCGACATCCGATTCCCGCGTGGGAGGTCCCAGGTTCTATGCGTGATAATGCAATTAGACGAACGGGAAGCAGAGCGGATCGACCCAAGGACCGGGATAACATCCAGATAGGGCTATCCAGTCGGGAACCCCCTGCTTCAGCCTGAGGTGTGACAACCAATGGTAAGTTCAGACGAACAGAAGTTGGTACGGGTACATGGGATCAATAAATGCTTCTTCCCCACAAGCATCGGGCCAAGGATGACAGGATTTAGCGCCTACGCGTGGAACAATCCCCTCACGACGGAGGAGGTTTATGCAAGGTCCCATTTCTTGACAAGCTTGTCAGCGACGATCATTTCCGCAACGGGGTGACTTTAAGTCTATTGACGAACGCATGCAACCCCAACCCACTCGATGAAGGCTCTATCTTGCGCTCGAAAGCTCGCATAAGCCGAGACAATGGAATTGTGACCCATCAAAGGAGCGTATTCGGGCCCTATGAGGTCCAGGAGGATTGCGGCGCCGCCGGATATCGCGTGCCCCTTTTCCGCATATCCGTCCCGAGGTTATTTTCCCGCTCCATAGGGTGGGATCGGATGAGGTGAGATCAATCATATGCCCGACTCGTCCCGGTCGGTGTGCCCACACAACGAACTCGTCACGTTCCATTAGCCGGCTATCCCGTGTGTACCTATCCTCGGGGGACATAGTGTGTGAGGCCGCTATACCGGGGTTAATGGCAGCCGGGACCGTGTGTCGGCAACAAGACCGAAGAACCTCTCTGAGACAAACCCAAACTTTTCCAGACCCGGCGAGGGAGGTTTGCTATCTCCTCACCTTCTGTTGCGCACCACCAAGCCCGTTGCTCAGCACCACAGTCGTGTGCCATGAAGGGCCTTCTCGTTTTCGGATGGCTTCATGGCCTCTGGCCAACGGTTGGAGCCGCCGTCTTCCGCGTTGCTAATACCAGTGCCTCGCATGCCGCTAACGGGTTACAACCAAAGATCCGTCCACGCGATGATGACCCCAGCGACTTTGGCTGGGTCAAGCGATGGGCTGCCGTTGGCGATAGCTTCACCGCGGGAATCGGATCAGGGTCACCCCTAGGTAACTTTCTGACGGAGTCGCCCGATGACAACACATGGTATTGCGCCCGATATGACACCTCCTACCCGATGATCATCAACGATGCTCTCGGGGGCTCGGTAGAGGACTTCCAGTTCGTCGCCTGCAGTGGCGACAGAACTGGCGGCATCTACAAGCAGATCCAGGAGCTGGAGGGAGACCTGGATCTCGTCGTCATGACAGCTGGAGGAAACGATCTCTGCCTGGTAAGAAGCTCATGATTTCGATAATCAAGTATCGACACGTTCTAACTGGACTAGGCGTCAATGATTGAAAAGTGCGTCTTCAGACCGTTCGATGGTGAAGAGGCCTGCACGGATGTCATTGCCATCGCAGAAGACAACTTGGACAGCATCCTCAAGCCGAATCTGGAACAACTTCTTGATGCCTTGGAAGACAAAATGAACGATGATAGCATCGTAGTTTTCAACGGCTACGCCCAATTCGTAAGTCTCGCTTAAGTCTTGTCTGTATTCGTTTTCTCTGACTGACATGGACCCAGTTCAACACCGAGAACGATGACTGCGAAACCGAGCAAGACTGGACTCTGTTTAACCTTCTCGGGAGCGATGGACTAAAGCTCACGGTTGACCGCCGCAAGACGTTCAACAGTCTCGTTGTCAAGATCAACGACCTCATCAAGGGTGTGGTCGACGACGCCAAAGACAAGTACAAGTACAAAATTGGCTTCTCCAACTGGGATCTGTGGCCCAGAAAGGGGGGTCGCCGGGCAGTTCTGTGATCCATCCTCGTCAGGTGAATACCCGGATCCGAAGCAGCCAGACCTCCAGTTCTTCAAGCCGGATACGAGAAAGGGCGGGAGCGAGCTGAAGCGTAGAGATGCCCTGTACAACATCCACAGCAACGAAACGCTCTGGACTGCAGAGATCGTCGAGCGAGAACGCCATCGCCGCGCGCTGGAGGATATCTACAACTCTCTCCTCTACCACTCGGCCAACCCCCAAGCCGAGGCGAGACATCTACTCGACCGTAGAAACCCCAGTCCACCCAAGTGCCCAGGCGACAAAGACGTCGAGATCCAGCCGCCCAGCATCGGGCTACCCAACTCCATCGCTAAGAACTTCCACCCTAACGAGCTGGGCCACTACACCATCGCGTCCTGGGCGCTGCAGACGCTGATCGACCTCCGCGCCGAGGTCCTGGACGTCACGGCGCCGTCGTGCGAGCCGGTCGACAAGTTCACGTGCTGGCAAAAGGAAGGGTGGAAGGCGTACGCCAACGAGCCGTTCCTCAACGACCAGAAGGACGACTTCTGCGACGGGGTGGACGAGGGCGACGAGGTCAACGGGTGGTCGCACTCGGAGACGTACGGCCAGGACACGCCGGACGAGACCGAGTTCAAGGTGACGCTCAACAAGGGCGGCATCGGCAGCGGCGACTTCAGCAAGTCCGAGTGCAAGGACAGCATCGGCAGCCTCATCAACGACTGCGACGGCAACGACCCGGACAACCCGATGGACTGGAAGTTCGGCGGCGAGTGGCAGCGCGGCCGCTTCACCTACCAGGTCAACCCCAAGCGCGACAACCGGCCGTTCCCGCCGCCTAAGGAGGCTTGGGGCAGCTGCAAGGGGTGGTACCACGGCGTCTGGAGCAGCTACGTCATCAAGGGCAAGGGATGGGCGTCCAATGACTGGGGACAGGACACGCTGGAGCCCAAGGCTCGGAGCTGTATCGGCGGTGGGCTGACCATGTGGAGGTTCAAGTACTTTGATGAGCCGGATGAGGATGGCAACGAGTGGCAGGCTGACTTCAACACGCCCATCTGGGTGCGGTCGCGGTGCTTCAAGAATAATAAGGCGGTGCGGGAGGCTGGCGGGTACACCGACGGCTGTGGCGGCAATGATTAACATAGGTATGGATGAGCAGATGTCTCGCTAGTATATGGAGGTACTTTTGCAAGAATCTATATTAGGCGAGGCTAGTACAAGTGCGAACCCTCCCTCCCACCCCGTCGCAACAACAACTCCCACAATTTGCACAGTATTGGAACACAGGCACATAGCTTGGAAAAGTACAACATAGACAAAGTGTTGGGAATACGTGAAATACGGTAGGTCTTCTCGGAATCCAAGCAAACACAAAAGCCCATGTGTACTACCAGTGTTGGTAGTCTAGGACGTTTAAGACAGATTCATGTCGGTGTTCAATCTCAAAGACCAGATGTTATTGTCATTCTTAAACTCCACATTCCCATCTCCCGCGGCACTTTGCCAGCTACCCATCGTTGGGAAAAACTAAGCTACAAACAACCGGAACCATCCGCATTCCCCGCGCTCTCGGGAAACAGCTTCTTGAATCTGGAGGTCACGGTTCCACCAGCCTTTTGCAACAAATCCTTGGTCCTGGCCGACTTGCTCCTACCATACAATTTGTGCATAGCCGCAATGTCCCGCTGACTGGGCGAGTCATTGATGGGTATCGGGTCGCCGTTCGGCTTCAGCAGGATAGATGCGCGCTGGTCGTTGCCCGGACTGGCCTCACCCACGGCACCGGCGCCGGAGGGATCTGAGAACTGTTAGCAAGTAGGACTGGTGGTGGCTTCATCCTCCTAGGTACATACAAATCATGATGGACGACCAGTCAACGTCATCAGTCCCCATGCCGGACGATGTGGCGATTCCCATGGCCTTGGGCATGGGGAGGTAGTCTCTTGCGCTGAACTGGCCCTTGCGGGCAAAGTCGTAGTCCCTGCACAGCTCCTCGACGCCGATTCTGGGGCCGAAACCGCCGTTGTTCGGGTTATTCGGGTTCTGGACTACCAGGCCGCCTCCGCCCAAACGGTCCTGGTAATCCTTCAGATTCTCGCATCGCCAGTTCCCGCCGTTCTCGGGACCGAACACGGTTCCGCCCAGGGCATTCTTGATGGTCCCCTTGCTCCAGAAGGCCGGATTCTGGTGCTCGTGATACAGACCCCAGGCGTGGCCAAGCTCGTGGGCAAAGTTCTGCTCCTGGTTGAGCATGCCCATACGCACGCTCGTCGTCAGCATCATCTTGGGTCTGACGTCGGGGTTATTGGAATTGCGGATGATGGAGTCCGCGTTGGGCAACCCTTCAAAGGTCGCCATCATGCCGTTGTCGCCGGTCCAGTGGACCATCAGCGTGTCGAACCTGTGGTCGCCGGTGCACTCCTCCCTTCCAACCTTGGAAATGGTGAATTCGCTGCCCAGGCCCTTGCGCAGCCAGATATCATGCGCTGCTACGATCAGGTCGTTGAGCGCTTCTTCTGCCTCGTCGTCGACAAAGCAGTAACGGATCTGGCGATTCGGCCACGGCATCCGGTCACCCTCGGAGCGATCCGTGTTGATGACATAGTAACGGCGGTCGAGGGCGGAAGTTGAGATCGCAGGCTGCCATCCCCGGCTTCCAGCTAGGACGTGGCCAGTTCCGGCCAAAAGGCCGACAAGCAGAGCGACCAACAGCCGCATAGTATGAACGAAGTCACAAAGGAGTGAGGAGAAGGGGTTTACAGCACCTGCGGTGTGTAGTCGCAGAGAAATGGGGGAGATGTTGTCCGCCGGGGTAAGTCCCAGGCCAGGAAACAATACAATATGCCTATGGCCGGCTATGAGCCTATCGTGGTATGGTCAGCCCCTGGGCTCGTCTGATTAGATGAATTTGCCATCCGGCGGGCCCGGTTAAGCAGGAACCTGGGTCCGATGGTGGAGCTGACATGCAGGAGGATCAAGAAGCGTGTACAACGTTACAATATCTGCGCCGCAATGGGTGGATCATCAGTCCCGTACCGGTACTTCGGTCATGTGTCGGTGGCCCGACACGGACGGCCGGCAGCAGTGGTCCTAGTTAGCGTGTAATGGCGGGAAATATCTTCCAATATTACCTGAGTCGTGTAAGATCCTAACGCAACCTCCGTGATGACACGGTCGATTTGCTGACCACACCGGCAACTTACTGCCGATTGTGGAAATAAGGGAACATAGTAGGTACCTAACATGCATATCCACGCAATTTGTTGCCATGGGAAGAGGACGGAGTCCTTGTGACCTTTCCGGGGGACACTATCGAGTAACTCCACAAGCTCTTGCACCGAGAAGGCATGCTTTTGCACCCCATGCTGGGCCCCGTACCTTCATCGTTGTTCTCACCCCGCCTTCCTGCCCGTCTTCCTCTGAATTTTCAACTTGTCACCTGTGGTTCATCATGAAGGCTGCCTTGTGGTTCACCCTATTGTGGGCAGGCTCTGCCCTCGCGGCGACCAGCCACAGAGAGGCATTCAAGGCCCAGGCCGATGCCGGCAGACCCAGAACATCATCGACGTTTCGAATACTCGCGGATACCGAAGAGGATTACACATGCACTAAAGACAAGAAGTGCGATTTGGGCTGCTGTGGTCCCTTGTGAGTTTCCTCTGAGACGTAGCGCCTGTCTCACGACTGACGAGATAGCGTAGAGACGAGGAAGGCAACGGTATCTGTGGGCTAGGCCCCAAGTTCTGCGGTGATGGTTGCACTTCAACTTGTGACTACAAGAGCGAGTGTGATCCCGGCTGGGGAATGCAGTGGTCCAACGCCTCAACATGCCCTCTCAACGTCTGCTGCAGTGAGTATGGCTTCTGCGGGACTGCCCCTGACTTCTGCAATGGCGAGGTCGTGTCAGCTCCTCAGTGTGACCCCGGCCGCAACAGCTCTAATGGGCGAACCATTGGCTACTATGAGGGCTGGAACTGGCAGCGGCCGTGCGGGACCATGACACCAAGCAAGATCCCGCTCGGCTACTATAGCCATATCTTCTTTTCGTTCTCGCTCATCAACCCCAATACCTTCCGGTTGGAGCCCATGGACCAGAAAACGGGCACTCTGTACCCCGACGTTTCTGACTTGAAGTCCCGCCAGCCGGGACTGGAAGTATGGATCGCGGTCGGCGGCTGGGCAATGAACGACCCGGGACCGTACAGGACAACGTTCTCGGACCTCGCAAAGTCGGAATCGGCACAGGACGAGTTCTTCGAGTCCTTGGTGACGTTCATGATGAAGTACAACTATGACGGTGTCGATATCGACTGGGAGTACCCAGTGGCTGACGACCGTGGTGGCATTGAGGAGGACTTTGACAACTTTGTCACATTTCTCAAACGGTTGCGCCAGCGCCTGAACCATATCGGCACACCCAAGGGCGTTTCTATCACTCTCCCCGCGTCCTATTGGTACTTGCGTGGGTTCGACATCGTGGGTCTAGAGCCGTACGTTGACTTTTACAACGTGATGACGTACGATATCCGTAAGTGCCTGACCAAAACCACCCTAACTAGGTACAAAGCCCAACTAACCACACGGAAAGACGGCGTCTGGGACTCCACCGTGCAGTCCCTCGGCCCCTTTGCTCGTGCGCACACCAACTTGACCGAGATCGAGGAGGCCCTGAAGCTTCTCTGGCGCAACAACATCAACCCCGAACGCGTCAACCTAGGTCTGGGCTTCTACGGCCGTAGTTTCACCATGAAGGACCCCGGTTGCATGGAAGCAGGCTGTGAGTTCAGCGAGGGCGGCAGCGGCGGAGAGTGCACCGGCACCCCCGGCGTGCTGTCAGCGCACGAGATCACCGAGATCATCAACAACGGCGCCACAGTGACGCTCGACACTGCAGCGGCGGCCGAGATTGTTACCTGGGACAACGACCAGTGGGTATCGTGGGACAGCACCGAGACGTTAGCTATGAAGGTCCGGTACGCCAATGAACGCTGCCTCGGGGGCGTCATGGCGTGGGCCATTGACTTGGATGACGGGACGTTGATCAAGTCGCTGGCGGACACGGGGCGTATGACGTTCAACTATGTGTCAAACCTGCCCTGGATGACGGGCTGCTTTGGGTCGGAACTACCGGAGTGGTCGTTCCTGAACGATACCGAGACGGATTCATAGGGTGGCTGTGGATGGATCCGAGGTCGGCAGGAACATGAATGCAGTACGTTTAGACGTTCAGCTCTCGAATGCATGCAGTCCGTTATCGTCACAGCGATGTCACCACATTGGTAGGTACTTGAAGATCGGCAAACAAAACATGTTGTTAATACGTCGCTTGCCCGGGGGCGCGACTTGTATTGTAGAAGGTAGGTAATGTAGGTACCTAGCTGGCTCCATCGTGCTTCGGGTATCTAGCACCAAGCGCCCACACCAGTCTGCTAGCGTTCTATCGTACTCGTTCCAAAGAAAACCAGCCTATTGATAAGATCTAATATCCGCCCTAGAAAAACCCGCACCACCTTGCCGCAGCCACCCGCTTCTCCGTAAACCATCAAGCAGGGATTGAATCCATCTAAGCGCTCCAGACAGCGGGCCCGGGGATGGGGTAGCTGTCGAAAGCCTCGTAGAGGTTGAAGGCGATGCCGGGGTCGGTGGCGGTGTAGAGGGAGGTGGCGGGAGTGCCGCTCGGGGTGGAGGAGCCGCCCTCGGTAACCTCGATGTTGATGCACTGGGGGTAGGCCTGGGCGCCGTTGGGCTGGCCGCCCGAGTGGAGGGCGATGATCTCGTGGCGGAGGACGTAGCCGCCAGGGGCGAGGCCGCTGGGGATGGTGACGGTCCAGGCGTTGCCGTTGGCGATCAGGTCGTCCGAGGCCCAGTCACCCGGGTTGTTGCCGGAGTTGAGGCCCTTCTCGGCAATCTTGGCGAACGAGAGGGAGCCCGCGCTGGCCGAGGAGCAGTCACCGCCGCAGGATGCGATGTAGTCGATGACGGGGCCCTTGTGCGACTCGGGCCAGGTGTTCCACTGGAGGGTGATGGTGCTGCCGGCCTTGACGCTGACCGAGTTGCTCGGGGGGGTGGCGCTCTTGTGGCAGGCGATGTCGGCGGTGCCAAAGGAGTTGGGCTCGACGAAGCCGTTGTCCTGGTTGGCAGCAGCCCAGCCAACAGCGTCGGCGGGAGCACCGCTGGGGATGCCACCGGTGTAGGTCACACCCTCAGCGACGACGGTCTGGACGTGACCGTGGGCGTTGACGGCGGCAGCGAAGGCGATGGCCGAAAGGGCGGCGGAGCGAGGAGAGACAACCATTTTGACGAGTGTGCTGGGTCTGAGGGGATAATAGCTGTTGCTTCGTAGAACCTGGGCTTGAGGATGAGGGCTTGATGGATGGTTGGAAAGGGGGCGGACAGCTATAATTTATACTTGAGATGCAGAATTTCACTTACATATGGCGACACCATTTGTCCACCTATCGTATATCGTACCCGTGTTCCATTTTCGTCTTGCGGGGTGCGCAACACAGCGAAACCGGGTTGAATGCCATGTCCACAAGCGCGGGATCGACGAGGAGGTCAGTTACATGTTGAGAGTATTACCGGCTTGGGCCGGCCGATCCCTCCCCAATCCATGCATTACGGAACATGGCTAGCAAGAATAGGATTCATGGCAACGGCTACCTTGGCTCCGCCATTACTCTTTATGTACTACCAAAATGCTGTTTTTTTACCAACACCGCAATGATGTGCATTGGTGTGTTTGCTCGTCCAAGATCCCATGGCCATGCGACTCGAAGTCCGACTCCCTGCCAATGCACCAGCGTCACATTGCATCCCGGCCAGGGGACGCATTCCGGGTCGGGAGGCGTTCCCGATTAATTAGCCCGCGTCGGTTGCCGCGCCGCCGGTAGTTCTTCCACGGTTCCAAAGGCGTTCCCGGGCACCATTTATCTCAAACCAACATTTCGGCGTAGGCGCTCCGCCGTCCACGTCGATCTCTCCCCTTCTACTCATTTCTCCAGCCCACCTCAATATCGAAAGCCAACGCATTAGGCAGTAGACGAGGCCACTCTCCCTGCCTGACCTGGTTTCGCGAAGACATCCCTCTCTCATCTATTTCTGGCACAACGGCACTTGCAGATCCGGATTGCCAATCCGCGCAGCAATGCCATGTTGGAAATCATGGATCCATATCAGCGGGGACTTCACACAACTTCTACACTTGATGCGCTCAAAAGTCTGGAGGAAGGCCTTGCGCCTCGGGTAATTTCGACTGTGTTGGGAATACAGATAACAGGGAACAGTTCCCCGTTTGGATCATGCCGTGATGCAGTGACTCCCTTACCCTGACGAAGGACGCATAGCTCATATGCCCCTCTAGCGTGCCGACGTCGACATAATTACCAGCGGACATTGGTCAAGGGCCTTCGATCATCGAACTCCCACTGGCAAGAGTTCTCGCACGCCATTCCGGTCGAAGCATGCCTCGGAACATGTCTACACTGGGCAAGGATAATTGACAAGCGTAGGAGTTCCACGACACAACCTAGGGTAGGGAGGACAACGGGGGCAATGGCGTGCTGTCTGTGGTCTTCGGGGGTCGACTTCTGGGCACTATAAGTCAACATCATCCCCATCGCGAATTAGCGCAGGGGATCGGTTGGGATATGATGCGAGGTGGGCCTGCTGGAGATTGGAGGATGGTTTGGAGCGGAAGCTGATGGACTTGGCGGTCATATCGCACACCGCTTTCGCTACAGGCTTGCGCGGGCATGAGCTGACTTGAGGTCTGTCGAGCGTCGACAAACCGCAGGCCTCAACACATCTCAGAACTGTGTGTAAACAACGAGCGAGCCTTGCGGCCATAGCTGGTGCTCTCCTTTGGAGTCCAAACCTAGGTGACTACCTAGGTATCCAGGAAAGCCTCGCGAGATCCCATACCATGACGCGCATCCCACCAGACAACCAGTCGCAACCCCTTCCCCAACCCCCCACCCACCCCTTTCCTTCACCTCACCTCCCCACCCCCGTCCCCCACAGATCAAACATCCAATACTCCGCCCCAAAAACCTCAAAGTCATCCCACCCCTGACACAACCAATACCCGGCCCCATCCCCGTCCTCCCCATCCTCGCCCCCCACAACCGAGACCGAGAGCGGCTTCCACACCCTCTCCCTGTACGAACCCCCACCGCCACCCCCCTCATCACCAAAAACCTCAAACACCCGCCGCCCAACCACCCCCCCACGACCAGGCTCGCGCCTCCTCTCCAGCCAGTCCGCTAGCACCTCCCACCCGCCGCGCTGCACTGCCAGGCTGAATTCCTTGTCGGGCCTGAGGCCTAGGCGGCGGAAGGCGGTTTCGATGGGGCTGAGGACGGCGTGCTCGATGGCGGTTAGGATGGGGGTTGTGTCGGTGCCGTTGTGGGGGTTGGGGTTGGGGTTGGGGTGAGTGGCAGTGGTTGTGGGTGTGGGGGTGTCAGTGCCGGTGTTGGTGTTGGTGTTGGTGTATGTTGGAGGGGGGAGGGCTGCGGGCTGTGGCGGTGGTAGGTGCGCTTGTAGGGCGATGTAGAGGCGTCGGACGCTCGGGAGAGCTGCCGGGAGCTGGGCGCTGAGGCGGTGGAGTTTAGTTGGGTGGGTGGGTTCTGGGTGGGACGATGGGCTGGTGGTGGGGGAGGAGCGGTCCGGAAGGGTGGAGATTCTGGGGGCTTGGGTGTAGTTCTGCCATAGTTGGGCCATGGTTTCGTCGTTGAGGAGATCTGGGTTGGTGAAAGTCCAGAGCAGCTCGGCGGAGGTTATGACGGCGAGGTGATGCGGTGGCATGAGGCGGGGAAGGTCGAGCAGGAGAGGGAGACTGGAGATGTGGAATGTGTTGGTTCGGTACAGGATATCTGTGCCGTCGCAGTACCTAGATAGAGAGGTTAGTATTGTAGGAGGGTGTGGTCTCGATAGTAGTAGCGTACGCCTGTCGACACGCCAGCAGCCAGCCCATGACACCGATGAAACATGCATCGGCCGATGTTGGACTGTCTTCGGTAGACTCGCACCGGCAAAGGGTTGGCGCTCGCGGGGAGTGGCCGGCTCGCTTTCCAACGCGCTCGCCGGGAATGCAACCATCCTCGTGGGGTTCAATCCTCGGCTTCCGCCCTGATGGCTCATCATCTCCCTCCGCACGGACTACGTGACGATGGCACACGCAGCTAAACCACTGCCATTGCTTTGGCTTCCGGGTATCGCGGGTGAGATGAGCTCCAAACCCGCAATGGGGAATACCGGATGACGCATTTGGGCGTGCTAGATGCGAGGCCAATGCGGATTTGACGGCCTGTTTGTGACGAGAATCCCCTGGTCGGCGAATGAGCGGGTGGTCAAAGGTCAAGTCAACGTGCAAGGTTCGGTTCCCAAATGCGTGGCCTAGAATCTGTTGCCGGATCTCCAACGGTAGGTGTTGAAACGGTCCGTAGCCTGGTTGAACGAGATACCCCGTGGTGCATGCTGGTATCATGGGCCACTCGTCACGAAAGGGCGGCGGCTGTAAAATCTCATCGTAACCGCTCTCATCGTCTCCGCGTGCACCCTCATGGTTACTTGATCGAAACTTTCGTCTGAGCCATTGATTAAAAGGGGGTGCCATGCTACACAGCAGCTTGCCAGAAGGCATCCGAGTTGAAGAGGTTGTGTGGCCAATCCGGGCCGGGCCGCCGAGATAACGCCGACTGTCGGCGGGACCCGGCGGCGGGGATGAGCAATGGACAAAGTTGTGGAGGCCGTCGGTCAGCTGCAGTTGCACAAAGTCGTTCCGTTGCGGGTCTTACCCAGCTCAGCCATTCGCCGCGCTCATGATCTCGAACACCAGCGAAAGCAAAGGCTTCATCAACACGGGATTAGGAGGTAGCAGCAGATATTGTCAAGCCCATATCTTTTTGACCGGCATTCCTTTCGGTGCTTCCACCCTTTCTAATACTTCCCGTCTCTCGCCTGAATAGGCCTCGGAAAATTGTTCCCTTGATTCCAACTTCGAGGGATCAACTCGGCAGTTTCGGCTACCTAGGTAGGTACCTAGGTAGGTTGTTTCAATGGTTTGGAAAGTGATTCCACTTCTGCGGGTTGCTGGAACTTTGGCGCCGCGCGAGAGGGCCGCCGCGTCCAAGCATGATAGACAATTTGGGCGCGAGCACCCATCCCGAATCTCCTAACCCCTGACCCCGATCGAAGGCAAAAGGAACCCCCCAGTTCCCCCACGATCTCTCCAACGATTCTCTTTGGGAGAACTCACCCCCGCCACCGGCCAGCGGAACTCCCAACACCAAATCCAACGCGGGCCAATGGCCAGGTTGTCGTGAGAGCCGTCCAATCGAATGCGTTTGTTGGTTCCGAGGCTGTGGGACAGCAGTCCAACAAGTGAATTTATCCGCGGTGCCACGGCCAGCACGTCTTATGGGGAGGTCACTGACTCAGAGCGGCCAAAACGATACAACCCACCATCGCTCTTTTCGTCTCGCTCCAAAGCTTGTGGTAAATATATCACGGAAGGGTTTGGAACCGAGACATCGGCCGCTCACGACGCGGCATGGCAACGCACGAGAGCCTGGGGGTCAAGAATGCGTCTCCGTTATGGGTTTAAGGTGGTAGGCCACTCCTATTGCCATGCCTACCGGTGATCGAAATATGTATAGGCAGTGTAGCTTGAGCCCGTTCCGTTCCTAAATTGGCCCACGGGTTCCAAAACAACAACCAAATCGGCCGTCAAGTCAAGAAACCTCTCATCGACCGAGCTCCCAACATACCTACCTCCCTACCTAATACCTCGCTGCCTGGCGGATGAGCCTATGAAAAGTCGCATACACGTCAATGGTCCCCAACCACACACAACCAACCATAGTGCAGGAACGGTGCACCAGTGTGCGATCCTTGATTCGCTCCGTTGTCTGACGTGTCCTGCGAGACATTTTAGAATAGAAAGAAATCTTGGTAGTGCATAAAACGGCCTACCTACCTATCTTTTCTGCCCCATGAGCACATGTTTCTTTCTGGACCACTAATCACAAATCTCAAACTCCCAGACAGCGCCCAACACCTTGTTTTATTCCACCCTTCTGCGATGCCCGCGAAGTCAGTAACAACCGTGGAGGATCTCCGGCGGGCTGCGGTTGAACAAGAGCAGTTGCGCGTGGTTTTGAAAATGCAAGCGAAGTTCGAATCCATCGATACATGTGTCGTTGAGCAAGCGAACCTGGACTCTTTGGGCATCGTTCTCGGTCCGCCACTCGATGTTGACAATACCGACACCCTCTGGGATGCAAGCACGTGCTTCTTTCGGCCCTGGGTGCCTGGTGAAATCCTCACCGAAGTTGCTTCCCGCCGTCCGCCCGGGACATGGATGGACCAGCTGGGAGAAACGTGGCACTCGCAGCCAGAATGGAAATATGGAGAGCTCAAGATCGAGTGGTTCAATTCCTGCCTGGAGGAACTGTACGAAATGGATCGAGACCTATGGGATCCCTGGGTGTAAGATGCCCCGTGTTGGTGCCTCTGTGCCCGCCCTGTGCTGACATGGCTAGAATCGACGCGTTACAGATCAGACGCGGTACCGGGCTCGACCTCCGGTTCAACCAAATTCTGACCTTTGACCCGTCGACCGATCAGCATGTAAACCGCCAATATTACCCCGGAGCGGCCTACTTTCCCGTTGATAAGACCAAACCCCATGTTGCTTGCCTCACCATCGATTCGAACCATCCACCAGGAGACAAGGTCCTCCATAGCGAGGTTGACTATGCCATCGCGATGGTCAAATTCCGGCTCGAAAAGGGCCAACACACCGAACACCACACCAAACCGGTACCAACCCCCCCGTCCCCTCCCCAACCTCCCACCAACCGCAACTAACCCCCCCACCACCACAGGGCATAACCTACACCCTCGAGCGTGACCAGTGGGCGCGCATCACGCAGGTACACTTCGACGGCAAGGCCCGCAAGCTGGTGCTGCGCCAGTCGCGCCAGCTGGACCTGCGCGGGCCCGAACCCCCCGCCGACGCCTTCCTGCTCCTGCGCTGGATGGCCAACCGGCCCGCCGGCGAGACCGAGTATGTCGACGAGGCCGAGCCCCCCAAGGAGGAGGTCGCGCGGGACGACCCGTCGAGTGCCGCGCCGAAGCTGTTGTTGGGGTGTGCTTGATGGGGTTGGGAGGGGTGTGGTGGGTTCTTCTTTCCGTTTTTTTGACCGTTATGGCTACCGTATGTTTGGTTTGGATGTACCTTGAGCTCACTTTGGGGTTTGATCTGGGTTTCATAGTCTTGGAGGGTTCGTGGTTAGGCGGGATGCAGTGAACTGCAGGGGTAGTAACCGGATGCCGTTATGACTTGGAGTTTGGATGCTATTCACATGCTCTATGATATCTATTGTTCTCCCAGCAGCGATCTATCGGGGGGGCTTCCTGGTATGTCGACCTGATGAGCCATACCCGGTTGACCGTGCAGTTCAGAAATTCCTTCTATTAGCGTCCGAAAACGGTCAACAAGATTCCGACCCTTCACTGGCCAAGAATCCCACCCTGCCTCTCCGGCGGCCTTGCCTCTCCACTCGCAGATTTGACTTCGTAGTATCACAGTCACAAACCAGGGCTGGTCAGTTATACACCCTTACCCTTTACGGAAGTGCTATGATCTAAGTTATGTCCCCGGCAAGCCCCATTCCGGCAACCCTTTCACGTCCCTAATTGCCGAAAATGCCATGGCAAGGAGGCCGCGGTCGTATCCAGGAAACCCAGGATTGCTCAACCAGTGAGCAGAGAGCAACCACGGCTACTAAAACGGCGCAGCCGCGCAATGGGTGGTGCGGGCTGTCCTGTCAGGGGACACGGGGGTCATACCTGCGATTGAGTTCCAGTGCCCTCGATGGTGTGATATTGAGAGTGAGTGATGCCAGCTGCTTTGGGCATATCGGAACAGACGGAGTGAGTTAAAATAGAAATAATGCCAATCCTGGTGCATCAACCGCCAAAAGAAATCCGATTAATACGGTTCGAAATGATTTAGGCCCTGATCGGCTCGCCGTGGTATGGTATAGTAATGGATTAGAACCCCCTGTCTTGTCACGAAAAAATTCGCGGCGAGGTTAATGGGGGCCGCCTTTCCTTTTTGGGCATGCAAATTTGCTGGTACAAGGCAGGACGGAGCTCATTACCCTTCCATTGCCAAGACTCCATGTACCTCGCCAAGACACTCGCTTGATTCCCTACAACAGGCTTGGTTGCCAAGCCGGTCAAACCAAAAACCGGCCACAAGCCCTTTTTTCTTTACCACGCTTTTCGGTGGTTGAGGAATTCGTGGTAAAGACTGCCCCACAGTACAAGAGGATCTCCCAGCCAAGTGGGTTATTTTTATGGGACCCAACAAGTCACTTCTAATCCATTACCATACTATACCACGGCGAGCCGATCAGGGCCTTAGAGCCGCACTTGATCTTTGTGGGTTCATACCTGATTCGCCGACCCGGAACTCGGATTGCACGGGTCTCGGAAATATCTGGAGGCGGGTCTGGGGAGCTCTGTTGAACCGGGTATTCTCCTTGTCGCTACCGGGCTAGAAGCTGGGGGATGCAGGTCGATATATTGCAACACTCTAGAACAATACCACCTCTCCCACCCTCGGAAGAGGTACTAAATTTAGACTTTAGAGACGACGACAGAAAGAGGATAAATCACATCTGCTCTCTCGTTGTATCTTTTGAGGTTGTCTCTGTTTCTATCCACGTTGTCCTGCCACTCACCCCTCGAGCTTCATTCTGCTTGTTTTTCTCGAGCGACATCGCCCCGCCCAGAACCATGAAGTTCCTCCAACGCGGTACGCTCTTGATGGCCGCACTCCTCGTGGCCCCCCCAACAGTGCTAGCAGCCGACTCGGATGTCACCATCTGGTCCTGCCTACCATCGTCCACGACTCTATCGAGTCCCTCCGAGTCCCCCTCAACATCAACAGCATCGCCCGAGGCTTCTGAAACCTTGTCGTCTGTACCAGACTCATCGTCCACTGCCGAGGCCTCAACCGAGACATCGGTAGCAGCCTGTGAAGGCACCGCCAAACCGTCGTCCTCTTCAACCTCGACTGCCCTACCTTCGACCACAAGTCTAGCAATCCCTGTCCACATCGGCGCCGTCAACGCCAGCTCTCTTGAGTGGACCATTGTGTGGCGGCGTTGCAACATGCCGGCAACAAGGTCTCCGTTTTAGGCAAGGCCAGGTTTAATGCATGCAACATTTGTTATGGGAGGTTCAAAGCTCCTCGTGCGGAGTGGGGAACGCCTCGTCCGCATAGGTTTTTGCTTGTAGGTCGCGGAGAGAGTCGGAAGGGACAGGACAGTGCAGTCGTTTGTTGATGGCAACTTTGGAGAGGTATTGTTGTGTGGTTCAGGTCTCGGAGTTTGCTAAAGAAAATACATTTGGTCGTTTTATATCTATCGGCGTGATCAATACAATGGACACAACCTTTCCAGTCCAGCGCGAATAAAGTTCAAGAGCATAGCCATATTTGTGGGTACGATACGATACACAATACTACAAGTCAATATGGGAATTCTAAGTGCTAACTTTACGCTCATTGTGTGATATCAAAAACGATTAGAAGCGGCGTCCAGCATCATCATTGCCTCCTGGGATGACAGCCAGCCTCCCGAGCACCTCTTCCTCAAGCAGGAGGCCGCGACAACCAACCCCCCAGCTCCCCTACCTCCTCCACAACCCGCATATCCTCCTCCCTCAGGGCCAGCCAAATTTCCCAATCTCTGTCACCTTTCGTGCCACCCCTCCTCGGCAGCACACTCATAGCCCCATCGTTCGCCACATACGCCCGCCTAACCCAGGTAGCCTTCGTCTTCTCCCCTCCATTGACCCCGGGAATCTCGAACTCGACATCCGCCCCGAGCCCAACCCCAACCGAAGCGTCCAACCCGGTATGATGTCTAGCAATGGACCGACGCACAGCAGCGTCCACCTCGGGCCACGTAACCCTCTCTCCCTCCCCAGCAAGGGTACCCTCCAAATCCGTCGCCCTCGCCGCCAGCGCAAGATGCCCCTTCAGCGTCTCCGGCTCCACCAACTCCATGATCGCCCTCCTCGCACACCACGCCGCCTCAGCAACCTGCTCAACCCCAACCGGCGCACCCGTCCCCACATCCGCCCCGACCAACCCACCCACCGACATCCCCGCCAGCGCCCGCAGCCACATATTGCCCAGATACCCACCCCCCAACGCACCATCACCACCACCACCCTCACCACCCCCCAGAAGGGGAAGCTTCCCCCTTATACTCACCGCCGTCGCAAAGCGCGTGATATCCGTCGACAGGACGCGTCCGGCGCGCAGGCGCGCGCGCGTGACGTGCAGCCAGGCGAGCGCGCACAGCACGTCGGAGGGCGAGACGAACGCGTGGGGGGTGTCGCCGTGGGCGGTGCGCAGGTGCTGTAGGCATGTGGTCTGTAGGGCGCGGAGAGATGCGTTGGGGATGGTGAAGATTTTGGCGATGGCGGGGGGTAGGGTTGGGGGTGTGGTGGGGGTGGTGAAGTCGTAGGTTGTTTGGAGGGGTTGGGTTGGTAGGGAGGTTTGTTGTTGGGCGGTGCGGGTCGTGAAGGCGATGAAGTTTTGTTTGCGGGCGTGGAGGGTGGCGAGGTTCTCGAGGGTGTCGGTGGTGAAGAGGGTGAGGAAGTCGAGCCGGCCGCCGCCATCCATGATGCCGTGGTGGAATGCGAAACCGAGGATCAGGCCGCCGGTGATGAAGGAGATGCGCAGCGTCACGGGGTGGCATGCGTCGCCCGGTGCTGGGCCTGTCTCGGGGAGTAGCCAGAGAAGGTCCTTGGTCATGGTTGCTGCGGGAGCACCGAGTGCCGAAAGCTCATCGAAGCTCCAGGGGAACTGCGTCCCGTCCAAAACTCGGTAGTCGCAAATCTCGTTAGGGAAGCGATCCAGGTTGGATTCGCCGGCCTCCTCCGAATAGACCACCCTCGGTAGCTCGCCGTCCCTGGCATGGATCATTTGGCCCCCGAGAGCCGGAATCAAGGAGAAGGTCCGAGCGAGCCGACCTTTGAGATAGGTTACAACAACTTGTCTGTCACTTTCCAAGATGCTTTCAAACGGAAATATGAAGCTGGTCATCATGTAGTTCTGGGGTGCCGTGTAATCGAGCGCCGTCAACGGCATCGTCTCGGTCAGCCCAGCGACCCAAGCATGTTTGTCTTGTTTTCCCTCCATATTTGTGTCTCGACTGCGGTTGTCACGAGGTAATTGCCGATGATACTAGGGTTGTAAGTGAACTTTGTTATGTTGAGTGGGTTGGAAATGATGGAGCAGGTTGCAACTAGTGAAATAAAGTTCGGGAGGTCAAGGTAAGGAAAGGGAGAGCTATCTATAGTTCCCAGTCTCTCCCGCGTATTTCCCCCTCTATCTGACCATTCTGGTTGTGTGCACGCCTTCTGGTCTTCTTTGTTACTGCCCCTCAACCCCCAACACACCTGGCCGGTCTAACAATAGTCACCAGACAATCGTACTACTCCTCCATCTTTAACCACAGGTTGTTTCATGAGACAACTTGGTACGAAACGCCCGTTTTGTGGTGCCAACACGTCATTTGGCTCGCCCGGTCCGCTATGTGCTGTTCAGTGGCTTTGTTGAGGCCGGGCATCCTTGTCCCAGGGTCAGCAATCGCAGGGTATCTTTGACACCAGAGCTCCGTCAAGTATCGGCGCCCAGCGTTGGATGCCCGATTACCGTTGTGAGACTTGCTCCTCATGTTTGCATTTTGGAAATACAAGACCGGGCTTGAGGAGGACCTTTGGTTTGCAGCGCACTCGCGGAACGGGATGGTAGAATGGCGATGTTTTGGCCAGGTCATCATCCAGCAACACTGACATATGAAGTCGTCCCGGGCACACGTACTACGTGCTGGCAGGTATTTCTGGGATCAAAATTGGGTTTGTGTTAACTACCTCATTAAAAAGATTGTACGTTCAGATGCTCGTCTGCTTTGCTGGCTAATAAACAGCGCAAACACTATCGTGGAACAATACCGTTGTCCAGCGTTGTTCCACAACCTGGGGCCTGCGGAGCGAACTTCGGGAGTGCCTGACAAGTGCACGAACAACTAAATCCGCTACACGTTCTCAAATCTCTCGACCGCACAGAACCTCCAATCTTAATCCACCCACTCGGACACCGCTGCCCGACCGGCCCTCTCAGGCTGAGCCTCAGGTGATTGACTGCTAGTTACACAATATGTGCCAGCAGTTCGTGAACGCCGGCACCTTCACCCTAGCACATGGTATTGGCCAGACCGCTAAGCTCGCGTTCATCGGCGTGTTTGCTGGTATTTAGAGATACTGACCAACGTAGGCGGCACCTATTATTATTTCAACACGCCGTCGACGCTCCGGTTATCTCATCCGGGCTTCAACACGCTGTAGGACCTTTTCCCTGCGCAGGGATGAGTTGACAAAACTCCACGACGCCCCTTGCCCCACGCATGACTCCTCACGGCGGCGGGATGAACGCGGGCACTTGTTCCCATGACTCGAACACCACCAGCCACATCTCTACAGCAGAAGCAAGCCGGCGTGACCAAGTTGTGGCCCATCCCCAATTGTATTCCCATCAAACAGAAAGCAACTTGAACCAGTACCAAAGGTTACAGGAGCGTGTGGCATTACCGTACAATTTGTACAACCAAACACACAAACGTGCCCCCATTACACGTAAACCGTGCGGGCAACTCCTCACACAGATCATACAACCCCCACAAACAACCCTAATACGCAACCTGGGCATTCAACCCCGCCAGCTCCCTCTCCCAGCAACGGTGCTGCGAGATACCATAGAAGAACTTCTCCATGAACCCCGTCGCCCCCTTCGCAATAGTCACCGCCTCGCCCAAACTCTCCGGTTTCAACTCCCTCATCGTAACCACCCCATAACTCTCCTGCGCCTCCCCCGACCCCGACACAGTGACACTCGGCAAGCCAATCGCCTTCTGCACCAGCTCCACCGCCTCGCCGGTGGCACCAATCGTCTTGAGATGCCCAAACGCCTCACGGATCCAGTGCAGCGCCCGCCCATTCTTGGCCAGCGTCTCCACGGCCTGCGCGCCGCCGGGGATGAACAGCGCGTCCACCATCGTCGACCGCAGCCCCTCCAGGTGGTGGTGCGGCTGCGTCGAGTTGCTGCCGTTCGCCGCCGTGATCTTGTTGCGGCGCGTGCCGACGACGAGGGGGACGGCCAGAGCGGACGACAGCGCGGCGTAGGCGGCGTCGTAGGCGACGTTGTCGTAGCCGTCGGCGACGAGGATGGCGACGCGGCGGGAGGCGATGGTCGGGTTCGCACCGGGGAACTCGGCCTGGCTGAGCGCAGGGGCGCGGCGGCCCGGGTTGGGCCGGCCTTCCTTGGGGGCGTCGCCGCCGACGCGCTCGCAGACGGTCTGGGCGAGGGTGAGGTCGATGTCGGACAGGCGCTGGACCATGCGGCCGAAGACGACGGGGTCTTCGCAGTGGTCGAGCTCGAAGCTGAAGGCGTTGATGATGTGGTGTTTCTCGATGGGCGACATGCTGTTCCAGAAGAGCTGGGCTTGGCTGAAGTGGTCTTTGAATTTGTCGCTGCGGATGCGCGCTTTGATGCCGGCTACTTTTTGGGCGTATTCGACGTAGGCGCCCTCGGCTTCGGTGGCGGGCGGGCAGGCTTCGTAGCGGTTGGGCCAGTAGTTGACGGTGCCGCGGGTGATGGTGTGGCGGAGGGCACCGTCGCGGTTGAAGTTCATGACGGGGCAGGTCGGCCGGTTGATGGGCAGCTCCTCGAAGTTGACACCTAGGCGGGAGATTTGGGTGTCGAAGTAGCTGAAGTTGCGGCCCTGGAGGAGCGGGTCGTCGCTGAAGCCGATGCCGGGGACGATGTGGCTGGTACAGAAGGCGATCTGCTCGACCTGGGTGAAGAACTCGTCGGGGTTGCGGTTGAGCTCCATCTCGCCGATGTAGCGGGTCGGGACCAGATCCTCGGGCCAGACCTTGGTTGCGTCGAGGATGTCAAAGTCGAATTTGTGTTCCTTGGCCTCGGGGATGACTTGGATGCCAAACTTCCACTTGGGGAACGCTCCGTTAGCGATGGCCTCCCACAGGTCCTTGCGGTGGAAGTCGGGGTCCTGTCCACCGAGCTTGAGCGCCTCATCCCAAACCAGCGAGTGCACGCCGAGTTCGGGTGTCCACGTGAACTTGACGAAATGCCGCTCGCCCTTCGAGTTGATCAAAGTAAAGGTGTTGACACCAAAGCCCTGCATCATGCGGAAGGAACGAGGGATGGCCCGGTCGCTCATCTGGTGGTGTGGTTAGTACCTGGTAGGTATCCCAAGCATCCCGAGGCGTGGCAGGTATGAAACACTTACTCCCCACATGAACATGTGTGTTGATTCAGTGTGGTTAAATTGGAAATCCCAGAAGTTGTTATGGGCGGTCTGTGCCTGGGGCACCTCGTTGTGCGGCTCGGGCTTGCCCGCGTGGATGATGTCGGGGAACTTGATGGCATCCTGGATAAAGAATACGGGAATGTTGTTGCCGACGAGGTCCCAGTTGCCTTCCTCTGTGTAGAACTTGACTGCGAAGCCACGCACATCACGCGCTGTATCCATGCTACCTCGGCTACCCAAGACAGTTGAGAAGCGGACGAAAACAGGAGTCTCGCGCGACGTGTCGGTCAAGACGGGCGCGAAGGTCAGATCATCGATGCTGTCATACACTCTGAACTTGCCAAAGGCACCGGAGCCACGGGCGTGAACCACTCGCTCGGGGATCCTCTCATGGTCAAATCTCATAATCTAGAACGGTTACCATAGCTGTTCCAAACGCTCCGAGAATCAACAACGGAAGGGACTTACCCTCTCGCGGGCAAAGGGGTCCTCAAGCAGGAGTGGCCCTGCCTTTTCCGGGCTCACCGCCTTGAGCCAGTCATCGGCGGTACTTTGCTTAACGCCATAATCTGTTGTTAGGCGGTCCTTGTTGGTCATATCCTTGGTGTTGTGGGCGAGGTCCTTGAGCTTGTCGCCCTCGCGGGAGCCCAGCGCGGCGTGTGCTACTTTTTGGACGGATTCGGGAACGAGGCCAGCCATTTTGCCGTATGAGTTTCACAGTTAGGGAATAGTTTGTTGGTAGAGTGCGAAATGTTGTCAAGTCATTCATACGGTATCAAGGTGGTTGTATTATAGCGAGTGAGAAGCCGGCATTTTGTCATCACATCTTCCTCGTGGCCCACGGTCATGACGTCAAGGAACCGAAGAGTGGTGGACGGATAGCCAAACGAGGCCTTGATTTGTCACGTCCTTGTGATGGGACATAGCACCCGCGATGATCGAACCAAAGAAACAGCATCATGGGGAACCACCGGGGATCGAGAAGGAACGAAAATGGTGATGTCATGCTAGAAAGTTACTGGCTTCCTGTCTAATATGGGAGCCCCCGGCTTGGCAACCGGCTCCGGTCACCCCGGGTTGTCTCCGTGTCAAGGAGCAGAAACTCCGCCGGTCGAGCGGGCCCAATCACAGGGGTTTCAAGACGGGACCGCGGTACCTGGTATGTACCTGTCAATGGTTTCCAAGGGTGACTTGAACGTCGAGGCATCGAGATAAAAATAAGGACACTAACTCCAAGATCAATGTGGTAATATGCGAAATCATAATACGAAACTACTAGTAAGATGCCATAAAAGATACATACGCCTTGGCTCAGTACAAATCTATGGGTATCCCCTCTCTATCCGCTTTATCAAGAAAACTTGACGCTTCCCTACCTACCTACCTATGCCAAAAGAAGAAGAAAGTCCGAACAAAGCAGAACACCATTCTCCTGAATAAACCAAAACCCCTTGGTATCATGCATAATTCCCTGCAATCCCCGCCCCCTCCGCTCCCTCATGTCTCCAGCCACTTCGTAACAACGAGCATCACCAGAATCGCCTCCACGCTTGTCACCCAAGCCCCTATCCCAAACGCGCCCTGAACGTCGCCCTTCACAACCGCCCACACTACGGCCACAATCATACTGACCAACAACCCCGCCAACGAGCAGAGAAGGACGGTGGTCATGTTCAACCCCTCGATGATATGCACCCCCCACCCCGTAACAAGGTCATCAGGTGTCTGGATCTGCAAAATACTCTTGTGCAGCTTCTGCGGGATGCGGTTCCCCCACAGCAACTTCGGATGCTGCCCCGGCTTCGACAGATGATGCAGAAAGATATTAGCCGGGATAGGCGGCGGGCGCAGCGGACAGGGGTGGTAGGCGTAGCCCTCGGCAGCCATCTCGGCGACGGTGGGGATGGCCATGGGCTTGTCGAGGATGCCGACGCGGTGCCGGTCCTCGACCGAGAACTGCACGAAGTGCACGTCCACCGGCTTGAGCAGGAAGTACTTCACGCGGAAGCTGCGCACCTCGCGGTACCGCTCGCGGATCCGCTCGAATAGCTGCGCGTCGCTTGCTACCGTGCTGATGTCGATCTCGGCGAGCTGCCGCTGGAACTCCCCCGTGTTGATGCAGAGCTCGATGAACCGTTTCTTGGCCTGGCTGGCGGGTCCGCTGGTATGGGTAACTCCCCCGGCGGCGACGGGCGGTTGGTTTTGACCTGGGGTTTGACCGGTATTGTTTGATTGGGTATTATATGGCGGTTGTGAAGGAGGTGGCCCGGGTGCTGGTGTGGGTGCTGATGCCCCTCCCGGAGGATGATTGGGCTGGGATGGGGCCGTGCCGCCTCCGGCGTGGGGAGCGTGACCCTTGAGAGACGCTTCCAGTTGACGGATTGAGTCAGCATCGGACTCTGCAAAGTCCGCATAGAGGCTGTCGCCGCAGTCCTGCAAAATATGGAGTCAGTAACAGGAGGACGATCGGGCGGGTGGGAAGTATCGACATACGCATCTCCACTCGAGCCTTATATAGCCTTCCTTAATAGGCGGTCGTATCAAACGCTGTACCCCTGCTTTCACAAACGCGAAGCCCTCCTGAAGCAAACTTGGCCGTATTATTGGTTCCGAAGTGGGTTCAATCGATGGGTCCGAACGGTCCATCTCAACTGTGGGATGCTTGTTTTCCGTCGGGATGTCTGCTTCTAAGGGCTGCGGATCAGACCGAGGAAACAAGAACGTCCGGTACCGCTCACGGAACGTCAAGAATGAGTTCGATTCAAGGATGATGATCTCGAGGTCACCAAGTGGGACAGGGTGAGATCGAACCGCTTCAGGTTCCTCGGACTCGCCGCCAGATGAGTCACCTTCATCGAACGGCTGTTCTTTGAGGGCGCTTGCCAGCTCAGGGGCACTATTTATCGTTAGTGGTCGCACTTCAATTTGATCGCGTTATAATGGCCACTCCGCGTACCTCTCATCCCCAAAGAAACTGGTCAGCTGGCCGCCCTTGTCAGGGACCTGCCGGGCAAGGGATAACAGTGCGTCGGACTGCGCTTTCAGATCGAAGATTTGTTGGCATATATGACTTGCGATGTTGCGAGATTGGTATCTCAGGATGCGGATAACTTGGCGTAGTTCCTGCTCCCCGTCATCAGACTGCTTTCGAATATCAGAGAGGAACGAACGGAACAGCCGAAGAAAGTTTCTCTGGAACTTGTCGTGCGTGATCCTTTTCGGAGTTTCTTGGAACAGTCCATGAAAGCCTTCGTCCTTGGTAAGTATGCTCAAGACGTCTGCTTTGATATCTTCTATCAGAGCCAGTGACAACGCCGAGGATATTGTACTCCCTGCTGTTAGGCTGGGAAGATTGGATATGACTGATTCGATCTCGACATCATCCGCTTCTTGATCCTCGGTTTCGTTGTCGCTATGCGCGTTGTATTGCTCCGCGTCCGCAACGCGGGTTTGATACCGGGCCTCGAGCTGCTCAGCCTCGGCATCCCGCCCCTGCGCCAGGTAAGCAGTTGCCAGCGCCGGTACGACCATTGCTAGCATGTCGCGGTCCTCATAGCCCGCTAAACCGCTGTAGACGTCCAAGCTTCTCCGAAGAGGCCCCTCGGCGGCAGCCGGCAGTCCTTGGGACAAAAAGAAGGTCCCTTTCGCAAGGAAGAGCCGCCCTTTTGCCAGGTTTGTCTCTAATGAGCGATATGGAGAGGCTGACTCAAGCTCCATCAGTGCTTCCACTTGCGTAGCATATGGATCCGGGAGAATCTTCCGCCTTTGGTAGAGATTTGCCACGGCATCCATAGCCAACCTAGCAATCAACTCCAATCGGTCTTGGCTTCGAAGCTGGGTTAAACCCGTGTCCCGCACGAGTTGGTCCATCATGATTTGGCCTCCTCCCGCATACCGAATAACGTGTGATCCTACTAACAAATACAGTGCTTCTTTCGCACCCATGGCCAGCGAGGCACACCTTTCGTACTCCACGAGGATGTCTATCGGAATCCCAGTCACATCCAAGCATGCCAGGCCAAAAAGATATTCGTTCGCCAACGAAGAGGAAGGTGGCGGTATCTGGTATTTCCATAAGCCTTCGGCGCCGGGACTGGTTGTCGGAGTAGTTTTGCCACGAAGAAGGGTCGGTAACATAGAGAGCGCCAGGGGAAACCCACCCGCGCGGTCTATCATCGCAGAAAGTTCAGATGAGTCGACCTCGTCTGGGTCTAAGGCATGAAGCAGTAGCTCCTTTGCTTCGTCCGTGTCCATTAACCCAACTTCAACGGCCTTAAATCTCTGGACTTTGTGCTTGGCTATCGACAGCCGACTAGGGGGGTATCGAGTGGTCAAGAGAAAGGACCCACGGCCTTCGCCCAGCTGCAACGCGTCAGGGCCAAACTTGGCAAAGGCGTCGGCATCCCCGACATTGTCGAAGATGATGAGCCATAGTTTGTCCAGTTCCCGAACTTGTTGTGCAAACCTTTCGACGACAAGCTCGGGGTCCAGGCCGGAGGGCTCCCGGAGACACCGCCGATAGCTCTCCAGAATGGAAACGGGAGTTTCACAATGAATAAAATAGACTAAGTATGGCGCCCTAAGCTGATGCACGTATTGATTTGCGATTTGGGTTTTACTTCACATAGTTAGATCTAGTTAGCGCACTGCCTAGGTAGGGCGGTGGAAAGCCTTACCCGATACCTCCCATACCGTAAAGCAGAGCGGCATGTGGCGGCGTCTTCTCTGGTTCATCCCCATGTCGGTCAAGGGTCTCGTGCAGCACTTGGAGAATTTGTCGGCGCCCGGCGAAGTGCCGATTTCTGTTCCAGTTGCGGGCTGTTTGTTGCGTTATTAGCCGGGCCTGGAATTGGCAAACAGTTCCATAATCGACAACACACTTTGAGTGGTCCTCTCAGGGCCAAAGGTTGCAGGGAAGAACCGGGACGTTGTCGACTGCATACTATGCCCGCCTGGCATGATTTCCGTGGGGCCTCGCACTGTCTCTGGCGCTGTCCCAGCTTGTGTCCTGATACCCTTGACAACCACGCTTAAACAATTTCGGACTCGTTGATAGCCCGGGTCTTCGACAGAGTCGAACTTTGACAAGTTGTAATGGTCCGTGTCCATGGGGCCCGAAAGCTCGGAGGGAAGCCACAAGACTGCAGAGTCTTTATCGACAATCTGAATTGTTAACGTATTAGTTCAGTCCCACGAGTAGGAAGCAGGGCCGAAGGACAAAGAGGGTTATGAAAAGGGACAAAAGCAAAAGTCCGGTAGGTAATTATGGGAATGCGAAAGAACTTGAAGCGGAGTTGTGCCAGGGGAAAGGATCATTCGGTGGCGTACCATGCTTTTAAGGGTTCCCCGGATCTCGGTCTCTCGGGTTTCATAGAAAGAGACCAGTTTCAAGCCCGCACAGCGGGTGCGGAATTCGTTGTTGATGTCATGTATGGACGCTGTCTTCAATAACTCGGCGACAGACGCTTTGTCCCACGACGGTCGCAGGATCTTGCTCAACGACTCGGCGACGGCAGAGTCTCGGTGAGGTGTGCCAAAAAATAGCATCGCCCGGATTTGGGAGGCGATGTCTTGATATTGCTCGTGTGATTTGGCCGTGATGTATGCCTGTCCCGAACGGCGAGGTAAGGACCCGATGCGGGTGGAAGAGGAGAAGTGAGGATGCCAACCTTTTTCACCACCAGCCCTCCAAAAGAGTGTGCGATGAACACGACGGGGTACTAGTTATCCAAAACCTTAGCCGCAAACCTCCGCAGGGGACGGGTGGTTTACTAACCTTCCCGACCGGAGCTCCGTTGATCGCGCCGGTCCCAGAATATGACTTCATCGAAACCAACAACTGTCGAGAGAAATCGGGGATGGTAACCGGATTATTTTGCTTGAAATCAGGACTGTACCCGAAAGTGAACAACCTGGCCTGGGATAGTTCTGCATCTTGAACCATCCAAATGGGCCAAAAGTTGTCGGGATCGTGCTGCCACGACCAAGTACCGTGAGATGTGCCTGTTAATCCGTGCACGAATATCAAATCGACCAGTGGTTCAGACGGTGTATGCACCAGCGAAAGCCCCAGCCTGTTGACCGGTGCGCTCTCGGCTCGGTTCAACACGTCAACCTTTCGTTGGAGGTCACGAAGTCCTTGTGTGAGTCTCCGACCCCGGTGAGACCGCTTTGTGACGGCACCAGCATTGGCCTGGAGGGGTTGTGACTTGATATCAGAAGGGTCCGAGGTGCTAGTGGCAGCTTCATAATAAAAAGGTTCGGGGTCCGAGAGCCGTCGCCCCGTAGGACGCAACTTGTCAAGTCTGTTTAGCAGGCCGGATGGCTTCTGGAGGCGTAGAATTTGGTCAGGAGGTCCGGACACCCTGCTAAGATTTCGAGATTTTACGCTTTAACTCACCATAGTTCGGGGTCGTGAGGTTGTGTAGGGGAAATGGAAGGCGTCGATTCCGAGCGTTGAAGGGTTGGGTTCGCGATGTGGGAGAAAGAGAAGGGAAGTGAATTCCTTGGTTCCACGCAGTCAACCGTAGAAACAATGCGCTGCCTGCATGTGGCTATTTCTACCCCGCCTACGTCGGTGCCTCGAGGTCAGCCACTTGCTGCGCCCTGGGGCCGCAGGAGGGTTTCCCAATCTTTAATTGGGTTGGCGACATTCAGCTCCGAGTTTCGGGAAGCGCTCCTTTCCTTGTACGGACGGGCTTCTGTGGGACGACACTTATGTGGCGTTTGGGTTGTGCATTGCTTCACCATTGGGCGACCACAGGGCAGGCAGGATGTTGACGGTTTATTGTCCAATTTACCTAGGTAGGCACCCAGACATCATCACTAAGGGTAAAGATATATACGCAAATCATGCTTGACCTAGGTTTTCACATCGCCTTTACGAAACCTTCTACCATCAATCCGCCTCCCTGAACATAACCGCCCCTCCATTCCACTGAGCCAGCTCTCCAAGATTTGCCCGCCCCTTCTCCACGAACCCAAACCGTCCGTACCACTCTTCTAGTCCCTCTCGCGAAATGAGCCAGGTTGTCAGACCGTCTTTGTCTACTCGCGACAGACCTTGCCGCACCAACATCGTCCCTAATCCCTTCCGTTGCAAACCCGGTTCGACGGCAAGCGTAAGCAATGACCACGCTTCCCGGCGTGCTGGAGGTCCCTGTAGCAAGGGGGAGATGGCGATGAAGGCCCGCTTCTCTGCGCCGACCATCACCGGATCTGCGGACCGGTACGGCCAGATCTTGGTGCGTAGTCGAATTAAATATACCGTAATGGGAGATAACCAACCCCCTTGTTGGGGGGCAGTTAGAAACTGGACATAGCCTTCTGAGCGGTGGACTTACGGAGCGTGAGCCAACCCTCGGTGTCCCTCCTCCTCCATTCATCCGCCCATGAGCGACGCCACCAGGCAAACCCTACAATGCTCCCAGTTTTTGTAACAAGCACTTCAACGCGTTGTTCAACACCCAATGCCCACCATCGCTCGGTGAGCATGTCGTGGATGAAACGCTGAAAGTCCTCTGGGTGCTGGGTCCGAAATGGGTGAAGCAGCTTCATTAACTGCTCGCCTCTAAAGTTAACCAGGTACAGGCCAGTGATGGCCGGAAGGTCGGCATGTGTTGCACAACGTATCGAGTATTCCATGATAATTGCTGTGAATTGTCGTGGTATCGGCGAGCCACTTAGCAGCAAGGAGCCCAGGTGTAAGAGGCGGCGAGAACCGTGAGAGACGGCGCTTAATAATTATACCTGGAGGAAATGTGCTTATTCAGAACCATCAGCACCAGGCCCGCACTAAACCATTCGGGAATTCGACATGGAAACCTCGCAGTTACGAAGGTACCTATCTTAGGTACATATGCAGGTCTTTCCTACCATACCCGATGGGTGGGCGAGGGTTCCCATTTACCAATGACGCCTAGAAGTGCCTGGTCTTTCCATTAGTACCCTAACATTCCAAGACAATAACAGTTAGAGACCACAGATATTTGCAACCTTCTGAAGATGTGAATGAGAGATATCGTACCAAGGACCCGACTTTCCCCTACATGTACCCTTCCGCGACTACGAGACTGATTCTACCACGTCCCCATCTCGGGACATTGGTCTCCCGGTGTGCACGGCCTCCAGCTATAATCTGTGACGCCGATATCAAACGTTTCAGGGCCAGGACAATGCCTATTTTCTGACTCGTCGTCAGAGGTTTCGCACAAGGAATCGTCCATGGCGACCACCCCACTCGCGATGGCCGTAAACAATATCCTACACGTGTTTGGTCCATCAGCACTCATCACTGCGTCAAGCCCACCTCAGAATTGGGGCACCCCTCGACGTTCAACTCACGGGTTCTCGTTATCCTTGTCTGCGCACACCCAATCCTCTCTCACAGACAGGCGATTAGCTGCCCGATCAAACGCAAAGCTGCAGTTCAGTAGCCGGGTCCCGGGCGCCGCAGCCGAGTCCCCACCACTGCAACCATACCACACGTTCGGGTCACTGACGCCATCAACCCCCGGGATCATGGCCGGGCCTTCTGAGTTGAAGTTGAGCTCGAGGTCAAACACCTCATTCCTCACATACATCCAAACGTATCCCGTGCGAACTCTGGCGTTAGTCAAATACGTGCTGAACCAGAAATCCCTGATCTGAAACGTCTCTGGCGGGCTAACCAGCGAGGTAGCCGTGCAGCTGTCGCCAAACACGCGCGGCCTTCGGAGGCTATACGGCGGCAGCTTCTCCCTCATAGCCTCCCCCTGAACCACCAGCGTCGGCGCGCTCGCGCCAACCCGAACCTGCGGCACCGTCATATTACCAATATAATCCACACCCGGATCCAGCGCCGGACTAACAGCCCCATAACCCACAAACCCGTACTCCTCCCGGTCGCCCAGATCACCACAATACCACGTCTGATTCAACCTCAACGTATTCGACGCGTGGTCAAACCAGAAATACGTCATCGTCTGATAATCCGCCGGCGGGACCGGCGCGGGATTGATCAACACCAACCCGGCATCGCACGCCAGCCAGTCTGTGGTGGAGGCGGCGGCCTGCAGGTCACTGAGGCCGAGGTACTGGGCGCCGCACGCGCGGCGGTCGCCGGTGGCGCGGTTGAGCAGGTCGAATCTGATTTCGCCGTAGTAGAGCTTGCCGGGGGGGCATGCGCCTGAGACGGGGTTGCAGGGCGGGCCGAAGTCGAGGCGTTGGTAGGTGAGGTTGGTGATTTCCCAGATTGGGGGTCGGGAGCTGCGGGTGCAGTTTGTGGTGTTGGCGCCGGGAGGGGGTTGGATGGGTTTGGGGGTGAGTTGGACGGGGGCGAGGAGGGAGGCGAGGATAGCTTTTGGGGGGTTGTTTGACGCGGAGCAGTCGTGAGGGCTTGATGGGCAGCCTAACGTGGTATTGCCGATACCGATAAATGTGAGGCTGCTGTCGGCGCAACTCCATGTCTGGTTGAATGCGAGGATCGACGATTCACTTTCGTAGGCGAACCGAGCTTGTTTGTCGTTGCATTCTTGGTAGTCGACATGTGAGCTGGTGCTGTGTCCAGAGCACAAGACTTTGTTATCTGGATCAGCATTATTAACGAGCTGGAAGTCTATTCGGTTGTCGACCAGGACCAGATCGGTCACCTCCCAGCCTGGGTAGCTCAAGGATACATTCGTACATAAGCCTTGAGTGTCTGTGGCCAGACGCCGCGGCTCGCACCAAGCAAAGCCAGCGAGAACACCGACCGAGATCCTGGCTAGAAACCGCATGATCGCAAATCAGGGGAAACTGCCTGTTAAAGGGGATAACAGAGGGGAAGATCATCGTCCGGACAGAGGTTTTATAGGTATTCACCCGCCACATCCTGCCAGGGTGTCTCAGGGCTGACATTCGAACGCACGGCTTATATCAAGTGGCTATGGGTGGGGTAACCGGCATCTGATATTCTGGTTAATTCGCCGTGATATTGACGTACCATTGGGCCCGGGAATTATAAACCATGTTGATTAAACCTGATACGTAGGTTGGAGAGCCGATACTACACGAGCTGTTCCTCTCCCTTGTACTCACAAAAATACTTCTCATGCCGCTTCCAACGATCCGTCGTTTCGATAATACGCCTGCATGCTCCGGTCCCTCCCCGCCAAATGCTCAACACTCGTCTTCAGGAAAAAGGCCTGGTCATCCGCAGACAAACCAAACACGGCGTTCTCAAGATCGAGGACCATGATCTTTCCGTCATTCACAAGCTGGAAATTGGACAGGTTAGGGTCGTCATGGTGTACGCCAAAGGCGTGAAGTGCTCGGTAGCAGGGCTGCAGCAGGGCTGACAGTTCCTCCAATCTTAGCGTTGCACCCTCGGGCGAAGATAGGGAGACACCCCCAAGATATCCGAGGAGTAGGGCCCTTGTACCGTGATAGTGTAGTTGGCCAAAACATGTCGGGACGACCACGCCTTGCAAGGGTTTCAGCAGGCCGTACGCTTTCAATTCGGTGTCAAACAGCTCCGCCATGATCATTTCCTCCTCGCCCACTTTTTGTTGTTTGAGAACCACGCGGGCAGGAAGGAACCATTCAGGAAAGGCAGCTTGTGCCCAGGACTGAATGAAACCAGAGAGGAAATTGACGCAAGATTCGATCAAGCTAGCTACCGTCGACGGGCGAATCTGCAGTTCGAGAGTATGCGGGTGGAGGTGGGAGAGAGCTATAGCAATGGCGGAGATGTAGCGGGTCCTGAACCAGAAGTCCTTGTTCGATCGGAATGTTAACAAAGCTAGTTGTAAGTGAAGGAAAGTAAGTGTCGGAATTTTCCACTTACGACCGGTGTTGTTGTTCGAGACTCTAACTCGCGATTGGCCCCGGCTCGAGAAGCTGCGAGGCGGTAATGCTCTGGCTCCCCGGGGTGCCTGTACTCAGGTAGCCTAATCTCATAAGTAACAGCCGTAGGCGGTGGTTTCTGTGGAGAGTCCGCCTCCATCATCCTAAAACTGCTTGGCATCGTTATGATGGAGGCGAGGGAGGTGGGGGAATTCCGGAGCTGCGGTCTTCCCATCATCCATGTTTGATTGCACGTGGCCCGTCTGGTGCCCTGGCCCCTGTTCCAGCCCAAGATAAACAAAGCACGGGCCGGCTTTTGACATCATATCCTGTGGAGCGCGTTGGTGACCCCGGGAGAAAGCGTTCGTTGAAGCCAGTCATGATTAATCCGATCTCGCCCACCAGGTTCCTTTTATGTTTTAGAAAACATAAAACTTGCCTACCTTTCCCAACTTCTTCTTCTCCCGTTCCTGTTCTAAAGCACGAACCACGCCACAAATGCTGTGAGGTCGAAGATGGAAAAGCTCATAAACAAAGTCCGACAGCATGTCGATCCGAGAAGCCGAGTCCAAATTCTGTCAGACTTGCACCTCGAAGTAGGGCAACAATACTCGACCTTTACCTTTCCTGCATCCGCGCCATTCCTGATCCTGGCGGGCGACATTGGCCGCTTAATCGACTTCGAGGGCTACCGCGGCTTCCTCGAATCCCAGGTATCACGTTACAAAAAGGTGTTCCTAGTCCTCGGGAACCACGAGTTCTACGGCCTAGATTACCAATCCGGCCTCAACGAAGCGCGACGTCTCAGCCAGGAACCGTCGCTGTCGGGCAGGTTGGTGTTGCTGCACCGTGCCAGGTGGGACGACCCCGACTCCGACCTGACCATCGTCGGTTGCACTGTCTGGTCAGCCATTCCGGAAGCAGCCCGCGGCATCGTTGAGACTAAGGTCAATGACTTCAAAAAGATCGACCAATGGACCGCGCAACAGCACAACGCGATCCACCAAGAGGAAGTGGCCTGGCTCCGCGAGCAAGTTCAACAAACCACAACCAGCGGACCGAAAAGGCGACTTCTCATCGCCACCCACCACGCGCCCTGTATCGAAGGGACGGCCCGACCGGATCAAGTCCACAACCCCTGGAGTTCAGCCTTCGCAACGGATCTGGTGCAACAAGAAGGATGGGGCGGCGTCAAGGTCTGGGTGTTTGGGCACACGCACTACTCGTCGCGGCTGTCGCGGGACGGCATCCAATTGGTTTCGAATCAGCGAGGGTATGTCCTTCCGGGCAGCTCGGCAATGCGGAAAGAAGGTGGAAAGGTGAAGAATGGTGAAGAGTTTGATGCTGCCTTCGTTGTAGCTGTGTAATACCAGATAACTATAAGCATTTCTGGGCGGCCCCTATTCTGTTTGTCAGCTCTAGAAACCTGCGTGAGCTTTGTCACTGCCGCTCTGTCAGTGCCTCTCGTCTGGCAATGGGAGCTGCACCCCTCAACGGGCGACAAGCGCGGGCGGAGCCCGAGTTTGACCCTTCGTGGTTGCGGATGCGGGTTGTCTTATCAAGCCAATCCACTTTGTGTTTGCCAACCTCGCGAGCTCCGGTCCCGCCGTCGAGAACTTGGACTCGAACCTCGTCGATGAACTGCGGGGAAATGGGTGGAAATGTTGGGGAAATGGGGGTTTCGAGCTGGTCCGTGCAGAGACCTCCCCCACCGGCCCACCCCGCCGCCAGCCAAGCATGTGCCAAGCCGATGAAATGTCGTCTTGGACTTGACGCCTTCGTCCACCACGACCCGGAAACTCGTTCAGCCAAGAGGAAGAGACTTGCTTCCGTTTCATGGGGCTGGGTGGCATTGGCTTTCGGCTTTTTCCCTTATGCCGCCGCACCTTAAACAGAAACTTGCCACAGTCGTTTGCTCCATACTCAGGTCCAAAAACATGGACGGTTTCCAGCGTTTCCATCGGCGGATCAAATCGGTGGAAGGGACGCATCGTGGATTCCGATTCATACCTCGGTAGGTAGGTCCCTATTGACACTATCAACAAATAGGAACGTTTGGAGGTGCTCTACCTTTCTAGTCATTGATGCCCGCCCAACTGCCCCTGCTCCGTTCTGGGTTACAGTGGACTTCGCCGTTGTGGAGTGATCGCGAATCATGTTTCAAAAACAGTTCTTGCGCTACGATCAAGGCCCTGATCGGCTGGCCAAAGTGATGTAAAGTAAAGTAAAGGAGCCCCCTGTCAAGCCCCTGTCATGTAGCGAAAAAAAGGCAGCGCAGCTTAAAAGATGGCGCCTTTCCATTTTAGGGCTCAAATTTTACCGGTACAACCGACAAAATCACTCAACACCCTCGTCCTGCCAAGACATAATGTACCACGCTAAGGCATTCGCTTGGTTCCCTACAATAGGCTTGGTCGCCAAGCAACGAGAGCGCAAAACAGGTCGTAAGCCCTTTTTTCATAACGCAGGATTTTAGCCGTTAGGCACGGTGATGGCTTCTGGCACTGATTTTTGAGGCTCCCGCACAGGCCAGCCCGGCCCACAATACATCGAAAACTTGCATGCCAAGCACGCTATTTTCCCCACACAGGAGGTATCTTCTTTCTCTTTACTTCACATCACTTTGGCGAGCCGATCAGGGCACAAGATGATGAATTCCAGAATGCTGCTCCAGCGGAAATCTGGGGTTCTGGGGTTGGCGGTTTCCCGACCCGTTTCCCGTGCTCGGAGATGCCCAAAAGGGAAGGCTTCCCGCGGTTAAAGCTGCTTGCCCCACGCCTCCTCGCCCCTGTGGCTGCAACCGATAACAGGCTGGCACCAAAAGCCGCTCTCCGGGATCCGCCCCGGCAGTTTGTTCGGGAACGGGACAGCCTCATCCAAGCATGGCTCCCTTGCGTTGCACTCCTGCCAAGCAAGCTGGGGAAGACCACGTTGTGGAGTGATGGAGAACTTCCTGTGAACTTAAACCCTTCCGACCCTCCGCCGGGATTTCAGACCTCGTTCTTTTGTTCTCCAGCTATCAACTCGAACCTTTGATCGTCTAGCAAGGGGACGACGCAACATACAATGGCCGCAGACTCCGAGAAGGCCCACGCCGTCCCGGCCTCCGAGAAAGCCAGCTCGGCCGAGGTAGAGAATGGCATTGCTAGTGTTGCCCTCGATGCAGAGACCAACAAGAAGCTCTTGAGGAGGATTGACTGGCGTGTGATGCCTGTGGTGAGTATTGCTGTTTGTCACTTGTAGGGATATCCCATTAATATGCCCCGAATTCAGCTCTGCTTCACCTATGCCCTCCAGTTCTACGACAAGGCGCTCCTCAGTCAGGCCGCCATCTTTGGCCTCCGCAAGGACCTCGGGCTCGAGGACGGCCTGAAGTACTCCTGGGCCTCGCTGATATTTTACTTTGGCTACATGGCCGGGACCTATCCCGTCTCGCTGCTAGCCCAGAAATACTCAACCCGTGTCGTCATCACGATCATCTGCCTCCTCTGGTCCGTCGTCGTGCTAACGACCCCCGCCTGCCGCGGCTACAAGGACTTCCTCATCAACCGCTTCTTCCTCGGCCTGATCGAGGCCGGCGTCTCCCCCATCTTCATGCTGGTCGTTGGCCTCTGGTACACGCACGCCGAGCAGATCTCGCGGTCCAGCTGGTGGTACTCGTTCAGCGGCGGCTCGCTGCTCGTCTCGCCGCTCATCAACTACGGCATGGGCCACATCCAGGGCGGCAGCATGCAGCCGTGGCAGTACATGTACTTCATCGCCGGCGGCGTGACCGCCATCTGGGGGGTCGCCCTGTGGTGGCTGTTCCCCGACACGCCGCAGAACGCCAAGGGCTTCTCGGAGGAGGAGCGCGCACAGCTGATGGAGCGCGTGCGCGGGAACAATGCCGGCGCCGAGAACAAGACGTTCAAGTGGTACCAGGTCGCCGAGGCCATGAAGGACTACCAGCTGTGGGGCATCTGCGTGTTGTCGATCGTGTCGACCACGGGGTCGGGAGCCGTCACCGTGTTTGCGCCGATTGTCTTCAACGGCATGGGCTTCACCATCTTCGAGTCGCTGTTGCTCAACCTGCCCATCGGCGCCCTGGCGTTTCTTTGTATCCTCGGGTCCGGATACCTTGGCCGGTTCGTGCCGAACTCGCGGTTTCACATCATCGCGGGGTCGTGTCTCCCGGTTATTTTGGGATGTGCCTTGCTGCAAGTCTTTCCCGCTAGATGAACTATGCATACCTTGATACTGACTCGGACATTCTGTTAGCTGGCAACTTCCCTCTTCCAACACCGCCGGCCGTATTGTCGGGTACTACCTGATCAACTTCTTCTCCTCGGCGTGGGTGCAGTGCATCGGTCTCGGCACGTCCAACGTGGCCGGCCACACCAAGAAAGCCGTCTATGCTGCTGCGACCTTCATCGCATATTCCATCGGCAACATCATCGGCCCTCTCATGTTTGATGCGTAAGTTCACGTGGTCTTGTTATGTGAGTAAATGCTAATGTAGAGCCAGATCGTATGCCCCCCGCTACGACAAGAGTTTCACCGGCATCATGATCTGTTTCGTCATCTGTTTCGTCTGTGCCGAAATCGTTCGCCTCCTTCTGGTGAGGGAAAACAAGAAGCGTGAGGCGCAGTACGGTCCACCAGATGATGCCCACGGATTGGAAGACTTTACGGATAGAGAGAATAAGTCGTTTAGATACCACTTGTAACGAATAGGCAATAATTAGCAAGCCAATGGAGCAAAGCGTCGTCCTTGATTCGACATGGCATGATTGCGTCCTGCAGGTTGTGTGACCCCGCCATTGGTCTGGCAGCGCGGGAAGTGAGGGCGGCTGATGGCGGCCCGCAGCGCGGCAACGCAATCTCGTCAACACCACATTCTCATTTGTCGCGGCATTCTCTTCGGCGATCCTGACTTCCAATTTGCAGCTCTCTAAAGCCACCCGCTGCCCGCGTGTCAACAACCACTCATCTCATCACAACACCGCCCGTGGTTACCTAACTGATAACATGCGTCCCTCTTTTTCTTTGCTCATGAGGACAAGTTTGGGAAGGCACACTGGTGGCGATTCTGTTATTTGGATTCTGCCTAACGCAGAGGGAGATCGGAGAATGAAACAGGGAACTCACAGCCAATGACTGCCGAATAATCATTTCGTGCTTGTAAGTGGGACCTACGTGTTGCTATTTGCGGAGCCTGCAAAAAAAGTGTTTCCTTCGGGTTGCGGCTCCGACTTCTATCGGCAACGAAAATGTTTAGGGTTCACAAATGGGCTCCCTCTCGCTTCCACCAGACGATTTATTCCCGTTGCAGTCCAAAAACCAAAATCGTGTGCCCTCCCAGGCCTCCCTGTCCCCATTGGTGGTTGCTGACAGAGGCACGGCCGCCTCCGACCTCGCTGTGCCGCCGAGATGCAGGAGCCGGAAGAGGCAACCAACCGCTCGTGACGCCCTTGGCGGCCGCTGTCCAAAGTCCAGACCTCAAACTGCGTAATCTGGGTTCGGTGTGTTCGGCGGGGGAGTCGCGCGGGGGGTGTGCGGGCGGCCTGCGAAGGCGCACAAGGTGAGTAACGGCCGATGTTTGCTTTGGCAAGGCCACCATCTCCCTTGCTGCCTTGTCCTGGTGACGCGTACCTGGTGGCCTTTTCCGGTCATCCGTCCGCCTCCGTCCGACGCCGGAGTTTTCGTCTCAACCTGAGAAGTCAGTTATGTGTGAGTGAAACACCTGCGCCGGTAAGAGAGAAGACGGCCGCCGCATGTTGGGCCATTCCACTCCACGTGTTGCCGTTTCGCACAAGTCTGACAGATGCGGCAAGGGTCTGAGTGGTGTTATCCCGTCGTCTGTGCTGTGACTGCTGCCCAAACCAGAAACATGTCTTTCTCTGTCGGCCGTTCTGCTGCAACCCCGCTGCAGCACAGTGACGCCGTTCGTTGATCGGACCCGGCAGTCTGGAAATCGGAGCCCTCTGGGTGGCTGCGAATTGGTTCCTTCAATGTCGGGGTGGCTCAGGCTGCAGCGGACTGCATGCGCAATGGGCGTTTTTCTGGGGTAGGCCGGATTTCATTGGACGCCTTGCAGCTTCGCCACAAGATCGTGCATTCCGTTGTGACCCCCCATCCACCCTTTTTGCGGCTGTTGCTCAACCCTTGTGCAGTGCCGCACCCTGCACCTGCAAGGCACTGACTGACTTGCAGCCGCCATCTTGCAGCGGCCCGCATGGCTCCCTCACTCGCTGGAGCCAAGGGTAAATTTTGATACTTAAAACGGTCGAGCTTGCTGCTTTTTCACATTTTTCACTCAGCATCACATCAGTCAACGAACATCAAACCATCGTTACACATATACGTTCGGCTTTTGGTACTCGGCCTTGACCATCCAAACCCATTTAACCCACAACGCCTCGGACTCGAGACTCTTTCTGTCCAAACCCACGTTTCCAACCTCGACGGCTCCGTCGCGCCAACTCCACGGCACCCTTGAGAGCTTTACGTTTTACCACATTCCGTTCCACCAACACAATGCCTTGGTCGGATACCTCATACACCTACTACTCAGGACCCTCTGAGGTCCTCACCGACGACATGCGAAAGTGCCAGGTCGAGGGCTGCAACAAGATGCACGCCTTCAGTCGGCCGGACGGGGGCGCGAAGGTGTACTCCAGATACTGCTCCAACCGTACGTTCATCCACTTGCCATGTCACTGATCACCATCACTAACGCATGTCAGACACCTGCGACAGGACCTACCCTGGGAAGAAGGAGTATCACTGCACGCATCCCAGGAGCTCGAAGGAGCGGTATTGCTCAACCCGTAAGCCACATCCAACACCACTTTTCCTGAACCCAGTACTGACAGACACAGACTTGACATGCGGTGAATCCGGCTGCACCAAGCTGGGTGAGCACTCCGGCACGCACGACTATGTCCGGTGGTTCTGCTCATCTCGTATGTGTTCCCTCTCCATACCCACCCCTGCTCGTCCACCACCACCTTACTAACAACCCCCCTCCCAGACCGCTGCACATCCCCCGACTGCCGCCTCCGCGCCATCGACCGCACCCAACAGCGCTGCGTATCCCACCTCATCCTCTGCACCATCCCGACCTGCACGCGCCCGGCCCACCAGCACCGCGACGGCCGTCTCGACGCCGTCTGCGCCGCCCACTACGGCACCCAGCGCTGCGAGTGGGCCGCCGGCTGCACCCGGCGCGCCTCCGCCAGCCGCTCCTCCTCCTCCTCGTCATCAACACCCCAACCACAGTACTGCACCTCCCACCACCAATGCCGCACCCCGCTCTGCGAACGGCCCCGCGACATCTCCCGCGGTCCGCGCAAGCGCGACAGCAGCGGCGGCGAGGTGCTCGACCACTGCGCGCTGCACACGTGCCGCACGGCGGGCTGCCGCAGCGAGGTGCACACGCTGGTGGACTACTGCGGGCGGCACGCGTGCGCGGGGGCGGGGTGCGCGCGGCCGCGGCTGAGCGCCGACCCGGCGAGCACGCTATCCGTGGGGCTGGACCGGGACCTGTGCGCGGTGCACGCCGCGGCGGGGCAGAGAAGGGCGGTGTCGATGGACGGGGTGGAGATTGGGTTGGATTGGGAGGGGTTGAGGGGCCGGTTTGAGATGGGCGAGGAGGGCAGGCGGGAGAGGGAGAGGAATCGGTTGAGTGATGATTTGGAGAGGATGAGGAGGCGGGAGAGGGAGCTGGAGGCGGATTTGGGGTTGGGTTCGGGTTCGGGCAGGGCGGATAGGAGGAGGGGGATGGATCGCGAGGCGATGGAGAGGATGCAGAGGGATTTCCAGGCGTGGAATGGGGTGTCGTCTGAGTGGGAGAGGCGGTTGTAAGGGCGGGCTTTCGGATTTCCTGTGTCGGTTTGGGACGGTTGGGTTGGGGACAGTGGGCTGATGGATGATACCCGTGGATTGGTGGGATGGGACTGGATTTGCATGCATAACGGAGGGATTTGGCGTTTGGTTTGGGTACGGCGCAGGAGTCGTGGTTCATTGATACCACCGGTTGAACACGATGTTTGCGACAACTGCTTGGGCGCCTCGGTTTGGGTCACGCGAGTTTTGGAGGTTCTGCTTCCTATCGGCGATGGACTAGAAGAGAGCGACAGACAGAAAAACACAAAAACATTCCTTGGATACTATCTGACCTTTTTGGCTGTTTATGAAATGTTTCCATGATTGGCTTTTGCTGTCAACGGTTCCCGAATCGAAGCCTGCACTCGCTCACTCGGTGTCGGTTGGTCGGTTGGCATGTGACTCTTTTGCCAATGACACCCATAGCATAAATACTATTAACCCCTCACTCCGGCCACTGTAAACTGGGCTCCGAGATGAGTAGTATTACTCGTAAACGCCGCGCAAATAACTCTCGGGATCGATCTCCGTGCCGGCGACTTCGCCGCAACTACAGTATCCCATGTCATCCCCTATCACCCCATCCCAACCCCTCAAGTTCATCAGTTCAGCGGATCTCAGGATTAGGGTAACTCCTACCCTTCCGGTGTCCAACATTCAGGCCCCTGTACTGCTCATGCGGCATTCTCGTTACACGCATCACCAACTACCTCCCCTGTAGCAAGGAGACGTTGACCCGCTGGGAGCGGCAGGTGGCTAGTCGGCGGGCGTTCCCTACGAGAAGGTATTAACAACACATCTTGTTATCTCCCGGGGAAACACCCACAACCTGATGGGATACATACCATTTAAGGAACGGCTCGCCCCACCTGACCATGGACTGTCTCATCTGCGCCGCTTCCCGGCTCTTAGCCCAGCCGACTCCCAGAAGGGGAAACTGGGGCAGTGGAGGCCAGTCAATCGACTCGGGCGCCTGCTTGTAGTCCTGGATGTCTGAGGTTCCCCGACTCTTGGCCCAATCCTCAAGAACGCGCCGATACTCTAAGACTTCGACGCCTTCTTCGAGGCGAACCTCTGGATGTTGTTTCCAGTCCATCTCAAGGATTGTGGAAGAATCGAGCTCGTGAGGGTGATTCTCCTCACGGAATGAAAGGTCGCGTGTGATGATCTCGTATAGAGTGAAAATCGCAAGTTTAACGTCGTTCCGGTGTTCGTCGTAACGAAACGCACCCCGATGGTTTTTGCCGCCTTCCCATCCAAGCTTGGCACCCAGATTGAAGTCGAAGATCTTCAGGTCATCAGTCCCAGGGTCGATTAGCAGATTCCACATGCAAATGTCGCCGTGAACTATCCCCAGACTAAGGTTGAGGTAGTCAATGGCCTGAAGAAGATGTTAGGATCATTATCATGTACGTTCAGTGTGAACTAACGAACCGAAGTAAGCTGCCGCAGATGGTTGAGTGTGAAGACACGGCTGACATTGTCCGACACAGTACCCCCGGCGATAAAGGGCGTTGTGAATCCCACAACCACTTCCGGACCGCGCCCAGGTGAGTCAACAACGAGGCGATCCAGAGGCACAATATTCGGGTGCCTAGGAATCCTCAAAGTGCAGTTGGCTTCATTCCAAAACATAACAACGTTGCCCTGGTTCATGTAATACTTGAACACAACATGCTTCGTCTCGCCAGGGGTGGGTTCGTACGTTGTATGGTCCGCTTGAAGACCAAGCCTCTCAATTTCGGTGAGCTGTGAGCGGCGGACCGTCGGAACAGGTGGAAAGTCCGTCGGCGAGGGATAGAAGGGAATCATGGTCCAGTCAGACTCGTAGTTGGTGGACGATGAGAGCAACTCGAGGTCACGAGAAACCGCAATGTGAACCACATCTGCTGGGATATCATCAATGAGATTTTCAAGCGCCTCAAAGATAACTTCCTCGTCATCCTCTTTTTCTGGCGTGGAAACCATGATCGTGCGACGTTGGTCCCAATCAGTGACAGCGTGGTAGTGGCCATGTACGGGGTCCCAAGATTGGATTATCGACTTGAAGCGCGAGTCTAAGTCGTACTCTTCAAAGTAACCCATCGTGGTGGCAAAAGTGGCAAGGCACGGAGAGACAACTGGCTGAGGGATGGAATTCCAGGGTGGGATAGGATGCAGGGCCGTCACGGGTGGGAATGATATGTACCCAAATACCAGCCGGGGGTTAATCCGAAGCCGGTGCCTTGCCCCGAACTCCCTCGGGGAATTTGGGCTTCGCTTTTTGGCCCCCAACCGGCCGAACCCCCACCGCCGTTTCAGAGGTTCGACGCAGAACAAGAGGGCAACACTGTCACTAGCATCGTCTTCGAAATGTCAAATATACAAAGGGTCAGCGCTCGTGTCACTAGGGACTAGCTCGTGGGGGACGACATGCTGGTCCGCGGGTTTATATCAGTTGCGTGATATTTCAGCATGGGATACTGGACTGGGCAATCATCAGCTCCTTGCACGTCTTACATCTCATCACAGGGTTAAAGCCAGACTCATCGGAATGAAAACTACCGTATGTTTCCCAACTTTCTATAGGACACCGAGATTTAACACATCCACTTCCAACCCCTATTGTCCCTGTCTCTTCAGCGTATACCGATACGAGTAATGTCCCTTCACATCCTTCGCCATGATCCTCATAGCAACCACATCGTTCGACTGCGCGCCACCCTCCACGATCCCCGCCTGCACCGCCAGATCCGCATACTTCTTCGCCCGCTTGTCATCCCCCAGATAGTTAAAGTTCATCGCCGCCAACTCATACGCATCCGCCAGCCTAACATGCAGCCGCTCCTCCTCATACAGCTTCAAAAACCGCTCAATCATCTTGAAATCCACCTTCCTACTATCATGATTCCTCAACTCGGCCCGAATCTCCAAAATCTCCTTCAACCTTTTCTCACTCACCCCCGCCTCCTCCCCCTTCGCACCCCCAGGCGGACTGCACGCGCGGCACGGACACCCCCCCTCCACCGCCTCCCCACCCGCCCCACCACGGTGCCTCTTCACCCAGTCCGCACGCTCATCCCGCGGCAAAAAGGGATCGACATACGTCAGCGTGAGCTCCTCGCCGGGCTGGACGCGGCGGGCGACGGTGGCGCGCAGCGCAAACGCGTGGTCGAGGTGGGTGGCGACGTTGGGCCGGCAGTCGTGCTGGAAGGCGGCCGCCTCCGGGTAGTTGGCGTAGTGCCGCGAGTGGTCCTCGGCGGTCTGCTTGTGGGTCGCGTACCCGAGGTCGATCTCGAAGGGGTGCGCTTGCAGGATGGCTTCGACGCTGGTGCGTCCTCCGGTGGTGGTGCGTTGGGTGTTGAAGAGGGTGCGGGTGTCGTCGGGGAGGAAGGAGATGGCGGCTTCGAGGAGCCGGGTGCGCTCGGCTTTTTTGGGGACTTGGTCGAAGAGGGATTTGTGCACGATGAGGACGGGTGAGGCGACGAGGAGGCTTTTGCCGCGGCGGATGGCTTTGGTGGCGGTGAGGCCGGGGCCTTTGTGGAGGACTTCGGTGGTGGTGAAGGGGACGGGGTCCTCGAGGTATTTGTTCTCGCCGCGGTTGAGGTGGTCTTCGATGCGCTCGAGCTTTTGGAACTCTTCGAATTTGGTTACGGCGACGAGACCGCGCCCTTGAGCGATCCGGCGGTTGGTGTAGACGCAGAAGTCGCCGGAGCAGATCTTGGATTCCCACCAACCTTCAACAGGGGGCGATTGCGGAGCGGATGCAGTGCTATTGTCGGTGTAGATGTCGACCTTTTGGATTTCTTCATAGGCTAGGCCGTCCGCCGAACCTCCTTGCGGAGAGTCCGCTTTGTTGTCGGTATCCGCGACGGCGAAACGTGTGAGCAGCCCAAGTAGGAGCACGCGAGTTAATGAGAGCGAAGACCACGCCATATTAGAGGAATGATCCTGGTCCTTTGTACTCTGTTGTGAGATGTGTGGTGGTGATCGAGAACGAGCACAGGATGTCCAAGTGATCCAGAACCAAGCTCTTGCAACGACGAGGAGCGAAGGCTTTCGGATGTTTGCCGTGAGAAAGGATTCGTGGTTATGACGTTGCAGAACTCGGATCAGGCAACGTGGCTTAGTTACAATAAAGCAACTGCTTATAGTGCTCTAAGTTAACCCAGCTTTGTAGCATCGCCCATGTAACAAGACGTGGTAATGATTGGCGTTTGCAACTGCCTAAATATGTCTGCCGGCGTTGTGTTACTTTATCCGACCGGTGTTGGGGCTTCATGTCACAGGCAAGTTGGTCGGCTAAACCGAGCGCAGTGGTTTGACAAATGCTTGAATCATGGTACTTTTTCTGTCATTGGCTGCAGCAGAATACAAGCCAGCTTTAATTATCCCACATATAAACTACAAACTGGAACCGTAGCATGTGATTCCAGGCGAGGCCACATCTCCCCGCTTGTCACTCTCTGGTTTTCTCCCTCCTTGCTCCATGGCACCGGAATGCCCGAATTACCTACCTACCTAGGCGGTGTCCATGGGCGGAGGATACGGCCTCTGGACACAGTAGACACCATATTCCTTCAAAACTGCCGCAACCTTTTGCGACATCTCATGATTCAAAGACGGCGGTGCACCCGTAATAAGCTCTTCAGCCGGGTTTCGGAGGAGCGTGTACTCGAACCGCTTCAGTTTCGAAAGCCGACCCTCTCGAATACGCTCGCTAAGCAAAACGGCGATGTCGTATACCGGGATCTCGCCTCCCCCGAGACACAGGGACTCGAGATCAGGTGAAAGCTTGCGAATCAGGGCGGCATTATCCCCTGTCGGCCATGTCCCAAAGACTAGCCGTAGCGACCGGAGAGCTCGAAAGTGAGCCAAATGAGTTAGGTCTCGAATCGTTTGGGCGCGGAAGGTGTCACAGTCGAGGTCAAAATCGTGGAGAGTCCCCTTCATCGGCAGTAAAGCCTTGAAAACACTTGGGGTGATGGAGGGTCGAGGCTGCCCAGACGCCAGGGTCGATGTCGAGTTCGTGATGCCGAGCATCATGAAAATGCTCTGCATTGGGGAACAGCCGCGGCCATCCTCCCCGAGGCGGAATCTCTCGAGCTGAGGGCAAAAGGTTTTGATCGCGGCGAGATCCTTGTCCAGAGCATCGACAAGATGGATGTCTCTCAGCTGCGGTAAGAGATTTTGGATGATCCCGTGTCCCGACGTTCCTTGATCACAGCGCCCGATTTTCAGGTGGGTGAGCGCCGGCGTACGGCTCAGAAGGGCGGCCAAAGACTCCGAATGCAATTTGTCTGTGGCAGTCTCGTTGAAGGTCATGGGATAAGCCTCGAGACGCTGCAGGGAGCTCAGAGCAAAGAAAGCGGGAAAGCGGTTCGCGTAACGGAACGCGAAAGGCTCATGGCTCTCCACATCAGATTCGTTCAACGGGGGAGGAAACTGTCCCTCCTCGGTCGTTGTCGTCCCGGGTAGGGAAAGGGTGAGCTTTCTAATGGTGGAAAGTCGGCACAAGGCCACGTCAATGAGGATTGATTCGAGCTGACTGGACAGGCCATTGCCTCCAATCAGTAATCTGAGCCCCAAGCGATGTGCCTCTCGAAATAGAAAGTTCTTCTGCGATCTCGAGAGAGCAGAACCGGCCCGGCCGCTGTGGATTGTGAGCTCGCTGACGAGTTTTGCGCAGCCGGGAAACTGCGAGAAGCGCCTGATGAGCCGAATGAAGGCGGCGGGCTTGCGGATGGAGACCCTGACACGCCGATAAAGCAGGGGGGCTGTGATCTTTCGAAAATGCTTGCAGGTGAGCGAGAGGCTCCCGAGAGCACAGTAGTTTTCCATCGTGCTTTGCCAGGTGCCAATGCCGGGTTTGGGCTGTTTCGTCCGAGTGGTACTCTGCAAAAGGTGATCGCATATCTCCAACTGAATTTCGACAGGCATCGTGAGGAGAGACGGAGGGTCGGCCATTTTGTCTGTCGATCCAGTCGGTTTCTTTGGATGAATCGGTGGCTCAGTCGGCTGGTATACCGCGGGTGAGCCTCGAAACGTTTGACCTTAAATCTTCAATTAGTGGCTAGAGAGAAGGGTGTAAGTTGGGAGACGTACAGTGAGATGGGTGAAGCCGGCGAACGAGGTAATTGTACTCTTATGTGGCCGGAAACATTGGCGGTGGTAAAGGAATGAAACTGAACCTGAACAGTTGCAAGTGACTCCCAAGTAAGGAATCGCGTCGGTTGAGATGGAAAAGAATTGGAAGTTGGATTAACAATTGAAAGGTCGCGAAACGCGTTTCGAGCGCACACGCGTCAACATGATGTCCGGGAAGGTACGATTTCATTTAATGTTCACCTGGCATACCTGGTAGGTAGGTTTGAAGCTCCGCCCGAAGTACTTCAATTGAGTTACCTGTCACACTGTGAGACTCGCCTGCGCACCTAGTCGTGGGCAGAAGTATCTACGAGTCTATTCTCCGAGCTGCCGAGGACGTGCCGGAGGTTGGATGCAGCCATGCGCCAGCGATGGGGGAAGGGAACTAACATGGAAAGGATAACAGTTAAATTTGCCGGCTTTACGCCCGTCGTTTCTGAGTATAAGGTAGGCATCTCGTTTTCCGCCCGCGGAGTCGGGACCTGAGGGGGCTTTGACCAGCATTTGCGCGGTCGTCGTTCAAACCTCGTCGAAGAAACAACCCAACAACAACCAACGGGTACCGTTACCTCGGACTCCTTTTTTTCTCTCGACGGAAAGTCAACCAATTAGGAAAAAGGGTCCGAGAAGCGTCTGTGGCAATCGCCTCGAACGACCTACAATGTTAACGTTACCCTTCGTTGCGAAGACTCAAGAGTAACCCATATGGGTAGTACGCTCGGCCGCCTGTGCAGGTTTCGGTGTTTACTTTGGTAGGTACATACACGTGGTGTTCGCAACTCTTCGGAGTGGCCCATTCCATCAATCGGACCGCCCCGACCCGGAAACTTGCCCAAGATAAGCACCCAGAATCATGCGCCTTGGCTCGCGTACCTCTACAGTTAGGGAACAACGGCAGGAGGTGAATTAAGGAGTTACTTACCCTTGCAATGCATTGTCGCCTTTTTATGAGCCACCGCCACCGGCCGGCTGCTAAAAGTCAGACTCAACTTTGGTTGTGCTTCTCCGAGGTTGGGTCGGGTCATCAAGTTCAGGTTTCCTGCTGCGCCGCGTCTTGACAGCCGAGGCTAGACTCCACACATCAGGGATTATTTCCCCAACCAAGCAACTCAATCGGCCGTCCTTGTGTTCCAGGAATAGCTCACCTTGGCAGATGCACCATCGTGGGAGCGGAGAGATTGGCGATCATGACCCGCCTGCCTCTCCTGTGCGGGTCATCCACCAAGTGTTGATCGAGTCGTCCAGCCTAACCGTCCCGAACGAGCTGAGCTTCACCCCCCGCAAACAGGGTCTCAGTTTGACCTTGCCAAGGAAGGCAACGATAAGCCGCCAAGGTATTGACCGATGAAGGAGCGCAGAATAGGGAGTGTTTGGTCTGCGGGAGAGTGCGCGTGGCATGTGAAGTGTGATTGAATGGTTCAAACCTGGTTGCTGGGGCACAGGGGGTGATTGGAATGGTGGCGTCCAGACCTGGGGAGCCAGGTCTATAAAAGAGACAGGCCTCCACAAGCTTAAACCACAATCTCAGTCCAGATCTCATCACCACCCGCGAAAATGCAGTTCAAGACCTTTCTCCTCCTAACGGCCACGGCCGCCATGGCCGCCGTCAACGAGCCATGCGTCGGCTCCGGCGGCAGAGCGGGTAACTCGCCCCCCCCAAGCCTAGTCCATACTAGACCATCGCTAACGTTCAGCAGGCGTGTGCATCTCCACCACCAGCTGCAAGTCCGCCGGGGGCGTGAGTATCTCCGGCGCGTGCCCCGCCGACGCCTCCAACATCAAGTGCTGCACCAAGGCATCCTGCGCCAACGGTAGCGCCGGTAACTGCCGGTGGCAGAGCGACTGCGGCGGCAAGTCGGTCTCGAACAAGTGCCCCGGCCCGTCCCAGATGAAGTGCTGCTCTTCGGGGACCACGGGTTTCGGCGGATACAAGGCACCCGCCTTCCCTGCCGTCGGCGCCTGCAAGTCGGTCGCCGTCAGCGGCGCGAAGAAGGTTGTCGCTGCTTGGAAGGGCCGCGTGAGGCAGATCTACTGCACCAGGGACTGTGCCTGCCCAGGAACGTCGGACCACTGCTGTGGCAAGGCCATTGACTTCATGTGCTCGGATGGCGGCGGTGTAAGTTTGTGTTGTTCAATGAAAGCAGGGCCAAATGCTGATACCATTCAGGTGCCTACCTCCTCCGGCCGTCAGATCGCCGAGTGGGTGATGAACAACCGCAGCACGCTCAAGCTCAAGTATGTTATTTGGGGCCAGCGCATCTGGAACCCCTCGGTCGACGGCGTCAAGCCCTGGACCAAGTGGCGTGCCATGGAGGACAGAGGCGACATCACCCAGAACCACTGGTAAGTCTCAAAGGTTTCGATGTGAAAATTGTAACCTTTGCTGACTAGATTCATCTAGGGATCACGTTCATGTCAGCTTCAAATAGAGTCGACAGGTGGATTCATGACCGTCAAAGGCTTTTGAACCGTCACTGAGAATGAGAATTATGAGGAAGCCCTCGGCTCTTGGGGATGGGTTATGAAGTTCCGAAATATCACCTATCGACTATCGTTTTCCAATTTGACCATGTCGCTTGGAACTGTGAATTTTAATTGACTTGTCATGTCATAAGAGGTATTTCGATCCTGACCGTGGATCATAAGTTGCTGAACTTGAAGTGCACGAAAGCAAATAATGGTGTGGAGTCGGCTGGTTTGTGTGACGAAACACAAATGGAACCTTCTTTCGCGTGGAAAGCTTCTGAGCTTCTCCAGCCGGTGGAAGCCGCGCCAAGAAATGCCCGGAAGGCTTGGCGCGGAGTCTTGCAGTCAGGCCCTTGCCGGAGCTGCCGTCTGCCCCGCCAGTGAGCTCCCACTCTGACGGCAAGCTCCTTCCCATATCGGCCGCTGCCCCTCATTCCTCCCATGCAAAACTTCACTTCTCTTTTCAGGATATTTCGGTCTCCCAGACTCTTCTCTCCAATACAGCGACGCGCCGTTAGCAGCTTCCGAACCATGGACTACGACACCATCTTGCAGGGTAAATACCCCGCCAAACAACACGCGAAGCGCGTTGTCGACTACATCCGCACCAAAGTGCCTGATGCGACGGGTGTCCTCTACCTCGAGAGTCGCATGACCAAGCTCCTCGAAGACAATGACGAGCCCGAGCCATTCCGGTATGGCGCCCCATGAGCCCCTCGCGCCCTTCTCCCCAGCTAAAACAAAACCAACCGCCCAGCCAGCGTCGCTTCTTCTACTACTTGACCGGCTGCCCCCTCGCCGACTCGTTCGTGGTCCACGACATGGACTCGGCCAAGACGATACTCTTCATCCCCCCCATCAACCCCGAGAGCGTCATCTGGTCTGGCCTGCCCGTATCCGCCGAGGAGGCCCTGCAGAAATACGACGTCGACGAGATCAAGTACACGACTGACATCAACGCCGAGCTAGCCCATGCTGGCGCTCAAAAGAGCAAGTCGACTGTCTTCGCCATCCCGGGCCAGGTCTCGGAGCACGTCACCTTCCTCGGATTCGACAACAAGAACTTTGCCGTGCTGAAGGAGGCTATCGAGGTCTCCCGGGTGGTCAAGGACGAGTTCGAGCTCGCCATGATGGCCAAGGCCAACGCTGTCAGCGCCGACGCCCACTTGGCCGTCATGAAGAAGGTCAAGCACGCCAAAAACGAACGTGAACTCGAAGCCGAGTTCATCGCCTCGTCCATCGCCGCCGGCGCGCCCAACCAGTCGTACCACGGCATCTTTGCCGCTGGCAGAGCCGCCGCCACGCTCCACTACGTGCACAACAACGCCCCTCTGGCTGGCAAGCTAAACCTGCTACTCGATGGTGGCGCGGAGTGGGACTGCTACGCCTCGGATATCACCCGGACGTTCCCTATCAACGGCAAGTTCACCAAGGAGAGCAGGGCGATTTACGATATTGTGCTCAAGATGCAGCTGGAAAGCATTGCGGCACTAAAGGAAGACGTTTTGTGGGATGACGTGCATCTGCTGGCCCACAAGATCGCCATCGACGGGTTGCTGGAACTGGGCATCCTGAAGGGCGACAAGGAGGAGATCCTGGCCAGCCGGACGAGCGTAGCCTTCTTCCCCCATGGTCTGGGACACTACCTCGGAATGGACACCCACGACACCGGAGGTAACCCCAACTACGCCGACGAGGACACCCTGTTCCGGTACCTCCGCGTCAGGGGGAAGGTGCCGGTAGGCAGTGTGGTGACGGTTGAGCCGGGCATTTACTTCTGCAGCTTCATCATCGAACCGTACCTGAAGAATCCGAAGCATTCCAAGTACATTGACGCCGAGGTTCTCGAGAAGTACTGGGACGTAGGGGGTGTTCGGTAAGTCAACCCATTAAGGGAGGGTTTATGGTTACTAACTTAGTGCAGCATTGAGGACAACCTCGTCATTACCAAGGGTGGGGCTGAGAACCTGACCACTACCCTCAAAGATCCGGATGAGATGGAGAGAATCATCTCCAGCAGCTAAATTTGGCCTACTTGATCCCATACCATTCTTTCTCACTGCCTTTGCAAAGTCGATTGTAAAGAGTGGAGTTATTGGCGGAACGGCGCCACCGGCGCAGCATCATCACCACCACCACTATCATCATCACTGCCCTACAGTGTAATCATCTAGGCTAGCTTCAGAAAGACGAGGAGACGACTAAATGAATATCTAACTTCAGGATCTGCCATTTGTTCCCCAAAACGTCCAAGCATTCACACCGCTAACGCCAATGATACCAATGTTACCAAACCGACAGCCTGTCGATAGCCTCACTTCTTCATGCCCATCATCTGCTCATCCGACGGCTCCGCATACGTACCCGGCGGCTTGGCCTTGCGCGTCCTATCCTTCATGATATTGCCCTTATCGATCGCCTCGCGCTCATCCTGCTCTGCAGCCGCAACAAACTTCATGTCAGCATCCGCACTCGTTCCGAATGTATCAGGTCAGTCGACTGCGAACTGGGGTGGCGACGTACCAAGCTGCTTATCAGAGTCCGCCCGGCCCGGTTGCATGGGGTCCGCCACGGGCGCGTCGTCGTCCACGACGGGGACGGCCTCGGTGCCACCTGTCTTGTAAGAGGGGTCGTTGACTTGGCCGGGCGGTGCCTCGCGCGGGAGGTTGGCGCCGAGCTTCTCGTCGGATTGGTATGGGGCTGCTTCGGTCATGGTTTTGTCTTTGGTTTCGGTGTGAGTGCTAATTGGTATGTATGTGGTTAATGCAGGGTGTGAGGTTGGTAGTTGGGTTAGCTTCGAGACGAGACGAAGCGTGGTTAGCGTGCGGTATAAAAGCTAAGGTATGTACAGCTGGACCCTGCTTTCTATGACGGCACGGTGGCGGGCAAATCATCGAAAGTCCAGGGATTGGTGACGTGTGTGGTAAACCGCCGTGATTCCAGCGGGTGACGTTATTGACTTTCTTCAGGGAGTCCCAGGGGTAATGGGCCCTACACAGCAATGATGTAGTGAGAAATATCTTTCTGCAATGTTCAGTGATTGGTTGGTACATTGTAGTAGTGTACGGATACCATTGCTTTTTGGCAGCGAGATATGTAGCGGCCCCAGTTGTGACGTTAAGTGCCTGGTGGAAGCGCTCGTGATAGGGTGGAGAGACATGGTGTTGAGACGACCATGATTTTACTCATTGCGGAGGACAAGGTCCGGGAAGGGAGTAAATGATAGGGCCCGATATGCCGAGGTCCGTATCGTTAATGTCCGGTATCAACACTCCGCGGGATTGGGTATTGTCCAGGGGTTAAGGAGAAAATACTCGTTGTTCGAAGTTGCCCCAGCATCAGCAAGTTTTACTGCTGTAAGAGCGGCTATATATATATGCAAGACAATGACGGTCAACATGAAACAAATTGGTATCACTTAAACGCTTCAAGCCTGCGCCTCCACCCCGTTCCCCGCTGGTGGTTGCTCCAGCTGCACAAACCCGCGGTCCTGCTGCCGCAACTCGTCCTCCAATACGCTCCAACACTCAGTACCCCTCCGCAACAACTCCCAATGTTGACTCAACATCGTCGCATCCACAGCCAGCTCAAAGCTAGTCAAGAAACAAAAACTTATCTCGAGTCTCGCCAGCTCCTTCTCCGTCACACCGCCGACGCGCGCAAAGCGCCCATGCGGATAGCTCAGGTCCTCCAGCGCCTTCATGGCGACCCGTAGGCCGGCCAGCAGCAGGCGGTGGGCGTTGCGCTTGGTCACGACGATGGCGCGCTCCAGCACGGCCAGGCGGTGGATGTAGAGCGACGTGGCCAGGTAGACGCCGGCCGACATGGGGCAGAAGTGGTGCACGCGGAGCAGGTACTCGGTGATGGAGATGGGCGGCGGGACGCGGCAGTAGAACTTGCGCGTGATGGCGCTGTGCTGCCGGTTGAGCGGCTGCGAATTCTCGCCTACGATGATGTACGGCACGAGCGGTTGCGGGGATTGCGACTGGGAGCCGCTGGAGGGGGGTGTCTGCGGTGCGGGGGGCCTCTGCGTTGCGAGGGGCGGCGCGGGTGCCGGCGCAGAGTGTGGTGCGCGCAGGTGTACTCCGTCAATGTCTTGTGCTTGTGATGGTGTTGTGCTTGACGGTTCCGCCGGTTCGGAGGCCGACTGCGCGTTTTGGAGGGGAGAGCGCCCTGGCAAGGGGGAGCTCGTCGCGCTCGCTCGTTGGGCGAGCCGCGCTAGGCTCCTTTCCGAGTTCGACCGTACAATGCTTATCTTCTCTGCGTCCATCCCCCTCATGTTCGGTATTGTTGGGCTCAGGGGCGGGGGCGTTGGGGGAATGTCTCCTGTCATGGTAACCAGCGCTTCGACCCCTGCACTAAGGAGCCTTAAGGCGGCTTGCGGAGAGACCTTGAATATGTCGTCGCTATGGTCTGCGACGGTCGGCGATGGCGCATGGTCGGAGGCTGTCGAGCCTTGCAGTTTTGGGTCGGCGGCTGGAACGGGCGGGGGCGGTGGGGAATGGACGGAATTCGAGTCGCTGCCGTTGCTATCGTCGCCACCCGACGTTGATGGTTCGGGCAGTTGTTCTTCGGCCATCTCGGAGGAAATGTCGCTGCTAGCGCATGGAGTTGGGAGAGATGGAAGCATCCGTGTTGGGATAGAAAGGTTGAAAGGCGGATCTGGCTGGCATGCGCTGGGAATTGTCGCGAGGGTTGTCTGTGCTTGCCGCCGAGTGGATGTTCGGCGGCACTTTAAGGACAGAGCGCGGCCTCGGGCCTCATCAAATTGGCCAAGCGTCTCCACGGTTTCGTGTCTCCGACAAGAACTCGACCCGATCTCATGGTCTCGCGTGTTCGACTGCTCTTTTTGAAGTCTCGTCTGGATCGCTAGGCAGGCGGGTGGGGTTGCGGCGGGTCAAGAGGGGCAAATTGGAGTGGGAAGTGGGGTCGTCCCATCCCTGACAAGGCGTGCCAGGCCGCCGGATTGAACCTTGTTGTGCGCCGCGCTTGAGGCGAGAGGTGAACCAAGCACTTCGCTTGTAAAGGTCGCTAGGTGGTGTTTTCTTCTACCGATTTGGCCAGATCTTTGATGAGTTTCCAAATGTCGTAGGCAAGGATCAAGGGCGGGGCATTTCTTTGGTGGTCGGTTGTGGTGACCCCTCATGGCCCGTGCTTCATCACTCAGGGAGGCATGTGGGAGGTTACCACGTTACTAAGCGACCAAAACTCGTTGGAAGTTCCCCAAAATCCCCAGCATTTCACGTGCACTTTGCCCAATCCCAATTTTGTGGCCGACTCGCCACTCTTCCACTGCAAGCGAGCACGGCGACCATCAATGATCTCCGGATTAATTTTCGCCATCAAATAACCTAACTATCCGGCCCTTGCGTGGCAAAATTACGACATGCGGTCAGAAGTCATGGTCAAGGGCGCGGCTCGGGAAACTGGCTGGGCTCGTCCGGGTCATTGATCTCAAAAGTCACAATAATGGGGGCTTAGGGAAATACTGCAGCAATTCGGGCGCAATCATCAAGGTAATTTAGGAAACGTTTCTTCACTTGTCACAATCACAGAACCAATAAGTCCGTCCGCCAGCCTGCCGATCTCCTCCCCTAGATCCGCCATCGGCCATGGCATCAAGGCCTCTGCCTTCTACAGAGTGCCGGAATGTCCCTCTTCTTGACTTTCATGCCATGTGCTTTTCTGAGATGCCGGACCATGTTGTCATCCCTGTTGGCGCCACTGTTACAACCCTCAACCGGGCAGCAGAGTGAAGAACCGGCCAGGTGAGCCTTCTCGTGTCTCTCTAACTCACGGCGTTGGGAGAAGCCTTTGTTCGGTTGGCCCCAGAGACAGCCAGGAGTAGTACATTTGTACGGAAGCGTGTGTCTTTTCGTGTGCATCCTGTTGCTGTCAGTCTTGCGGCTTGCTGGGTCTGAGCAAGGACTGGGCGGAGTGGAACAACGTACCGATAATCCCCGGGTCTGGGGCACCGCTTGGGATTCTGCTCACACCTGCCTTCTGTACAAACGATTGCGCCGTCCGGTTCGGTATAATGGCTCAGGGGAGGAGAAGATGGCGGCGAAGGACTCGGGCTTGACGCTTGGTCTGCAAGCATTGTTGAAGGAAAGTTCGTCTCGGTCGATGGAAAGCAAAGTTCAGTTTCGGCTGACATCTGTCCAGCGGACAGCCCAGCACACATAGAGAAACCGTACTGCAACACCTGAGTAGTCTGGGGTGGGCTCGCCACATATTGCAGCAACGAGCTCGCCGCCTAAGAGCGCGTAACTTGGTTTTCAATATGCGCTGAGGCCGTCTGGGCCTCGTCGTACACCGCATTGGGGGCGTAATTTGCCGGGACGAACGGGGCGTTAAAAGACGTTTCGGGCAGGGTCCGGATATCGGGCGAGCTCGGCTCCATCATGGCCTGGGAGACGTCTTCTGCGGGAGGAATCGCCGCGTGCCCCTCCCAATACGGACCCGTGTTCCCACCGAGCCACTCCGTCTCATCACACAGCGTGGAGCCCTGGTGCTGGTCCGTTTCATCAGTGAGGCCTACGGTTGCGCTGGACGCCCCCGCGACGATGGTCTCTCGCGGATCGACCGTCGGTTGGCTTTCGATGCTGTGACCTTGACATCCATGTCAGTTCAGGAAACCCCGAGACAGCTGATGGGGCCAATCTTACGGTAGAGAGCCAGTCCGGGATCGATAAATGGGCCAAGCTCCGACGTCAAACCGGGTGTGTCACATTCTTTTCTCGTCAGACCCATCGGGAACGTTTTTAAATAGCACCTAGCGAACACCAGACGTTTACTTACCCCGAAGTCCCTCCCCATAGTACCATTCATCGTCCTCGGAAGCCATCGTTGGCGCTGCTCACTCGTCCAGGAGAAGGTCTAGGGCTCCAAGGTACGCCGTGGAAAGCGAAAGGGCCCGCCAAGTTCCCACCGGCGGAAGAAAACACGGTCGTATGCTTGCGGTTTAAGAATGGGCCATGTACCAAAAACGCAGAGACAGAGATCTGGGGCTTACGGGACGTGCAAGGCCAGGTAATCTGGCGCCCACAGCAAAAGGTCCGACCCTGGATCCGTGAGGCCCAGCGTGGCGCTCCGCCTCCGTTGGGCAGATTTGTGGAGCGATACCAACAGCCTCCAAGGCATCCAATAAGAATAAAGGTTAGCTGCAAGAAGGTCTATAACATATGCGCGGTTACGGTATGGTCTCAGGGTTGCGTCGCACAGGATCCTCTGGCGCCATGGTATTGGTTAACGGCGGACCACGCGGCCCCAACAAATCCATCTCTTGGGAGCTGATTGACAAGAGTCGTAAATTCTTGTAGGCCTCCTGCATGGTCCCCATGTAATCCAGGCATCCAGAGCTGGCATCAACAGCTCGCCTAGCATCCGTCCCGCCCTCGATGTAATGTCCGTACATGACATGTCCCCTTGTGTCGTTCCGTTTGTCACTTTCGTTTTGGCCGCACTTCCAAGTGGTTTCCTTTCCCTTGCCCACCGAGGTGGATAAACTAAACTTGCAAAAGGGAGCGGGTCAGTACGGACGACACTATGGGTAAGCCGTCCTTGTTCCCGATCTTCGCTTCTGACACGAGCTGAGGCCCCTTTGTAGCGGTTCTAGACTTCCCTGGCAAACGTGAGCCACTCAATAAAAACCAGCAAAGCACGCTACGGTGCCAGTTCTACCCTCCCCTCATTCTTCTCGAGACCCTGAACGATGTTTGTCCTCGAGGATCACGCCGACAGCCGTCCGACGCACCCCCGAGTGACCACCAATCCCCAGAGGAAAGGTTCAAAACGCTGGTTAACAAGCTGGCCCATATATGCGATTATGAGCCCGGGGGTAACACGGTCTCCGCACTCGCCGTCATCATACAGAATGGTCGACTGTGTTATGTTTTGGCGTCTAACCACAGGGGCACCGGTGCCATGAGAAACGCCCGAGCCGGGTTGCAGGCGGTTCTCGACATTCTCAAGGCCAGCGTCGAGAAAAGGACGGACGACTCGGATGAGGTCATGGCAAAACGTCTGATGCGGGAGATCTTGATTTGGAACAATGTCCGTGTCAGAGCTTACCTCACCTCGTTGGAGAAAGAGCTGAAGAACTGCGTGGGGAAGTGTGACACCACCGAGCAAGGTATGGCCCAGAAAGTCTCGCTGGGATTTTCCCATACATCTTATTGATGCCGACCAACCAACAGGGAAAAGTGCGAAAGAAGAACTGGAAAGGTTGGCGGCCTTTCTTCCAGACGTACGCGACGGCCAGAAAAGTGATGCTTGTGAGCCCGTCACCACCCACCGAGTCGAAAGCTTGCTCGACGCTGCCGTTACGGACGAAGTCTTACGAAACTACAGATATCGAAGCCACTATGAAATGTATTACCGAGATTCAGACATCCCGAAAGACGCGCCTACCCACATGGAGGTATATCGAGGCGGCCGCGGTTGCTGACGACGCCATGGCCAAAGGGGGCTGTTGGTCCGCCCTCCAGCACAGCGCGGGACGACTTCTCGCATACCAGTACGCTGTACAGACGCTCGTGCATGCCAGTCACCTGTGGGCCGAGACAGACCTCTTCCGCGACTTTGACATCGAGACTGTCCGTTCGAGTGACTCGTATCCGGCGACGGCGCTGAAGTTCAACCGCGAGACTGTCGAGGACATCCTTAACCGCACTCCCAACGCGGGAAAGGCACAGAAGAAAGCTTACAGGCAGCACGCGGCGGAGCTCCAGGTTTATGAACTGAACGCGAAGCTAGAGCAGCAATTGGCCGATAAACGAGAGCCCATTGTCCACGCAGAGATGCTCCTGCACCACTGGCTGTCACGGACCGAAGGCGGCACACAGCCGCACCGCTTCTTCCGTGGCTGGCAATACATCGGGACGAGCAAACCGATATGCCAACTCTGTAAAGAGTACTTTGCCGTCATCTCTACGCCAGTCCTCTTCCGCTCAGGACACCCCAACACGTACCTGAACTGGAGACTGCCTGACATTTACGTCGAGAACAATGACCCAGTAGCTGTCGACCATGCAAAGGTGGAATGGAACAACACGCTGGTCGAGATGCAGAAACGCATCTACACGGCGTTGGTGCGCGTCTTGCAGGACAAGGTGTCGGGCAAGAAACCCAACGACTCCAACACGTACACGGACCGGATCACGACGGGCGATCCCAATTATGTCGCCAACTGGCTGGGGCAGATGCGGATTGATAGTTAGATCAAGAATACGGTGGGCGTCTGGGGATGGAGTTGTCATTGTTGGGTAGTGCTTTTCTCAAGTTCCAGTGCTGCCGGTCCATGTTGATGCTATTCACACTTCACGCCCCCTTTCCATCTCAAGCAGCAGTACCACCACCGTTCTTCATCCAAGGCGCCTTCCTCAGCGCCTCGGCCTGCACCGCAAACACAGGCTCCGTCAGTTTTACTAGCGTCTCACCGAACTCCTCCAACACCGCTGTGCACTCCTCTTCCCAGGCAGCCGCCCTCCCATCATCCTCGCCACCATCCCGACCCACACATTGATCACCCTTCCACTTCCCGCCAACTTCCCCCTCCCCCTCACCACCCCCGAAACCTCCACCACCCTCACCACCACCCCCCTCAACCCCCCCAAACGTCGCCCCCCACCACTGCCCCCTCCACCCCCTAACAACCTCCCCCGCCCTCTCCACCGCAACCCCCCTCGCCACCAAATAAAACGACGACCGCGTGCGATGCGCCCGCCGCGGCTTATACACCACCACCCCCTCGTCAGCCAGACCAGCCAGAGTATGAATCAGGCGCACTGAGTCCCAGGCATCCGCTTTGTGGAGGAGTATGACGAGGGTGCCGGCGGGGCGGAGGCGGGTGAGGGCGAGGGTGAGTTGGGATGTTAGGAGGCGGGTTGGTTCGGTTAGGTGGCGGTCTGTGGTTTTGTTGGAGGATTAGTTGGGGTTGGGTTAGGGGATTGGACGGTGAGATGAGTAAGGGGGGAGGAATAAGGGGTGGGAGGCAGGGGCGGAGGTGTCCGGAAGGAGGGAACGTACACTCGGCGCGCTCATGGGTGCGCAGGACTTGGCCGTCGCAAAAAACGAGGTCGAACTTTTGGTCGAGGAAGGGGCGGTAGGCTGAGAAAGAGCCGGCGTCGGGGTGTGAGGCTGGGATCCTGGACAGCGGGGTGCCCATCTCGGCGGCGAGGAGGGTGATGTCCCGGAAGGTGACGTAAATGTCGGCGTTGGGATCGGTGTGGGACCAGTTGCGGAGCAGCATCTCGTGGCCGCCCAGCGTGCGTGGCAGGCTGATGCCGCGGAGGAGGGCCGACGGGTTACGGTGGAGGGCCGCCGCTGCGAAGCCGCCGGGGGCCATGCAAAGGTCTAGGATGGCGGGGCGGGTATCGGCGTCGTGGTCAATGGTGAGCGCAGAGGTAGCCTTGTCGAGCTCGAGACCGATATCACGCATTAGGTTGAAGAAGCTGAGCTTTGTTTTGGCGTCGGCGTAGTCGGCGCGTTGGCGTTGCTGTTGGAAATGGGTATCTCCATCTTTGCTTTCCCAGCCCTAATAGCTGCTGTTAGCCACAGTATAAAACCAAAGGCAGGGAAATGGTCGACTCGCCTGTCTCTGGAGCTCCCGAAGCTCGCGGTAGACAGGGAGACGTTCGAGGAGGTACTCCTGGATGATCGTCTTGGGCGTTGTTTTCGGTGTGAGACCAACACGCGGGGTTTCGCTGGCGGGTTGGGGCGGAGATGCGTCGGCCATGGCTTCCCTGTTGAGGAATATCCAAATCAAGTAGGTATCGAAAGGAAGGATTGTAGTTTGGCTTGGTGTCAGATCATGACGTGGAAGCCACCCTTTTGTACACAAGTCCGCGCTTTAAACCGAAATGCCAAAAAGCAACATCTCCATCCCATGGGGCGTTACACAAGTAGGAGGATACGTGCGCCGTAGGCCTCGCGAGAATTCCGAGGCTGTCGTTTGTCGTTGGCTCAGACTCTTCTCGTTGGCGGACACCGAGCGGAGGCGGTCCAAGTTGGAGGCGGTACGGTACATACACGCGGCAGCAGCAAACGGACAGCCTCCACACGCAGTAAATGTGGTTGTTTGCTCCTCAAATTTAATGCTGACACCCATGCGGGAACATACATACATGCGCTTAGCAGCCCATGGCAACCTTGCAGTCAAGCACAGCGGTCTGGCCCCCCTTCACCACCTCGATGGCCTCCTTGAGTACCCGTTCCAAGTCAGCTGCCTTGTCCACCCGCACAGCGTGTATGTCGCCACCAGAGGCGGCCTTCGCGATGCCCGCATAATCCGGGGCGGGGTCGAACGAGATGTTGATCTCCTCGTTGCTCGCCTGCGAACCCAGCCCTTCGGGATGGACGAGCAGCAGAGACTTGCGCGGCGCATTCCAGCCTACAATTGTTAGCGGGTGCTACACCACAACGTGGATATGACGTGACTTACCTTTGTTGTTTAGCACAATGGTCAAGATGGGGATATTGTACCGCTTCGCGATCCAATACACGCTGCCCGGCACCGAAAAGAGGAAGCTGCCGTCACCAACGATTTGCACCACAAACTTGCCCTTCCCACCCTTGAGCTGCGCCTCGTGGTCTGTCGCCAGCTTGATACCGAGGGCGCCGCCACCCGACCAGCCGAGGCCGCCGCCGCCGCAGTTGATCCACTGCCCGGGAAGCTTGGGCTGCAGGCTATCGTGAACAAACAAGGTGTTGGTGACGGCCTCAACGGCCCAGATAGTATCCTCCGGGCACAAGTCCTTCAGCTTCGCGCAAAGGTGGCTCGTGCCGAACTCGCCGTTCTCGAGCGGCTGGGATCGCACCGCGATGGTTTCCAGACGCTTCTTGTGTGATTCTTGCAGGGCCGTCCACCGCTTGTCGCTCTCGGCGCCCGTGACTTGGGCCTTCAACCCCTCGTCCGACTTCAGCAGCGCCATGATTTGCTCAACACTCGTGAGCCCATCGACGCGGTACCGGTGCTGGGCGGGGATGTAGTGCAGGGGCATGACCTGCTTCAGGGGGTCGACGTCGATGTGGAAGATCTTGGCGTCGGCTTTCGGCTTGCATTGCGTCGTGATCCAGGGGACGTCACAGTCGAGCACGACAATGGTATCGGCCGTCGTGACCGCGCTTTCGACGCCAAACCTGAGACCCAACCACGCCGGGTGGTCGGACGGGAAGCACATATCGCTACCGCCCGTGTCCAGCACCCTCAACCCCTTGACAGTGTTTGCCAGCTCCACCAGCGCGGCGGGCATAGCCTGGTTCCGGCCACCATAGCCCGTCACCACCAACGGCTCCTTCGCACCGGCCAGCGCCTCAGCAATCTTGCGCACGGCAGAACGCGGCAGCCCGCCCAGCTCCACAGGCTCCCACTGGTCCTGCTGGATCTGGTAGGGCTCGATCTCCATCTCCATAACCTCACGCGAACCACACAAATAAACCGGCCCTTGCGGACCGGAGCGCGCAAACTGCAGGGCGCGGTTGACCATCTGCTTGACGTTGACGCCCGTCTTGAGCTCGGCGGCGTAGCGGCAGTACTGGGCGACGATCTGCTTCTGGTCGGGCACGTCCTGGATCCAGTGGATGAACTCAGTGCGCGACCCGCGCAGCTCGCCCTCCTGCGTGATGGGCGAGATGCCCGCGAAGACGAGCACGGGCGCCCGCCCCGCGCTCGCGTTGTGCACCGCCGCGCCCAGCCCCTGCGTGCCCACGTCCACGTGCACGATGACGGCTTGGGGTTTGTTGGTCAGGCGTGCGTAGCCGTCGGCCATGGACATGGCGACCATCTACATCCTGAGTTAGCCGGGGGGTGGGGGGGAGGGGGGGAGTGAAAATTGGAAGGGAAAAAAACACCCACCTCATTGGGGCAGGTGATGATGCGGGGAAACTGCCCCTTCTTCTCGCGTGCGCCCTTGACCATAGCCTCGATGATACTGGGATGGTCGGAGCCGAGGTTGACAAAGACATGTTCCACACCGGCGTCCCATAGCGCCTCGAAGAAGGCGAAAGATGTGGTGTACATCTTGGGATTGTTGGTTGCAGATGTGGACGACCAACGGGTTTGTGAGATGGCGGTGGTGGGGTAGTAGGAGGACGAGGAGGAGGAAGTGATGATGTTGGTGTTGGTGTTGGTGGTGGTCAAGGGGCTTGGCGAAAGCAGAGGAATGGATGTTGAACGTGGAAGAGTAGTATTGTTCCCGGGATTTATCGTATTGCTTGGTGCACTCCCGTCGTTGGGCCGGGCGGAGGATGAGATGAACCGGCGCGCTCCAGAACGGTTAATCCCGGTCACGGCTGCCGCGGCGGCATGACGACGGTGTCCCTGAAGGACTCGACTGGCAGTGGTTGCCCGGGGTGGGGTTGCCCGGAGCAGGGGTGGCATCGCGGCAAATGGGAATTGGGATGGGATGCGGGGAGAGAGATACCCGACAGCCGGATCTGGATGCTTTGGGGCAGGTTCTCCAGTGGTGGTCCCGTGCAAAGGTAAAGCCGATAACTCTGGAAGCCAAGAGCTGGCGGTCGTTTCCCCTGGCTGTATTTTAAAGGTTAGAGGTCGTCTCTTGGTCCCGTGCTCTGTAAGTTTCCCGGGGAAAGAGTGGAAGATGTGGAGTTTGAGAGATGTATGGATGTACCTGGCAGTGGAGATAGGTATTCCAAATCCTCAAAATGAGGTGGCTTCCCAATGTGATGTTGGTCAAACAAAACCAACACAAAGGAAGCAGGCGCTGGCCATTGGCTCCCCGTATTTATTGGGCGGTCATTGCCGGTGTAAGTGGTCTCGGCTTAAGGCCCTCATTCCCTGTCGTATTTGTCTCCTGATGACGGCACGGACGTCAAGTGACCCTGATCCCCTGAAATTGAGTTACCGAACACTGCGCTACGTCCGGGGCCAGTCCAACCATCGCTGCGCTTGCTTGCCAACAGATACCTGGCTGCTGGCTTATCAGTTCAAGAGCCGCAGCTGGTTGTTGCTGGTTGGTTCCCGGGTATCGATGTCTTCACCTTGACCTCCGCCTCCGCATTCCCCGCATATCACAACTGTGGAGTCAGCGGGTGTAAGTGAGAAATCTAAGTGGGACCGCGGTTGACGTTGCGGGATGGAATCTCCATCTTTAGGGATTGTTTATTTACTTCATGGTTGTCCTGTTCGAACATTGTTTGGTCGACGCACCCCATGGTTTCTCACCCTCTTATCCATGATTTGGGCGTTAAAGTCCGCTTGTTTTATGTAGTTCCAAGTGGAAGCCGTGGAGCTGAGCCGAGGATTTCCGCGCCTTGGCTGCCGTCCCCGCAAGACCCGCTCCGGCGAGCTGATCGGATGCGGGGTAACCGGGCAGTGCCGGGATCCCTCCGAGTGTACCCAGCTTGGGCCAAGACCCTTCCGTGCCTTCCTTCCAACCCGACGCAGACCGTCAAAGCCGCTCTCTTCCGCCTTTCGCCTTCCGTTAAAGTTCAAGATCAAACCGGAGACTTGCACCCCGAGTACCGGGACCCGGAGCTGCCCGGAGCCGAGTGAGGTCGAGGGAAGGGTGGGGTTGAATAAGGCATCTAGCAATTACGCTCCATATTTGTGTGAGTCTCGAGTTCGGAATCGATTTGGAAATATTGATATGGTCAAGTTGCATGATTTATCACTTTATAACTTCATTTCCTCACCAACTCACTCCAGGGAAAAGGTCGTGTTCGCTTTGGTGTTTTCCGTAGACACCATCACAAGCGTCCCGTCATCTTCCAACCCAACAAACTGGTTTGGGAGATCCGATGCTTCCAACTGGACAACCTGGCTATCCTCAATCCCCGAAACGAGGTTGAAGCTCGCCGATGCCTTCGACGCAGCCGAGTTTAACTCACTACTCTCGTCGAACTGCACCCCTCCACCGTCTACCCGACGCATGAACACGCCGGGGTTACTCGCGGATTCCAGGCTGACCGTGCTTCCGCCCGCCAGCCCGGGATTCACGAACCGGAATAGCGTATTAGCCAACCCTGGCGGGTATATCGGACTCCCAGTCCCCGTGTAATACCACACATATGCCCCCGACTCCGCCCGCAGCCTGACCGGCGTCTTCCCTTCCGGCACGGGCATTCCAAAGTCCGGCGTCCCATCCTCCTTCCAGTACAACTTCTGCACCCGTGTCCGCCGGTTCGGGTCGTTCAGCGGGTCGCCGTTGATGTCGCGGTACCCACGGTCGTGGTACACCATGATGTCGCTCAGCCCGTCCTCGGACACGGTGAACGAGTTGTGACCCGGTCCCCACTGGTTGGTTTTGGCGTCGCTGGCGAAGACGGGGTACCGCGTCTTGCTCCACGACGCCGGGTCCATCAGGTCCGACCCCGCCGTCGCCGTCAGCAGGCCCATGCAGTAGTTCCAGTCGGTCGCGCTGGCCGAGTACGTCAAGAAGATCTTGCCGTTGCGCTGGATCACGTACGGGCCCTCGTTGACCTTGTACCCGACCCGCTCCCACGACAGTGTCGGCCGGGAGATGGCAACCGCAGTGCCGCGGATCGTCCATGGGTTCTGGAGCGGCGCGATCATGATGCTCGAGTTCTCGTCAGGCCGCGATGGCTCCTGCTGCGCCCAGATTAGGTACCGCGTGCCGTTGGCCACAAAGGTGGACGCGTCTAGGGAGAAGGTGTCCCAGTTGGTCTTGATGAGGCCTTTTTCTGTCCAGCTCGCCGTGAGGGGGTTGTTGCCCGTGCCCTCGAGCACGAATGCCCGGATGCGCCACTGGTTGGCCACCCCCAACGCCACGTAGATGTACCATTTGCCGTCGATAAAGTGCAGTTCCGGCGCCCATACCTGCCCGCTGCCCACCCCCGACGACTTACGCCGCCAGATGGTCGTCTCGGCGGCATCCTGTAGCGCTTGAATCGTCTGGGCCCGCCGCAGGATAATGCGGTCGAATGCTGGGACTGTCGCGGTGAAGTAATACCACCCGTCGGTGTGCTTGATGATGTGCGGGTCTGCGCGCTGCTCGATGAGCGAGTTTTCGTAGCTGACCGCCGGGGAGCTGAGGACTGGGGCTGCCAGCCATGCGGTCAGGACCGACACGGCGGCGAAGAAGCCGCTCGAGATGCGCATGTTCAACCGTTCCTCCACACCGGTCTGGGCTTCCAAGGCTGGGCAACCGAACCTAATCGATGGAGCTAGAGACGCCAACCCCGATCGCTTGTCGTGATGAGCGGGCCCCATCCTGGTTCCGGAAGGGAGGTCCCGCCGGCTATTTGTACGAGCAGCGCTTCTCCCCGCACAACAGTGGACATCCGCCCCATACGAGCCGGTTGAATACGGGGAAGGGTTCTTGACAGCATCATAAATCCCGGGTATGCGCTCCAATGATCTGTCTGCCATCGCAATATCCCGTCATTAAGGTACAGATCCCATGGCTCCCACGGCTCCCAAGACTCCCTCGCTAGTCGCCCCTTGCATAAGCCACCCAAGAACCAGGTTAAACCGCCGACCCCCAGCCCCCATCATGCCTCTTGGCTAGCCCTTCTCCTCAGCTAGAACCATGGATCATGTCCAAGCGAGCGGGACGCTTCCTGGTCTGCATCGTCAACTTCCGTGTCTGGCCATGGGCGCCGCCATGAGGAGGTCCGATTGGGGGCGGCGCGTTTAACCGCTCGACGACGACTAACACGGCTTCCGGGCCCTGGGATCGGCAATTCTATTTCTCGGCGTCCTCTGGTCATGATATAAAGGGCCCAATATATCGCGTTACCATTTTCCATATGCCACGCATTTCTAACCCACCGGCGAAGTAACCTGCGCAAAATGCGGTCCCTCTCTGTCGCCGTCGCAGCCCTTTGGGCCGGCGCAGCCTGTGCCCTGCCCACCTCCGACTCGTCAACCTCCTCCCTCGCCGCCCGCAAGCCCGCCAAGGCTGCCGTCCTCCCCAACAAATTCAAGTGGACTTCGACCGGCCCTCTGATCTTCCCCAAGGATGACGATCGTGAGCTCGCAGCCCTCAAGGACCCCACCATCATCGAGACCGATGGCACCTACCACGTCTTCGCCAGCACGGCCAAGGCCGAGGGCTACAACCTCATGTACATGAACTTCACCTCCTTCGACGAGGCCAACGACGCCGACTTCTACTATCTCGACCAGGCGCCCCTCGGCGTCGGTTACCGCGCGGCCCCGCAGGTCTTCTACTTCGCGCCGCAGGAGCTGTGGTACCTCATCTACCAGAACGACAACGCCGCCTACTCGACCAACCCGGACATCAGCAACCCCGCCGGCTGGACGGCGCCCAAGACCTTCTACACGGCGCGCCCGCAGATCGTCGACGACAACATCGGCGAGGGCTACTGGGTCGACATGTGGGTCATCTGCGACGACGCCCTCTGCCACCTCTTCTCGTCGGACGACAACGGCCACCTGTACCGGTCCGAGACCGCGCTGGCCGACTTCCCCGAGGGCATGAGCGAGCCCGTCATCGACCTGGAGGACCCGGACCGCTACAAGCTGTTCGAGGCCGCCTGCGTGTACGCCGTCCAGGGCGGCAAGGGCAAGCAGCAGTACCTGCTCCTGATCGAGGCCATCGGCACCGACGACCAGCGCTACTTCCGGTCGTGGACGTCGGACCGCATCGACGGCGGCTGGGTGGCGCTGGCCGACACCGAGGAGAACCCCTTCGCGCGCGCCAACAACGTCGAGTTCGAGGGCGGCGACGCCTGGACCCGCAGCATCAGCCACGGCGAGGTCATCCGCACCATGCCCGACCAGACCCTGACCATCGACGTGTCGGAGCCCCTGCGCTTCCTGTACCAGGGTATCGAACCGGCCAAGGATGAGGGCGAGTACAATGCTCTGCCGTGGCGTCTGGCCTTAATCACCCAGCAGATCGAGCCCAAGCCGGAGCCGGGCTGCAAGCCGCGGCCGTAAGGTTTGGTGGGTTTATATGTTTAGTAATATATCTGTGCCGGAAGCGTGTTAGGGGTGTCATAGGAATACAAACTATCTACCTATTGAAAATGCTTCCTGTGTTACGGCCCCGTTGAGCCCACCAAAGAGGATCGACCTGAAGCTGAGCAAGGAGCAAGCGTGGCAGGTGTGATGGCAAAGCATGGCAGCTTTGCTGTCGGCATCATGAAATTGATGCATTGCCGGATGCTACCGCAGCGCTGATATTTCCACACGCAGCGACGTAAGGTGAATGGGATCTATCAGGATGACGGGTGTGGATGGAAAGGTCATCTACACGAACGAGTTACATTAATCTCGGGCGAGCAACGGAAAGGAGAGGTATGGTTGGTATTCTACAATGGAGCGTAGCCCCAAGCTGAACGCAAGTGTAAAGTGGATGACATGAGGCCACGAACATGACATATAAGTAAGTACCTAGGTATATAGTCCAGCCAACCCCAGCCACAAACTCCCACGCTTAGTAGGTAAGGTAGTCAACAAACTCCCTGGTAATAACCGAAGTTTAAATCCCAACCCTACCCCTCCCCCCGCTTCCTTAACGCCATCCACTACCACAGCCAACTTCCAAACCCCCCTCACGGATACCGACCAACCCCCCCAATCTGCTGCTCCCTAGTCTGCGAATACGTCGTATACCTCGGCGTCGGCGGAAACCGCACCGGCGGCGGCACCGTCGTCCACGACCCCCTCCCACCACCTGTGCCACCACCACCACCACGCGGACCCCACGCCGGCCCACCCCTCCCCCGCTCCCTCATCTCCCCATCATCATCGTACTCATCATCGTAGTAGTAATAATCCCGATCATTCTGCTCGCGCTCGAGCCGCCGCCGCCGCCGCCGCTGCAGCGAGAGGATGCAGCAGACGAGGAAGATGAGTGTGGCGAGCCCGAGGACGGAGCCCAGTACGGCGCCGAGCTGGGAGGGGGTGAGGGAGGACGGCGGGGCCGGGGTGATTTGCTGGTCTGTGGGTGTGGGTGCCGCCGCGGGGGGTGGTGGTGGGGTGGTTGGGCTTGGGGCGTCGTCGTCGTCGTCGCCGCCGACGCCGAGGGTGACGAGCGCGGTGATGGTGGTGAAGGGGCGCGTGATGGTTTGGGTTATGACGCGGGTGCGCACTTCGAGGTGGCGCGGTGTTGTCACCTCCATGGTGTTGTTGGTGGCTTGGTGGGGGACTTGGGGATTTTGGGATGATGGGAGAGCATGGCGGTGAAGGTCAGGGGTAAAGGGGGGACGGTAAGGCTATTCAGGACTTTAGATGGGCTTTATGAGGGGCTGGCCGTCGAAGAACTCGATTGACTGACTCGACCAACCGCCAAGATGATCCCGCCTCGAGACCACCTTCTCCGATGCACGCCATATCGGGTAGCCTATCATCGGGGGAGCTTGTTCGAGGCCACCAGATGAGCCCTTACCCATTGCCTTATCCCTTTCTAGGCATTAGGCTGCAACGACCGCTCCTGCATGACTTGCAGCTTTCAAGGTGGTGTCCTAGTGGCCCGACGGATGCAGTTGGAGGGTGGGTGAATCCCACTAGTCCCCAATCAGGACCGTCCGGTGATACCTGAATGCGACGTGCCGGCAGCGGCGCTCTTTACGTTGGGGGGCGGGACGCGACCCGTCTTCTTCCAAGGGAGAGGCGGTGTCCGCACCCCTCGAGATGCAGGGCCCTCGCCAGGACAGCAGGGTTTCTGGGATCTCCCGGCGTTGACAAACTTCGAGCAGCTCTGCCAACTGAAGGTCATGCATCACCAGGCAGCTGACAGCAGGATCGCAATAGTGGCAGCCAATAGTTGTCCAAGACGACATCACCTGCATCGACGCCAAGCCGTGGTGCAGCGGCAGGTCTGGATGATCTGTTGCCGGGAACTTACCATGTTAGTTTGTCGTGTGGGATTGGTCCAACATCCAAGAACAGAGATAGATATCCCTATTACCACTGGACTGTCACACCTTTGACATCACTACTATGTGAGCGGGACAACTGCATGCGTTATGAGCCGAGAGGTAGATTTAACGCGAACCAACCCTACGAACCTACAACACCCCAACGAAAGTCAAACTGCAAGGTATTGGCCTCGGGACCCAGAGTCTCTTGTCACCTGAGGGTGGGAGGCTCAACCTGCCACGTCACGGAGTATCTCGTAAATCACGACGGCTAAGTGTGGGTGTGGTGGCAGTGACTACAGCGACAGGTCCGTGGCCGTGTCGACTTGTTTGTTTCCTAAGGGCCGGTCCACAGGGAAGAAGTGAAGCGCTCATAGATAGGCCTAGACAAAGATAGCACAGTGACAGGCCGGCTTTGGCGAAAGCATGAAACGACCAACAATACAATGGCACAAAGGCCATTCACCTCCTTTGTCTTGTCCGGTCCTCGCAGGACAATGCCAGAACGCCACGGATCCGGGTATTCATATCGGGATAATAATAACCAGTAACCAGCGAATACAAGGTAAGAGAACCTCGAATGTGCATGGATGCTAGTCAAGATCCGGGATTGTGAAAGTACCTACATAACATATGTTTTCTGCACATGGTCAGAACACACTGCTTTAACAACCCAGCATCCCAACAATCCCCCTATAACTATGACTCCCTCTTCTCTCTTTCAGTCCACGCTGTCCCACATCGTCTACGTCAAAACTGCAACAACCCAACAACACCACACACTCACAACCGAACAGTCACAATGTTCGACTCACCCCCCACCTTGGAACCTTCAAACGGCCCCCCAACGATCGTGGTCGCAACCCACCCTTCAACCGCCTCCCCAACCATCATCATCTCGACCCTCTCTGCCCTTGCAGACTTCCTCGCCCACATCACCCCCTGCACAACCCTCTACCTCGACCTCGAAGGCGCCAACCTCTCCCGCCACGGCACCCTCACCCTCCTAACCGCCCATCTCCAGCCCTACAACACAACATACCTCATCGACGTCCAAACCCTCGGCAGCGCCACCTTCACCACCCCCGCTAGTAGCACACCCACCCTCACCCACCCCCACAAAGCCTGGCCCCTCTCACCCCCCCACACCCCTCCGTCAACCTCCCAACTCCACGACCGCCACCATCACGAACACCAACAACAACAAGAACAACAGCGAACCCTCAAAACCATCCTCGAAGACGCCTCCATCGAGAAGTGCCTCTGGGACGCCCGCGCCGACGCCGACGCCCTGTGGTGGCTGCACGGCGTGCGCCTGGCGGGGGTCTTTGACCTGCAGCTGCTCGAGTTCCTGACGCGGCCGGTGTGGCGGCGCGGGCGCTTTGTCAGGGGGCTGGCGCGCTGCGTCGAGGCGGATCTCGTGCCGAGTCTTTCTGCTGCTGCTGCTGCCGCTGCTGCTGGTCTTGCTACTGAGCCGAGAAGGGCTAGGGCGGGGGCTGGGTGTGATGTGGGGGACTGTGTCGGGGAGTGTGATGCCGAGGAGTGGTTGGCCGTCAAGAGGGCGGTCAAGGCGGGGTTGGCGGGGGATGGGGATGTGTTTGCGGCGCGGCCGCTGGAGAAAAAGACGGTGCAGTATTGTGTGGGGGATGTGGTGCTGTTGCCGAGGCTGAGGGCCGTGTATATGCGCAGGGCTGGGGTGGGCTTGGGGACCACGGGGTTGGTGCTGAAGGAGAGCGGGCTCAGGATGGAGGCGGCGATGGGGGAGGGGTTTCAACGCGGTCAGCAGGACATGGCGTTGGGGCCGGCGGTGGCGTGTTAGCTGCAGGGGACGGGCTCGGTCACCGAATCCGGACCAATGAGTATTAATTGATATGATTACAACTCCCTAAATTAAACTGACACAATGGTTTCTTTGCTCTATAATCCAACTTCATTCCACATCCCCTTTTTTGATCCCCTCTGTTCAGCCCCTCTGTGAAACCTCTCAGTTCGACTCGGAGACGAACTGAACAACACAACCCACACGCCGTTCAACGCTTAGTCCAGTTTAGGCTGCCGGCTTGTTGACTCTCCACCCTTGGCCTTCCTGAAAGCCTTCATCAGATTGATACCCACCTGAGCGCTCACGCCTTCTTCAACCTGTTTCGCAAAGAAGGCATCGCTGCTTGTCGCCCGTATCGACCTCCCGCGTTCCCTCTCGGCGGGTGTCACCATGAGGTTGGCCTTTCGGTTAGCCTCGATCTCCTCCAAGTGCTTGACCCGCGAGAGGTACTGCGCATTCCTCTGCTTGCGAATGTGCTCGGAGCCGATCCGGTCGAGGACGAAGCGCACCATGGCACGCAGGCCGAGGAAGATGTGCTCGCTCACGAAGATGGTGATGGGGAGAGCCCACCACGCCCCGCCGGCTATGGTTTTGGAACTGTAGAGGTGGACGATAGCACCAGTCGAAATGCTGCCGGCCCATGCGAGGAAGTCGAGCGAGGCAATCCATGGACCGATGCCGTCCGTTCGAACAGGGGCGGGACGTTGATGCCCTTGAGTCAATTTGAAGAAGTCGGTTCGCAATTCGATGATGTTGTTGAGGAAAAAGCCGATTGAGATCAGGGGCCAGACGGGAGAGAAGAGGGCTAAAGTCCCGAACTGGAGGGCAATCTCAGCAATGTCGTCTTGGACGTTATACGGTTCTAAAGTTGCTTGCCTCCGTGCACTTTCGAGGATTTCCGTTTCGTTTGGGTCATCGTTGGCAATCGAGGAGAAGTCGGAGGATTCGGCCTCGGTGGTACGAAAGTTGCGGTACCATTCAAAGAATTTGCGCTTAAGAACCGGCAGCAAGTTTTCCTCGAAGAACGACGACAGTTGGCCAGAAACCGTCAGGGCAATGATCTCGGTGCGTAGTCTGTCTCCGTCAATGTGATGATTGTGTACATGTCCCAGGTGCTTCGACACGTAGGACCCGGCAAGTTTCCTAGCAAGAGACTCGAGCTGAGGGATGAGCCGGTCGCCGAACGGAACATAGAGAAAGGCGGTGATGAAGATCGGGAGGTAGTTCGTGATTATCTGTAGAAAGAAGAACTTTTGCGTGCGTGACATGTCGTAATTGTCCTCCGTCCGGTGGTTCTCAAAGTCTGTAATCAGGGTGGCAATGGACTCGAGGTGACCGTTGATCTGCGGTAGAGCAACGCCGAGCAGGATCGTGGGAACGTATTCCTAGGATATCTTATTGGTATTGGAGAGATTGATGAGGCGACTGAATGCGCTTACAATGATGTTCTTGTAAGGGCCGTCGTAGCCTTCAGACACTAGCGTCTCGAGAGCAAAGACGCCGAGTATGATTATGCCCAGAACGAGAGTTGCTGCGGCCATGACTGGAATCTGTAGGAGCTGACGCAAAACTTGCTTTCGTTTCGAAACGTAGTGCCTCTTTCGGCCTGTGCTGTCCACGACTATTCTCTCCCATCGGAACTGAGGGCGGTTCACTTTGACGGTACCGACGCCCTTGACGTCCCATCTGATGCTGAGGTCGATCTGCTGGATCTTCCAATACTCGAGAAAGACGGTGCACCAAACAGTGGTCAGGATGGCGTATGTGGGAGAATAAGCAGGCAGGAATTGCCAGGCGATCAGCCCGGTGATGGCAGGGAATGTAAGGAACACGAGGTAGGCCTGGATGAAGGCAAAGTAGAAGGCAACCTGATACACGTGAGCCAACGGGCCTATGCAAGGGTTGAGAGAACGGCAAATCACCTTCGTTCCGAACAGGTTCCGGATCTGATCGAGGTCACTGTTGGTCAGGAAGAACCGACTGCTCAAGTGTTTCAAAAGGGACACGTTGGTGGGTTCGTCGTGCAGAGGGAAGATGCTGTCGATGTTCTCCCACTGGCCCCAGCCAGGGGTGATTCCCGCTCCGCCATTGGACTTGGGCCAGTTCACCAAATGGTAAACGGAAAGGATGTCCTCGGCTTCGAATGCGCCGTCGACAACAGCATTCTTCGCCCCACCAGGATGGGTCTGGACGATTCCATACAGCCAGTCCTTGAGTCTGACAGAGCATTCGTGAGTGGCTTGAAGCGAGAGGTGAATTCGGGATGCTCACCGAGAATTGTAGACGTAGCTTCCCAGAATCTTACGGGGAGCCTTGACAAAGGCTAGAAGAGTGTCGTCATGGCCGGCTCGCAGCTCTGTCTGAAAGCCCACTGACTCGAGGTCTTGAACCAAGGCAGTGATTTCCTTGTCGGCAATGTCCGGGTCTATCGGGGTCAGCTCGGGGTTTAGGGAGACGCTGAGGAGCTCCGGCTACTTACCCACGTCCTTGTAATTGTAGACGATCACGTATTTGTCGTTATACCGCTGTCCCTGGCGTGAGATAGATCCTATCTGTATGGCAGGGTATTCCATTCCTGGATGCAATGGCGAGGACTGGGACGTGTTTTGACACCGGCCGGGTCTGTCCACGTTTCTAGAAGAAAAGAAGAAATGTGAGCGGACAGGTACCAATAATCTCACCGAAAAAGAGGAGAGACAAGACAAGAGAATACCAAGGCCGGGCCGGAATTAACCAAGTGCCAACCAACCGCGTCAGCAGATCCACATGTGGGGACAATGGACGAGCCAAGGTCTTGTCGAGAGCGGTTGGATGCCGTGTATGCGTCCAGGTACACACAGTAAGCATTTCCGGTTCGATCATAAACAGGGTAGAGCGGCACAGAAGGTTGACAGGGTTCGGTAAGGACGTTGGCCAGCAGGACCTCACCGCCCGAAGATAAATATCATAGTTGTCTAAATACTACCTACCCCCCTGTCAAAGTTTCTGCTCCCTCTCCTTCTTCCACACGGCGTACTTGCGGTAAATATCATGGCGGAAAGTCTGCTTCAAGCCCTCCACCGTCTCGCCAGCGAGGGGAAGCGACGGCTGAACGGCACCAAGTCCGCAGAGGTCATTCTTGCGATCAATGAACCAAGCAAAAGACATGCCGCCGCCCCATGACATGGTCTTTTCGCCGTACCAGCCCTCAAGATCCTCCAGCATCAGCAGGCCGCCGAGACCATGACCGAGTTTCGTCCCTGCGTCCGTTCCCACCCGGAAAAAAACCCCAGTCGGACCCTGCATAGCAGCACGATGCCCCTCAACTGCGTCAGGGCCGATGTGGTTTTGGAACATATCCTCCACCGTCTTCGGCTGCAGTAGCTTCCCATCATTGGCCAACAGAGACCGCAACACCTTGACATAGCCCTCCCCGGTCATAGACATGCCATGACCGCCAAAGTCCCCCTGGCTGCGCCTGTTCATATCTCCTCCACCACCCAACACAGCGCGCCCCACCCCCTCCGGATCCTCCGGGTTTAAATCCACCAGACGCGCACGCACACCGTCCCCCCTCACGGGGTAGAACTGCGCATCATCCGGCGCGATCCCCAACGGCGCGGCGATGCGGCGACGCACATGGTCACCCAGCGAGACGCCGGTAACGCGCTCCACAATACGACCGGCCCAGTCCAGCCCGGGCCCGTACATCCACGCGGTACCCGGCTGGAAGGCTAGCGGGTAAGCAAAGGCCTCCTCGACGGGCCGGCGCGCGCCCGCCGCCGGCTCCGTCTCGTTGCGCTGCCTCCACCGCACCAGCCGCGGCACCAAGAAGTCGTAGCTCAGCCCGGAGGTGTGCGTGAGCAGCATCGCGAGCGTGACGGGCCGCTGCGCGGGTACCGGCTGGGCGCCCTCGTCGTCGCTCGCGAGGACGGGCAGGCTGGCGAGTTCCGGCGCGAGCTTGGAGAGGTCGCCGTCGAGGGAGAGGAGCCCGTCTTCGACACACTGCATCGCGGCGATGCTGGCGATCAGTTTGGTGGCCGATGCGAGGTAGAGCATGTCGTCGAGCTGCTGCGGGCGCTTTTCTCCTGAAAGGAGGGTGCGCTCGCCGAGGGCGGCATTGTATGTGAACGAGCCTGACGCGTTGGTGGCGCAGATGACGCCGCCTTTGACCTTCCCCGAGGTGATGGCGGTTTGGAAGGCTGTCTCGATAGTTTCTGAGGCCATGATGAGAGTAGGGTGAATCGGGGGGATGTTGAGGATGGTGTTGAGGGGAGGGAGGGGGAGCGGCAGAGGGGTTGCTTCTTTCGGTGAATCAGCGATCTTCACGAATATCCACCCGGCAACTTAAAGCCGTTGACCCCCAAGGCGCTTAATTCAGCGGCTAGGGGCGGTTTGTTCCGTGCCGGCACCGGCCGGTCTTCCGAGAGGCCCAGTCAGGGGCAGTCAATGCCACTCACGAGTTACACGACTCCAAAGTCTCAGACAGGCCCGTGGCGCAGCATTCTCTCATTTCTCAGATGGTGTTTTCACATATTTACCAAGGCCGAGACCTCAATCTTTAGGCTCGAGGCTCCAGGGAGGCTTCGGCCTTCCAGTCCTACAACATAGGATGTACATTGGGTCAAGGAAGCACGAAGGATTATCTTCTAACAATAGCCCACGTAGGAACGAGGGCACCTCACCCGCTTTATCCTAAAATTGAACTAAGCGACGCATTCTGCTCTGAGCTTGGTCAAGCCAGAGACTGGGGAACTAGTAGTACTCGTTATATCAGAACATTCTACCTAAACTGGACTGAACCAGAACTATGCTGGGAAGTTGTCACGAAGAGTGTGTCATCCGAGTCGGCACGGGGAGCCTGGCCACGGATGCCCCCTCGGTTGTAGACTACGGACAAGGATATCTCTCACATCTACCCGAGCTAACAACCGTTTCCCCGTTGTTTTCAGGCCCAAGGACCAAAGGAACGGCTGCTCTCCCGTATCAGAGCTTGAGTCTAGCCGTTGATATTCTGGTTGGAAAACCACGACATACGGTTGCGCGGGCCACTAACGGACTCTCGTGTGTTCTTAAACGTCCCACGATGTAAAAGAGTCTAGATTGCTCTCAGCGCTTCTCATGCCTGCCCCTTCAGCTCCTCCCTGATCACCCGGCTTCTTACTTTCCCTCTGATAGGTCACGTTGAGCAGGCGTGCGTCAGCACTAGGTACTGTCTCGTTCCAGTGCCAGATGTGATGGCAACCTGCATGGTCGGTGGGCCAGCTCGGACCTCGTCTCGCGTCCCAAAGCGAGAGCTCACCTGGTTAACATGGTTGGCATGCTTACATGTAGAGTGAAGGTTGTGTGTAACCCTATCAGCTAGAACCAGTAAATATTGCGTTGCTTTCCTCATGGTCTGTTCTCTGTATTTTCGTATCGTAGGAGCAATTCATCAGTGCTCGGTTCGCGTTTAATCTCAACCATAAACGCTAGAAACGGTCGACAGGTGAGATGATTATTCGCTAGGGCACGGTACAAGATGCCTTCGCTACCATTGTCTGGGCCCTGTCAACTTCTGCTTGCGGGATGAGCAACTGTTGCAGGGGTCGGAGAAAAGACGCAAGGCGTCAGCTCGCTCAAACTTTGGATAGGATGCAACTATTGATGCAGTGATGGGTGAATCGAGCACCAATTCCCTACTCACCGACCAGTTCACCATTCGTCATCCATGGTAGGGCTGCTGGGTGTGGCCGTCTTCCCGGCATTGCAGGTAACCAGACTACGAGGCGTGGATGTCGTCGTCTATAAGAACGACCTCTTGCTCGCAGTTTAACATCTCCTTTCTGTATCCCCAATACTCTCAGTCGCTAACACAATCATCCCATCCACCCATTTCCAACCCCTATCAGAAAACCAAGTCCAAAACCGCAAACATGCAGTTCACCACCATGGTCGCCGGCGCCGCCGCTCTCTTCACTGCTGCCACCGCATCTCCCGTGGTAGCCCGCGCCACCAGCATTGACGTCAACCCCTTCGCGCTCTCCTGCACCGCAACCCAATGCTCGTAAGCCCCCCTCCCTCCCACCACCCCCCCAAAAAATCACAGATAACCTAACCCCCACCCAGCTGGACGCTCAACTACAACCTCGTCCCCGAGAACAGCGCTGCCGCGTGCAGCTTCGTGACCTCGGGCGCGACCATCCCGACCACGATCGGCACAGCCATCGGCCCCTTTGCGTGCTCGCCGTCGGACCCCAACGTCGTCGTGCGCATCCAGGTGCTCTCGGGCCAGTACCGCGTGCTGATCTCCGTGGTCGGCGCCCCGACGGCCAACTTCGACTACTTCCTGCCCGCGTCCGACTTCCCGGGCCTGAACAGCTACACTGGCCCGTCGAGCTTCACTGCTTTGTGAGGGGCGCGAGGGTTCTGCGAAAGGGGGCGACGGGCTGGGGGGTTGAGGTGACGGAGCAGGAGGAGAAGTGATGGACACTGATGTTTTTATATTACCTTGAAAGTCGAGTTTGAATTCAACCTTGATTGACCCCAATATCAAATAGCCTGGTGGTTGGTGACCTACGGCGGTGATAGTGATATCACGTATTGGCAGCAGAAGTGAACAAAAACGTGCCGCTGCCTATCTCCGTGTCATCTTTCGGGAACGAATCAATCAGGCGTTTGAACCCCTGAAGCGGTTTCTCGTTTGGCCAAGCCTTGAACGACTCATTCAGCACCCTCCGAGCCGAGATCTTTTTCCCCTTTGGCGTCACGATGAATGCCCGCTTGTCGGCCTTTTTGTCGATGAGCAACTGGAAGATCTTGACGCGGTCCTCGGCTACCCTTCTCGCGTCGTCCAACCTGGCGCCAATGGCATTGACTGCGCTGGGGTAGGTCTCGTACTGCCACTGCAGCGCGCGCTCCCAGCACGTCCGCCCTTCGAACCTCTCGTTTGGATCCGCACCTTGGTCTAGCAGGGTTTCGACAAGCGCCGGTTTCACTAGATCGTATGGGGCAATCTTTGCTAAAGGGACCAGTGCGTAGTCGAGGAGTGGTCGGCCTTTCTTGGACTTCAGTCCTTTACCGAGCTTGGCTCCGACGTAATTCTGCAGTCCGAATTGGATGGCAAGAGTCAGAAAAGAATCTTCCCAACTTCTCTGATGAGCGCACTCCGGATCGAAGTGGAAGTTGGCCCAGTGCATCTTGGCAATGCGCTTCGAGTCCCGTCCGCGGTCCTCTACTCCGACGATCCCGTGGGGATCCTGGAGCTTCGTTTCGAGATAGCGAAAATCGGGGCCCCTCTGCAGGTTGTCATGGTGATGCTGCATGGTGCGATCCAACTCGGCCAGTAACTCTGCATACCTCCACATTAGGCCTTGGGTCCGGTCGTGCTTGGACTCGATCTCGTTCGCTGCCAGCAACGCCGTAGTGACAAACGCCCACAGGTATTGCCGAGGAGTCCTTAGGGGAACGCATTTGAGCTGCTGCACCGCTGACTTGAGTAAAGCGGTGCGGGGGCAAAAGCGCCCGGGGAACAGGTACATAGGGTCGACGGCATCAGCCAGTATCGAGGCGGATTCCTTTCTAAGGTAGTCGGGCACCGACCGGTGGCAGTACCGAATCGTCGACGTTAGACTCCAGTCGGGTCCCCCGTCTTCGGGTGCCGTAGTCGTAATGAATCCGGGCCATGCCGTGGTGAAATCTTTGGCCAATTTGTTACACTTCCACTAGATCAAGGTTTTAGAAACCGGCCACTTCATGATGGGCAACTTGATGGTTTCGTCCGGATGTCCCAAAGCCAGTGCCAAATCAACGAGTCTCGGGGCGCCTTCGCCGTTGTCGGACCCGTTCTGCATCATATCCGTTCGGGCGAGCATGACCAGGGCCGCCTGCGAGGCGTGGCGTCGGACGGCAACGGGAATGGCTGACCACATCCTCCGATATAAGTCATCCAGCATCGGCATCGCTCGTCTTTTAAGATCATCCAAGATCTTGGATACTGTCTCACCGTCCGCCAACTTCGATAGGACGGCTCTGACTGATAACACGGCCCACAGAAACACGCCATTCGAGTTTTCGACAATGTAAAGGATGATAGAATCCCAGGTCTGCTCGTCTAGCTCGTTTGCCGCTGGCAACAAATCGTCCTTGTTGAGTGTTTTGTTCACATAAGACCTGATATCTTCCCGGTTGAGGTCGTGTAATGTGAGCTGTGGCTGGATCCCCAGCTTGTCCAATGCCTCTAGCGGTCGACTTGAAACCAGAGCCTTGATGCTGGGCGAGGTTACAACTTCGTTCTTGAAGAACTCAATTATCTCAGTGAAGTTATCTTTCCCGTCTTCGTGCTGGTACTCGTCGATACCGTCGATGAGGAAGAATAGCTTCAAGGCCGACTGGTCTTGCTTGACCAGCCTCCGGAAGGCGTCTCGTAAGTGGTCTACTCGCCATGCTCCTAGCCCGGCGCTCGAAGGGTTCCTGTCGTTGGAAGCCGAAGCGTAAAACATGGACCATTCGTTGGGAAACACGTTTGGCATAAGATGCGGTTGCTGGTGGAGGATGCTGTAGAGCAGAGATCTCAAGAGCCCTTCCTCTTGACTTTTCAAGCCGGGTGCCGCTGCGCCAAAAGTAGAATGTAGCCACCACAAGCGGGGCCGGCCTTGCCCACTCGGCCAAGCAACGGGTAGTCTGGGGCTGTGTGGAGATGTATTTCATCAGCGTCGATTTCCCCGAGGCCTCCTTGCCGGTGATGAGATAGAGGCCGGATCCATCGGCCATCCATTCCGGAAAATTGGTCCATCTCTCGTTCACGGGCTCCTCGAAGATCCACTGAAAGGAGGAACCGAACGTCGGCTCAATATCGTCTTTTCGACGATCCATGGCCCCGTATTGGAGGAGCCTCAAGACTGCGCCGTCAGCTTCTCGTCTTATGGCGAACTCCCTTTCTCGATCAGGTTCTCCATTGTTTCCCGGCCCCAGAACGCGGTTAATGAGTTCTCCAGCCGAGGTCAGGTAGTGTGTCTCTTCCTCGGTCGTCAGGTTAGATTTCCCCTGGGCGAGCAGTGCGGTAACAGCGGCCTTGGAATATGCATCGAGTTCTGCAAAACGGGGTGAGGCTTGGATCTCGTCGAATCTCTCCTGATCCTTGCGTCGTAAGTAATCCCGCCTGGTCCGCAAGTGCCTAGTGATCAGCGTAAGGCTCTCGAGTCTCAAGCCGAGGAGGGCTCTCACAGCATATCCTGAAGCCGTGCCCCCAAATCTAACACACGCGTCATCAATGCCTTCTCCTCTTTCCGGCGTCTTGCGTGTCGTACAGAGTACGCCACACGCTCCCACGCGGACTCGTCAGGTTTCAAGGCCTGTTTCGCTCTCAATACCCCCTGCAAATCTGCAACTAGCCCGCCGGCATCGTCCGCAATCATACTAAGCTCGTCGTTGGTGGAATTCAACCTCATCTGGTTTACGATTTCTAGTGTATCGTGGATCTGGGCGAGTTCTGAGCTGTCCTGAAGCCTTCCGCGGCCTTCAAACAGTACTTTCTGGGCGGTATCCAAGAAGCCGACGACAGAGGCAGCAACGGATAAGGCCGAGACGGGATCCATGCTGGCCGTCGCCGCGGGCAGGAGTAGAAAGCCGGTCGAATTTAGACGGTGCAGATCTCGAGCGAGAGCGGGGGTTGTTATTGAAGAGGCACCTGAACCGAGCAGCTCGCGGGCTCAGCCTGTGACCTTTCGGAGTTTCGGTACCTACGAAGTCAGCCTGTCAGGTCCTGCATGTTTACTCCGTATTTACCACTCATTGGGTGATTTTATACCCCGCCCAGGCACGTGAACAGCTTCCAGCCACACGCTGAGCGTCGATCCAATGCTGATGCTGACTGGCGGTCTGACTCTGCGTTGCCTGGTTGCCCACTCCCAAGCGGCATAATACAAATGGCACAAACTCAACCGGACCGCGGGCGAGACCCCAGGGTCCTGTCTGCCCCGGCGGCGTTAATGGCCGGAGAAGAGGACTGGGCGATATTTCGGCGCTTCGACGAATTTAATTTGCTGAATCTTTTGATTTTACAAGACGAGGTCCAGAAGTTGACCACCCAGCTCAAACAACTCTATCCACAGACCACCGACCATGCGGACGGAGATGCCAAAGCCTGGTACATGCTAGCGCACCCGCTCGCCAGGAACAATGCTCCTACAACGCAAACCCAGGCGCAAGAGAGTGTGGAAGCTAAACGGAGAGAGGTGTGGAAGGATTTGAAGGAGAAACTCAAAGAATACAGTGAGCCAAGGAGAACACACTCGTCAAGCGCCTTGGGTTGAGACATGCAGTGATCCAACGAACCGTGTTTCTTTTCGACCAACATAGACGGCGCTCTGCTGGAAATGGCTCACCTAAGAAACCTGGAGCCGCCAGGCCCCGACCATATCAAGCGTCTTAGGAGAGAGCTCGATACGCTGGCGTCCCAGTCTCTCCTCCCCGAAGAGGCCACCGTGTGCTGGGAGGCAGCTAATGACGACGATTTTGTTGTCCTCCGGAGCGGAGTCGACAATGGCGGTCGGCTCAACACCTGGATCAGGTTGGGCATTGAGATACTCAAGTGGGAGTTGTGGGGAAGACACAAAGTACGTTCTTTACCGTTGCAGGTGGCCCCCATACTGCCTCCCATACTCCTCACCAGTACCCGCAGTCTACTAACCATTGCCATAGGCCACCACCGCTACCGTGTCGGACGCGCCGCCGGTCATTGCGTTAGGGAAGAAGCGACCTCACATGAGCCGAGCTGAGATGGCCAGGAAACACGCCTTCGCTTCACGCTTCACCATGGCTCTCTTTGGCGGCATTGCCCTCATCCTACCGACGGTCATCATGTCCAAGCTCCAGGGCATCAATGTCAGTCTCATCACCACCTCGATCGCCGTCTTTCTCTTCGGCCTCGCACTAGCATTCGGCGCCACAGACAGCACGGGAAAGGATGTCTTGACCGCAACAGCTGCTTACACGGCCGTTCTGGTTGTGTTTGTGGGCACGAGTCTGGATACTAGTGGTGGTGATGGGTCAGCCAACCCGAGTGCTGCAGCGAACTCGACGGTGTAAATGTAGACACAGGAGCTAGGATATAGTTAGGTAGATAAAACATCGGCCGTCTTGTATTCTAATCACCTCAACATTTCGTGACGAAATCGATCGAGCAGATCAACAACTTGAAAAGGAGGCCGCCCTTCGATACACGCAACCCTAACCCCAATGAGCTAACTTGGAAACCTGCTAGCACTTCTGACTGCCGAATCTTGCATGCCGCGTTAGTGAGGTTGCATGGCGTCGTCGAAGCCACAACAAAAGCGTCAGCTCGATCTCGGCAAGCTGGTTGGTCTCGTCAGCTCGTTCGGTTACGCATCTCGGCGCTGTCGGCGAACGCCAGCGCTGATCCCTTGTGTCGCCCAGATTTTAACCCTTGTTGTCTCAGCGTTCGGAGAAACAATACTCATATCGTGGCCTTTATTCGAGATTTCGATGCGCTAAATTGAGTTGCGGCAATCGCTAACCTCAATCCCATGGATTGTGTCAATGTGTTCCAGTTCGTGGCAATTCGGCGACGCATCCGAGCTGCAGGTCCCCTCAAATCCCAAAGCTCCAGCGCATCGTCCGAGAATCCCACTGTGGCTTGTTATGCATCGCGCTAACTCTCCAGAGCATGCCAGATCAGCGGTTGATTGGCAGGAAGGTGCTGCTGAAAAAATGAGACACGCACGATCCCGGGACCGGTTGTTCGCCAAGCCGACTGGGCCAAGGGGAGCGTGGGGACCCAAGGAAGGGGTTGGTGGATCTCTTTTCCTTCTTTTTCGCCGACTTCTGCGTCGCCACACACCACTGCACCACTGCATTCTCTCCCCACAAGACCAACCCGAAGTGCTGAACTAGCTTAACGGTCGAACATCACCAACGCACATCATGTCGCAGCCGCCCTATCGCGAATCCCCGTCGTGATTGTAGCCCGCGACGATGGATTGGGTTAACCGTATCGTCCATCTCGAGCGACGAGTGCTCGGAATTGTAGGTTCATCTCATCAGTCGTGTTTTCAATTCTGGATGATTCTCAATTCTCGATTCGCGATTCTCAATGTCCCGTGCTTCATGGTTGCCGCACTGGCTCATCCCCCGCCACCGGAACCGCCGGGTTTGATTGATGCCATCATTATCATGTGCTTGCTTGTTGCTTCAAGTTGCTTTCATTGCACAATGCCGGGCTGCTAACCGTGATGGTGGGGCTGGTTGGCTGACCGTATTGCTGTTGATAGAACGAGAGTGACGACGGTCGTATCGGATCCGGGCGCAATGATAGCGGTGGCGGTGGTACCCTCGTCAACTTCAACCCGGCCGACGATGGCAAAAAGTCCGAGTCGTTAGCCTCACTCGGAAGCACCTTCATCCCCGTTGTCGTCTACTCGGCCATCTGTTTGCTCATTTTCTTCGTCTTCCGCCGGAAATGCCGCCGTGTTTACGCTGCGAGGACCCTACCATCCCTCCGTTCTCCAGAGTGAGTAGCCCCCGTCTGTCTAGTTACTGGCCAACCCCCCGTCCCATGGTTCATGAGGCTGAGACGCGCTGTAGGAGCCCGAGCCCCGAGCTCCCGGATGGCTGGTTCAACTGGATCAAGCCCTTCTTCGCCATCAAGGATGATTACATCCTCAACAACTGCTCCCTAGATGGCTTCTTTTTCCTCCGCTTCCTCCGCATGTTGTCCATCATTTGCCTTGCTGGCGTCGTCGTTGTCTGGCCCGTCCTGTTGCCCATAAACGCTACCGGTGCCAGCGGGCTGCTGGAGCTGGATTCCCTGACCATCGGCAATGTCAAACTCCCCGACAAGTACTACGCCCATGTACTCGTGGCATGGTGCTTTTTCGGTTCGTGACTGGCGGGATACAATGCTGGTGAACCTGCTGACACTCGACGCAGGTTTCGTGCTTTTCATGATATGCCGCGAGTGCATTTACTATGTCAACCTCCGGCAGGCCTATCTGCTCTCGCCAAACTATTCGAAACGGCTCTCCTCTAGGACCGTCTTGTTTACCTGCATTCCAAAGCCTTATCTGGAGGAGGCAAAGCTGCGGAAGCTGTTCGGCGACTCGGTCAAGAACGTCTGGATCGTCAAGGACACGAGCGCTGTGCGCGCCCTCGTCGAAGACCGCGAGGAGACCGCCGACCGGTTGCAGCAAGCAGAAGTCAGATTGATCCGACTAGCGAACGCCTCGCGCCAAAAGCATCTCAAGAAGCACCCGGCCGCCTCCACCTTGAATAATCATCTCAACGAGAGCGATGCCAACTCGCCTCGGCCTTCACAAAATGAAGCCGAAAAGGGCCACGTTATTGATACTGCCGAACACTTCGCCGAACGTCAAATGTCCGTTTCGGACAGCCCAACGTTAGACAAGGTGCAAGATCCCGATTACGTTCACCCGTACGGCCTCGACCCGTCGCTGCCGGACGTCAGGGGCTCCGTGGCCGCCCTCTGGCTCCCGGTTCAGTCGCGACCTCACCACCGCCCGCTTCGGAACTTTGGCCGCCGGGTTGACACCATCCGGTGGACCAGGGCGAGGCTGAAGGTGCTCAACAAGGAGATTTGGAAGCTCCGCCGGAAGTTTCGCCGAGGCGATGGCGCCTCACTCAACGCCGCGTTTATCGAATTCGACTCGCAGGCTGGCGCCCAGGCAGGCTTCCAGATCCTAGCCCACCACCAGCCGCTGCATATGTCACCGTGCTACATCGGCCTCCAGCCCGACGAAGTCATCTGGAGCGTGCTACGCGTCCGCTGGTGGGAGCACATCATGCGCCGCTTTTTTATGATGGGCGTCATCGCCGTCGCCATCGTCTTTTGGTCCATTCCCGCCGCCCTCGTCGGTATGATCACCAACATCAAATCTCTGAGCGAGATGGTCTTTTTTCTCGAGTGGATCATGCTGCTGCCCGGCTCGATCCTAGGTGTCATCCAAGGTCTGTTACCGGCCCTCGCCCTCTCCTGGCTCATGGCGGCCGTCCCATGGATGCTCAGGGGCTGCGCCAGGGTGGCCGGCGTGCCCTCGCGTGCCCTGGTGGAGCTGTACGTGCAGCACGCCTACTTCTTTTTCCAGGTTGTGCAGGTCTTCCTCGTCACCACACTCACCTCGGCAGCCTCGGCAGCCGTCTTCGACATCATACAAAACCCGATCATGGTAAAGGACATGCTCTCCGAGAACCTACCCAAGGCATCCAATTTCTATCTGTCGTACATTCTCATCCAGTGCCTCGCCGCTGGTACCACAAGGCTCGCCAACGTTGGCGACCTCATCCGGCACGAGGTCATTGCCAAAACGCTTCCCAACCCGAGACGGCGCTTCTACCGCTGGCGCAGATTGCGGGAGATTCACTGGGGGAGCGAGTACCCTCGCTTCACCAACCTGGGCGTAATCGGTTAGTTCATTCATCTTTATATGCTTTAGGGAAGCCCTAGCTAACTCGCCATGCTAGCCATCAGCTATTCCTGCATCGCGCCCATGATCCTCGTCTTTGCGGGGCTGGGCATGTTCTTTACCAGCTACGTCTACCGCTACAACCTGATATACGTCAATGACACCGGGCCCGACAGCAAAGGGCTCTTCTACCCCCGCGCACTCATGCAGCTCATGACCGGGCTCTACATCGCCGAGGTCTGCCTCATCGGTCTCTTCGCCCTCAAGTCCTCATTCGGCCCGCTTCTCCTGATGGTCATCTTCCTCGTCTTCACTTCACTCGTGCACATCTCACTGAGCGGAGCCATGACGCCGCTCCTCAACAACCTTCCGCGCACACTCGCCCTCGAAAAAGACATGGGCCCCATCGCACAAGACGAACAGCCGGGCGACGACACGGCCCAGCCAGAGCCCCACCCCACCGGCGGCCTCGCCGCAGACTACTACAACATGACCGACGACGACGACTCGGACAGCTTACCAGACAACGGCCCCAACCACGACCTCGACACCGACATCCAGCTGCGCGGCATCGAAGGCAGCAGCAGCCTGAAATACCAACTCGGCCAATGGACCAAATCCCTCTTCAAATCCACCTTCACCACCTCCTCCCCACCACCGCCCTCCCAGTCCCAACCCCACCACGCCGGCGCCGTCACCCACAACGACACCAACACAAGCGGCCTCACCCGCATCCTCACCCAAATCAAACTCTCCATCACCCCGGACCCCTCCCGGCCGCCCAACATGCTGCTCACCTTCCTGCACCCGGAGATCTACCAATCCTTCCGCACCCTCCAGCACACCGTCAACCCGAACCCGGACCCGGAGACGCTACCCGCCGACTACGCCAAGCGCGCCTACTGGCCGCCCGAGATGTGGACCCCGGCCCCCCGGCTCTGGCTGCCGCGCGACGACGCCCGCGTCAGCCGCCAGGAGGTCGCCCACTGCGCGGGCGCGGTCGCGGCCGCGAGCGACCGGGCCTGCTGGCTGGCGGAGACGGTGCGGAGTCGGAGGGGCAAGGGGGCGGTGGCCAGGGTGGAGTGTCGGATGGAGGAGAGTCCGCTGCTGGAGGGGGAGGTGCGGTGGGTTTATTAGGGTTTGGTTTGTTATTGAATGGGGGGTTGTTATCTACCCAGGTTTCTCTTTTTTCTTTTGGTGTTTTTTTCTCATTTTGGTGGTGGTTTCTTTTATCTACAGTTTGCCCATACGGTGGACCCGGGAGATTGAATGACACCGACCGTGTAGGGTACCCGGCGGATGGGCTGGAAACCGGCCGGCAGGCATATCGTGATTTTAATCATAATCAATACCTATCTTACCTATCTTACTGTTACAGAGACTTCGCAGCTTTTGTATCACGTAACCCGGCAGGGGTTGGGTTACGGTTCCAGCTCCGTGGGGAAGACAGCTTGCCCAGGTCAGCAGAGCGCATCCTTTGTAATTATTTCGTTGTTTCAGGGCGAACCCGCCAACTGAAACGGATAATTAATCAATCGCCAACAATGCCGGCGACGGGTGAGGCACGGATCTTGGCATCAGACAACAGACGCGCTGACGTTTAACCTCCCATGGCCCGATTTAGTCTTACCATGAAAAGACGACAGGCCCGTTTCTCACATCAGTGCGTAATTCGAGAGATGGGCCGCGCTGTTGAAAAGGAAAAAGGGTGCCTTCCGTGCCACAACGCCAAGAGGCAACTCTGTCACAGAGTGAAGGCAGAATCGAGATGTTGCTCGGCAGCTTGGCTGTCACAGTTATTGCCTGCCAAGTATGATGGAGATGTAGCCTTGGAGATCTTGGAAGCCTTGCAGGCAGCCTTGGAATCTTGGGCGTCTTGGAGGTCTTGGAAGTTCCACTATATAGGTATACACGTCCTCGACTCTGAACGGTCTACTGACAGCAACAAGGACGTTCCTTGATGGTGCAACGTGACCCCCAACTTCAACGGAACCCACAAGTCAAACATATCGCGGCACAGCTCGGCAGTTCCTCAAATAGTCTAATTGACTGCGCCACCACGTGCTCTGCCCTTTCGCACCCAGCGCCAAAGCCTCGGAGTTGACGGCTGGCTGACATGACCGTCGTCGACGTCGAGGAGGCTGTGTTGCATACCGACTAACAAGGCTTCCTTTGTTCAGCGATGCCGACCCGGGAGGACGATGTTCACATCGACTAACACAAAATCCTGACCAAAACCTTGGACATAGATCGTAGCTAGCGTGTTCTACAGTTTGGCTGGCACTAATTAGACTTACAGCGGGAGGTAAGTATTCCCATCACGAAGGGTTCATCACGAAGGCAATAAACTAATGACCGAATAGCAAACGCGGGTATGCGAAAGCAGTGTTTCTCTCGCTCTCAGTGGGAGCACAACCCCGACTCGCGTCATGAGATTGCTAATCAGCTGTGGCTAGCGCCGCTATCTCCCTGCTAATTTTGAATACTGATCAAAATCTCCGCGGACTTTATCTTTCCGCGGAGTTAGGGGCGAACGACATGATGGATGAGTTTGGCATCTGCCTGGGGTTGGCGCGGGGCGGAGCAAGTCGGACCGCAAAACATCTCACCGAATGTCTGACCGGCCGCTTTCTACCCCTTATCGACAGCACACGAGCCAAACACGGCGAGGCCTCGTGTGGTCACCATGGCAGTCCTGCGGCTTATCCATACCCAGCGGCTACATCCGTGCAACGGGTGGTAGGTACTAACTCAGCAAGCATCCGATCAAACCCGGAACGACTCGGTCTATTGAGCCTCTCCTCTTGACGGAACGAGAATCGTGTGAGGTAAGCTTACCAATTATAGGAGGCTCAAGAGCTGAGGCGGGTGCGGATGGGCTGGTCTAATTAGATCATCTTTTTGGGGGCATACCTCGGCCTTGGCGGGAGCAAGAACGCTCAGTCTGTGTATTTTCGGTACCCACGTCTGAATGGTACCAGCAGGTGGTCGGGTTGAGATCTGGGCGTGTCGTCGTCGTCCACCATCCAGAGAGGCGGACGCGGAGTTGAGGGCGCTGATGAGCCATCGGCAGCATTTCTCGACCCGCCTTGATCCGAATCCTCGGGCCCGGGTTCAAAAGCAAAGCCCTCTGCTCGCATGTAACCCTCCGCTTCATATGACCCATAGGACCCAAAAGAGGCAAAAGACGGCGGGAGCCGCCGGACTCATGAGAATGACCGTGTCCGTGGCTTTACGCCCTCCTACCTAGAGCCATGTGGCGGTGGCATGGAACATTAAGAATAGAATCCTTCGCAAGGGAGAACCTTGTCATTTTCTATCAAGAACCCACAGTTTCGCACTCAACCAACTGTGCGTGTCAGCAGGCACGCAGGTCACCTAAGCGCTTGGAGCGGCGAAGCATCAGGGGGGAGCTGGGCCACGAGAGACACAACTTAGGGTTGGGGTTAGGTATGGAAGCACGACCTGCTCACGCCGACCAAGACCTACAATGCCCCGAGCGAGCCGCAGAGCGACGACTCGGACACAAGCGGTTTCAGAAGTACACTAGCTAAAAGTCTAATAGACCCCCACGCCCTAGGACTAGACCTTTCAACCTGACCGCTGACCGAACAGAGACCTCCCTGGTCCATCCGATGGGCCTTTCGTTTAACGGGAAGGAAGTTTCAACCGAGACCCTTTCCAGGCTGATAAATGGTGAAATATTACGAATCTCCCAATCCAGTATTCATTATCGTAGTGTTCGGACGGTTACTCTTATGGTTCATCATCACGTCACACAACGTATAAAATCTAGCATCCTTCCGTTCTAACCTCCACCATCACCACATATCTGCTCTCAACTTCATTTTTACTTCTATTACAAGCTGGCATTGCCTTTTTATTTCTAGCCCCTCGTTTTGCAATAAACCCCAGTATTATTACCCCAGCTTTGTTTCCTCTCCATCCGCAACCATGGAAGCTCTCGCCCTTGCTTCCACCTTCGCCACGCTACTCGGCTTCTCGTTGCAGCTGTACACCAACTGCAAGTACTACATCGACGCTGCTCGGGGCGATTGCCCTAACGACCTAAAGCTCATCCTCATTGAGACAGGGAGCTTGGAGGCAACCCTGAAGTCGGTCGAGTTAATCCTCTCCCTTAGCGACAACAAAAAGGAGGACGAGGAACGATTAAAGCGCCAGATCGGCAAGACCCTGCTAGACATCAAGTCATGCATGGAGGACTTGCTGAAGCTGGTGCCCAAGCCCATGCTCAAAGAGGGTGACAGCAAGGCAACGAAAAGGGAGAAGGCCAAGCTTCTCCTCAATGCCGTCGCCTGGGGTACGAGCGGCAAAAAGGGGACGTGCGACATCCTGCTCAAGCACCTCAGGGCTCACAAGGCGACTCTTAGCCTGGGACTCACCGCCGAGCTGAGCCATGATGTGAAGAAGATTGGCCACGATGTGTCCGAGGTCAAGTCATCTATCAACACCATGCAGGTCAGGCTAGACAGTAAGTGACCTGGAGGCCGAATACGCCGATCTTGACCATCTCGCCAAGCTAACAATCTGATCCTGCAGGTCACCAACGGGCCGAGATCTACGAGTGGCTTGAGCAAGTCAACCCTTCCAAGAACCACAACAACGCCGGCCGAGCGCACGAGGCTGATACCGGGAAGTGGTTGACCCGCTCGGCCGAATGGAAGGCCTTCATCGACTTGTCACCCGCGCCCAAGGCCGGCTTTTTCTGGCTTCACGGCATCCCCGGTGCTGGTAAGACCGTCATGGCCTACACCATGATTCAACAGGTCCGCGCCCGCGCAAAGCTGGACAAGGCCGTGGGCTATGCCTACTATTACTGTTTCCACGGCCGAAATAAGGATGAAGCGGTGCCATTCTTGACGTGGATTATCTGTCAGCTCTGCCGGGAGAAAGACTTCATCCCCGTCACCCTCAACGAGTTGTTCCACGACGGCTGCGAGCCCAGCATCCCGGACCTGCTTGACTGCCTCGAGGCCGTCCTGACCCAGTTCCAGGCCGCCTATATAGTGATCGATGCCATTGACGAAAGCAGTCCCCGGAAGGACCTTCTCAGTATCCTCTGCACCCTCGGGGGGGACCCACGCTTCGCCAAGATTCGTCTCGCAGCCACCAGCCGCGAGTATGAAGATGTCGAGAGAGCCTTCAAGTCCCGGGCCACCTCTGTATCCATGAACAATAAGGGTGTCGAGGAAGACATCCAGAAATTCGTCCACTCGGCGCTCAAAGATCCCCAGTACGATGGATGGGGTCGTAAACTCCGAGAGAAGGTTGCCGCCATGGTGCCGGTCAGGGCCCAGGGAATGTAGGTAGTCACCGAGGCGAAGATGCACATTCGGTTCAGGCTGACACAGAATTATCTAGGTTCCGGTTTGCGGCCTGCCAGCTCGAGTATCTGGCCGAGTGTGGTAGCGCCAGCGACGTGGAAAGAGAACTTGTGAACCTGCCCCCCACCCTTAACGGCACATACGAGCGTATTCTCCGGAGGATCGAACCCAGCCACCGCGCATTTGCCATCCGGGCCATGGCTATCATCATGGCTTCCATGGAGCAGATCGGCCCGATATATGGCCCGACCCTCGTCACCACCGTCCTCGGCGGCCCCGGTATCAATTCCTTCTACAACATCGACTTGATGCGGCGCCACTGTGTCTGCCTCATAAAGGTCCACCCGGACAGGACGGTTAACCTAGCCCACTACACGGTCCGCGAGTTCCTACAATCCAGCTACGTCGCCAAGTCGCATAGCCTGCGCGACTTCTCGCTCCCGGCTCGTAAGGTCAACCAGGTTTACTTCAACACCCTCATGGCGGTAGCTACCCAGTTCTCGGGCCTTCCCAATATCCAAAACATACCCGAGGACCCCAACGGAGATCCCATCGACTTTAGACTCTACGCCCTCCGCAGGACCCGGATGGGCATGTTCTGGAACCGAGGGGAGCTTGCCGCCCCTGCCGAGAATAAAAAGTTGTTGATGACGCTCCTCGACCCGTATCAGCCTTGCTATGCCGGCTTGCAAATCTCGGGCTCCGACGGGCACTGGGACGGGTCCAACCCGGCCATGTTTGAGTGGCTGCCCAAGTTCAACCCCGGGGCCGACGCCATGGAAAGGGACGCCGCTTACCTGACCATGCTAATTGGCTTCAACCAACCTGACCTCGTAAAGGAATTCCTCCGCGGCAAGTCGGATCGGGACCAGCTCGCCTTGTTCAACACCAAGATGAGCGTCACTTTCCCCGTCGAGTGGGAAACCTTCCGTAAGCACGGCACTTACGACCGCAAGCCGAAGCCTGTGACGGTGATGGAGTTTTACAACGAGGGCCACGACCGTGGGTTCGAGACCGACGACGAGATGAACATCCTTCGCGGTGCCCTGGGCGCGTACCTACCGGCAGGCAAGGGCCCCGCCGCTGCTGCGAAGAAGTCTTCTACCACCACCGCCGGTCGGAAGTCCTCTCTCGGCAGCCAGACCTCGTCCCCGTCCGCAAACAAGCCCAGCAGCGGCCGCAGCACACCAACCGGCGGCGCCAGGATAACCGTCACCCGCGACAACGGCCCCTCCTCAACCGGAGGGCCCTCCAGGCTCGGCGAGGCGAGGTCCCCAAACTCGAGCGCCCCAAAGTCGCCGAGAGCGGCCAAGCCGTCCAACACCACCACCACGGCCAGCAGCTCGCGGGACACGGCCGCCTCCCACACCACGGGCGCCACCCGGCTGGCCCCCCCTACCAGGTTAGCAGGCTCCAGCACCACCACCGGCAGCAGCAGCCATCAGTCGTCTCATACGTCGAGCACCTCAGCAAGCAGGAACTCTCAGCCGCCGCCGCCCACGGCTCCGCCTCTCGGCCGCAGTGGCAAGCAGACGTCCACCCAGAGGGCCAGCATCTCCGGCCCCGCCGGAGGTGGTGGGCGCTCTGCGGGTAACTCGGGGGGGCGCGGTTCCGGTACCGGTAGCACTCATGGCAAGGATGGGGTGCTCCGCTGATGTGGGAGGGGGATGGGATTGGGGGGGATGGGGGGGGTTATTTTTTGTTTTTGGTGTATTTTGGTCTTGTATAGATTGTTACTTGGAATGGGTATATTGCTTTTGTTTGGACTTGTTTATTCGGCGTTGAACTTTGTCCGTGGACGCCCCTATTCCCCCGTGTTGAAAGTGAAAGTGGATGCAGCCGTAGCAACGGCCAGCCACAAACTTGAATGCTAAAGAAAGGAGAGTACAGTCACAGAGTCCGGATTCGGGGAGACATTTTCTCATCGCGGCTGAGAGATGCCCAGGACAAGGTAGGACCTTGGACCTCCACTGATCACCAGCCACCACTCCCTCTTCACGGTTCATCATCCTCTCATCCAACAACACCACCGCCCTTCCTATCCTAACCCCATACCCTAACTCAACCACCTTAACATACAATTGCCACTCGCTCCAACCAAAGCCCCCAAACTCTCCTCCATGACAATCCCGAGAATCCCCCAACGGTGATCAACACACCCTGCAGCCACTTGACGAACCCATTCCTTTCCGGTGACGCAACACCCAAAAGGATCACCCAAAGAACCCTGAAGATCAAGAACCCCGACAAGCATATGACGCGGAAAGGGGCGCCAAAGCCCTGAAAGGGGCTGGACCGGCCGCCAAGTGTATCTCCGGACACACACTGCGGTGGCAAGGGGGTGCATGCAGGGTTGGGCAAGAGGGGATGCGATCGCCGGGGGTTGCAGCGGAGGCGAAGTTTAAGTTTTGTGGAGTTGGGGTGGTTGCACTATGATGATGGTTGTATACACGGGTCGATGTTACGGGTTATTAGGGGCGGTTGGTGATGAGGGAATGATGTTGGGTGGTGGTTATATGCCGAAAGTAATATGGAATGAGCAGTGTTCTCATGCCGTTCACCATGCTCTGCAGAGTCCTTTGCAGCAACTATGTGAACGACTGTAATTTCGGAAAGAATGAGGGTTGTAACGGCCGATAGATAGTGGTAGAGGCTCACGACTTCTACTGGGAGCGTACTCGGGAGGCAGGATGCGCCCTGGGGTCTCGTACATTGTTTGGTTCCATTGCCGTACATCGGTCCGAGGCGATGCCCTGACCGGTGCTATAACTATCGGGTACGCTACACCGGCTGCATGATCTGGACCGGCAATGGAGGGACCGAGGGTAATGGACTGAGGATGGAGAATATGTTCTTGAGCTGTTGGCTACGTTGCCTTCCAGTGGCGCTTGATACCTAGCCTTTAACACAACGTGACGGCTGCGAGATACGGGATTCGCCCCAGTATGGCCCATTCAGCTCCACATCTTGACAAGTTGCCTTCACAAGACATTCCGCGTTGGGTTAACTGCTGGCCTAGCGGCGTTAGGTTAGATATCCCAGCAAGAGAAGGCGGTTGTCTCGTCACGTTCGAGGCTTGGTTGACCACTATTTGCTGTATCACTTTGATTACAAAGGTAAATGTATAGATGTATTCTGTCTTGATACTACCAGTCAACTGTAGGCTTGTTCCCAACGTTCGCGTAGTTGCCAGAGCATTGAGTTGTCACAATATTGGCCCCCTCATCCCGGCTACCTAAGCACTCAATCTTGATTCGATTAAGGACACACACAGTAGTAGGCACACACCCACCCCTCCCGGTGTGCCACACAGGTGCCTCGCATCTACCGTTCGGCCTCGGCATGAAGGGTCGGGGGTTACCTCTCTCCACCTCTACGCCCAGACAAGCAGGTGGTGTTGGCGGCGGCGAGGTAGACACCAATGCTCCGTAACTCTACCCATCTGCACAGTGCCCAGGGAAGACGCTGGCACATGCCCGTGTAGACGAGCAAAGTGATGATGGCGAGACAGGTGAGAGGGGCGAGAGTAGGGACAGATGGTCAGAAACAACACCGGTGTAGTCGCGAGGGTGTGAAATAATATCAAATCGTTAGGCGAGTTCCACTGAACCCCATTACAAAGTGTCTCGGTCAATATCATGCCATTTTGATATCAGAAAAGGGCCTGCCGGTAGGTACTGGCCTCCCATTCATTCTCTCCGAGGATCGATGTCCTTGTTTCGGCCACCACCCTTGAGGGGATAATGCCGCGGCGGCAACCATACCCGAGGACGACCCAGACGGCCCCTAATGATGGGTATTAAGACTCAATCCACCGGTCAGTCCTTGTGTTGCCCACCCAAATCGTTAACCGCGCCGTCCCGCCAACTGGCTCGACTCGAGGTTGGTCCCGACCTCTCTCACACCATCCATCCCGTTACACGAGCAAGCCGAGGGATCGTTAAATATCCCCCATTGGCTGGGTCACCGTTTTGCATAAGCCCCCGCTATCGAGGCAGTCATCAGGGTAAACGCGGAGAAGCCTGGCCCCGTGATTTCCAAGAGAGTCACGGTGCGCATTAGTTCATGCGGCTGCCCACAACGGGGGAGAATGGGCGGCTCGGCTATCATCATTAGAGGGGTAACACGGCTTCAACGGTCGCGTCCTGGAGCTCGGATCAAACACCTCCACTGAGCGGCAAGGTGGGATCGTTCTGCTCACCGGGGGAAGGTGTAAATGCAAAGGTGTAAGTGCAGCTGTGGAGGCATCGTAGATCCCGATAGTCTGGGCGTTGGTTCGTATCATGCCTGGTCCTTAAACCCCTGGATCTTGGTTGGTGGCACTCGTCATACTCTCCTCACGACTCTCGACTCTGCTGCATTGCAGACCCGAAAGGTCCTGGCGCCACTGCATCGAAACCAGTCGACAAGACCGGCGGATATGATCGGCTGGTTCCCCGCCGCCGGAGCTGGTTCCCGGTGTGGGTGAGGTGCCGCCCGGGCAAACGCCGGTCGGGCTAAGGGGCTGTCCTTCACCTTCCGGACCCAATAGTATACAGCAGTCAACAAACGCAGTTCGGGGTGTTTGGATACTCCTCCGCCGGGAGGACTCGCTCTCCTCATTTTTGAGATATGATGTGTAGAATCCCCGAGCGGAGTCCTAGATTGCAGGCTCGCAGTGGCCAAACTAAAGCCGCGCTATCGACTGGGTAAACCGTTAACGCCCCGCGGTGGAGGAGGGGTGCGCGGCGGCTGCGGCGCGAGGGTGTGTTGAGGAAACGAAAAAAGGGGGCTATTTTCTGTATCGCACACCGAGAACACACCACAACATCCGCCCGCGGTTCCCGGCCGGTGGCCACCCGAAACGGCGGCCGAGACGATCCGTTTGACAGGTTTACCCCGAGGACACTGAAGCCCCCTATCCTATCACCAATAGGCAAGGAACTAGATGGCGAATTCCTGTGTCCGAAAGAACGACGGGAATTCGAGAAGCTGCTCGTCATCTCCGCCGTGCGACGCCGGGGGCGCAACCACCAACGGCCGGGTAGTACACACACCTTCTTGCACCCAAGGTGGGCGACGTTGACACTGCACTTCACCGGCTGCAGACAGCAATGTACGACATGCCGCCCATCCCACCCTGAAAGCCCACCGGTGAGCCACAGATCCACCACGACAGCCGAGTTGCATGCGGCAAGCAATTCTAGCCGCAGGCAGGCAACATGGGGCACGACCGAGCGAACGGTTAGTGGCTACAGAAGGGGCAGTTCAATGTCGGACATGGTGCGGGTGGTGGATAACGACTAAGACATGCGAGACAGGAAACACACACAAGCTGCACAGCAATCTTGCAACCACCCCGAGTGACACCCGCCCGTTCCCTCCCTCGACGTCTCGATTGGCCGAGCGGGCAGCTTACGCAAGCAGAGGGCCTGCAGCGCTACTGCACGGCCAAGGCCGTTGAGTGCGGTCTCGTCCATGGCCGACCGGGAGAGGTGTGGTTGCGTTGCAGGGCTCGTCTCATGTAGGTATCGCATTTCGGATGGCAAGGATCGGCCATCGGATAGTTTTGCAAAATCCATCTCGAGCTGCATTGGGCATGCAGGTTCGTTAAAGCACAGCACTCTGCTCGAGGCAAGGCTGTTCTCGGAAGGATGTTTGCAGAATGCGCATGTGAAATTACACAGGACACGCAACCAGCACGCTTGATTGCTACCCCTCCATGCCGTGATTGTGGCGGAAGACGGGTAAGGAGGCAAGGTGGGAATGTCGCGATAGCGAAACGGTGTTGATCGTCGCAGATAATGAGATGAGAGGACGACTTGGTGGCCGCGAAAGGCAATGCTATCCGATCCGATAAGGACCGTGCCGACCTGGTCGAGGTTTGTGCTCCCGCTATCGGGCCCGGAGCCGGAGGTGGCTTGTCATGCTTGTCAAGAGTGAGCCATTGACGAATCGTTGCCACCACCGAAACCCCCTCCTGTTCTCGACATGGGCCATTCCCTCATCTCTGTGGCCAGCCCCTGACCTCAGCCCCGCGTCACCCCCTGAGAGATCTCCTCGAACTCGAGCTCCGCCTGTGGCCAGCCCTGACGAACCCACTGCTGTGCATATTAGATCATGTCAAAATCAGCTCATCATAGCCAAGCAAGATGTTTAAAAACGCCAATGACCAATACTGTGGCGGCTGGGCGTGTGAGTAATCGATTTTGCCATGCCGCTTGGCCAATGTCCGGCTCTTCGGCACCAGCCCAGGGCTGAGCGAGGGGGGGGGGGGTCAACCGCGCGCGGGTCCAGATCGCGACAGAGCTGCAAGTCGTCCGCCGCTTGCAACATGCCATGCCGGGATCCATCAGCAATGGCAAGGTCGCAGGCGGATTCTGACGGACGCGCACTAGCGCTGCTATCTTTGTGATTCCGCAGAATCCGCACGCAATTCCCGGCTCGTATTGTTTCCCATCATGAAATCTCTGTTTTTGCGCCAAATCGCCACCTCGCCCGCGGGACGGCACCTTGCCCGAAACACCCACCGGTAGGCGAAGAAAAAGAATTTTAATCGAGGGGCACCAATCAACCCCTCCTCGCGTGGGCGCCTTGTGGCGTCCGAGTTCAACCGTTTCTCCTGCGCTTACCGCATGCGCTTGCTGCGACATGAGCGATTCTGTTGGAGTGCTTGGCTTGCGATGCAGCGGGCCTAAATCTCGACAAATCAGGATGCGGCCTTCCTCCCTGTCGAGGGATCCCAGGAAACGCATCCCAGAGCTCTCGGCCAGGCGCTCTCGTTTGAACCACTCAGCTGTGCAGTTTGACGCCCCCCACTGAGGAGGCGGGGTCGCGGCTCTGGCAATGCCCAGGTTATCGATGGTGTGTGCACGAGCAGGACGGACGCAATGCAGAACCTAAAACAGACCTTGGCCGTGAACGCAGAGGTCCGCGGAGTTCGTTTTCCATGTGAACGGGGCGATGCGGGGAGAACGCGGCGACTAGCGCGGTGTGCGAGACGGACGCGCTGCAGTTTCATCCGCCGACGAGGGGTGCACCACCTTATCGGGGACAACGGTGGTGGGGCACTCCGATCAACGACTATGTCGATATCGCGGAGCGATTCGAGTTTGACCCTTATCTTGATGGACTTCAGTTTCCATCGACTGTGGTCATCATTGTCAGACGGCGCTCAACCGAGGGCGGGGAAACGCTCGATACCCAATGCCGGGGCTCGGCATCGAACAGCAAGCAGAGTGTAGCTCGTCATCCGTTGTGCAACGTGCCTCAACAGCAGCCGCTTTGCGGGGTACGCCAATGGGCGAGATAACCGCACCATCACCCGCCGCTTCAAGTGCTTCACCGGTGCTGCGGCCACAGCCGCGACACTGTCAGGGCCAATGCCCTTTGCCAGTCTAAGAAAGCCAAACGTCATGACACGCGTCGTGACATGAAGCCGGAGCATATGAGTCGACGGCGTGACTGCTCGTGTGATCTCTATCCCTTCTCGAACCGGAATCACTCGCTCCTCGGGATGAATGTATTGCGGCAGATACGAGACGACTGCGTGGTGTTGCGCGGCTTCTAGGTCTCTGGTTCGTAGTTCCTTGCACTCGTGACTGGGTGGGAGCAGAACCGAACGAGACACTACGGTCTTCGGATGTGAACGCAGTTCCCACGGTGGCCTGCGGGAAGCCGGACGACAAGTAAAATTCTCGCGATCTCAGTTTCCTGCCTAAACGAGATGACTTCCGAGGAATCAGTAGTTCGTCCCAGCGCAGCGGCTCCGAATATTCGCGCCAGGAGAGCCGGATAGCCGCAGAAACGTTCCCGATTCCGTGGATGGGTGGTGACCTCGGTGCTACAGCCGGCCCGGCCCCGTCGTACTCCATGAGGACTTCGGCAGCTTGCGTGAACTGGGACCCGAAGGCGACGGACGATATCGGCGCTCGCAGTAGCACGCACACCCGTACGAATACTAGGGGACGCACTGGGATGGTGTGGGTGCAAAGCAAGGCGACGGCGGGGGCACTTGATGGTCTGGCCCTTGTCGATCCCGCGGGGCTCCGCGTGAAGCAAGGGAGAAGAAAGCTGTCAAAATTAACCTTGGCAGCTTGGAACTTGATGAAGCTACCGCCGCAAGGATTGTGACGAGGAAATGAGAATAACTTCACCGCTGTTTCCGGTGCGACTGGTTGTGTGCGGCGGCCAATCCCGCTTCAGCGCCGTGGACTCCGTGTTCGATTAGCCAATCTCTTGTCCCACCAAGATGAGGGGCAGAAAGTCGAGAATGATGCAACTGTTGACCACCCCACCACCCCGCCGTGTGAGCAGCAACACCAATACCACTTGGATCCAGCAATTGTTCGATCGGAACCTGGTCAATAAATTCCCCGAACCACAACCCGCGAGAACCGTGAAGACTGGCCAATGCCGAGTTTAGGACTGCGCGCCCGCAAGGTGCCCCGCGGTCAACCACCACCACTTGATTGGGGGCAGATCACCTGTTCTGTGGCTGCTGCGACCGAACGCCCCTCGCACAGCTGTGACTGTTCCAACCGTCGAACGGTTTGCGCCACCCGGCATGGCCGCAGCTGAGCCAAGAGCGTGGGATAGCTTTGTGAAGAAAAGGAGAAAGTCTTTTTGGTGAGGTGCTTGAGGTGATGTTATTGTGACTCAGCAATTGCGAGATAAACTTTTCAAGTTGCGACGACCCACACGGGAGATCACCAAAAGATTACCGCGACCGGTCCAGATCCCTCCGGTCTCCGCGTCCCCCACCCCGGCCGCTGGGGCCACAGCATGGCCCGGTCGCTGCTTTCGCGCAACCACCTCGATAGTTCAAACAGCCCTCGGTAGGCAATTGGTACAAAGTCAAGCCTCTTCTTGCGCCTGGAACTGAAAGAAGTCCGAGACAGAGATGAGGCGTTGCTCTTATCATTGGTTCTCGACGACGGGGGCTTGTCAACGAGCATGCGTGGGAAACACGGTGTGGACGAACTCGATTCGCACGAACCAGTCGGCTCAGGTGGAAAACTCCCGTTGAGTCCAGACATGGACGGTGAACGGTTGTTTGCAATTTTTGGCATGCATATACGGGCTACAAAGTACTGCTAGTTATTCGGAGCGCAGCAAAAGATCTTGTTGTGATGCAATCACAAAATGTAGTCAATGACGTCATACCCCAGAGCCAAGAAAGTTTGTGAGGGAGGCCGGATTTTGCATGCGTCGTCACAGTCGTCATTCCTCTATTCGTAGATGGCATGGGACGCGAGCCTGGCGCGTCTGGGCATGTCCTAGTTCCACGTCTTCATCCACGGAAGCCACGGGAGTTAAAACCAGGGCAGTTCGCGATGATGGAGTCCAAGGTTGGCCACGATAACGGCGTGTTGACGGCATCGACTCATGTTCTCCGCCCCATCCGGAGAGTAAAGTTCAAAGTCGCAACCGCGCGGGACCGAAATGCTTTGCTGTGTACGTACTCTTAGTGGCTTGTGGGTCAATTTTAATAAAGTTGAGACGGTATGTAATACTGCGAGGAAAGATGATGCTAGAGGGGAAAATGAGACCGGAGAAGGATGTCGCGATGGTCCGCAACATGACAGGCAGGACTCTCGCCGCTCGAGCCGCCCGACCGGGTTCACGACCCGGAGTGTACTTGTTGCGTATGTAGGTTTATGGTGAAACAATGCTTGACATGGCCGTAGTCATACCCGAGGGGTTCTCCAACTACGTTCTCATCCTCGCCGATGGGTTGGTTGGCTCTGCGGGTTTGCTCTCGTTCAGAGACTCGGAACACCCCAGCCTCACCTCCGTCCTCGCCGGCGGGGAGTCGGAGCAGGGAACGCAAGAATGGGACGCACCATGGTCACTTTTGGTTGGGTCGAGTGGGGATGTGCACCTCCGTGATAGCACTACTATCGGCTTTCTCGCGCGCTATCGAGGCAGGAGACGACGGGGGTGTCAGAAATTGATGCAGGTCGCTGCCGAGGGCAGGACAATGCATTGCAACTATCGTATCCCGGATATTGTTGCATGCCGGCCGAAGCACCTCAAAGGAGGTCAGCGGTTGGAGAAACGCACCGTGTTCTCCTCAGATAGCAGATAGCATCACCGGCATCGTGAGATTCCCACACCACTTTGACAACCCCATGTCTCGCTTCCCGGTCATTCCATTCGTGGTTCAAGTTCGTTAAGAACAAGCTGCCGCCGCTCCCGACGCCAGCGGAGCAACCCTCTGTGCTTTGGCAACACCGTGGGCGGTGATCCCTGGGGAATGCCGTGCTTTGTTTACCTACCCGCTCCCCCAAACTCAAACACCCTCCCCCCAGTTCGAACCGGCGATTTAACTCTTGCCCAGGGCCATGCTGCTCTGAGCCAGTTGTGGACTTGTGCCTGTGTTGCGTGGCCGCGGAAAAGAGCCTCCGGGCCAGGGCAGACGCCCGGACGCCTGCTTTCCCGATGCGACCTTCGCCCGCCCGTGCATCGCCCCCTGCTGTGATCCATGGCGTGCCCGCCATGTTGACCTGCTTGGCGCGACGTCTTCCGACGTCCGATGGGACCGCTTCCGACGGGCGAAGCTCGGATTGGTTGGGGCCACCTGCAGGCGATCGATCGAACAAATTCATCATCGGCCAGAAATATCTGCCATTGAGGTTTAATAAAACATGGTGCCAACCGCCAGTGTGTTGCAATTGCTATCGCTCTTGACGCGCATGGTCAGCGGGGAGTTGAGCCAAAGATTTCTTTACACTACACAGGAGATGTCGGCTTTTGGCTTGAATATGATGCAAGTTCTGGTTTTGGAAGCCGTCATCGTCATGGTCGAGGGACTATTTCTTTCTTGAATGCGCTTCGTCTCCACGGCTGCATGCTATTGCGTAATCAAGGGCGCGTCCGGCGCTACTGTATGGGGTGATGTGAGCGAAGAATGGATGGTTCCGTCCAGGCGGCGTGCAGCGTTGGATGACAGGATTCCGGCGATGTGTGGTCCCCATGTGTCTCACTGGAAGGGGGTGAAGGGGGTTCTCGACGCACAGTGTGCTTGGCAACGAGCTGACACGGTCAGAGCGCCATCCATGGCCGTCCATGGGCCAGCCGTTGACAAGCACACGAATTCCCACGTGTGGAAGAGCCGGAGAGAAGCCTGGCTGATTGGCCAATGGCGCGATAAGAATGCTGCCCTGGGAAACGCAGATCTCTGCTTCCGCATGCGGGCAATCGCTGCTCGTTTTATTGTCTGGGTGATACTGCCGCCATGATAAGGGAAGAGTTTGCACTGCTTGGTTACCGGCAATGCGACTGAGAATTTTGTGCCCCGTTACATTCTGGAGAGGTATCAGCCGCCTCGATCATCGTGGCCAAGCGACGAGCCGAGAGCCCCACGCAACAAGGCAGGCATCAGCGGCTGAGCGTGGGGTTTCTTTGTCTGCGAGGAAATAACCCAGACAGGGTTTCGCCGGTTCTTGATTCGTATCGGTATTCCTCCAAGAGACGGGCCCAAGGGTTTTCTTCCACCGCCCGCGGGTTGGTTTCGTGGGGGTGATATCTCGTTTAGTGTAGACCATTCTCAAAATTTCGCAACGCCACAATGTCATGGCCGAGAATACTTTGGAGCTATGAAACGGTCTCGCTCCCACTGCAGTGGCTGTGGTGGTCATGTGCTGTTGGGCGGATGAGGTTGAAAGGGCTGAAACGATCCGCCAGTGTCAGTGAGAAACCAACGGACCTGCGCCGCGATATGGTCATGCGTTGCCGTGCCGCTCTGCAGAAACCATCAAACGAGCGTTGGAAGCCGAAAATACAGAGACAGGCCCAGCTGAGAAGTCCCCTCCTCCACTTGGAAATATTCCCCCAACCCAGTGCGATTTCCTTGGAATCGACGTGCGGCTGGGGACTGGTTGAAGACCGGGGACCCGCGCTGCAAACTCCAGACTTGAATCTGGGGTTCTTGCTGCGCAAAGCCCTTGTCAGCATGGCGAACACCCCACAGTGGGCGAATCGCAAAAACACAGAAAACCTTGTCTGCGCTGTCTGGAATGTCCTCTTGCCCATGCGAAAAGAGCTTCATGTTTGCTCGCCGACATAAACAGGGGTAAATGCCAGGGCGGAGAGGACACCAGGGAGGCAAGAGGCTCAAAGAAAGAGGACGCTTGCTCGCGAAATCCCACCACGATGTCCGTGCGAAAGAGGTTTCTGAGCCAAAACTCGGCGGTTTGCCCCAGCTCCTTGTGTAAAAATTTCCAGCTCGGGTGTCTTGGCTTTGATGGGGGCGGCTTGTTCGATGGCACGGTCCAGGGGGCCGGGTCTTGATCCATGCAAGTCAGACCGACCCCGGCACAGGACGCTCGCGGCACTTGTGGACCCGAAACGCGCCAGGAGCCGCCGGTTCTGGGCATCCAATCCCATCAACAAATCAGTGTCCCCCCAGAGATAACGGTGCAGGACTCGCGGCCGAGACTCCTTTGGCAACACCAGGGAGACGCGGTGACTTCGCTTTGAGTTGTACCAGGTTAACCCTGTGTCCTGACCGGTGTGGAAAGCTCATGGGCAGACGCGCGGGGGACCACGGCCGTGCGCTTCATGGTTGTCGGTACCGGCGTCTCGACGAGGTGGAGATGCGCTTACACAGTCTCCTGGACCACGGAGATCTCTTTGTCAACAAGCGTCCTCCGAGTTTAGGGCGGCGGCGTTGCAGACCAGTGGCCAAACCGCCTTCACATCTCCGGATTCGGGCTCGGGCTGTGAGGGGAAACTGGAGCATTGGGGCGGGGTGAGCTTGGTGTTGCAAGGAGTTTCCTGTGGCCGTTAAGCTTGGACTTGGAGATCGACGTGGCGCTCTAACGTCGGCCGTTTAAAGTATTCGGTTCTCGAACGGCCGCCGGCGATGAATCTTTCGAGTTGCCTTCGCGAACAAGAGCAGTCCAAAAGATGAGACGGGCGGGGCGGCACATTGTGCTTGGGATTTGTCAAGGGTCTGAGTGACCAATGCGACAAAACTGGGATTTCCTGCCAAGAAAGCTCGGCCAAAAATATTTTCCTTGGGGAGAAAAGTTGTGGGTCGTACGTTTTGAAACGACCGTGACGGTCAAGTTGAAACTTCCAGGCTTGTAACATTGAAGAGAGAAGCAACCTCCAACCAACTGATGTGTCGGGAGTAGGCTTGAAAGTTAGTTATCCTAAGTAGTGAAAGAAAACGGGTACTTGACGTAGTGAACATTTCACGCGACATATCGAGGTTAACAGAACGGTGGTGCAATGTGCCTTGGGGGCAGACAGCAACGTAATTGTATGTGGGCAAGGGCCTTGGTATAAACGTCCGTTCTGATGTTGGTGTTTATGTCTCGTTACAATTCCTATCCCCAACTAAATACGCTGATTACGCTTCTATTGTCGCAGGGCTTCCTCAACTGATGATGTTGGACGAAAGTGCAACCTGCCGACGTCATTGATGCTGTCTGTAATTACAGTAATACATCGCAGAGTTTGTCGTCACTTTCCCGCTTTGCTCGACCCCAGTGCAAAATAACCATTGAGTGATGATGAGCCCATGGCTGAACCAAACAAACTCCTATGGTATCGAGCAAAGCCGGACAAGTGACTGCTCGGCAGGCTCCTGTTTCGAGGTCTGGGCACTTTTTACCTTGGTTTTGGAACCGAAGAGGTCGAGTTGCGGGTCTCGCCGGATCCAGCCTCAAAACATGGCGCCACCAACTCGTTGCCCCCTGTTTTCGCCATCGGTGCTTGCAATCGGCGTTGGAATGGCGAGCTCCGGCTTCGCCGGGCAGGTTGATCAACTATGCCCCGGTTTCTCCCCACGCTTCCGGTCATCTACTGTCATGATTGAGCGATAAAACGACTTCTCCTGGCTGCCGTCGAGATTACCACCCCCAACGTCAGGGCCGGCCGGCATCGGTGTTCGATCGGATCGAAGCATTGGAGGCTTGGGATTTCGCTTTGGCGACTCGCTCGCACAGTATATAAACGTACGGGTACCCCCAAACAGGGGTGTTGCGCCGCTCACAGCGCGCAGGAACCGCAGCCTGGTTGGTTTGGCGGGGGGCTTTTCTGGCCAGGCTCTTGTCGCCTTGCCATCGGCCCCGCTCTCGCCAAAAAAGAGCGAGGATGCTGCACAGTGCCCACCACACTAACCTTGCATGGTGCGGCTTGGTGCAGGAAGCAGCTCATCTGTTACGACCACGCCCCCTTGCCTTGGTAACTTTCCAACGATGCTGACTCCTCCACCATTTCTATCGTTGCCTCCTTCCTTTCCTCTTGTTCTCTTGTTTCCACGGTCCCCCTGATGGACACAAGTGTCGCTCCTTTATTCTCCCCTGCCGCATTAAAACACAATTGTTGATCAACCCAGATTGACTCGCTTGTCCCCGCCACAGCGTTTGAAGCCAAGCTGTCCCCAGAAAGTACGGTACTTTCCCTGCCATTATTCGCCCCACCCCCCTTCCCCGGCCCCGTCCCTCGTCCATACAAAACCGGCTGAGCCCCGCCGCTGTTGCTCCAACTTGTTCTTCTCTCGCCGCCAAAGCACCCAGTGTTTTGTTTCTCTCGACAAGCCCATCGAGGTTTTTTAGCCTCGTCCAGGAACAGGCTGCTGACAGACAGGTCGCAGTCAAGGCCCGAGGACTCCAGCCAGAGCGTCGCTGACGTCGACCTCGAAGCTCGCCGGACCCCGTTGCCTTCGATCACGCACCCCTCGGCCGCCATTCCAGCGACCGACCTGGGTGCATTGGCCAACGACCGCGGCCGGAACTAGAAACAGGACCCAGTACCCTCCCCGGTCGATCCTGTCAACGGCCAACGACACAGAAGGCCAGTCCAACTTGTCGCCTTTCCCGCAACCTCGTCGCACCCAGTCGAGGACAACCTGCGACTTCTGCACGAACCGATACTCGGGCTCGCTGCTAGGATCCGCGAGAGCTTAACTTGTTGCTGGAATATTGCCCAGTTAGCTCTCGTCCCATCCTGACTTGAAGTCGGCGTTTCCACAGGTAGGTGTTGGCCACAGTTCTGAGTGATGACACAATCCGGTTCCATTGTTGGCCACACCACCGAACCTTCCCGCCCAATTCCCTTCCCGCACCCCCTGCCTTCACTTCGACACACATCCTTCGCGCTTTCTGCTTCCTGCCGTGGAAACTTTGGCGTCTCAAGCTAACAGATTGGGGTCGACAGTCGTCCACTTATCATTACCAGAGCATCTACGTTGCCATCCATGACCTGGGCTTGAGAAAGACTAGGAACACTTGGTCCTACTCCCTCTCTTAACCCATCTCTCTGTGGAGTCGGCTTTGCTTAGGCGAAGACCGGGGCGTCAAAAATGCCTTACACACCACCCTCGCAGCGCTCGCCGGCTTCGTCGGGTCCCCCATCACCTGACGGAAGCCGTCGTCCATCATTCCATCAACCACAAAATTCCGGTTCCCGGCCTACCCTTCCCCGCTCGGCATCGTACCTCACGAGGCATCGACGCACTCCGTCGGCGACACAACCTCGCGGGGGTCAACCGTCACCGGAAGCCACAGCAGAAGACCTGAAGAGCATGGTGGCAAGTAGCAGCGTGCGGCAGTCACCGCCCCCCATGACCGGCGCCCGCGGAATGCCCAACGGCGCGATAATGTCGCCCCCAGACTCGGCTAGTGACGACGACGACCCGCCTGACGTCCGCGGCCGGCAAATTGAGAACCTCAAGGAGCTTCACGAGGCGGTTAGCCAAATACCCCAGCAAAGGACACACCTGCCAACAAGTAGTGGCGCAGCCGGGCAGGAGGCACCCGACGCCGGGGACTTGCTCCTCCTCCCGGCCCAAGCGAGTGCGTTAGCCGAGGGTATGCATCACAGCTTCAGCACGGGGTCGCTCGGGGAACTCAGAGCTGGAGGGGCCCGCCGGTTCACACACACGAGGTCGGCCACCGAGCCCCATATCTCCATCAGCAAGTCCGCCGCTAGTTCTGTCACGGGGTCTGAGGAGGATTCCGACGAGGACGGGCTTCGGAAGCCCCAGATGGTGCGCAAGAAGTCGGGGGAACTCGTCAGGCCCGCCCTGCGCCCCGCATCCCGGAGGCGACCCTCTAGCATGCCCGGTACTCCAACGTTCTCGAAGGTGGTTCACTTTGACTCGCATCTCGAACACGTCCGACATTTCCTCCAGGTGGATCGACCACTCGCCGTGAGCGCCGGCTCGTCGCCCGTCGACAACTATGACAGCGACACCGAGTACCCCTTCTCAGGCGATGAACGGTCGACCGGGCGAACCCCTCCATTCGAGTGGGAGATCATCATGACCAACTTCCCTGTCGAGACGCCGGTACGCAAGGCACAGCCGGTACGCCTCGAGAGGGTATGGCTGTCGAATGATCAAAAGTCGCTCATTGGGTCGATCGCGGTGGCCAACCTGGCGTTCCAGAAACTGGTAGCTTGTCGGTTCACTCTCGACTACTGGAAGACAACGTCGGAAATCGCGGCCGAGTATGTCTGCGAGGTCCGTGGTATCGACACCCCGTACACGCAGGACAGGTTCAACTTCACCATCAAGCTGTCCGATCTGGCCAACCTGGAAGCCAAAACGCTCTACTTCTGCATCCGCTACACGGTGAACGGGCAGGAGCACTGGGACAATAACAACGGCACAAACTTCCAGGTCGACTTCCGCAAGAAGATGCTCCCGCAGAACGGAAAGAAGGGTTTCGCCGGCGCTGCTTCCCGCGGGCTGCCCAAGAGCAATCGTCGGTCCGGGCAAAGGCCAAAGCAGGCATCTCTGGCTTCGGACGAGTTTGGCGGGAATCAAAAGCCCAACTTTGACAAGTCGATCCAGGACTATCTTGGGGAGTCGGGCTCTACAGGCCTCCGGCTCAAGGGCGTTAAGAGCGCCGGCGACCTCCCCAGCGACAATCTTTCCAAGGGCCTGTCGGGGCCCAGCGGCCAGTTTGCCCTCCGGTACGACTTTGGCAATTCCCTCAGCAGAGCCATCCAGAGTGCCAAGAACGGCACCGCGACAAAGTCAGACGGTTTGTACATGAAGCCCAACAAGAAGCCGATTGCCGTGAACACGGGGACCGAAAACATGGCCACACGGGCGCCAGGCCCGAGACTCGACTCGACAGGTGCTGCAACCGCGGCGTCGCCTGCGGACTCACCGAGCGCCGGAATATCATCCACCTCGTACGACGAGATGATCCACAAGTGGTGCTTCGTAGGTTTCCCCGGATCACGCCTTGCTTTACGCCCGTCCACCGTCCAGGAACAGATGGGAGGCAAGCTTCACTCTGCTTCCCCACAGGCATCAAGCTAACTCGACGTTGCAGTACGGTTCTAAGCCGAAAGCCCCTTCATCGCAGGCGCGAACCGGCTCCTCCGATAGCAGCACGGCAAGCTACGATGGAAGCCCGGTGCAGATGGGCAACTACCACCACTCGCATAGTAGCTCGCAGCACCATTCGCTACACCCGCAGGACGTAAACCCATACCTTTCCCACCTGTCGTCGAGCCCGAGGGATATGGGGCCCTCGCCTACCGACCGCGGTCTAGGGCAGACGGTGAGCCCATCGCCTGCACAGACTGCCGGTAACCCGGCCCGTCCACAGACAACCGCGCAGGATTTTGCCCATCTCGCCGGTACGTCGCCGCACGAATATCTATATCAGCACCCGCATGACCGCTTCTCCTTCCGTGGGCCCGAAACTTATGCGTTGGCGGCGATTAGGGGCTAAACCTCGCACACTACCGACGAGTCAACGTAGACGTGACTCGTAAAACGACACAGGGGCAACAAACGATTGTATCCGCCCCGGAGCACGGTCTCCATGTTATCACCCACCTCTTCCGGGTCTTGATGCTTCCTCATTCATTCTCAGTCTTTCGGGGGCCTTTCAGGTGCCTCTCCTTCAGGGACGACGCATGAAAACGGCGGTGTAAAATATTTCTTATTCGGGTCCTTCCGGCGTCTAGGCTTTTTCTTCTTTGCAGTATTACGGTCTGTGTTTTCGGTTTTGCAGTCTAGCACATACGGGTTGGGACATCAACAGGGGAAAAGGCGTTTCGTTTTCGGTTATGCATAGTTAATGGGTTTCGGGTTCTTTCACGGTCCTGGCTATTTCTTCGGTCAAGGTTCCAGGTGTCGGTTCAGGAAACATCATCAGCGGGTGACCTGCTTGCGCAACATTGTTTCTGCGGGGCCCGCTGGCTATGGGAGTTACGTTGTATAAGGGACGACAGACGACGAGACTTGGAGAGTCTGGAGCCGAAGTTGGGACGGGGCGGGAAGGATAATCAACCTAGGAGGCGAGCAAGCTTGGATCATCAGCCTCTATTCATTATGCCACGATATGTCTAGCAACAGAACTACACGTATGGTTATGGCCGACCTCGAGTTTCTCTGAACTTTGTGATCTTTGGGAGAAAACTGAATGCCTGACTGTGTACAGTAGAAACTGATCCGCTCTGCACCACCCATCTTTTCATCCTTATTTCAACCCGACCCGAGCCCCAACACCGTCCCATCAGGTAGGTAGTCGAACCCCACGGATCATCCCGCCCCTCCCAACACCACGAAGACCCCGCCACCACTCAGACAATATAAACGTCCCACTTCTCACTTGCACCGCGCCAGCGGCCACCCGGCCGTCGGCTCGCACGTGTAGGGGCCGCCGCACCACGACACCCAGCCCACGCTGTTCTGTTTGAAGCAGGTGTAGACCGAGTCGTAGATGTGGGACGGGTCGGTTGGCTGGCTGTAGGAGCGCAGGATGGTTGCGAGGTCTTGTTCTGTTGCGCCTGTGTGGTGGTGGTTGGTTGGGGTGAGTGGTTGTTTTGAGTGGGGTGGGTTTTTGGGTGGGGTGGGGTGGATGGGGGTGGATATGGGGTGTGTGGGGGATGGGGTGCGGGGATGGGTATGGGGTACGGATATGGGGATGCGTATGGGAATGTGGGATGCTGTCTGGGGTATGGGGTATGGGGTACTGGGGTGGGTACTGGGGGGGAAGGGCTGGTTGCTTACCGTATTGCTCGATCAGTTGATAGCCGCAGATCTGGGCTGAGTATTCACACCATTGGATCTCGGCGAGGGTGAGTGGGAGTAGGGGAAGGGCAGCCGCGAGGAGGAGGGCGAGGCGTGTCATGGTCAAGGAAGGTAGGGCAGTCTGTTGGGAGGTTCCTGGGTAGTAGCTTTAGACAGGGCGTTTGCTTCTGTGTTGATTAAACTATACATAATGGTGTGGTTGAGCGAAGACCGTAACCTTCTTATATCGTTCTTGGGGTTCGGTGCTCCCGGTACTCGGGTCTCACTCAGATCCCCGTGCCTCAGCCCGCTCCACACACAGTGGTAGGGTTGACCTCACCCCAGAGCTTCAATATGTGGAAACCATAATCCCGCTTGGATGGATGAGGGAGATCTCAGAGGGAACTCGGAGGGACTTTTTCTCCGATGAGAACAATCGTTAAACCGCCATCTAGATTTACGAGTCGATCCATCCGAAAAGAATGATATCTGAGAGTGGGACCTTCAAAACAGATTCGTCGATAAACCAAGCTCATATTATTAACAATAGCGTGTCCAGAACTACCTCTCGCCTTGGTCTCGTCTTTGAATGAATACCGGGATGAATGTGAGTTCGAGACTGATGTCGTCGGTCATGGTGAGGGTGCCTGGGGACCATGTGGGGGCGACCCAGGGCCCAGGCCCTCTTGGCATGCAGCCCTATGAAGTCCGTGCATCGAGAACTTGGGTGGGGCCATGAAGACGCAGAAGTGCGCAAAAGAATTGAAACTCAAATATCCCCTCCACCTCAGTTCAATGTTGGGCATCTGCGGACGATAGTTGAAGCATGCCATTTTCCGCGTCTTTTTTCTGGACCTGCCACTCGTGCCGGCGCTATTGAGACTTTAAATCGTCCGGACAAAACAACGCCATCGTCCGCCAAGACAATAGTGCAGCGCGACCGCCATGCATGGGGGGTCGACTGTTGTCCAGAACCACAAAGCTGGATTCCCCTCCGGCCACCCTCGGAGACCAGCTGACTGTTCGAACAAACTTCATTTGGACTCAGTTGTGAAAGGCGACAGCTTCAGGCAGCAATAACTGCGTGGGTTGGGCACTAGCTGTTAATCTCTAGGTAGACAATCGACAATATCAGACCAGCCAACACACGACAACGCTCAACACTGATGGCACTTGCCAACAACTTCCCGAGAAGAACCAATCGTCATAGTTACCTATCGTCACATTCAGTGTCCCGAATCCATGGAACGTGAAAGGCTACGGAGACTGCCGGGACCAACAGGAGGCCGATATATCAGCCACCCCACCCCACAATGGCTTCCCTCAGCCGCACGAGACGGCCGACGCCAGCCCAGAATGCTCTGGCCACGCCGAAACATTACACGCGTTTTCGTTTTTCAAGCAGTTAGCACCTATGGCTGAGCTGGCAGTGCCGAAAGGGGCTTGCATTAAGTTAGCCACGGGCTGCCTCCACTGCTCCAGTGAGCGGGGAGAGTCGATGTCTATTGACAAAACAAAAGCCAAACAAAAGCCATGCCTGCCCAAGCAGCCCAGGCCATGATGTCCCCCGCTCATCTACTCCGGTTCTCTTCTGAGGGCAGAAACCGACGATATCCATAAAGTCACCATGGCAGCAACTCTCTTCCGCGCGCCTATCGCACCTTTAGCGACACCAGTTTCGACTGCCTTCAACCCCCAGGGACCATTCCCTCGGTTCATCCGGCGGTTCGAGAATAGCACCCTCACAACGACTGCCCGTGTATCCGATTGTGCTGTAAGCTGGAGCTTACTTCGCCAGACAAAACATCGCTAATGGCCTATTGCAGAAGTTCAACGGCTTCCAAACATGCAGCTCGAATGGCGATTATGGTAGCTGCCTCTCTAGCAGCAAACAGGCCTTCTGCAACTGCAACAATGGGATGCAGTACCTCGACTGTGTCTCGGAAGCCATTGCTGCGTCAACCTGTGTCGGGGCTGTGGGCGTCCCGGACTGGGATGCCTACGAGCGTTCCTGGTTTCAGTCGTCATGCCCGACACCGCCGAGCTCCGTCATGACGCAGCTCCCTCAGCCGTAAGTTTCATTAGGAATGGCTTACCAGGTCGGTAGACTAACGTGGCCCAGGACCTCCGTCCAGCTTGACCTCCAGTATGTGCCACCCCAGGAGCTACCCCCGCTAGTCTCGCTAACAAGCGCAGAACCATCATCACCATCATCCCCTCCGGGCCCATCTCTCAACCGCCCCGCCCCACTGCCACCCCCATGTTCCGCGACGGCGCCGAGCTCCTTGTAGGCGACTGCCAATCTACTTCATACACGTTGCTGGATGGCGGCGACATGGTTCTCTACGCTGCCTTTGTCGGGTGCAACGGCGACAGGCCACAGTGCTGTCCCTGGAACGTCACGACCGACGCCTCCCTGGATAGCCCCGGCTCCGGCGGTGACGACAGTCGCGCGGCCACCATACGGCCAGGTGAGTTCCCGGCGCCAGCGGGCAACGTCAAGGACAGTCTAGACCGATGCCCGCAGGACTACTACTCTGTCTCAGGGCAGTGCTGCCCCAAGTATGTCCTTCCATCCACGGCCTTTTCCGTTTAATAAACAACCCCTAACTCATCACCACCGCAGCGGTTACTACAAGTTCACCCGCCAAGTCGCCTCCCAAACCCCCTGCTTCAGCTCCCTCGCGGGCCGCGCCACCCCGCCCCCCATCACCGTCGGCATGCCCGCCAACCCGACCGACACCACCCTCCCCACCTCGGCCGTCGTCAACCTCGCCTGGGCCATGGGCTTCAAGGTCGACGACGACCCGGCCCCCGCGCTATCCAAGGGCGCCGTCGTCGGCATCGGCGTCGGCTCTGGCGTCGTCGCTGTCACCGTCATTGCCGCTATTGCGTATTTCGTGCTGCGGTGGCGGCGGAATCGGCGGGCGGCGGCGGTGGAGGAGCACCTCGGGGCTGGCGAGGGCATGACGTACACCGCGGGGTATCATGCGCCGCAGGAGAGGTTGGGTTCTCCGGCGCAGATGAAGCTGGGGCATGGGGTTCAAGCGGGGGGGGAGTGGGATGGACGGTATGGGTACCCGGTGCCGCAGGATGGGGGGTATGGGTCGTGATGGCGTGGGTTTGGTAGCGTGGCGTGGGGGGTGTTGGCGTTCAAGCAACATGGCCGGCGACAATTAGACACCGCCGCCAAGGGAGGACACAGGCATCACGAGGCGTGGCTTGTGGTGGTTGGCCGTTGATGGACCAACCACAATAATGGGATGAGCGCCGAGAGAAAGGAACGCTTACGAAGATGGACAGCCACCCTCTCACCTCTGACAAAGAATAGCCGAACTCCAAATGAAAATGACAAAGCAAGAAAGGTTAAGGGAAGGAGAGCGGAGAAAAGACGTAGAATAAAAACATCGAGTAAAATAAAAAGTAAAATTGAGCGAATGCAGTTTCCTCGGGCTTTTGGATGCCTTTTCTTTTCGTCCTTACAGTCGACGTTTCGTCGACGTCTACGGCACCGACCGAGAGTCCGGCCTTTGCCCAAGGCGTGACGACATAGACGAATCAATATAGAGGCTTCTCTTGATCGTCGGGGTTATTTTTTGCAGGAGAAGAGCCAAGGGGAGGCCAAAGAAGATTATTGGGTACCAACCTTGAGTCCAAGCCCTTTGAATTAGCGCTTTGGCGGAATAGGTACAGTCCTTACCACCGCGAAAAGGAATTGTAACGATATCGGTAACGCAAGGCCGGCCACCACCTTACCTGCTGCGTTCTGAAGCAGGGATACTGTTCCTATAGCAGAGCAACGGTTGGAGTCTGCCCGGAAACATTGAATACGTGAATAGGTACCTATGGAGGAAGTGTGTTGGCTCGAGAGATGTTATTGCAAGGAACCAACGATGTAACGTGAAGCTGACGTTATACTCACTCTGCAGAGTACGAGCTTGGTATTCCCATCATTGGTGAACATTGTCAGGAAGGCATGCAGGCCCCGCATTGACTTAACTCAGCTCTCTGCTGTTCGTGTTGGCGCGGGGAAAGGCATCCTTCGATCATCGATGCTTTGAGCGTTTAATTTTGTGAATAAAGGCCGGCACCTTGCCACTTCGTACCAAAATCTCCCATCGGTGTCAACGAAGCCTCATTTCTTTTCAAACCGGTTGGGTTCAAACTCTCATCATGGGCCTCTACACCAACCTTCCCGATGAGATCCAGGAGGTGGATGTCATCATCGCCGGCGGTAAGTATCGACATGCCCCATCAACACGCTACGGCTCATTAACTTTCAGGCGGCACAACTGCCTGCGTTGTTGCCTCGCGTCTGGCGGCTGCGGACCCGAACCTGTCGATCCTGATGATTGAAGGCGGCCAGAACAATGCCGGCATTCCAACCATCACGCACCCCGCCTACTTTATGTCCAGTCTCGCGCCCGAGAGCAAAACAAACCTCTTCTACAAGACCAACAAGTCGGCCGCCCTAGCAGACCGCGAGCTCATTTTGCCGTCCGGTGGCATCCTTGGGGGAGGCTCGTCCACCAACTTCATGACGTACAGCCGGGCGCAAAAGTCCGACTTTGACTCCTGGGGTGTCCCCGGGTGGTCCGGCGCGGATATGCTGCCCTACTTGAAGAAGGTGAGTTTCCCCTTTCCTTTCTACGAGCCTTGTGGTACTGAAAGCCTGTGAAGCTCGAGACATACCATGGAAAGGACGACAAGGGTGTCCATGGCTACGATGGTCCGATCCATATATCCCGTGGCACATACCACCGAAAGAGAATCGAAGAGGAATTCATCGCCTCGGCAGCCAAGGTGGGGTGGTCGGAAGCCGAGGACATACAGGACCTGAAAACCGTGAATGCCGTGGGGCGGGCCTACCGCTACATCTCCCCCGATGGCAAGCGACAGGACGCGGCAACATGCTATCTCCACCCTCTGCTGAGCGACGGCAAGCACCCCAATCTGCACGTGCTGGTCCAATCGCAGGTCAAGCGGATCCTGTTCGACAACAACAAAGCCGTCGGCGTCGAGTACAGGCCGAACCCAACCTTTGCCAGCAACATCGCGGGCGAGACCAAGACCGTCAAAGCCCGCAGACTCGTCGTCGCATCGTGCGGAGCCTGCGGCACGCCCTCCCTCTTGGAACGGTCCGGCGTCGGTGACCAAACCATCTTGCAGGCCGCCGGCGTCCCCCTAGTAGCTGCGGCACCGGGTGTCGGGAACGGCTACGAAGACCACCACTTGGCTCTCTACCCATACCTCAACTCCCTGGACGCCGCCGACACGCTCGACGCTCTGGCGTACGGGCGCATGGGGAGCGCGGAAGAACTGATCAAACAACAGCACCCGATGCTGGGCTGGAACGCGCAAGAAGTCCAGGGGAAGGCCCGGCCGACCGACGCCGAGGTGGCCGCTCTCGGGCCCGAGTTCCAGAAGGCATGGGACCGGGAGTTCAGGGACCACCCCGAGAAGCCCACCGCCATCTTCACGGTGATTGCCGGGTTCCCCGGCAACCCGGGCGCCGAGCCCGGCGACCCCGGGCTGACCATGACGGTCTTCACCGTCTACCCGTTCTCGCGCGGGCACGTCCACATCACGGGGCCGCAGCTCGACGACGCGGTCGACTTCGACACGGGCTTCTTCGCCGACGCCGGCGGGCTGGACATTAAGAAGCACCAGTGGACCTACAAGAAGCAGCGCGAGATCATGCGGCGGATGCCCTGCTACCGGGGCGAGGTGGCCGCGTGCCACCCGCCCTTTGCGCCCGGTTCGCAGGCCGCCACCATCAGTCTCGAGGATGGGCCGCTCCCCGCCGACGCACCGGCCATCGAGTACTCGGCCGAGGACGATGCCGTGATTGAGAAGTGGTTGCGGGAGAACATTAGCACAACGTGGCACTCTCTCGGTACGTGCAAGATGGGGCCGCGGGATGAGAAGGGTGTGGTGGATGCGAATCTTGGTGTTTATGGAGTTGAGGGCCTCAAGGTTGCTGATATGAGTATCGTGCCGCGGAATGTTGCTGCTAATACGAACAACACGGCCTTGGCAATTGGTGAGAAGGCTGCCGATATTTTTATCAAGGAGCTTGGCCTGGGTCGATAGAGTTGGGAATCGGATACATTAGATTCGCGGGGTTCTAGGAGATATCTGCCTCGTCTCTCGAATAACTTACTTTACCCACGAGCTCCCAATCTTTCACCAGCGTCAAAAGAAAAAGGGGAAGTAGTCGCAGCAATGGCAGCCAGATCAGTTACAATAGCAACCCAAGCCGCGGTTTTGAGTCTTTGACATAGCCTGACAGAAAACGCTCGGTTGTCTCGGCCCCTTGGATGCAAACTTCAGGATCACCCTTCGGTCGGTGCGTACGCGCCGTCAGCCCACGCTATGCTCTTGGTAATTATAACATGTCTATTGATTTGCGTCCTGTTCAAACATCAGTGTAGATGAGCATTTTAGCGTCCTCCTCCTGGCACACTAGCCACGTCCAGGCGGCCGAGGGCGCGTAGCTGGCAGTGGTAGAACAGGAACGGCCGTAGTCGGCGCGTTCAAAGACGGCAGGATCCGAGCGCTTGATGGCGGCAACACTCCCGGGCGTGGCGACGGCGAGGAAGCGGTCGCGCTCCGGCCCGGGAGCCAGGGCCCTGCTGGTGTTAGTGTGTTTGCGGGGTTTAATCCCGTGCTCTCGGAGACCACATACAAGGCATTTCCGAATATCCCGTGACACAAACTCGGCTCCTTTTTGAGCATGCCCCGCAGCCGGACGCACTCCCTGGCCCTTCTGACAGCAGCGTCGAAGCGGTGGTGCAGGTTCGGGAAGTGCGGCCGCAGCGCAGCCAGGGACAGGACGAAACCCGGGGCGCCGTGGCAGAACTGCACCAACCGCCCGCCCGAGCCGCTCTCCTCGGAGCTCGGCCAGTTCCCGTCGTGCTGCTGCATGCCGAGCAGCCGTTCGACGGCGGGCTGCACCTGGGGAGCTAGGGATGGCGTCGTCAGCACTAGCTGGGTGATGATGCCGATGTCGCCGTGGACGGCGCCCAGGTAGTGACGATCGTGCCACTTCCAGCGCGGGCCGCGGTTGAGGATGGTGTTGGAAATTTCAGCGATGGCCGGGTCGACGAGGGTGTTGCTGCCGGCCACCCAACGGCGCACCAGCCGGAGCAGGTACAGTGTGCCGGCGCGGCCGTAGAGCATCTCGTCCGGGTAGTCCTCGACCGGCATGAGCTGGGCGACGGAGGAGACGAACTGGCGCACGTCGGACAGGCTCCCGAACACGGCGCAGGTCACGGCCTCGTAGGCTAGCTTCTCGTCGCCGATGCCGCAGCCGTGCGAGCCGAGGCCGAGGTTGTGCCCGCGCGAGCCCGGGGCCATGTACCCGCGGGCCCAGTGGATGGCCGGATGGCTGGCGATGGTCAGGTCCGGGCGGTGGGCTGATACCTGGAGCAGCAGGTAGGCCATGCCCGTGGGACCGCTCCACAACCCATGGAGGGCTTCGTGTGGGTAGCGGCTGCGTGGGGGGTAGTTGGCGACGATGTCCTCAAGCGCGGCCTTGAGGTACTGGTCGGTATCGCCGATGGTAGCTGGGTGAGGCGGGTCGATGGTGAAATACCGTTGTTCCATGGTCAGTGAGTAACAGTTAACTAGGTAAGTTGACTGAGTTGAGTGGTTGTGACTGACTTCGCGAGGTGGGGGCGGGGAATCGGAATCGGGGATTGCGTGGCGCCAAAGTGACAAAGAGGGGAGGAGAGCGAAGCCCAATTCAACTAGAATGATATTATAGCTGGGATGAGTTCATGATCAGGTAATTACCTGCCTACCTAGGTAGTCTCAATGGGCGCAATGGGTGCGTGTGTGACGGAAGGAATTGTGGTCGGCCTCAGAACTTGGCAGTTGAGACTGTCTTATCATCGTTAATTACGTCACGGGCCGAAAACTGTGAGCAAAAAGAATCAGGCAATAGAAAATGAATTAAAAGTACAGGATAAAAAGAAAAACACAAAAGAAAAAAAAGAATTATGGACCAAGCTTTTGAGGTAGTTGGTAGATGAGTTTCGTTTCGTACCTGTAATTACTCTAGGTTTGGTACGAGTAACGCCCACGTTTAGAGTCGAGCTTTGATTCCTCTAGGGCGAGTGGGTAGTGTAGGGAGAGAAGACATGAGGGTTGGTCTGGGGCTTATTCGATGCGAACATGCCACGGTGCAAACGCTACATTAACCATTCCATGAAGGCTCTTGCTCGGCCGAGCTTGACCTACTCGGCCTCCTTCTTGGCGCTGTCTGCTATCTTTTGTGCCTTCTTGGCTTTCTCCTCCAACAAATTCCTCAGCTCGTTCTTGGTCTCCTCCACCAGCTCCTTGCCCTCGGAGGAGTGCTTGCTCGCGACCTCGCTCAGCACCCCGATGTGGTCCTGCAGCTTGCGACCGGCATCGTCTGAGGCCGTGCCCAACAACTGAGTTAATGCCGCAAACCCTGTGCCTCCGCCGGTGGCCTCCGAGCCCTTGGCCTTGGCCTTATCGACCGTCTGCTTGACATAGTCTTCTAGCTTGCCCATGTCGCCGCGCTCCCCGAGGTCTTTGATCTGCTGAAACAGACCGGCCACATTCTCCTTTTTGAGGAGGTCTTGGTTCCCCGTGACCAGCTCCTTGAGCCGCGGGTTCTTGTCGAGATACGGCCGCGCTTGCTCCAGGCCCTTGTCCCAGAGGCCGTCGCCGATCTTGCGGATCTGCTGCGTCCGCTCCTCCACGATTTTGCGCACCTTGTCTACGTTCTCGGCCGAGAACCCACTCGACATGACGTCGTTGACCTGGGTCCATGTCTGGTCTGCCAACCTCTTGGCTTCGGGTCCGTACTGGGCGCCCATCTCCTTCAGCTGCTTGATCGGCCCGCCCACCTTGTCGTTGAGCTGCGGGTGACGCTCGAGGATATGGTCGGCCGCGCTGCCGCTGAGGTTGGCAATCTTCTTGGCGAGGTTGGCGATCGCGTCGTATGCCTTAGATGCCGACTCGATACTCAACCCGGTGCTCGCAATGTCTTGAAACTCGCGGTAGGACTCGCTGACAATCTTGTCCACCTCCTCGCCGTGGCTCTCGCGGATGGCGGCGAGGTCATTGAATGCCGTGTCGACATACTGGCGGCCCCCGGGCACCCACGCGACGTAAGAGTAGCAGAACTGCTTGAGCTTGTTGACCGCCTCGTCTGTCGTGGGCGTCTTGTCTCGTATCGTGGCCGCGGCCTCCTGATATTTTTTGTCGGTTTCCCTCGCTGCCGCATTGATCTTGCGGGCCATCTTGCCGGTGGGCGTCATCAGGTAGATGCCGTAAAGCAGCCCCGCGCCCACGACGCCGCCGACGACGCCCGATGCGAAGTGGGATTGCCCGGTCGCTCCGGCTTGTGAGGATTGGAAGCGGCGCTGCGTTTGCCGCGCTCGGAGGACCCGGGCATTGCGGGCGGCGGGGGCTACTCGCGACGGGAAACGGGCTGTAAACATTGTCGTCGATTGGTTTCGGATGCAAATGCGAAGGTGACAAAACGACGAAATGAACTGGAAGTCAGGGAACGCAGTGGGCGAAGGGTCAATGGAATTATTAAAAGTCGATACTGGAATCTCAGAAACTCAATGCCTGGTAGCTTTTATTATACAACGGCAATTCATCTATTTCAAGGCGTGCCAGCCAACAAGTTGGCGGATTGTGACGTGACGATGCGAGTCTGGCGGTTGCAGAAATCATGATGTCATGAACCTGGAGTGCAAACCCTAACCCCTTTAATTTCTGGGCTTTCTCCGGGAAAACGCGGGTTGAAATCGTCCCTGTTCGGGGCAGGCCATGGAGTGCCTGCTAATTCTTCTGGAATGGAAGCTCCCTTTCTTCTCGCAACCTAGGTAGCCACATCCAGACACTCCCGGCTGAGAGCGACGCTTTCGCGGAGGGAATCTCCGTTGATGGTTTGCTTTCTCGCCCTTCCAGAATCCAGAACCCGTTTTCTCCAACTTTCAGTGGAGTTGTACCCCGCATCCCCGCCTGCCAAGCTGAACATTGGAACTCGGTTTGGCGGTGGTCCGCCATTCACTTTTTGGGCGTCGCATTGCAAACATGCAATGAAACAGAAACAGCACGCGAGATCTCCATCCATGATGGCCCGAGCCAGGTCGCATGTCCCACGGAGGGCACCTCTGTTGAATCCCAACCCGCCAACGAAAGAAACCAACATGCTGATGCGGCTGAAAGATCGGGTTCGCGACAACCACCATCAACAATCGCCAAGCATGCTCGTCTCGGCAGAATACGACCCCCATTTTATCCGGCAGTCTTGCTTTGACGCTCAGATGCTCTGGAAGCTTGGGGAAGACTTGGCCGTCGACCGGGTCCTGCCGTCGACTGCACTAACTGCACGACGGCTGCCGGCTGAATTGCAACACCTCGTTCCCGCCTTGACGAAATGAGCCCCTGCAGCGCGTGTGCAGGTCCAACCAAATATTCGACCAAACACTCGCGGGCCAGACGCCAACAGCCCGGTTCCCGGCCCGCCGCGCTGCACCATATCGGGAAACGCCCGCACGCTACGCGCCTGGGGATGGCCTGGGAATGGGGCGCAAGAACCGAGGTCACATCGACAACAGCATCGCGGTGGAGGACCCCGGATGGGCCCATGAACCCGGGGATTGCGGACCGCCGCCCTGCCCGAGCAGCCCTCCCGTGATTAAATAGGAGGGCGGTGTCGCCGCTTCTCTTGCGTTCGCCAGGCACTCTCTCCCAGACCTTCAACACCACGTCAAGATGCATCTCCCCTCGTCGCTCCTCTTCCTGGCCTCCCTGCCCCTGGGCATGGCGGGCAAGGGCAAGGGCAATGGTCCCAAGACCGGCCTCGATGCCCTCGCCAAACGCGCTGGCCTCAAGTACTTTGGTGCCGCCACCGACTCCCCCGGCCAGCGGGAGCGCGCCGGTTACGAGGAGTCGTACGCTCAGTATGACGAAATCATGTGGAAGTCGGGCGAGTTCGGCTCGACGACCCCCACCAACGGCCAGAAGGTAGGTACATACCTTGGGTAGAGTGCCAGTGAATACGCTCTGAACCCACGCTGACCTCTCGCAGTGGCTGTTTGCCGAGCCCGCCCAGGGCCAGTTCAACTTCACCGAGGGTGACATCGTCACGTCCCTGGCGCGCGAGAACGGCATGTACCTGCGCTGCCACGCCCTCGTCTGGCACAGCCAGCTCGCCCCCTGGGTCGAGTCCACCGAGTGGACCCCCGAGGAGCTGACCAAGGTCGTCGTCGACCACATCACCAACGTCATGGGCCACTACAAGGGCCAGTGCTACGCCTGGGACGTGGTCAACGAGGCCCTGAACGAGGACGGTACCTACCGCGAGTCCGTCTTCTACAACGTGCTCGGCGAGGACTACCTCAAGCTGGCCTTCGAGACCGCCGCCAAGGTCGACCCCAAGGCCAAGCTCTACTACAACGACTACAACCTCGAGTGGCCCAGTGCCAAGACCGAGGGCGCCCAGCGCATCGTCAAGCTGCTCCAGGATGACGATATCCGCATCGACGGCGTCGGCCTCCAGGCCCACCTGGTTGCCGAGGACCACCCCACCCTGGACCAGCACATCGACGCCATCAAGGGCTTCACCAAGCTCGGCGTCGAGGTCGCCCTGACCGAGCTCGACATTCGCCTCAAGACCCCCGCGACCCCCGAGAACCTCGAGCTGCAGAAGCAGGCCTACAAGAACGTGAGTTTCCCCGGCGGGTGGTCGGCGTGCGGGTTGGTACTGACCCTCACAGGTTGTCGGCGCTTGCGTCCAGGTCTGCGGCTGCATCGGTGTCACCATCTGGGACTTTTACGACCCCTTCAGCTGGGTCCCCTTCGTCTTCGAGGGCGAGGGCGCCGCTCTGCTGTGGTTCGAGGACTTCTCCAAGCACCCTGCCTACGACGGCGTCGTCGAGGCCCTGACCAACCGGACCACGGGCGCCGGCAAGGGTAAGGGCAAGGGCAACGCGAAGCGCGCCACCATCTGGAGTGCCTAAAGCATAGGTTGTGGGCGCGGTTGGGGTTTATCTTCATGTCCATATTTTTTGAATATATTTCAAAGCACATTCCCTGCTGCTCCGCCGTTCTCGACGCCACCCTGCATGGGATATAGTACATGAGACGATGTTCGGGCACTCCAAGAACCAGCCGAGGTGTGGTAGGACAATTTGGCGGCGGGTGCCACACTGGTAACTCTGCGGCAGTGACATCCAGTCCACCGGTTCCTCGCCCAGAATGAAGCGGCGCCATCCTACCGGGCCAGCTCCAGGAAAGGGAAGCTTGGCACCGACCTGTACAACATGACCTCCTGTCAAGAAATGGATTCGGTTCCAACGTGGAAAACTTCGAAGCAGGGCTCCAACGGTAATTCGGGCTCGAAAGCGCCCCGTCTAGCTGCCAACTTACCATGCATCGGCGACGGACACTGAGGACGTTGCCGCTCGCCGCAGATTGGAAAAAGGCCGACGGGGTGTTGACACGAATGATGAGTGTATCGAGGCGCTCACTCGCATGCGACAAATTCCGGAACACCTTACATGCCTCTGCATCGCGATACACGACAGTGAATTCATTAGGTCGACGGCTTCACTGCGTTGCTGTGGAAAGGGGGACTACCCCAATCACGACGCTCAAACATCATCCTCTGCACTGACCGGCACGGTTCACCTGGGCGGGTAGATAATATGATTAATATCTCCGGCTCCGATTCCGAGACGGCTCAGGATTACAGGAGTTCGCGATGGCACGTTTTGTACGGCGACCAAATCAAGGCAATGTGCCGCCGTCGACGCTTGAGACAGGATCTGCTGCCTGGCGCATTTTGTCACAAGTTATCCCCTTTACGAGGCGTCGGTTGGCTGGTGTATTGATCCACACCATTAGTACCGACTGTCATCAAAAACCGACGCCGCCGAGGCGGAGCTGTTTCACGTCGTGAGCCCGCGCCGCAGGATTCCAACATGCACGAAATTGCACTGGCGCAGCCCAAAAATAAGCTTTGAAAGTCCCGCTAAACAAGCACTCGGATTACCGCTTTGCCGCGGTTGGTTCTTGAAAACTCGGCGGCGTCTCACGCTCCTCGCGCCAGGGGCTAAAGACGATCTTTGACCCATGACCGAGTCCCCGGGGCTTGTTCCAACAGAACGGCCTCGCCCCCATCATACTATAGTTGGCGTCGGCGGTACGCTTTGCCCCTGACAGGAGTGCGATGTTGCGGCGCGGCCCCGGTGATATTTATCTCGGGCCCATCCCGTCCGCGGCCCCATCTGCGACCTCATCCCCGTACCAGTCGCATAATATCGACCGGACGACGGCTTCGCTTTCGTCACCATGCCCTTATCCACCATCAAGAAGCGGTTCGAAGATGCCCGCGAGCGGTATTCTGAGGGCCCCGCAGCCGAGTGGGTGGCCAAGATCCGGCCCTACCTCCCCCCGATCAACTTCGTCACCCTCCACTATGCCTACTTCATCTTCTCTTGTCTGATCTTTGCGGCCATCTTCCAGGCCTGCGGCTCGTCCACGACCCCGGAAATCGGCTACCTCGACAGCCTCTTCGTCACCATGTCGGCGCTCACCGCGACGGGCATGAACACGGTCAATCTCAGCGAGATGTCGCTCGGTCAGCAGATCATCTTGTTCCTCAGCTTGATGCTCGGGCATCCCATCCTCATCTCGCTCTGGACCGTGCTATTCCGCCGTCACGTTTTCGAGAAGCGGTTTCGGGCCATCGTCAAGGCGGAACGAGCAAGGAAGCTGAAGGCGGGCTCCACCATCTGGTTGTACTCGGGCTTCTCAGATCTTCTTGCGCTGGCACGGATGAGGTCAATGGGCAAGACCGAGTCCAAGGACGACTCCACCAAGAAGCTGCCGGGTCTGGGAACCCGCATTCCTCCCGGTCAACCGTCCGAGTCGGGAGCCCAGGGCCCGGAGAAAGACGGGGAGGAACACGACGTGGAGGCCGGTCTTGCCCCGGCCCCAAAAAGCGGCGTGCCCAACCTGCCTGGCGCCAAAGGTATCGCTTTCCTCGAGCCCCCTCCCCGCGTAAACGGAAATGCCAAGAAGCCCACGATCCCGTCCGAGGAGGACCGGACCGCCGAGGTCCGCAACTTTCTGCAAGAGAAGAGGAAGAATGTGGGCAGGAACGGGGAGTTCTTCAACCTCACCCTCAAGGAGCGCGAGTATCTCGGAGGCGTCGAGTACCGGGCCGTCGAAGTGCTGGTGGTCACGGTGGCCATGTACTACGTCCTTTGGCAGCTGCTCGGCGCCATCGCTCTCGGGACCTGGCTGGCGGTCAACGAGCCCGAGATCGCGACCACTAACGGCCAGAATCCCTGGTGGACCGGCATCTTCTTGGCCATCTCGGCCTTTGCCAGCGGCGGCATGTCGCTGCTTGACGCGGGCATGACCGCCTTCCAGTCGGGCTACTACTTTGTGCTGATTGTCAGCACCCTGCTCATCCTCGCCGGCAACCAGGCGTCGCCCATCTTTTTGCGTTTCATCATCTGGGTGCTCTCTCGCACGCTCCGCTTCTCGACCAAGAACGAGAACCATGCCGTGTGGAAGGAAACGTTCGATTTCATCCTCCAGTACCCCCGTCGCGTGTATATCAACATGTTCCCTTCGCGGCCGACCATGATGCTCACGCTATCGATCGGCGGCTTCCTGTTTCTCGACTGGATCATGTTTTTTGTCCTCAACATCGGCAACCCCACCATCGAGAGCATCCCTCCGGGCCCGCGCGTCATGGATGGTCTTTTCCAGTCGACCTGTAAGTAGACATCTTTGCGTTCCCCCCACCCGGTGCGAAACTAATGTCCCCAGCCATCCTTTCCGCCGGCTTCGCCGTTGTCTCGATATCTGGCGTGTACTATGGCCTGCAGGTCCTGTGGTTGATTAAGATGTACGCCTCGGCATACCCGACGTCCATCACAGTCCGTGGCTCCAACGTCTACGAGGAGCGCTCGCTCGGCATCTACGCCGGGGACGATCCGGAAGACAGCGACGACAAAGGCGACGGAAAGAATGAAAAGAACGCTCCCGCGGCTGGCGGTCTGTTCCTCAACCCCGGCACAACCACCGGGATGCAGCCGCCCATGACGCCCATGTCGGCCACGTCCAATGCATCTCGCCTCTCGCGTCTCTCCCAGGCCTCCCGCGGCGGAATCGACAAGATCGTCAACCTCGGTCGCGAGGGCGGTGCCAAGCTCGGCCGGCAACTGCAACGGCGCATGACCGAGTTTCAGGGCGTCGGCGTGGCCGCGCCCATGCGGCGCCACAAGACCAATTTCAGTCTTCCCCAGCTTAACCAGCCGACTCCCCAGTCATCGGCCAGCAGCAGCACCGCCAGCGTCGGCTCGGCCGATGATTTCGACCCCCCGAAGCAGGACCTCGTCTCACACCACGTGCGCAGCCAGCTGTCGCACGACGTCTGGTGGATCGCCCTCGCCTTCTTCCTCATCACCATCATCGAGACCTCCCACACGCTCGGGGACCCGGCCGCCTACAGCCTGTTCAACATCCTGTTCGAGATCGTGTCGGCCTACGCCAACAACGGGGTCTCCATGGGCCTGCCGAACGCGGCGCACAGCTTCAGCGGCGGCTGGCACCCCGGCAGCCGCTTCGTGCTGGTGCTGGTCATGCTCCGCGGCCGCCACCGCGACCTGCCCGTGGCCCTGGACCGTGCTGTCAAGCTGCCGAGCATGGACCTAGACGAGAAGGAGGAGGACGATGCCGAGATCCGCCGCACCATCACCAGGACCCCCAACCTAGTCCAGAGCCCGCCCCTGCACTCGCCGGGGAGGATCAGGCCGTTTTCGCCCATGTAGAATGTTTCAAGTTTGTCCGGAACAGCGTTACTCCCTATATTGTAATTGGTTAATCTACTTTTCTTTCCTTCTTGAAATCTCTGAAGCCGAGTCAGGCTGCCGACGTGTTTACTGTGTATTTCCCCTGCCCCACGGCCAGAAGAGCGGCATCCTCGTCGGCATGTGGGCGTGTCCACTCGGTTCCGTTGAACCCGGCTCGAGTTCGGGTTGCTCTCGCTGTCGTTGCTGATTCATCGCAAGCTGTGCCCAATCCTGTTCCGTTTCTTTCTGGAACTCACTTGCCATGTTGCCACCACGAGACCCACGCCTCCATTTCCCTTCGCGTTCTTCTCCATCACGACCCCCACTACGGCCTGGGAAGCCCCCCGGGTCCCACCACGGCACGTTGAGTTGTCCGCACTTGGCAAATGCTTGCTCCCCCTTGGCTCCTGACTGCAGTTGTTGAAACCCAAAACAGTTCGAGCTCCGACATGAGGCTCTAGCGGTGGACCACTCCCCAGACATGAAGGGACCCCGAGGTTGGGGAACGGGGGATATGGGTCTGGGGAGTGTGGAGGGTCCCTCCAGTGCTCTGGTGCGGGTTAAAGTAACTTACATTCTCCCATTCTCTCTTCGATACACCTTGGAAACTTCAGGAGGCCGGTCAGAAACACCGCAAGATGACCAAGGAGGCACACGACGAGCAGAATGTCGAGCACAGCGTGCGTCCGAAGCCCCCGATCGAGACGATACCGGCTAACAAACGCAGGAACCCACGCAACTCCATGCTCTGACGGCCGAGCATCGGGAGTACCTCCTGCAGCGCCATGGCACCTTGGATCTCGAGCCAGTGCCGGACATGACCGACACTGATCCGTACAACTGGCCAAAGAGCAAGGTAAACATGTCCGAACCGTCACGTCACCGTCAACTCACCTCGGACTACAGAAAATCCTAAACCTCGCCATGATCGCCTTCCACGCCATGATGGGCACCTTCACGGCGGCCGCCGTGCAGTCCGTGTTTGCCGAGATCGCCGCCGACCTCGACGTCCCGATCCACCAGGCGTCGTACATGCTGTCGCTCCAGATCGCCGTCCTCGGCGGTGCCCCCCTCTTCTGGCGGCCGCTCTCGCAGCGCTACGGCCGGCGGCCCGTCTTCCTGCTCTCCCTCCTCTGCAGCCTGGTCGGCAACATCGGGTGCGCCGTCAGCCCGTCGTACGGCACCATGGGCCTGTGCAGAGCCATCACGGCCTTCTTCATCTCCCCCGCCCTGGCCATCGGGAGCGGCGTCGTCACTGAGACCTTCTTCAAAAAGGAGAGGGCCAGGTACATGGGGATATGGACCATGATGGTGACGCTGGGCGTGCCGATGGCGCCGTTCATCCTCGGGTTCGCCGCCGTCCGCGTCGGGTACCGCTGGATCTACTGGATCCTCGCCATCGTGAGTCTTTTTAAAGTCGTGTCGTGTAAGCCGTGCTGACCACCACCCCCTATACCAACGCCGTCCAGTTCATCCTGTATTTCCTCCTCGGCCGTGAAACCCTTTACCTCCGCCACCCGACCCCATCCACGATTCCTCCAACCACCAAATCATCCCCCCCCCACAACCTCCTGTCCTTCAGCCGCATCGACCCGACTCCCCTCAAGGCGTGGGACTTCGTCCAACCCCTAACCTTTGCCGCCCGCCCCTGCGTGCTCATCCCGACGGTCGGCTACGCGATGGTGTTCCTCTGGGGCAACATCATGATGTCGGTCGAGACGGGCTCGCTGTTCCCGGAGCGGTTCGGGTTCGACCCGCAGCAAGTCGGCCTGCAAAACATCAGCATCATCGTCGGCTCGCTCGTCGGCGAGCAGATCGGCGGCTTCCTGAGCGACTGGTGGATGTGGCGGCGCCACAGCAAGGCGGCCGGTGGCAGTGGCAGCAGCGGCAGCGGCAGCAGCGGAAGCGACAGCGATACCCAAGAAGGCGAGAACACCCCGGTGCCGCAGCCCGAGTTCCGGCTATGGCTGAGCCACCCGGGCTACCTGCTCGCAATCTGCGGCGTGGTGGTCTACCTCGTGCAGGTCGAGCGCGCGGGGACGACATGGAACGTCACGCCGCTCGTGGGCACGGGCATCGCGGCGGCGGGCAACCAGATCGTCACGACGGTCGCCACCACGTACGCCGTGGACTGCTACCGCGAGGACGCGGCTGGTGTGGGTGTGTTCATCAACTTTGTCCGGCAGACGTGGGGGTTCATCGGGCCGTTTTGGTTCCCGCACATGATCGAGCGGGTTGGGTTCGGGGCCTCGGCGGGGATTGCGGCGGGGATGTTGGTGGGTGTGTCGATGGTCCCGACGGCGGTGGTGCAATGGAAGGGGGGTATGTGGAGAGGAGGGTAGTTGAACGGAATGTGAGAGGGGGGGTGGACTCAAGTAGTTGAGCCTTGTCAACAACGGCCGGTGATCTGTCGGTCCATCCCGTGCTGGCTGCCTCGGTGGCTGGAGTGAGTGGCAGTGGTGATGTCGTCAAGGATGTCTTGATAGAGCCATATATGAACGACGGTATGTACCAACCGACGTGTCCTTGATGCGAGCTCCTAGATCCTGAGGCCTCAACGCGGGCGGAAAGTTCCGTAACTCGCCGGGGTGAGTTAGAGTTCCCCAGAGACAGGGCGGCGTGGGATGGCGACACCCGGTCTTATAACCGGATTCGATGGGGCAGGCCGGCACATGCGCCCCTTCAGCCCTGACGGCCCCAAGGTCACATCAAGCATCGATACCGTTTCATCCCCTGCCAGTGCCTCCATCGGGCAACAAATCCTCCATGTGACAGCAGGAGAGAGGACATCGGGGCAAGGATTTAAGGATCCAGTGGGGGGCCAGTACGATAAGTAGTGATGTGAGTATACATACACTACACATTGGGGGCCGGATCGAGAGTCTGCCTTACCCCACCGATGAGCTGTCCAACACGGGAGGATGCATGGTGTGGAACTTTGGGATCGCGTGGGCTCTTTCCTGACAAGCGGTTGCCGAGCTAGTCTTAGTGCTGCTGACACGGTCATGACAAAGTCACCCTCCCGCACCCCTGCGCCGCCTCTGGTTGGGCAGCAGGGAAATCTCTTGGCGACTCCGAGAAGATAGGGGCCGTGATAGCAGTGTTTTCTGATAGGGGCTCAACATGATTGTGAGCAACTGACAGGTCGGAGCAGCAAGGACACAGTCTGCCCTCGAGCACCGTCTGCGCTTGAGTGTGTGGGGGGCAGGGGCACGGGTACGTACGCATGTGGTGAAACACATACAACGTGGAACAGGATTATCCGTGTCTTGGACCAGTAGATCAATTTAAGCTAATCTATTCAACCTGAGATCGCCGGTCACACATGGATCGATACGGTATCCCCTGGCATTGACTATGAAAGTTGTACAACCGCAGGCAAACCCCGGTACAGTAACGCAACACTATCTAAGTATACTTCCAGTTGGTCGACTTCAGCTCTGCGCCCTCTTCAAGCACACCCGGGAGGTACGACGACATGTAAGGACCCTTGCTCTTGGAGTAGGAAAAGGACACGAAGGTCGGCGAGATACGGTTACTAGCGCTATAGAATGGTTAACCCAAGTCGGCGGAGGGGTCGTGGGGATGTGACTTACTAGGCAGCCTTGACGGCCTCGGTGTACTTCCCGTCGCTGCCCCACTGGTGCTGCAGCTTTCTCAGGATCTTCTCCACGTTGGCCTCGGACTCTTGGGCGGTTGCGTTGTGCTGGAATAGCGGGACGTAGCACTTCATCTCGAGGCCGGGCTTGCTGGGGTTCAGCTCGACGTTGTACTGCAGGCCGGAGAGGGGCGTGCCTGTGATTCGCTCGGGCTTCTCCCAGGCGTCGTACGCGTCCCTGTCGGAAGGGTCCGGTCCCTCGCCGGGCTTCTCGTTCCGGAGCAAGGGCCAGAGGGACCGCAGAATCTCGACGCGCTTGAGGGTGGTCTCGTCCGTGAGGCGGCCGCCAAGTGTCATGACATCACGGGCCACAGCGAAGGAGTTGCTGCTGGTGTGGAAGTAGGTTTTGACACGGGCGCTGGTGATCTTGAAAGGGTCAAGACAGTCGAGGCTCGCAAAGATGAGCGTCACATTGTACTTGGCGTTGGCGAGGTAACTACCGCCGGGTCAGCTAGGGAGCACACGGAGAAATTGATTGTGGCAACTTACTCGGAAACGACATCAAGGCCGGGCCCGATCTTGTAGCCCCAAGGCTCGAGCTTGCGCAAGGCCTCCACCGTGTACTGGTTGCTCGACATGGCGCCAGAGGCGATGGCCTTGCGCATGGTGAGGATGTAAACCTTCATCATGGCCTTCTCGCCATCCAGGTCGAACCCGACCAGACTGCTGGGCATGAAGGTGGGGATCTTGTTCCGCATCGCCTCCGTCTCCTCGGGCGTCAAGTAGAACAGGTCCATGACGCTGGTGAGCCACTTGGTATCGGCACCCGAGGCTTTGGCGAGGTTCAGGAGGACCTCGCGGGCCCGCTTCTCGCCGAACGGGTCCGGGCTCTCGGCGCCTCCGGGCGGCTTTACGACCTCGAGACTGTACCGGACCTTGCATTTGCCGGTCCCCGTCAGGTTGAGGCTGGGCTCGAAGGGCGAGTCGACGTAAGTCATGGTGTACTTGGCCCGCGCTTCCGACGGGAGCGGGCCCAGGGTGGGCGCGATATGGTCCACAAGGAACCGCAGCTGCTGTGCTTGCTGCTCAGGGGTATACGCGCCAGAGGCCTCGAGCAGCGGGCGAACCATGGAGCACAGGTAGTCGGACCAGAACTCGTGGGCCGTCTTCTTCCCCCCGGCCTGCGTCTGCGCGGCCTGGGGTTGCGCAAGGATGGTGTCAACGGTCGCCATGGTTGAGGTGGGATACAGTCAGGGACAATCTAGACAAGGTACGAGTGCTGATTCTATCCAGATGCAGACAGATGTGCGCGTCTCACAGCTCTCCTATTTATTCAAAGATTCGGCCCCAGTCGCACTTCTTTCCAACGCTTGATCCATGCTACCAGAGATACTGTCCGACGCTCAACACGATTCATCCTTTGAGGCGACCAGGAGTTCTCAGCTCTGAATAGCCATTGTCCTCTCTGTCAGCGGGCCAAGGTACTGGTTCTGGTCTCCGGCTGGATGTTGATGATAGGTAGCCCCATTCAGCCGCAAGAGGATAGGCAAGGTTCTCAGACCCCCGGATTTCAGTGTGAGCAGCGAGGACCCATGTCCATGGTTCGGAGCCTGGTCTGTCAGCCCCGATCGAACGTCACGTCCGAAACTTTATTCCATTTCGCAAGGGACCCCTGACTCTGCATGTGCAGCCCGACGCAGATCACCGTTGTCTCAACCGCTGATTCAGCGGGCATGCCCCCTTTTCTATCCGCTGAATCAGCGGCCCCTGGGCGAGCTCCAATCCAACTGGGTCTTCACTCCGCTGAATCAGCGGTCGAAGGAGAATGCGAAACTGCGGGCCAGCGGCGCAGGCGGTGCTGACCCTTGGCAGGCGTTGGAGTCTTGGGGGTCAGAAACGGGTCTCAGATCCTTCGGGCCTTTGTTCTCAGCGAGACACTTGAGATGCAGGTTTTTGATGGTGGTTCGATATGTGGGAAAGGGAGATGAATATATCCAGAGGAGAGGAAATGAATTATCTCGGTGGCTATTCAGAGGGCAAAAGATAGAATTTCAATCAAATGCTAGTCTATTTACTACTACATGCGATTTGAGAGCGGTAATAAAAACCAAAACACCAAGTTAGGAGGTCAAGTAACCAACAGACTCCATCCTCAGGGGACCAGCACGAGCCGCTTGCTCTTAGTGTCCTCGGAATCCCAGACGGATTCCACATCGGCAAAGGAGGCAACCTTGACATCGGTAGGCCTGGGCATCTTGACCACAGCGCCGAGCAGCCCGCCGATCTCCTTCTTGACATCCATCTTGCCCCACGCACCCATGCCCGATCCGGTGACGCGGATAGGCTTAGCGTTGAGCAGGCGGGAAGGCAAACCAAGAGTCTCCTCGCCAGCTAGGTCGCCGACGTGGATGTACTGCACATCCTTGCCCGGCGCGACCTCGGCCGACTGCAGGACGCCCACGGCAGCCCGCCCACCGACAAAGTCCAGGACGATGTGGATGGGGCCCAGGCCGGCCGGGAGGGTGAAGGGTTCCTGCAGCACGACGCGTTCGTCCAGGTCCTGAACCGTAGCGAGCGTCTCCTCCTTGCGGGACATGCCGATGATTCGGGCCGCGCCCAGGGAGCGCGCCACGGCGACGGCGGCCCGACCGCTGGTGCTGGTGGCGCCCAGGACGAGCACGGTGGCGCCCTCGCAGCCGGCGGGGATGGCGCGGCAGCGGAACGCCATCCAGCTGCTGCCGACGGGGTTGACGAGCGTGGCGACGGCAATGGGGTCGGCCTCTGGGGCGAGCTTGACGAGCGTGTGGCGCTCCACGTTGGCGCGCTCGCCGAAGAGAGAGCCGGACATGGGGCTGACGTAGTAGAGGTCGCCCGTGGATTCGTCCTTGACGACGCCGTCGACGGTGGGGTCGTACGGCAGAGTGGCACCACGGGCGCTCGAGTGTTTCCCGAGGGCACGTCCGCGCACCACAGGCGGGACAGCTACCGCCACGACCTTGACCTGGAGTTGGGACGGCGAAGGGGCGGGCAGGTCAGGGCCGTCGGAGTAGACGGGCGCAGAGCCCCACGAGGTAACGCGAGCGATCTTCATGTTGGGTGCTTGGGTGGTGTGAAAGTTGGCGGTTCTGGAGTTGGCGGCTCTGGAAACAACTCTGGAAACAACTCTGGAAACAGGCTGATGGGCGGCGGAGACTGCTGATGGTGATGCTGATGCTGACACAGACCGCGTTGCTCTCGAGATAGACTTGGCCAAGAAACCTCGCATCTTGACTTGCAGAAGGTGTGCCGCCGAACGAGCTGTTTTAATGGGCTCGAGTTGAGGACAACAAAGGGGAAGATGGCGTGGATGTGTGTGCCGAAGGAGGAAACAAGCTGACGTACTCTCGCGTTTGTTTGCACCATTTTTATCGCCTGCCGTCCGCAGCGGGGATGGCTAGGTCTCGCCCGCTCTGTCATTCTCGGTTGGCAGCCTCTCGCGTTTGCTCGCCGGCGCCATGCGTCCCATGCATGCAGGGCAAACACATGGTGTGCCAGTCTGATGGAGGGTTGCAGCGCCTCTCAGGGGTGGCGCGGGAGGGCAACCAGGACAGGGAAGTTAAACATTTAGACTCGGCGCCAAGTATGCCGAGACAGTGCCAAGCGTAATGCCAGCGAAGATCTCGTTAGAGCCCGCGTTGGCATTGCTTAGCCTCAGCTCATCGGGTGTCTGTCCCGTTGGCTGTCACACGACTTGGCACATGGCAAGATTACCCTCCCCCCCCCTTCCCAACCATCCGAGTTAATTAGTTCTCGGTCTTTTCGCATCTTCCCGTACGGTGGAACTCCCATAGATGGCAACATCTCTGCAGGGCGTGCTGTGGTGAGACAGAGAGAGTAAAACGAAGCGCCAGTGATATGGCCTCTCGACCACCCCTGACTGGGCCCCCCCTGAATCTGAACCCACCAACTCGGCGCCGCGTCATTTCCAACCCTACAATGTACGCAGTATGTGCAGAAAGTTCCCAAACCTTCCAAAATAGCGGTCGTCAGCAAAGTTCGCTCTTTTTCCTCCGAACCCGACACCTCACCGGTCCCGACGTCCAAGGCACTTCCGCAAATCCGCAAAGGAAGGGCCGCAGGCGACCGCAGTTGTCGGGTGAGACCTCCGAATTCTTACACTTGGCAACGGATCGGCCTCTCCACCACTCACACGAGGCCCGAAACGGGGACGGCCATCCCGGTAGCCCTACCTACGCTCCACCCCGGCTGGCACCCAACCAGATGGACTGGCTGGTAGGACTGACAAGACTCCCCGCTCCCGCCCAGTTACGCAAGTCTTAAGTCTCCACGACTCGTAGGCCCGGACAAACGAGAAACGACCGAGAATCGACACCGAAGCAGGATTAAGTTCTCACGCGATATGCAGCCACATGTCAGGCCACATGCTTGGCGGCTTCTATCCCGACGGCGTGCTTAACCAGGGAGCTCCGGATCAGGCAACGAGAGAATGTACCCGCTAAAGAGGGCAAGCACGTTGTTACTCCTCCACCGGGAGTGTGACTGTGCCCGCGAAAAACCACCTCGCAGAAGGCTAAGTTGGTAAGCTGCATGGCAGTGTCCGTGGATGCGATCGAAGTCGAATCTGCATGGGTCGAGGACTTGTACATCCACATGGTTGGTGAGCTCACATGGGATGAGATGAGATGACCGCCGCCTCTGCCCCGAGACTGGGTGACCTCACGGGCTGAGACGAGGTGAGGCGCAGCTGAGATGTCAGGCTAGAAGGCGCCCACTGGACTACTACTAAGAGACATGGCGCGTTTCCTTTAAGTCTCCAACGTCGTCTTCAACTTGTTAGCTTCCCCCACTTTAGCCCTTTCGACTCACAGGGACGCCCAAGTACTCCGCAGCTCACGACGCAGGTACACTATCTTCTACGCAACAATGGAGTCTGTGGCATACGAACCCGAGGCGCTGGTCTTTGACCCGTCACCGCTCTTCTCACGACGTGTGCAGCGGTGGGAACCGGGAGCCAGTCAGTAGAGAGGCCCCGTCGATGCACGACCTGTGATGCTGACGACCTGCAGTTCGCAGTCTCTTGCCCCTTGAGGGCATTCCGGGCATGATCTCTCTGGTCGCCGGTATGTCAAATTGGATTCCCCTCTCGTTGTCCCCCTAGGTACTGACTAGGTATCCAGGCAAACCCAATCCGGACACATTCCCCTTCTCCAAGATCTCCATCACCCTGAACGGGCCCGAGGAAAAGACACTCGTCCTGGAGGACGCCGCGCTGAGCGAGGCCCTCCAGTACGCCCCTCCAGCTGGTCACCCCGGATTCCTCAAGGTTCGTATCTCACCGGTCGGGGGATCGAGTTCAAGCTAACATCCAGCAGTGGTTCCAAGGACTGCAGCAGGCTGTTCATGGGGTCGGCAACTCTGACAGCTGGACCTGCTGTGTCGGCAATGGCAGCCAAGAATTGATCCACAAGGCCTTCCAGGTCTTTACCGACCCGGGCGACCCGGTGATGCTAGAGACGTGAGTCAAGTCGTGATCTATTTGAAAAATAAAGACCATTGCTAACCAGCACTAGGCCTGCCTACCCGTGAGTTTGCTATCTGAACTGCTTGTCTCGGGTCACGGTTGACTAACATGACATAGCGGAGTCTCGTCGTTCCTCCGTGTAGACGGCCATGAGCTGGTCGAGATCTCCTCGGGGATGGAAGGTATCGATCCCTCTGACCTCGAGCGCGTCCTTTCGACGTGGCCGGAGCACCGCCGCCGCCCGACTGTTCTTTACACCGTCCCGACCGGGTCAAATCCCACAGGGCGGTCTTGCTCTGAGACTAACAAGGCGAGAATGTAGGTTAACTCTAACCTCTTGTCGAATCTTGCTAACGCAAACAGCCTCGCTCTCGCCAAACGCTTCAACTTCATGATCTTTGAAGACGACGCGTACTACTACCTCAACTTTGAGGAGGACCAGTCCAAGCGGGCACGCAGCTACCTCGCCCTCGAGCAGGAGGTCAACGGCGAGACAGGCCGCGTGATGCGGTTCGAGTCGCTGAGCAAGATTGTTAGCTCGGGCATGCGGTTGGGTATCCTCACGGGGCCCACGCCGGCGGTGCAGAAGGTGGTTAAGATCACCGAGAACGTCAAGTAGGTCAACCAACTGCCAGCCCCTCAGCGCCCAGGGCCCACGCTAACCCTCCGCAGCCTCCAGCCATCGACCACCACGCAGGTATTGGCCCTGACCCTCTTCCGGCACTGGGGATACACCGGCTTCATCGAACACTGCGCCAAAGCAGCCCAGTTCTACCGGCGCAAGCGGGACTGCTTTGCCGCCGCGGCCGAGCGCCACCTCCAAGGGCGGGCAACCTGGCAGGTCCCGACGGCGGGCATGTTCTTCTGGATGAAGCTCCTGCTCCCGCCGGGCACCGACAGCTTCGAGCTCCTGAGCAAGAAGGGCATCGATAACAAGATCCTGGCCATTCCAGGCATGGCTTTCCTGCCCAACGCCCGCAAGGCGTGCCAGCTGCGTGCGAGCTACAGCCTCGTGAGCGACCCGGATATGGACGAAGCCTGCCGGCGCATCGCCAAGCTGGTCGACGACGCCTGGAGGGACGAGTTTGCCAACAGCGCAAAGTCCGAGGCAGCCCAAGCCGTCGTCCCCACAACCATGAAAATTACAGCTTAGCTTTTCCGTTAGATGTATGATAGATGCTTCAGATTGAGCCTCTCGGGCCTAGGTAGGGGTTATTTTGGATACACCTAGAATTCTAGGATATACAGGTTTTTCAATTTTTTCAAATCAAGGGAGAATCAGCCAGATACAACTTGGAGATTCCCCTACGTTTACAGATGGAGCTTCGCTCGCGTACACAGGTAGCGAATTCATTCACACGTTGTTCTCAAACTTGCTTGCGTTCGTAGACTGCTTTGACACCAACCTAGCCCCTGCTCGGTCCCAAAAGGCCGGAGTCCATATGAGTTCGACTATCACTAAACCAATACTACCTTCCTCCTTCCCGAACCGCTGGGGACCAGTGAAACCCCTGAGAGCGTCGTCGTGGTATTCTGCAAGACTCCACCTCCCGTCCCATCCCTGGCGTGATCTGCAAGATGGAGGCACGGGTGGGCTTCTCGAAGCGACCACGCTTGAAGCACTCCTCCCCCAAAGGGGGTCCCCGGGCGAGATCGTCAGATAACCTCCCGCTGCATGGCGTGATACTTGGCGCCGCCATAGCTATTGTCCCGACGTACGAGGTCGCCTTCACCGACATGGGATCCGGCCCGTTTAGCGCGGCAGCGTCGTCTTCGCTTACGGTTGGCCTCCCAGCGAGTCCCGGGCTCCCAGGCTCCCAGGCTCCCAGGTGGTGCCACTCGCATCCTGTCAAGTTGAGGCTGATCGGAAAGCTTAATTGACTTGGCGAATCGTCTGGAGGAATACCCCTCAGAATCCTGCCACTGCCTTTCGGCGCGGTGAGCAGTTGAGGGCTGTGCCCCTGAGCCGCTTGCAAGTTGGAACGGCACTCCGACGACGGCCAGCCAATGACCAAACCGGCACCCACTTGGTCCTGTTCAACTCCGAGATCTTACGCTAGTCTCCTGCGCGGTCGGCAACTCTCCAACAAGAACCGCCGACCGCATCCAGGTGGCTTTTCTTAGTCGACGTATGCTCCCGAGGCCAATACGGCATCCACGGCAACGGCGGAATCATGACCCGTATCACCCCTCGTCTCTCTTTACTGCTTTGAGTCCGCAGCAAGCGTCCATGGTCCTCCGCATGCCAAGATGCAAGTCCATACTAATCAGAGCTTGGCAGCTGCAGCGGCGATCACAGAACGACGATCGAACCCGGTCTCGGGCTCTCACTCGACTGCCCTCGAATCAGTCGACCTCCAAGCCACTGGAGGCAGCTCCTTCCCATCCCCATCTCTGACCTGGTTCGGCGCCGCAGAGAGACCAGACCAACAGGGGTTCTCTAACCCATCGTGATACGTACTCGCCAGTGGCCCAGTGCTGACCCGAACATGTTTCTAAATGTGCCGAAGTCGAGTGGAAGATGCAATTTATGCCTGTCAGACGGCTCGGACGTTTTCCCGACGGTCATCGAGCCCCAGGATCCGGGTACAAACTGCGGGCTGACTACTAACAACCTGCTCGCCAAGTAGAATATCTGAGGCTGAAGGGTTACACGCGGTACGACTCGTACGAGGCCAGAAGGGTCGCGGACCTGCAGTCAGCGGGAGCCTGGAGCCCTGCGTTCTTTTGGGAATGCTACCCTGCAACGACCTGGCGGATATTGCGAATCGAGCATCGAGCCGTCAACATCGGCGAGCAGACCTCATGCGCTCGTGTGGCTGAGAGCCAAACCTCTAGCTGGTTGCGTAACTTGCGTCAGAAGTGATGGGGACGGAGAGCAAAGCCCTCACCAAGAGCGTCGCCGTCGCCGTCGCCGTCGGCTCGCCTGTGGTTAAAAGACGGGGGATCCGTCCACTTTCCAAGCGATGAATGTAGTCTATGTACCCCAGGGCCTCGAGTGACAACTGACACTGCCTTGACTGCTCTTAACTATCTTTCAACAACAAAGTCTTGATCATCATGGGCTCTCTCGCGGTTTCAGGGGTCACCTACCCCTTCGACAACATCATCGATGCCCTCAAGCACACTGCTGCTCATACCACTGAGGGCATCATCTCGTACTCCCCCGCCGGCGCCGGCGAGGCGCCCGTGGCCCGCACCGTCTCGTACCGCGAGCTGCTAGACACGGCCGAGGCCAACGCCGGCAAGCTCCAAAAGCTCTCGGCCATCAAGCGCGGTTCCGTCGTGCTCGTCCACTTTGACGATGCGCTCGAGACCATCGTCTGGTACTGGTCCGTCCTCCTGGCGGGCGGCATCCCCGCCGTCACCAGCCCGGCCATGTTCAGCCAGAACGAGACCGACCGGCAGAAGCATCTCAGCCATCTGTACAGGACCTTTGACGGCCCGCTCTGCCTTACCAAGCGCGCCCTCCTCGAGCCTTTTGAGGAGCACACCTCGGAGAAGCGCATCGACACGCTCGCCGTCGAGGACTTTGACAGCGAGCCGGCGGCCGGCTCTTCGCGCCGCGTCTTCAAGCCCACCCCCGCCGATGTGGTGGCACTCATGCTCACGTCCGGGAGCAGCGGCAACGCCAAGGCCGTCCCTCTGAGCCACGAGCAGCTGTTCGCCGCCTTCCGGGGCAAGGCCGAGGCCGCCAACCTGCCCTTCCCCGGCAGCCCCTTCATGTCGTGGGTGAACATGGACCACGTCGCCAACCTGGTGCACTGCCACCTCTTCGCCATCGTGTCGGGCATCTCGCAGATCCAGGTCCCGGCCGCCAACGTGCTGGTCGACCCGGCCCAGCTTTTGAACCTCATCAGCCGCCACCGCGTGTCGCGCACCTTTGCGCCCAACTTCCTCCTCGCCAAGCTGCGCCGGCAGCTCGAGGCCGGCAAGACGGACACCCTCGACGCCGACCTCAACCTCGAGACCCTCTTCCTCGACACGGGCGGCGAGGCCAACGTGATCGAGGTCTGCGCCGCCCTGCAGCCGCTGCTGGCCCGCTACGGCGCCCCGGCCGACGTCTTCAAGCCGTCCTTCGGCATGACCGAGACGTGCGCCGGCTGCATCTTCAACACCGAGTGCCCCAGCCGCGACCAGGCGGCCAAGAGCGAGTTCGCCTCGCTCGGCCAGTGCATGCCCGGCGTGCAGATGCGCGTCAGCCGGCTCGACGGCGCCGGCGAGGCGGCCCCCGGCGAGCGCGGCAGCCTCGAGCTCAAGGGTGAGATCCTCTTCAAGGGCTACTACAACAACAAGACGGCCACGGCCGAGGCCTTCACGGCCGACGGCTGGTTCCGCACCGGCGATCTCGCCTACCTCGACGCCGGCCGCTGCCTGCACCTCGACGGCCGCACCAAGGAGATGGTCAACATCAACGGCGTCAAGTACCTGCCGCACGAGCTCGACGCCTCGCTCGAGCAGGCCGAGATCCCGGGCGCCACGCCCAGCTACTTCTGCTGCTTTGGCACGCGCGACGCCTCCATGGACACCGAGGCGGTCGCCGTCCTGTACCTCCCGTCGTACGACCTGACCGACGACGCGGCGCGGTTCGAGACGCAGCGCAACATCGCGCGCGTCGTGAGCCTGCACACGCGCTCCCGCCCGCGCGTCGTGCCCCTGCGCGCCCAGCACATGCCGAAGTCCACCCTCGGCAAGCTGTCGCGGGCCAAGCTCAAGGCCGGCCTCGAGAGCGGCGCCTTCGCCGCCCAGCAGGCGGCCAACGACGCCGCCGTCAAGCGCTACCGCCTGGCCACTCGCAGCGAGCCCGAGAACGACGAGGAGTCGGCCATCCTCGACATTGTGCGCGACCAGCTCGAGCTCACGGCCGAGGACGACTTTGGCGTCAACGACTCGGTGCTCGCCACGGGCGCCACCTCGATGGACCTGGTCGCCATCATGCACCGCATGAACAAGCTCCCGCTCCTGGCCGGCCACCCCATCAAGCTGACCGACCTGCTCAACAACCCGACCATCCGGGGCCTGTCGGTGCGCATCGCCAAGCTGACGGGCGCCATCGTCGACACGGAGCAGAAGCCGCACGAGTACGACCCCGTGGTCACGCTGCAGCCCAACGGCTCCAAGACGCCGCTCTGGCTCGTGCACCCGGGCGTGGGCGAGGTGCTCGTCTTCGTCAACCTGGCGCACCGCATCCGCGACCGGCCCGTGTACGCGTTCCGCGCCAAGGGGTTCAACGCGGCCGAGGGCGAGACGCCCTTCAAGACGCTGGACGAGGTGTTCCAGACGTACCGCGCCTCCATCAAGAAGCGGCAGCCGCGGGGGCCCTACGCCATCGCGGGCTACTCGTTCGGCGGCATGGTCGCCTTCGAGGTCGGCAAGCTGCTCGAGGCCGAGGGCGACGAGGTCGCCTACTGCGGCAGCTGGAACCTGCCCCCCCACATCAAGTTCCGCATGCGCGAGCTGCTGTGGGACGAGTGCGTCATCCACCTCTTCTACTTCGTCGGCCTCATGGACGAGGCCACCGCCTACACGCACAAGACGCAGCTGTGCGAGCTCAACAAGCAGGGCCGGCGGCTGGACGCGATCCGGTACCTGCGGCAGCACTCGGACGCGGCGCGGTGGGAGGAGCTCGGGCTCAGCGAGGAGTACTACCTGCTGTGGGTCGGCCTGGCCAGCAACATGCAGGGGCTGGCGGTCGACTACGAGCCCTCGGGCAACGTCAAGTCGATGGACATCTTCGTGGCCGACCCGCTGAGCCACGTGGCCAAGGACCGCAAGGACTGGATCGAGACGCGCCTGTCGGCCTGGAAGGACTTTGTGCGCACCGAGGTCCGGTTCCACGACGTCCAGGGCGCCCACTACACCATGCTGAACCCCGAGTACGTCGCCAACTTTGCCGAGACCCTTCGCCGGGTCCTGCGGGAACGGGGGCTGTAGGCGGTTGGTTGGTTGTAAGCTGTCTGGCCAGACCACTTTCTCTTTAGATGGCCTTTCGAGTTGTGCCGCCTCGGCTTTTCCTGTCTAGATTGTTCTTTTGTTGTCTAGACTGCTTTTCATAGGTACTTGTGTCTGCCGTTGTGCATTTATTTTATTAGCTCGCTTGTACCGAAAAGAACATGACCGTTTCTCAATAGACACTGTTGCTTGGCGTCATTGGTTTCTAATGTGAATTCCCCGGCTTGCAATGTGAATTCATGCCGGGCCTCTGTCGGTGGTTGGAAGTGATGGCCGATGAGATACTTCTGGGGCCGACCTGATGGCCAACCCGGAACTGCAGGTGCACAATTCAACCGGTCTCTGGAGAACGTGGCTAAATGCACACACTGCCTGCCACACAGTGTTTCCAATTCGCAATACCCGCCACAAGTGCTTATAAGGGTCACGGCGTGTCCTCTTCAAACTGTCAAGCATGCAGTCGACGAGAGTGAACTGTTGGTTCGGGGACAGGACTGGGTCAATTAGGTCCATTTATCACCCCGTCTATTTCTTGATACCCAAAATCTCCTCTTCGCTATTGGACAGGCTGCCGAGCCGAGCACGCTGTGACCGCGTGGGACTCCTGAGATCCTTGAGACCCACCCCCCCTGAGCCCCCGATCGTCTGCAAACCCGCGCTTCCGCCGCCGTTGTTGTAGCCGTTGTTGTAACCGTTGCGGTACCCGCGGCTCTGGGACGACGTCATCTCGAAGAAGCGAGGGAACCATTTCCTCATCAGCCCGTGCAGGGGCGGGATCGACGCCGTGATGATGGCCAGGTTGCATTCGATGGTCGAGTAGACGAAATCAATGCTGTAGGTCGGATCCGGGCCAGGGTCCGGGGGCGGGTAGTACAGCCGGTAAAGCGAGTGCATGCGGAGGATGCTGAAGATGGTTACACTATTTGCCACATCCGGTCAGTCGTTGATGGATAACGCTAGGGCGCAGTGCGATCAAGGAGCCGGCGTGACTTACACGATACCGGAACACAAGAGGGTGATGAGGATGGCCTTGAGCTTCATCGGCAATTGAAGCCCCATCACAATCTTGACGGGAATGACGAGCACCAGGATGTCGGTGAGGACTGTCAAGCCCGAGGTGATGAGATACTGCAGCATCATGTTGTTGCACCTCCCCGCCACCGCCATATTCCAATACTTGTGGACCGGTACGCAAGTGAAGATGGAAGCAAACAGAACGGCGATCATGAGGCCAATGTTTGCCCAGTTCAACACGTGAATGCACCGGCGGAGGATGGGCTGGTGGCCGCCGAGCCTGAGTAAAAAGAACAGGACCGACGACTTGACCAACGCCAGCTCGGGATTGTAGAGCATCACCACGATGTAGTTGATGATGCCACTCATCGTGGGGTCGGTAGGGGTCTTCGGGATCTGCCAGATGTGCACACCGAGGTACTGGATCTTCATCATGGCAAACGAGAAGAAGGCCTCGACGGCCGCCAGGATCTGGATAGGTACCCATTAGCTACGTCGCTGCAGAAGAGGTCACGGCAATGCATCATACGGTGGCCAGGACGATGAAGGCATCGTCAACCCCAAACAGCCTGGTCGTTGCGCGGTCATAGAGACGGAGCCCTACGAGCAGCACCGAGACTGCCGGGAAGAAGAAGATAATGAAGAAGCCAAACTGCTGCAGGCCAGTGGTCGGGTAGCTTGAGAAGTCGAGCGACGGCGACGGGAGGTCGGTGGGCGGGGCGGGCCCGCCGGCTTGTCGGGCCAACAGCAGCAACCCTTGCGAGAGGATGCCGGAAAGCTGGGCCATTGCCAATGGTCGCAATGGTAGCGTGCGGACCCAGAGCAGATCGAGAAGATCGAACAGATCTCTGGGCCCCGATGGGATGGACACAGGGTCTTGCGGATATCTATATCCATCCTGGCAGCGATCCAACACGATTTGCCAAGGGCAGGAACACACACAATTTTTTATTTTGGCTTCAAGTTTTCGAAGGATGGATGCAGGGTGATCGCTTCGCTCACACGAGCACCGCTCCGTGCATCAACTAGGCTCGGTTGGGAAACTGAACCAAAGAAGCGGTTTCAAAGGAAGGAACGAAGCACGGTGGAACTGGGGAAATCGGTGGGATTTCCGGGTTGAACTTTGCGCACGGGCGACAAGTTTTCCGAGTTTCCCTGGGAGACCCCAAAAATTCCGCATGCCCAGAGTTTGCCGAGAGTTCGTCTCTGCTGCAGGAACAAGGGGTGACTCGCAGCTATGGCTCCATTCTGCAGGTGCTCAGGGCCTGGCCGAGCCTGGGCGATGGAAGCGGAAATGGGGTGCCGATATTCCTTCCAGCACGGCCCAGAGTGGTGGAACCCGCACAACGGAGAAATTGGTTGAGACCACCGAGACCAGTTCAGTGTTCACCCAGACCGGCGAGTTGTAACACTGCGTGAGGCGGGTTGGCTGGGCATTTATCCACGAACTCATAATGGACTAGTTGGCGGGTTTTCTCGCGCTGAACCAAGTCCCCGAGATTGGATCCAAGCACCCGGCGACACCGTGTTACATTCCGTCTGGATCCCATCGCCCCAATATCGAGCAATCTGTGGCAATTTGTTGGTTCATGTTGGTTCATGGTAACATTCTAGCAGCATTCTGGTCGCATTCTGGTCGCATTCTGGCAACAGTTTGGTAACATTCTGGGGGATTTCCCACCGTCGTGGGATTTTAGTCCCCAATAATTCTACCTGGGTTCGCATCCTCTTCTCGACGACCATGGATGAACGGGGGTGGACAGCTTCGCATGCACTCAGCAGGATCCCACGGTGCTCGTGCCAGTCAAATTCCCGCAAAACTCGCTTGCTCGGTTCTCGGATCGACGCCTCCCATCCCTCTCCTTCTCCGTTCGTTCTGTCCACAGCAACTGGCGATCCTCTCGAGTTCTCGGTAGGCTGCCAAGATGTTGTCCTCTACTCACCGTGGTCGCTCCTTTTGGGCCGCTTTGGCCGTCACGCTCTTTTCTGGTTTCGCTTCTGTTTCTGCTTCGGGCAAACAATGTCAGCCGGTGGCTACGTACGACTACATTGTCGTTGGTAGCGGTCCCGGCGGTGGTATCGTGGCCAGCAACCTCGCCTTGGCCGGTCACAGTGTTCTGCTGCTCGAGGCCGGTGCGGATGCCAGCGACGATGTTGCCACTTCTGTCAATGCCCTTTCCTACCCCCAAAACCCCAACTATCAGTGGTCCTTCTTCGTGAAGCACCACGGCGACGCCGAGGTCGAAGCCCGCTACCGTCTGCTCACCTGGACTCTGCCCGATGGCACCTATTGGGTTGGTCCCAAGGCCGATGCCCCCGCTGGCGCACAGCTGAATGGTGTCTGGTACGTGCCGCACCAATGCCGATCGCTGCGCATACACGACTCGTGTCATACTGACAGGACCCAGGTACCCGCGTGGCGCCACCCTTGGCGGGAGTGCCATGGTCAACGCCATGGCCTCTGTTCTTCCCAACGATGCCGACTGGAACAAGATTGCCAAGTTGGCCGGTGATGACTCTTGGTCGTAAGTTGATGCTTGGCTTACTATTTGTTAATTCTACCCCGTTGATTCTATTAGCCACGTTAACTAACCCTTCGGCACAGGGCTGAGGAGATGAGAAAAGTGTTCGTTAAAATCGAGCAGAACTTGTACCTCAGACCTAATGAGTCCACCGCCGGCCATGGCTTTGACGGTTTCGTGCAGATGGGTCAAGGCGACTCCAACTACTACCTGCAGGAACCGGGTCGCCTTGCCCTGCTGTCTCACCTCGCGGAGGATCTCGTCGGCCACCCCGTGGACCAAGCGGCTGCGCTCGACTACATTGAGCGTGATGCCAACTTCCTCGGCGCCTCCAGGGACAAGGCCGCGGAGCCTTTTGGCCTCCCGAACCACTACAACAACAAGGGCCGTCGCTGGACTCCCCGTGATCTCGTCAAGAGCACCATGGCCCAGACGACCAAGCTGACGTTGGAGACCGAGTCCCTGGCCACCAAGATCCTGTTCCACGAGGGCAAGTCCGGGTGCAAGCCCAAGGCCAAGGGCGTCAGCTACCTTCAGGGAGCCGGCGTGTATGGTGCCTCGTGGGAGTACAACAAGGACACCGCTCCCAAGGGAAAGCGGATGCGTGCTTATGCTCGTAAGGAGGTCATCATCAGCGGTGGTGTCTTCAACTCGCCCCAGCTCCTCCAGCTCAGCGGCATCGGCAACGCGAAGCTCTTGCGCTCCCTCGACATCCCCGTCCGCGTCGATCTCCCCGGCGTCGGCGAGAACCTCCGCGACAACCAAGAACTCCCCGTCGCCGGCCTCAGCCCCCTCAACATCACCGCCGCGCCGCGCGATCCGGCATGGGCCACCTGCACCTTTGGCGCTCCGGGCGACCCGTGCCTTGCGCAGTTCCAGAACGGCACCGGTCCCTATGCCGCGCCCTCTGGTAACAGCGAGTGCTCCTTTTTGAAGACCGACCACAGCCCCGACGGTAACCGCGACGTCATCACCTTTGCGTAAGTGGACTTTAAACTATCCACATAAATTCCGATGTACTAATCCGGCCATTAGTCCCCCTGGCGTCTTCCGCGGCTTTTCTCCCCCGGCCAGCAACATGCTCCCCATGGACAGCCCCGACACCCTGTGGCGCAGCCTGGCGCGCATGAACGTCCAGAACCACGCTGGCTACGTCCGGATCCGCTCGACCGACCCCACCGTCACCCCCGACATCAACATCGCGCAGTACGAGTCCCCCGTCGGCGGCGACGTCGACATGGGCGCCATGATCGACGCCGTCGCCTGGGTGCGGCGCAACTTCCTCTCGATGCCGGCCCCCTACGGCCCCGTCACGCCGACGGAGCCGCCCTGCAACGCCGGCCTGACCGCCGACGGCTACTGCAAGGACCCCGAGGAGGACCGCAAGTTCGTCTACGAGCAGACCTTTGGCCACCACCCCGTCGGCACCTGCCAGATCGGCAAAAAGGGCGACAAGATGGCCGTCGTCGACAGCAAGTTCCGCGTCCACGGCGTCAAGGGCCTGCGCGTCGTCGACGCCAGCGTCTTCCCTGCGGCTCCCGGCGGCTTCCCCGTCCTCCCGACCTTTATGGTTGGCCAGAAGGGCAGCGACGCCATTCTTGCTGATGCATAAATGGGGAGTGCGGTTGGGGTTGGAGCCGCGGGGCCCTCTACGGTGGTCTAGGGCGGGTTGTGTTCTTTGTGAATAGTCTGGATACGTAATATAATAGTCTCGAATGGTACATAGTTTTGAGGCTGTGTCAAGCTCTGCTTTGGCCTGCCAACTTATACATAAAAGCATCCATTCGAAGTGTACGCTGACAGGTTGTGACATTGCATACGGCGATGCGACTTTGATCCGTCTCGATGTGGACTAGGCCGAACCCCTTTTTGAAATATGTCGGCCCCGCCCCTTTTTTCAACACAGAGCAGGCAAATAAATGCAGCTTCGTATGGATTTGGAATTTGGAATTCTCTTTAAATAGATGTTGTGTTTCAACGTAAGCAAAGGGCGAGGTCACTTGTTACACGAGCATTAAAAATGATATCAGCAATGCAAATGCACTCTTATTACCAATGTGCCCATGACCGCGTGTGCCCCGTCTACTCTAATCCAAAAACGCCGCGCTATGAACCGCCCATGACGATCACCGTAGAGGAGAGCACAATAAAAATAGAGAGGATAGTAATACAACGACAAAAAAACCAATCACTGCGCCTTCTTGGACGTCTTGGTCCTCAGCTTCATCATCAGATACACCAACGCGTACGAGCTGAGCGCAAAGATGACCACAATGCCCGCGTCCCGCCAGCCGTAATAATACTCATTCAGGTTCAGCGCCTGCAGGTACACACTACCATCCCTGTACGGGCACACCTCGCAGCGGGACGTGGCGTCCGGGTTCAGCAGACGAGCCCCCCGGCCCATCCCCTGCAGGTAGTCGGCGAGGTATTCCCCACAAGTGCCGTTGACGGCGGGGTCGAACAGGGCCAGCTCGCCGGCGGAGCAAGTCACGTCGGTGTCCCAGATGGCAAAGACGAGGATGCTGCCCATGAGGTAGTTGAAGGGGTTGAGCCAGTAGAGCCAGTACCTCCAAAAAGCCTGGATCTGGGCGTAGGGCACGAGCACGCCGCAGAAGGACATGAGCGTGCCGATGACGATGGGGTTGATGAGCGCGGCGAAGAGCTCGTTGGGCGCGCAGGCGGCCTCGAACTGCCCGATGCCCGTGTAGATGAACTCGAACATGAGCAGGACGAAGAAGATGGAGCCGGCCCGGCTCGTGTCGTGCGGGAAGCCGACCGTGTAGTACCAGCAGAAGAAGTACAGGACCGCGCAGATGCAGAGGTACGGTATCTCGGACACGACCAAGCCCGTGACGAAGGCCACCCACGAGTACATCTTGGACTTCTTCTCGCGCGTCTCAAAGATGTTGCGGCGCTGGATGAAGAGCGGCTGCAGCTGGTTGATGACGCCGGGCGCCACGAAGATGAGGTTGAAGGCGGTAAACAAGCGCATCTGCAGGTCTGTGACCGAGTCGCCGATCTGCCAAAAGGTGAAGCCGTTGAAGAGCGCGCCGAAGGTGTGCAGCGCGACCTTGTTGTTAATGTAGTCGGTGTTGCGGTACAGCGACACGCTCGTCCGCTGCGTCACCATCTTCAGCTGCGTCCACAACGTTGTGGCGTATTCGTAGCCGTCGTCGGTCGTCTTGGGTGGGCTCGCCGCCGCCGTCGCCACGAGCTGGTCGAGCTCCTCCGTCACGGCTGCGTGTTCGGGGGATGCCAGCCACACCTGGCTCCAGTCCTTGCCCTGCGAGAGGGACCCGGACACGACGTCGATCATGTGCTCCGCCAGGTTGGTCTCGTCGGGGCAGGGGGCGCCGTAGCGGTCAAAGTATTCGCGGACGGTCCGGCCGCTCTCGCCTATATCGCCAAAGTAGACAGTCTTACCACCGCCGGCTAGGAGCAGGAGCGTGTCAAAGACGGAGAAGACCTGGGCCGACGGCTGGTGAATCGTGACCAGCACGGCCTGGCCGACGTCGGCGAGCTTGCGCAGGAACCGCACCGTGTTGTACGCCGACTGCCCATCGAGGCCCGAGGTGGGTTCGTCCAGGAAGATGAGGATGCTCGGCTTCGCTACGAGCTCGACGCCAATGGTCACTCGCTTTCGCTGCTCAATAGTGAGACCGGCGCCGGGCTGCCCGATCAGCGTATCAGCCAGGTCGTTGAGCTCGAGGAGGTCGATGATGGTGTCGACATATCTGAGCTTCTCTTCGCGGGGGACGTCCCGGCGCTGGCGGAGGAGGGCCGAGAACTCGAGGGCCTCGCGTACCGTGGCAAACGGCTCGTGGACGTCGAGCTGCTCGCAGTAGCCGGCCGAGCGCTGGAAGGATATGGGCAACGGGCGGCCGTCGACCTGGATAGAGCCGCGGATGGTGCCGTCGGTCTTGCGCTGGGCGAGCACGTCGAGCAGGGTCGTCTTGCCGGCCCCCGACGAGCCCATCAGCGCGCCCAGCATGCCCGGCTTAACCCAGCCCTGCACGTTGTCGAGCAGGAGTCGTTCGCCCTCGGGTGTCTTGACCGTGTACGACAGGTCCTTCCAGGTGAAGAGTGACGTGTTCTTGATGAGCACCTTCTCCGCCGCCTCGGGGTCACCAACGGCTGACGGCGATGATTTGTCCCCGGCCGCGGCCTCCTCGTCCCGCAGCTCGGCGGGAACCAGCTTGGAGCGCTCGCGCGGGATCAGCAAAGTAGAACCGGCATCGGACGCCGCGCGCCAGCGCATGGTCGCAACCACGGTGACGGTGACATAAAGAGCCCACCAGGCCATGACGATGCCCACGTTCCTCCAGATGTGGGTTTGGCTGTAGGTCAGGGCGCCGAGGTAATCGTCCCCAGTGAGCGAGGTCTGGCCCTGCGTGGACCCGGTGACTCCGGCGCAGGACTGGTGGGCCGGGTCGTTGTAGCCGGGGCCGTTGGGCACCAAGCTATTCCCGGAGCACTCGATCACCCTGCCGTGGAACTCGTTGGACAGGAGCGCGTCGAACGCGTAGGCGATCGGGTTGATCCAGTACAGCCACACGAACCAGGGGTGCATCTGCGGCTTCTGGATCATGTAGCCCGTGTACATCATGGCCGTGGTGATGGAGAGGCCCGAGATCTTGGCGGCGCTGTTGAAATCGGCGAAGGAGGCGCCGATGGCGCGGAAGAGGGCGGTCATACACTAGAAAAGTCGGCGTCAGCGGAGGAAGAGAGTTGGGGACAGTGACAGTGCTCACCATGGTCCCCGCCACGAGAACGATCCAGTAGGTGAAGAAGGCCGACGCGGTCATGGTGAAGCCGACCATGAAATACAAGATGACGCCGAAGCCCGAGACTTGGAGCAGGATGAGCGGGATGTCGGCGGCGATCTGAGCGATGCAAAAGGCCGCAGGGTGGTAGAAGCCAAAGAGCTTGTGCTTGACGAGGATCGGCCGGCCGTCGAACGACGACGTCACCTCGCTCATAGACAGCAGCGAGTTGTAGAGCAGCGAGAAGAACAGGGCACCGCCCTTGACGAACAGGCCGCCCGAGTTTTCAGGGGCTTGGTAGAATAGCGAGCCCATGATGACGGCCTGCATCATGGTAAAGGCCTGTTTCAGGATGAAGGTCGCCTTGTCGCCCCAGACGATCTGGTACTGCCGCACCACGCAGGCCATGACCTGCATCGGGAAGCTGACTGTCAACGCGCTGTCTTTGGGGAGGCGGTGCTTCTCGGTGGCCACGTCCTCCCGGAAGGCACGCGTATTCTCCCTGGCAAAGTCGCTTTTCGGGTAGCTATACTCCTCCCGCATCCGGGGGTAGAGGGTCGAGGCCTCGTACTGGGCCTTGAGCTCGTCGGCGGTGCGGGGGAAGGTGACCTCGCGTCCCGGTTGGATCCTGCGCTCCGTGGGGACGGTGACGCCGGTCAGGAAGTCGGCCACGTTGGCGCCCTCCTGGCAGATGAAGCCGAGCGCCTCCATGAACGGCCGGGCCTCGTGGGTCGGGCCGTAGTAGATCTGCTTGCCGCCGTCGAGCACCAGCACCTTGTCAAAGAGGTTGTAGATGCCGTTGCCGGCCTGGTACAGAGTGGCGATCGAGGCCAGCCCGAGGGCGTCGGTCATGGTCCGGACCGATTTGGCCCACTCGAGGGCACTGGACTGTTAGTAGGGATTCTGAAAATAGGGGTGAGGAGAACCGAAGGCTTACTTGCTGGCGTCGAGCCCCCGCGTGCTGTTGTCCCAGCAAAACACAGACCCCCGCGTAGCCATACACTCGACGATTGACACTCGCTTGCGCTCGCCTCCCGACACGCCGCGGATGAATTCGTTGCCGAGCTTAGTGGAGTGCGTGTGGCTGATGCCCATCGACTCCAGCAGGAAATCACGCGTCTCTTTGCGTAGCTTCTCCCGCGAGGCCGAATCCTCGGCAGGGTCGAACGGAAGCTTGAGGCGGGTCGCAAAGTCCATGGTCTGGTCGACGGTCAGGGAGGGGAAGAAGAGCTCCTCCTCAGTGTTCATGACGATCTGGCTGTGATACTGACCCGCGTCGGCAGCGGGGATAGACCCGTAGTGGACGTCACCCTCGACACTGGAGTAACCCTGGCGCCGGTTCACCAGCGTGCTGAGCAGCGTCGTGCACCCCGACCCCGGGCGGCCGAGCACCAGGAGCATCTCGCCGGGCTTAACGCAGCCATGGCTGCTGTCGAGGATGGTCTTGAGCGCCGGTTTCCTCCTGACATCGCGCAACTTCTGGGCCACGTTGTACTGCGACAAGAAGTTGTCGTGGACGGTGGCATCAGCGGCCACGGCCTTGACGGTGAGGTTCTCCCAGGTGATGCCCAGGCGCCGCGGCTGCGGGTCGGGGAGGTGGTCACCCTTTGGTTGGATGGTCTGAAGGGGCCATCCCTGGTCCCCCTCGGACGCTGTCATGCTGCCGCTGGATCCCGGCATGCTTGCAGCGTTGCGGCTTGGCTTCTGGAGGATGATGACAGCTTACATGTATGGTATACATTTCGTAAGAGAGAGAGCAGCTGTGATGAATCGGGGATGTGCGATGGATATTTAGAGCGCGCACTCGTTTCCTGATTGCTCCCCTGAGCTGCCTGAGCTGCCTAAGCGTGCCTTTACATCGGCATCCCATATCCCGATGCCCGCCCCTTGGTGGACCTGACCACCCCCCTTTCGGGATAACGCGTGTAGGCGAAGTCGGGTGGCTTTTTTGACATGCCGCTGACCTAATCGCTGCGGTCATGATTGGGCAGTGAGCCGAGTTGGTGTCACAAAGTGAGCTGCGTCATCAGCCTGCGTGTTTGCTGCGTGTTTGCGGCGGCATAAAGACGGCTCGTCTTCTCTCCGCTTACAAAGACGGCACAGTTCCCCCGGCATCTGGTACTCCTGCGAGACACGAGCGACACGTTTCAGCCATAACGCGGCCCACCACCGCTGGTCCACTGCTGGTCAAGGAGAGCAATTCAAATCTCGTTGGCCGCGGACCCCTATCGAAATTAGTGAACACCACAGACAGCATATCTTGTGCATACTGATCCACGACCACGACAAGGATGAGGAAAAGGGCTTGTGATTCATGCTACCAGCGCAAGGTACGCAGACCCACGTTATTCCCGCCCTGAATTCAATCAAATCGATCATCACTCAGTCTTGGGACCGACCATCTGACCATCTGCTTGAAGATTCAATGCGATGCCGCCAGCCCACGCTGCGACTGGTGTCGTCACCATAATCTACCCTGCACCTTCAACCGCCCAATATCGACAAGGCGGAGGGGGAAGGCAAAGAAGTGTGTTTTGGCCTCCAGGGGGGATGCAGTCGTAGATGAGGGTGGGACTGGAAGACTGACAACCTACCCATCTAGGCCCGGGAATTCTGTAGAACGAGTCGAGGTCGAGCAGCAGCGGCAGCAGCAACAGCAGCCGCAACAGCCGCAGCAGCCCGAGATGGAGATCGACGACTCGCCCGTGGTCTTTGATCCTATCCCCTCACCCCTGAGCCTGCCGCCGGATGGGCCGGTGAACTGGAGTGCTCCCTTTACACCCTCATCCACGGCAGACACCAACCCCTCGACCTATGGGTCCCCAGACTCGAGCCTCGTTACATCGCCCAGCTACCAGCTGTCTGATCACTTTGCGGAATCCCCGATCCGCGCCGAGTCCCCCGCATCCGTACAGGGGCCGGCCTTTGGTAAGCTCCACTTCGCCGGCCGGCATCTCGGTGACATCAGTCTCCACAACGGCATCCCCTTTTTATCAAGTGAAGGCCAGAAGTGGATCGCCTCCCGGACCGGAGAGCCCGCCCCCCTTCAAGCCCTGTCCATATCCCTTCCCCGCCGCCACGGCGTCCACCCGGCTTTCTGGTGCTCCAGCACGGCCCACAGCGAGGCCATGGCCCTTCCGGACCGCCGCGTGGTCGAGGAGGCTCTGGACATGTTCATGTCCAACCCCTTCAAGCGTATCTGGCCCGCCGTAGACGCCATCCTCTTCCGCGAGACCATCGACGTCGCCTACGAGGACCGCGGCGGCCGCTGCTCGCTCGAGGCCGTCGCCGCCCGCGCTTGTATCTTTTCTTTTCTTGGTCTGCTCTCGCTTCACCACATGTACCCCAAGTCCATGCCCTCGCTCGACAGCGAAGAGTGCGCCGTACAGGCCCAGCACCTGCTGCCCCAGGTGCTCCACGAGACCTCGGTCGACGGGCTGCAGACGTGTTTCATGCTGGTGAGCCGCCCGTGCCGAGTCTGTTGTCTAGAGCCCTACTGACGCCCCTAGGCCCTCTACCACCTCCTGCTTGGCCAGCTGCAAAAGGCCGCCGTCTTCCACTCGGTCGCCTGCCGCATGATGTTCACCCTCGGCGCCAACACCACCGTCGTCCCGCCCTGGTCGTCCCTTGCCGGCCACGACTGGCGCGTCAAGAACCAGCTGCGCAAGCTCTTCTGGATGGTCTACTGCAACGACAAGGAGATCTCGCTGCGCACCGGCCAGCCCCCGTCCATCAACGACGACGACTGCGACCTGACCCTCCCCCAGGGCTACCTCGACTTCAAGTACGTCGACGACATCCCGGAGTTCGAGCACCTCCTGCTCGACGACACCGCCGCCCCCTTGCTGCCCGGCGACGTGCGCCTCGACATCATCAAGTCGCGCACCTACACGCTGCTCTACTCGGCCAAGGCCATGCGCAAGTCGGACGCCGAGGTCATCCGCGACATCCGGCAGCTCGACGACGAGCTCGAGGCCTGGCGCATGTCGGTGCCGGCGCGCTACCGGCCCTCCCTCGCCCTGCGCGAGGAGCAGCCCCAGCCGGACCTGTCGGAGCCGCGCCGGATGGAGCGCTTCATGGTCCACGTCGAGTACCACCACCTCGTCGCCACCATCCACGAGGCCACCGGCCGCTGCCGCTCCTGGACCGCCCAGCAGAGCATGGAGGGCGTCCGGTCCAGCCTCGCCCTCGCCGTCGAGGCCAGCCGCTCCACCATGGTCTATCTCCGCGCCGTCGTCCACCACCTCATGGGCGAGGTCTTTTGGTGTGTTTGTCCCCTGCCCCCTGTCTCCTGTCCCGTCTACATACTGTCCCCTGTCCCCTCCCCCTGTCTCCTCTCCCCTGTCCCCTGTCCCGTAGCCCTGCCCCCTGCCCCCTTCCCAACTTCCTCACCCACTAACCCCCCTTTTTAGGATGGCCGTCTTCTACCCCATCTCAGCCATCTGGACCATCTTCTGCAACATCATCCACAACCCGCTCGACCCGCTGGCCGACGCCGACCTCGACCTGCTCAACTCGGCCCCGCAGCTCATCCAGGAGATGCGCCTGCGCCGCCTCGCCCGCGACGAGATGACCCACATGAAGATGGTCGACGACTTTGTCGCCGAGCTCGCCCGCCTCGCCACCCGCGCCGTCCTCAAGGCGCGAGCCGACGAGCGGGGCTTTTGCTAGCTAAAACAGGACCTTCCTTTTCTAAGTTGCTTTGCTTGGGTTTATATAAAAATACAGCGCCCGCTAGATCGTCTTTGTTTATGGCGACTACGATACAGAATCTCTTTTGGCGTTTTTCTTGGGCTTACGGATTGGCGGTCTGCTTTTGTTGTATTATGCTTTGCTGTCATTACCGATTCTAGAAGCAGACTCGGGTAAAAGTGTGCGTCGGGTGCGTCGGATACAGATGTGTCATTACATGTAGGCAGTGCCGAGATGGGCTGGATCTGGAGGACCTCCGGGTATCCCCCACTCTGTCCAGACTGGAAGGACTGGTAGGAAGGCAGGGGGCAATGTGCGCTACGCTGAGGGGACGCTGGCACTGACCTACACCGCAAGATGCGTGAACATTTGTCAGGTTGGTTAGGTACCTAGGCCATGGTCAGGACTGGCCCGAAAGCCGTGTAGAAACAGAAACATGGATAAAGAGCGCCATGGAGGACAAGACAAAAGGAGCTCAGGAGATACCTGGGTTCGTTCTGATGCACCTCAATATACATTTCTGGCATCTTCTTCTCACCAAACCACCACATCGTCTTCCTTCCCAGCTACCTATATGTGGTATTTTCCGTGACAAACTCCCATCACCTACCCGTGCCACGCCCCGCATTGGCTGCCCCTCGCAAATCACTCGTAGCATAACAGTTTACTGCGAGTGATTTGCGAGGGCCAGTCAATGTGGGGAGGAAACTGGCGAGTCCTGCATGCAACCCTGGGGAGGATTGTGGCTGGAGGTTGCCGTACGGCGGCGGGTCTGTCACCGGGCCGACAATTGACGCCCGATGCAGAGTTTTCAAGAGGTACAGGAGGCCCTGCTTTTCTTCGAGATACAAGAGATTGATAGATACCTAATTAAGGCAGGTTCGGCCACCACACGAATAGCGACCCTCCCACAACATCCCCCATCCGTCAGCCCCATCAGACCATTGCCATCAGTCGTTTTCCAAAGTCTCTCGCAAACATGACGGCCGTCGCGGAGCTTACAAGCCGCCTCACCGGCCACGGTGACGGCGACGTGCGCGGTGACAGCCACGATCAAGAAAACGGATACGACGCTGGTCAATATCACGATCCTAAGATTACTGGGGCTACCATCGGGCAAGTCTATGATAGCTACGCGGATAGCTACGAAGACGGAGCAGAGGAGACCAGGCAGCGGACCTTTCAGCGCGACGTCTTCAACCGGTTCCCGCATCACGGCTTCACTCTCGACCTGGGCTGCGGAACGGGGGGCGCGGGAATGCTGATCCGCCAGTCACCCCTCAACTCATCCTCGGCGAGCGGCAACGTGGGCGGCCCGGGCGATGCCTCGACGCGGCCCAACGTCTACGTCCACGGCGTTGACGTCTCCGCCCGCATGCTCAACAGACCGTGGTGCGTGCGCTACTACGACTCAACCCAGCGGGGCTTGATTCAGGATGTCCTCATGGACCCCGACGCGGCCTGGCTGCAACATGCCGTCCGGACCGGAGCGGCTGAGAGCGGCGGCCTGTCTGCTGGGCCGGTAGTCGACCACATCACCTGCTTCGGCGCCCTGCATTTTCTCGACCCTTCGCAGTTCGAAGCCGTGCTGAGTCGCGTGTTTGTCCTGGCGCGCCGCAGCGTCATGTTCGACATCGACGACTTCTGCCCCTTTTACATGCAACACGTTCTCGAGAACCTCGGTGAGGGGTTCAGGAACTATAACCACATGGCTGCGTACCGCAAGTTTGGGACACCGCCGGGCTGGGCCAAGGTCGCCGAGGAGGAAGCTGTGCTCTACCGCATGGAGAATTGCGGAGTTGACGTGAGGGGGGTCTTGGTAAGGTTTGAGCGGGTGGACTAAGCGGTGGTGTTGGTACTATAATAAGACCTCGGAGGCAATGAGGTCGGAGACGATGCCGAGTTTCGTTAGATCCATTAGAGGACATGCCATGATAGAAGGAACTTGTAAACGGGCGAGATACGGACTTGTCGCTCGGCAAGGATGGAGTGATGTATGGACCCTTGTTGCCGTAAAGTCGTAGAAGATCGACATCTTCAGGCCTGGTTCTATGTCTGTCCGCACCAACTAGAACGTAGTCCGCATCACGCTCCTTCATCTCTAACTTCCCCGAGTTCATGTTTGTCTCGAGGGACTCTGCTGTGAAACCCAAACGGCACAGTGTATCGAAAACCGGCTGCGAGGTCGTAACGGCGTCAAGTTCGACGCGCAAAACAGGGGGAAAGGCCGCAGCAATGAAAAATTGAGACTTCCGACCCGGGATGGCTGTGTGGCCGAAGAGCTTAGTCACAGTTGTCTCCAATGCAACATGGCCTTGCCAGTTTATCTTGCTCACTACACCAGTGCCGCCACGGACGCCGATCAAGGTCCAGGGCCGGTCATCGTTGCGGACGAGTGTAGACCTTGGAAAACTCGAGCTCGGGCTTGTCCCAGAGAATCCGATTCATCAGCTCGCTTTCTATGAGCGCCGCGAAGGAGATATCCTTGTCGAGGGCACCATAGGCGTTACAAACGCTGCCGAGAAGCTCTTCTGTTGCGCCAGTGATAAGGGCGTCACTAGGTCTTCGCAACACATTGCCAAGCGCATAAGGGGATTCTCGGCTGCTTCATGTTTCGAGAGCCCCAGATCGTGTCTGCTACAGATTGTCTGAATGGCTAACGTCGTGGTCTCGATGGCGGTCGCGGTGGGGCCAAGGGCCCTGACATGGAAGAACAGAAGGCTGTGCAGTCGTCCGCCATCTCGCTGTGATTTCGTCTGGTCGGGGAGGTGCCGCCATTGTGTTGTGGTGCACGTCGATGCTCCGCCTTGAGTTGTGGTAATAGGGTTGGAGATAGGAAGGCAGAGCAAATTTCTCACGGTGGTTGTCGAAAAGTCGCTCTGTGGTTTTCCGACATGACGTTTCGTGGTGAGAAATCGGGCAGGTATGTGCAGGCGGGATTTCGCTGCACGGCAGCTCTTCACCTGGATGGTCAGCGAGATGCTCCTTGGTGCCTGAGGGATCTGGACTGTAAATAATATTAATTACAATCTAGGTTCCAATATCCACACTCGACCCTCCTTCCCCTCCACGCACCGACTTCTCAATTCCCTGCCACGACTCGCAATAATCCGTCGCGATTTTATTGCACCACAACGATGGCAAACTCCGATATCGACGAGTTTCTCCGGGCGGCATCGACGCGTCGATCAAGCGTCGCCCACATTCAAGGCTCGCACGGCAGCGGCAAGAGCACGGTGGTGATCCCCCACATCTGGCGCGCCATCCAGTCCGACGAGTCCGTTACCATGGCGTACATTCAGCCCACAAATGCTCAGGCGATTCTCCTCGGCAGATTTCTACGTTCGTCCGGCGATACCACGATGGCGAACGGCCTTGACGATAAGCGGCTGAATCTCTGGAGCTTCGAAGATGCGCTGCCCAAGATGCTGGATCCCGCCCAGACGTTACATGGCAACATGGTGGTGTGCTTAGACCTTGATGTCGGGCCAACCGCATACGGCGAATTCCTGCTCGCCTGTCTGGTCGAGAAAGCCATGCAGGTATACAGCGCCAAAAACGGGCACGACCGCCTCATCCTATTCACTCTCGGCGCCATGGAGCATCGCTATCCGACCAAGCTCGAGCCGTTCACAAACCCGGTCGTGATTCATTATGGCGGCCACAGCAGAGCGCCTGAGCCACGTCACATCGAATCCCTGGAGGGTAAGCCCGTCTTCCGTATAATGATGGACATGAAAGACGCTGGCGGGGGTGTGCTGCTTGTCTTCTCTGGCATTCCCGACTTGCGTTCCGACATGATGAGAGAACTGACGAACTACTATCGCGGCACCCAACATAGTATGGAAGTGTACAGACTTACCACCACTAACCTCCGCAACGGGTCGTTCGTCGAGTGGATCGACAGCCTCAAGGGATGTGCGGTGGTCATGGTTGATCCGTCGATCAACATCTCTCTGCCGTTCCGCCATGTCCACGCGGTGTTCTACGCCCTGGACACGCGGAGGCCGGTGCTTGACAGCTCCACGGGCTTGTTCCTCCGCCGAGAGGTGAGGTCCAGCGAACCCGAGTTCGCCGTTTATCGAAGCCACGCCGTCCCAGCCCCGGATGTTCCAAGTCCGCAAGTGTTAGCGGTGGGGCCGGAACCTCAGCGAACCCTATCAGCAGTGCCCTTCCCGCACGCATACGGTTCCGAGCTTTTGGTCCTTGCCCTCCTTGCCTTCCAGAAATGGCCGATCCCCGTTGACGAAATGCCTCTGGTGCACCTCGGCGTTCCGGATCATGCCAAGTGGCGAGAGGCTAGCGGCTTACTTCAAGGCATGGGCATGCTTGTCGAGGATAACCAAGCCGCGAGTGGCTGGCGCATCACCTCACCCGGCCGCAGAGCCATATCCTGGCTTCCGCACACTAGCAACTGGCGTGTTGCCGTCCTGCTCTCGTATGTGGAAAAGACTGCACTAGATCTCGAAAAGCGCGTCCTGATCCGCCTAGCGGCCATCATTGAGGCTGATGTTCCCTTCGCAATTAAACCGCCCATGACACGGGCATTGATGCGGGGTCTCAATGCGGCGGCTTGTGGCCCGGCTGCCACAATGGTCGACTATGGGCATCTATGGGTCGCGTTATCGGTATGGGAGGCAGTGCGGCGCCGGACAGACAACTTCGCTGACGAGTCCACGCACGGTGATTTGATGGCGCCCGCTGACCTAGGGGTACTGCAAGGTGGCTACGACATATATAAACGAGTGGTCGCCCTGGAGAAGATGATGGACATGCCCCCTGAGTCGGCCGCCTCCATGGACAAGGCACTCACCCCTCCTGAGTTGTTCAAGGTTCAGCTGGCTCTGGCACGTGTTTGGTTGAGTAACCTATTTTGGGTCCCCAAGAGCTGGAAACAGTCCGGGGGTGATACGAGACTGGCAACGTGTTTTGCCAACCGTGACGCCATTCTTATCGACACAATAACAGAGTCCATCGTTATGGAGGGCCTTGTCGATAACCATGGTCTCTACGCTACGGCGTTGGACATCATCTACGGCGATGAGGGGCTGCGGGCCTGGAACACTGTTCTGATCGACGGCCGCTGTCTCCGTCGGATCCACCAACGGATGGGGGGTGCGCCAGACATTTACTCGGCATTTTCGAGTGTTTATGCACACCGTGGTCGGGACGCAAAGTAACTAGTTATCTGAATTCAAGATTGTCAATCAACCTAATAAGTTGTGCTCTGCCTCGAATGTAATGACTTACGTAGTCTTCAGTTGACCTACTGACGTATCTCTGAAATATCATCCTCTACGTTAGTTAGGTAGGTAGGTACCTAGTTATCAAGTGGCGAACTCATCACGTTGGTAAAGAACAAGAGAATTACAGGACATGGTACTACCAGTATGTATGTACCCACTCAGTTCCGCAGCGACGATCACCAACGATCACTGAGATTTTGAGCGACCCGCGCTGGCGAGCAATCCGTAAGGTACCTAGTAACCCGGTTATTCAACAACGCCCGCCTACCACCTGCTGACCGCCTACATCTCATCTAACAACTACTTAATCATCACCAGCTCTGTTTGCCGAGATACCTGAGGTTCCAAGTCACTCAGCTGATTCTCCAGTTCTTGGATGGTGCTGCGGTAAGTTCCTGCCTGGTCATCGAAGGTTACCCGCTCATCCGCGAGCTGTTCTTGAGTGGCGGTCAGATAGCCAATGAGTTGCGCTATTTTCGGTTGACTCGCGTCAACCCTCAAGCAAGGGAGACTTCTCCGCGTTGGCAACATTAAGCTTCTCTTCTAAGCCGTCAATCTTGACCTCGGCACTCACAAGCCTAGCCTCCGTGACCTGAAGCCGCCCTCGGTTTGGGCAGCGGCTAGCTCCCTCTGGGCTTTGTCATACCGCCCCCCGTGATAGCGTAGTGCGCATGGGGGCAGCCGAGTGGCTGCGGAACTGGGCAGTTGTTAGGGACTTTGCTGAGCTCGCTAAGCGAGCCTCGCTTGGGACCAACCGGTACTCTACCAAGTTCTAGATCGTAGACCGAACTTACGGCAGTCCCGGCCTGATCCCCAAGGTTCAGAGCCTCCAGCTCCTTTCCCTGTACCTCCTGAGGGCGCTTCAGGGCCTGTGGGACGACCAGGTAGCGGGTCTCAACTGTTCCGATACCAGAGATGTCGATCCTGGTTATCCTGATGAGATCATGGGTCTCCGCATCCAATTTCACGAATTACGAAGGAGATTATTATATAATACTCAGGGTTATCACAGTTCGTCCAAAGTCACGACGGGGAAAGGACAATGAATGAGGTTAATAGCACAGTAGTATTTTCTATGAACGGCCCGGGCACTCCCTTGAAGATCGGCGTCATCACCGCCCTAGTAGTCCTCTGGCGATGGGCGACGGCCTTGCTCCCGTAGCGAAATGTTTTCGGCCTTCAGCTGCTCGTTCTCTTCGTGTAGCTGAGCGATGAGCTGGCGAGCTGCGTTAACCTCTGCGCGGAGCTCCTGTAAACCAATTGGATCCAGCTGCGTCGAGTCGGCGCTCGTTGGTTGAGGATCCTCCTCGTCTAAAGCCCCAGCCCTGCGTCCCGGCAGCCGGGGGAAAAGTTCTGCGCCGGCAAATAACTCAGAAGGCATGCCGTCCTGTTGCAGGACATCTTCCGAAATGAACTCGTCATGGTATGTATCTTCGGGCGGCGGGCGGCTGGGAATGTACAGCAGCGTGTAAATAAACCCTTCTTCTCCGAGCTCCCATCCGTCGGAGACGTACGGGCGTTGAGTGTATTTGCCGTCTGGGAGGGACGGTGTGACGTACAAACCACCATCGCCGTAAAACCTCACGCGCTCAAGATTATCATCTTCTCCGCTCCTGTGCCTGATGACGCCCATGAGAATGTAGTCGGCCGGGCGTATGCCGACTTCGAGCTTGCCCGTCTCGCTGCTTCTCCACAGAAATAGGCCTTCAAAGAAGACATACCGGAGAGTATGAATGGTCTCTTCGGCTTCGCCTTGCGGATTGAACATGATGCGAATAACGGGGGGGAAGGTGGCGGAGGAAAAGTAGAGGAAGTCGTCCCCAGACCTATTGAATTCGCCAGATCGCTCCCCGATGGCTACTTGTAACGTACCCTCGCCCATCCATTCTACTTCGTTCGCCTCGTTGGGGTTGCCGGTTGTCTCGGCTAAAGCCCAGGGCTCGTCTTCGTCACGGCGATGGAAGATGCGCAAGATGTCAAGCTCCGGGATGTCCCATAGTCTCCGGTTCGTGAGGTCGCTCCTCATGAGAGACGAAAAGGATAGCTCAGCTTCGTTCAGTCCATGTGCATTGCACACTTCTTGGACCAGTCTATGCTGTTCAGAGGGCGACAGGGGCTCTTCGCAATCGTCGTGACGCAGCGCAAAGCGCAGGAGGGGGTCACTGCTTGTTGCGACCTCCGAAATGGCCGTGTCGGGATCGCTGAATTGAGCGACGACCATGCGAACTGTCAGAGCGGCGGTTTCAATCGCGGTTGCAACTTGACAAGGTAAGGCATCGAGACGGCGAGGCCAAGATGTGATAAGACGCCATGAACGAGAAGCCATCGTTGATTGATTTTGGGAGTGCTTGTTGTCGCGGTGTGGAAAGGGAATGGGTGTTTCCATAAGGTAAAATGATTCCAAGGTTTCCGTGCAGAAAAAATAAAATAGATAAACCACTTACACATAACTGCCCGCCCGAACCCCCCACCAAAACAATGCTATCCTCTCGTCCGTACTCGTTGTTCAACTGGAGAGTGCACGTGGTTGGGTGCGTTTAGCTCATAATTATCAACAATCCGGATCGCGCATTGATGACCGACCCTCTGGGTCCCGACAAGTTCGTGGCAAGGGGCCATCCGCTCGCCATACAGCGCATCATGGCTATGGTAGAAGCGGACCCGCGCGGCTGGTATACGGTGTGCCGTGTCCATGCCGGTTGAAGGATCACGCTGAAGGGGTGGGAACACTGGTCTGGTAGACGAGGGCGCCAGGGCAGGCAACATTATTATTACATGCGTCGGGTGCATGGGCGAGGACCACGAGGCGGTACCTGCAGTGAGCGAAGGCCTGGATGATAGTCAACAAACACAAATATCTAATTCCTCTACTCATGATCACAGCCCCTTTGCTCTATCGATGCGTCAATATCTCCATCCGCAAGCCCGCCGCCTTCATCTAGCAGAAGTCAGTTATGTATCCGGAAAGTCGACACACGCTGCGATTTCGCAAGCCGAGATTTCCGCAACGGTGGACGCTCCGTACTGCCCGCCCGATGCGCCTCGAACGTTCCCGGCGCCAACGCAGCGAGCACATGGGCCGTCCATAGCAAGGACGATTCTACCGAATTAACCCCAGGCCTTGATTTAGACTTGCGTCTAGCACTGTTCAACCAACTTCCGCTCGTTGATGTTAAGTACCAGGATTTGGCTCTTATCAAGAGGAGAGTATCCCCGCAGTAGCCATGGCAGGCCAGGCTTGCGTGATCCTCATACATGTGTGGTCACTTGCCATTGATATTAGCGCTTCGTCAACCGGACTGCTCTGCTTCGCCGGTGGCCGCCACATTCATAATCACCGAATATCACTGACATTTTGAACGGCCACCGTGTTGGCAAGCCATCCGTAACGACCCGGTTGTTATTGAACGACGCCCGCCTGCCCCCCGCTCACCGCCTGCATCTCATCCAGCAACTGTCTAATCCTATCCAACTTGACAGGTTTCGTCAAGAACAAGTCGAGACCACTCGCGGTCGCCTCGGCCCCGTTCACGTCGCTGCGGAGACCGGTCAGGGCGACGATCTTGCATCGCGTCGCCCCCACAGCAACCTCAATCCGCCGAATCTCTCGGGTCGCCTCAAAACCGTTCATCACGGGCATGCTGATGTCCATGAAGATTAGGGTGAAGGGGCTTGCATCTCCCTCGAGAGACTTCTTGTACAGCTCCACGGCCTCGAGGCCGTTGTTTGCGGTTGCGAATGTGTGCTTCAGCTTGCGAACGAGCTGTGTTAGAAGTTTGAGGTTGACGGGATTGTCGTCGACGAGGAGGAGATGGGAGGTGTTTGTCGGCTGCGGTTGTAAAGGACCCATTTCTGTGGGATCCGGCTTGTTTGCGACATTGAGCGGTGGCGTGAAAAGCGACGGTGCGGTAGGCGCTGGTAAAGGTCGTTCCTTCACGGTCTGTAATGGCCGCGGGGGCAATGAGACCTGGTTTTCCACCCGGGCATTGACCGTGTTGAGCCTGGCCTGCAACGCCGACCGGAAAACCGCCGCGAGCTTCCTCGGGCCGACGGGATGATGCAAGTGGAGGCCATGGTCATGGCCGTTCGTGAGCTGCTGCTTGAGACACGAAGACGACCCCGAGCAGAGCACCACCAACGGCGCAACATGCGTATGCCATGCCTGCAGGATCCTATCGCGGTGCTCATTCGTTTCCTCGGCGAATATGCTGCTATCCAGAATGTAGACGTCCGCGCTCGGCGCTGGGCAGTCCCCGGTTCCGACCACTACCTCCATGCCGAGGAAATCTCCTGCGTTGGCTCTGATGGCTTTTTCGGCGGTGTTTGACCAGTCCCGGGCCTTGTCGCCAACCACGAACTCTGCCCCGGCGATGGCCGCGCAGGCATCAGCGCCCACGAAGCACAAGGTCCGTCCACGGAGCTCCGACATCACCCGGTCCGTGGCTTGCTGGTCGGTGATGGCTGGAGCATTCTCGCCGAACGGGACCAAGACCTCGACGAGTGTACCAATGCCCAGCGAGCTCTTGATGCTGACGGTGCCGCCAATGTCGCTGACAAGTTGCCGTACAATGCTGAGACCCAAGCCCATGCCGGGGGCGTGGCTGTTTTCCTGCGAAAAGGGGGTAAACAGACGGTACTTGATGTAGTCAGAACTCATGCCAGCGCCCGTGTCTTCTACCGTGAACGAGATGTAATCAGAGGCGTTGCCTGCCTTGTTTGTCCGCTTGACGACCTTCAGCCCGATTTCGATGCGACCGGCGCTGGTGTACTTGATGGCATTTCCAAATATGTTCATGACAATCCGTTTCCAGGCGCCTACGTTGATAGGCAGCTTCCACGGGCGCCGTGTGATCTGGACGCTGATGAGAGTCGATTGTCCTGACTGCCCTTGTTCAGCATTGGCGAGTCTGTGGCGGGTAGGCGAAGCCTGCATTTGTAGGGCATTCCCGGATAGGTGCCCGACTCGGACGACGTCGACGACATCCTCGACCAAGATTCCCAAGTCCGTGTCCTGTATTTCCGAAATGGAAGGTGCCCCGGAGCCGCCACTTTGACTGGAATGTGTGACGACAGCGTGGTCGAGCAGGTTATTGAAGGTGTCGAGTAGGGTCGTGGCGCATGAGTCGAGCATGTCCAAGGTTGACAGCAGCGGGCGGTCCGAGATGCCCTCGCGAACCAGCTCGCTGCTCGCCATGATGCCGTGCAGCGGGCTCCTTAGCTCGTGGCTGAGCGACGAGACGAAGTCGGATTTGGCGCGGCTCGCAGCCAGCGCTTCCAGGCGTGACACCTCAGCCATGACCGAGTTCCCGAATGCCGAGACCAGGCCGACGTCGCCGCTATTGAGCGCCCGCGTGGGGTCCTCGACCCAACCGAGCGTGGCGGCGTACCAACACTCCCGCTGAAAGTGCCACAAAGGTAGGAAGATGACATACTTGGCGGCAGGCAAGACGCGAAAGAGCGTGGCGATGTCGTTTCGCAGGCGCAAGCCCTCCTGGTCTGCCTTGCGCCGAGCCTCAAAGGGTTTTCCGATGCCGTAACTGTCATCAATCGGACCGAGCTCGTCTGCGGTGAACACATGGCCGTTGGGGTACGCTCGGATGAACCTCTGCAGCGACACCTCGGGGAGCGGGATATGGGTCGAATGCGTCGCGGTCTCGGCCCCCTGGCCCGCCACAGACTTGACGATGGCCGCGCAGAAGGGTCCTTCGGCCGGGTTAGGTGGCAGTTCTCTCAAGTTGAGCGATGGCTGGTCCGGTCGGTCGAGATAGGAACTGGGTACGGCATCGAGGAAGATGAGACCGTCCATGTCCATGGAGCGCCGGATCGTCGCTGCCGCCCTGAAGAAAGTAGTCTTGATATTGGCCGAGCTGATGAAGCCGTGTGGCTCCGAGTCCTCGGACGGGGCGTTCGGCGGCTCTGGCGCCGTGGCCTCTGCGGCTGCCTGAGCGATTGCCGCGTGAAGCTGTTCTTCCAAGGGATTATCGCCCGGGTCATCCCGAGGGGTGGTCGGGGGCGTCTCAGAGCGGCCCTGCTGCGGAGAAACGAGTGACAAATTGGAAGTCGCAGACTCCTGAGACGGCAATGAGGCCATCCTTGGTCGCTGGTCAAGGCTCCCCAGGCCATGAGACGATGCTGTGTCAGTGGGACCGTCTTTGTCCGGCCTACTCGAAGCGGCCGAGTCCCAGAGGTCTGGCGCCGACCCCGTTCCGTCGAGTGCGGCGACCTCAATGATTGCCCCAGGGCTGATGGGTGGCTCTTGTCGGATAAAGCCGGTTAGGCCGTTGATCAATTGCTCGGACCTGTCTCGACTCTGCTTGATCCTCACGTTTTCGAGGTGGGCCACGATAGTGGCGGCAATCTCGTTCATGACCTGGACCAGCTCGTCCTTGTCAAAGTCGTTCTGCTTGCTGTCGACAACGCAGTAGCTTCCTAGGAGATAACCCAGCGGAGACAGGAGCGGGACTTCGAGATAAGATGTGAAGTGCGGATAGCCCGTCACGTACGGCCGGTCCTTGTAGTCGGGGTGGGTCCGGAAATCGTTGATGATGTAGCGCGTCCTGTTGGCGATGACATCCGGGCCAGTCTTCACCCACTCCCCCGTCTCGTCCATAAAAGCCATCATGGTTGCGGGGCAGACGCCGTCGCAGTTGCGGAGCTTGCAAACGCCTATCGCGACGGTGTCGCCGGGGGCGCACTTCATGCCGACGAACGAGTGCGTCCTGGTCACCTCGGAGATGACATATTGGTGTTGGCGGTCGATGAGGGAAACGAACGCACGGTCGACGTTGAGGCGGAGGGCGCCCAACTGGGTGAGGGCATTAAGGGTGGGATCGGTGCAAAGCAACGGCGTCTTCTGAAAGGCAGTCGGTAGGCCCGGGGGAAACGAGGCAGCGGAGAGGTAGCTGAAGGAGGGGGATCATGGGTTAGCGATAATGGCCATGGCCCATCGGAGTTGGACTGGACGGAGCGGGTAGACGCCGACCGGAAGACGCGACTCACGCTGCGATCTCGCGCTGCCTCGCACGCTCCGATATCTCGACTTGGTTCGCCTGACAAGGTGCCGGCGCTAATGCACCAAGGTTATCCACAGAGGCGGACATGATGATGATGATGTTGGGTTCCCAACGAGTGTCAAGCGCAGAGACGGCGACTCGATGTGAGGAGGCGGGGCCCCGTCATCGACGGCATCATGAGGCCGTATCTAGGAAAGGGGCACATGGCTGGCTGGCGGGAAACGGCGAAAGTACGCAGCGACGGATTTGTCGTGAGGCTAAGGCGATTTGTGGGAGCCAAGAGCGGCGGCAGCATCGCGTGCCAAGTTTTTATTCAGCTTCGACGACGACCGACGACCGAAGTCTCGGTGCCCCTCCTTCCGGAGATTTTGTTCCGAGCGAAAAAGTGACTTGGAGCTCGGCACTCGACGCCACTAACCAAAAAAGTTCCGTGTCTGCTCAGAAGGGTCCAGAACCAGTAGGTAGCTATGAGGACAGGAAACCGTACCTTCTGAACAACAACGAAGACCAGAAGCTGTCGTTATCATTGGGAGGGCGAAAACGTGTTTCTGGACCCGCTTAGTTCGGTCTCACCCACCCAAACGCGTTTTTTTTCGGGTTCGGTGGGTCGAACCCAAAGAAAACCTTGGCGGGCCCATGGGTGCCTGTGGGGAAGCACCCTCTGGCCAAAAAAAGCCGAACTCGAAAGGAAAGTAAGAAATCAAGCCAAAAGAACAAATGAAAAGAGATCGAGAAAACTAAGTCAAATAGAAGAAAGAGGGTAAAAAAAGGAAATGGAGTAAATAGAGTTTCTTTGGGCTTCAGGATGACTTTCGTTATATTCCTCCAACTGAGGACTCGAAGTTTCCATTGCCGACATCCGCACGTGGAGTTCGGCCTTTTCTGTCCATGAGGTGGGAAGGTGGTACAGAGGGAATTCCCGGGCCTCAACTCTCCCACCTTTAGTCCGGCGAGGTAAAAACCTTCGGCTACATGGTTTACTTGTAACATCACGACCGTTGGTGTCGGAGCCGCACGTATCCTTGAAGCTACGCCCTGCAAACGACAGTCGGTCGTTTAATACTGAGGTTGGCAGGATCCCGGCTCGACGTTCAACTTTATCGCCGGTCTCCTCTCCTAGTGGCCTGGTCGACCCCCCGAGGTATAAAAAAAAAAAGAAAGAAAAAGCCCATCCGCCGGGGGGGTTGCTAGCAGGAGGGTGCGACATTGGGGTGTGGTGGGTGATCTAGGCATGCGCCCTTCCGAGGACGAAGACATCACAGGTGTAGCTGGCTGTTTTGTGCAACGGGGGACGAGTCAACCGACCCCTCATTATTGGGTGTCTCGTGGGCTTTCGCCGGATCGATCAAACTCTATCGAGATCATAGAAAACGGTCCAAGGGGTCGCTACCTAGCAGCTCTTCTATCTCAGGCTCTGAAACTTGGCTTGTGCGGGTACGGGTTGGAAGTGCCTCCCCTCGTACCGAAGCCTGAGCCGATTCGCGCCGGAATCCCACAGAGGCGAGAGGTGGTCACCCGTTTCCTCCGGCGAGCAATAGACGTCCATCTGCTCCTCTACCCGCTTCATATTCTCCAACCCGCTTTCGCTCCACTGAACTTGGAAATCACCCGTACTCGTGCTGGACATGAAGTCGGCCTCGATGGTCAACCCCCTGAGCTCCTCCTCAGTCAAGCGCCTGAGGGGTGCGCTCTTGTCGGCCGGGAGCTCGACGGAAGCCCTGAAGTCAAAGGTGCCAGACGAGTCCGGCCACACGATGGAGAGGGTCTCGAGCGAATGGAGCCTCCTCATGGCAATGGAGATGTGCAACCCCCATGTCGTCCATGAGAAGGCGATTGCGAGATGCCGAATCTTGGTAACCCATTCTGGGCCGTTGATGAAGTGCTTGAAGGCTATCTGATCTTCGCTGATGTACAGTATGTCCCTGTCGGGGTCGTAGGTGCGAGTTGGTCCCCCGGACATCAAGGCTACGTCGCGCGCCTCGGTATTCGTTTCCAACAAGGCCTTGTTGCGCGGTTCTTGTACGAGGAGGCGGGGTTCCTCTTCCGAGGCTTTGTCCCGTTCGGCGAAGAAGCAGACCCCTGGCGTGCATATCGGCAGGGAGGCAGCAGCGCTCCAAATACTTGTTCGAATCTCGGCCGGGAGGCGACCGAAGGGCTCAAACTCAAAGCTAGCGGTTGGAACTGCTTCTTTTCCCTCCGGATTCCTTGACTTTGCCATCCTTTCTCTCCGCTCGTTTTGTTCAAAGTGAGGGAGAAGGGAAATGATTGAAATGATCTGTGCCTCTTATTGCATGAGTTACTGGTAAGCCTGGGATACAAAAGCCGCTTTACCAACGTGGCGTTTCCCGAACGAGTTTTGTGGCCCTGGAAGGAACCAAAAGAGTTCAGGCTGCTGTTGGGGAACGCCTGTGGCTGACATAGACGTAGGACCGAGGCGCAGCCCAGCCGTTTGGAGCCCTTGGCCGGCCAGGTGTACCGACATACCGTATTTATTCCATGCGGGGCAGGTCTTTTAACTCCGAGGGGAAGGGGCCCCGTTCTTGCAATCGTGACCAAAACGAAGCCGACATCAATATCACTCAGGAATGTTTGGTAGTACCAGTATAGCTATGGTTAAAAATCTAGAGCGTTGCAAAGGATCACTTTAAGAGTGAACTGCTGATCCTGAATTCCCGACTATCTCTTCCAGGGCTTTATTTGACTAATGTTCTCGTTGTCTTTAAAACCGACCCTGAAGGCGACCAGTTGACATGGACACGGGTGACAAGGCCAAAAAGCATAGAAGGTTGGTTGGCAGGCGTATGCAGACTCGGAGTTTGTTACCCCGGGCCTTGGTACGTCATGATTCATCATGATTTATATCACAGCGTCATCCCCACAAGGTACCTATATACCGGTTGGTAGTGGCGTGGAACATTTTGTTTGTCGAGAACAGAGTCGCCGCAATATAGCACAACCCTGCTTACTATCCACTAGGTAGTACGATTCCAGTTCACAATACGCCGGTCTCTGCGGGAGAGGATTGTCATACCGTCGTAGTACCTAGGTAGTATTAGTGAAGCGGTAATACACGTCAAAACCACACACACCACAAATGCTGAGAACGTCCACACCCGCTGTGGTGTCAATGTAGTTAATTAGTATAAAGCGAGATGGCTCAAGGAACAACAATCGCCACCACGGATCCAGGATCCTTCGATCGAGGTAACGATTCGCCTTCGCGAGTGGCCCTCTGGTCAGAGGGCTGCGGTCACAGTTGCCGCGAAAAAAAGTCACTTCTGCAAGTGCGGAAATAGAAATAGAATTGCCTGCCTTCAATGTTATGACCCCTGAGAGGCCCCGAGCCTCCGACCATTAAATACAAGGACGCGCAAGGCGGGCGAACAGAACGAAGAAACGGAAAAAAGAGAATCCTGGTCCCCTAGCCTTCTGGTCACCAAGAGTGTTAATTATTATAATATAAACGAAGTATAATACCGAGGTGATACTTTCCGGTTTCTCTTGCCGGTGCTGTTTGCGATCGTTACAGAGCCGGCCCGAGTCCGGGAATGCGCACGGGTTCTTGGCCGGTATACTTCGGGCGAGGTGTTGTGCTTGCTGGGTCATGGGTTGGGGTTGTGCGAAAGGAAGATTTGTCCTTGCGAAAAAGTGACTTGAAGGAGCCTGAGCTCGGCACTCGACGCCACTAACCAAACGAACTCCCGGCCGAAGGAATCGTGGCTCAATCCGGGGCAAATGACATGCATGTGTGGCTCCCCAAAAATGAGTGTCGGACGACATGTTACCGAAAAAAAATGCAGAACGCGTTCGAGAACTCAGTTTACCGCCCCATGCCGAGACTGAAAAACCATTGACGGCTTACGTCTTGAGCGAATTTATCCCCGCTTGAGCAAAAAGAGCAGCCCCAGGCGAGTAAGCCGGAGGCTAACGGTACGTTGCCGGCTTAGAGCCCCTAATCGGCTCGATCCACAGCCCGCTCTTTCCATCGAGCCGATACCTAGACAACCGCTCTTGCCCTCTAGAGCGGTTACCCTCTGGCTTAGAGGAAGGAACGGCTTCAACAAATAAGCCGCTCAAGATCGTGAGCCGAAGACAGAGGGCTCGTTGCTGTGAGCGAATATATCCCGGCTCGTGGATACCCGCCTTGCACCGCTAATCATTGATCATTGAAATCAACGACGCGACGATCGGCAAGGATCATGGATGAGACGAAACGAAAAGGCCATCATCTGCCACTCGACCCTTCTCCACACAAACGAACCCAAGCTGAATCAGGGAACAACCGGGCGAGAATGGGGTGCCAGGGTGGAACCCCGAGCTATGAAGAACAAGTGAACCCCCCCCTGAGCGCGGTCGGTTCTCTTGACTTTGTTCACTGGCCTGATCGCCACACAACACGACTGCAGGAGTCGGGAGCAACTCAAACCCGCACTCGACTATGATCGGTTTTGGCGCCGCTCGGACGCGCATATTCTTCTTTGTCCTCATTGCGCTGGCGCTGGGGCTCGTGGGCACACAATTCCTAATCCGTGATGAAGCGCGTCTCGAGAGCCTGCCTGCGGGTCACGGGCGGCCAAAAGCCGGTCCTAGACCAAACATCAACACCGCCCCGGATCTCGAAACAGAAATCAAACAATGGAGCCTCGCACCGCCTCGCGTACCATGTGTAGGACCGAGAGGGTTAGACCTTGGCCAGGAGGACAACGATGACAACCCGCTTGAGAACGCCATCGACATTCGTAAGTTTGCAAAACGTTGAACCGCCTCTTCGGCTTTGGCCGTGTCATGGCACGGTCCGTATTTAACCACACATGGCAGCATATCCGCGCCCGTTCGTGGGCTCTCATGAGAGCATGGGGTTGAGCCAAACCTGGATGACAGCCGCTGAGCGCTATGGACCGTACGGCTGGGGCGACGACAAGCCAACATACGGCAAGACGAAGGTGGCATGGGACTCGACAGACTGGGCGGCGCTGCAGAACCAATGCCTGGAACGAAATGCCCAGAGATTCAAACAGCCGGTACCGATTGATGCTGGCAAGCAACGATTCCGGATGCGGGAGGCGGGCGAGGAGGTGAGGCTGCCAGTGGTCGAACCGCAGGCGGCCCGGCATGTGCCCCGGACGGCCATCGTCTTCCGCGCTTTTGAGGGATACAACTACACCACCGAGGACCTCATAAACCTGCGCGCGACCACCGCCGAAACCGCCCTGCGTTTCGGCGGCGAGTACACCGTCTTCATCCTCGTCAATGTCAAGGATAAGGGCCGCGACATCTTTGCCAGCGAGGACAACTACCGACGGGCGGTCCGGGAGCTGGTGCCCGCCGAGTTCCGCAGCATGGCCGTTCTGTTCGACGAGACCCTCCTCCAAAGCTGGTATCCCAGCATCAAGACGCACATCACCACGTACCAGGTCATGCAGCCTTTGCAGCTGTTTGGGCATTTTTACCCCGAGTTTGACCACTACTGGCAGCTGGAGCTGGACCTTCGATTCACGGGGCACGCCGGCCGCTACCTCATGGGAATGTCCGACTTTGCACGCGAGCAGCCGCGCAAGCAGGCCATAGAGCGCAGTACCTGGTTTTATATGCCCGAGTCCCACCGCAGCTACTCGGACCTGTTGGCGGCCGTCAACGCGTCCCTGGAGGGCCAAGGTGGGCTGGGCTGGGGGATGAAAATCGATGATTTTGAGCCCCTCGGACCACGACCACCCGTCAACGACCCCTTAGACGACAATTTCGAGTGGGGTGTAGGGGAGGAAGCCGACTTCATCGCCGTCGGACCATGTGCCCATGTCCAGTATATGGTGGACTGGGCGTGGCGGAACTGGTATCAGAGGCTCAAGGCCGGCACCAGGACGCCCCGGTGGATGTGCCAGCCAGCGATGGGCCGCGCGAGCAGGACACTGTTGCACGCTGCCCACCACGCCCAGGCCGCTCAGGATCTCGCAGTGCACTCCGAGGCCACCTTGTCGTCGTTTGCCCTCTGGCACGGCCTCAAGCTCGTTGCGCCGCCGCACCCCGTGTACCAGAACCCGCAGTGGCCGCTCGACAAGATGTACAAGCTCTACAACGGGCCCGGCGATGTCGAGTCGCACCAGAAGCCGGGCATGGTCGGCATGGCCCATGGCGACGCCATCTACCGGATCACGCCGTACGCCTACATCACGACTTCGTCGTCGTTCTGGTACTCGTCGCCCTTCCCCGACGAAATTTACGATGCCTGGCTGTCCCGCGGTCCTCGGGGCGGAAACGCGAGTGCCGAGGTGCCGTACGTGCTCTGGCGTAGCGAGGACGGGACTGTTTATGCGCCAAACATGATGCTGCATCCGGTGAAAACGAATCAGAACTTGGTGGATCTCCCGGCCGGACCGGGTCCGGTGTTTTACCTAGCCGTTGGTGGTGCGATTGGCTTGTTGCTATCCCTCGCGGGCGCGGGCTTCTGGTGGTGGAAGCGGAGGGGCCGTAGTAACTACGCTCTGCTGAGGAAAGACGACGAGTAGCTGTCGTGTGGGGGATGTGGAATATACTAGTAATAAATTTGCATAATCATCGTTGACTGTCCATCCAACCGAACCTCGAAGAGTGACACCTTGCCTCACACTGTGTGATTTTCCTTCCTCTCGATAAATCAACAGTTCCTTCCCTCTGCCCCCGTCATCATCCCACCCTCTTCCACTGAACAATCCACAAAGCTCAACTACCAGATTAATACGGGCGACTTTCAAAATTCAGACCCGCAAGCATTCAAAAATCCATCAACCCATCCATAAGCCCAAGTCACTATCACGGTAAGTCGAGCCATGATTTCGTTTCAAATATGCCTGCTAACCTACTTCAATAGTCACTTTTCATCCAACCCACTATTTCAACATCATAAATATGGCCGAATCTGATAGAAACCCTCAACCTGGGCCGGCCGTACTGGATGGTATACAATATCGCTTTTCTCCAAGCTTTCGTTGCTGACTCCTCGCGACAGAACTACCACCCATCATCCCAGACGACCAAGTCGGGTGGGACGTGGACGGAAGGCCCTACGACATCAACAATCCGGGTCGCGCATTCATGACCGACCCTCTGGGTCCCGGCAAGTTCGTGGCAAGGGGCAATCCCCTCGTCATACAGCGCGTCATGGCTATGTTGGTAGAAGCGGATCCGCGCGGCTTGTACACGGTGTTTATGCCAGTCCAACCTACGACGTGACGGAGGCTAGTGATGGGATTCGGAACGGGATAGAATGTCAAATGCGATGGAGCGGGACTTGGGATTGAGCTTATGAGTAGGTAGACAAAACAGAATTGCGGCAAGGTGCGGCCAATCTCCCATGTTCTCTCCCTTTCACTATCAAAAGTGACACTCTACCCAATTCTAGGTACCTCTGCATTCACCCATATGTCCAAGCAGGTTGCCAGTGGTTTGATCCAAGACTCCCGAGTCCTAACCCGGACACCGAAACGGGACATGACAAAAAGGGAAATCGCCTTTGGTTGTTTTGTAATCAAAAAGATTTGTATGCTTGACTCGGACCAGGCATGCATAGAGGGAGAAAGAACTATAGGCATCAGCTCGCTAACTGGAACTGTCCCACCCGCGGTCCTCTAATGTCTGCCTCGGGCGCGAGTCCGAACATTTGCAACACTACCTGTATTAGTTAATCTATACATGTCGGGCAGCCACGCCCTTAATCAGAGCCTTTAGGGGATATCCGATGCAATACTCGTTTTATCAAACCTGGTAACTAGACCTCCAATAGTTTGTTACAGATTAAGTCGACCGCCTCCCGAGTCCTTCCTCTCCTGGCCACCGCCCACGGATCCCGGATAAGTGGGTCCACCGGAGTCGGGAGGGGCCGGGAGTCCCACATAATCTCCGGGCGCGTTCGAGGTGCAGATCTCGGACTCGTATCACGTGCATGGCCCACGCCAAGACCAAGGCAGCGGCTTTCAACGACCCCGTTTGGGTCGAACAGGTGCCTGGGGATTGGCTCCGAGACCAGGCAGCAGCATTCCGGCCTGCAGCTCGCATCCCGGGGCGCCCAAAACCAGCAAAAGAGGAGTGGGGTGTCACCGAAGGCGGGCAATTTTGGCGGGCGCGATAGGCACCGAAATAACGAAATCACAATTCGCCTCACCAAAGGAGAGTCGTGATGGCTCGCAAAAGGTCCAAAACTCTGCGTCGCCCGGGGCACCGCTGATTGCCCCCTTGCAAGAAAACCCAGGCACGAAGCTGCCTTTTGTCTAGCCGGTCCCGCGCTTTCGAAAGACGTTGTCGAGAACTCGTCCGGTCTGACTTGAACGACTCGACCCCTCTTGCATCTCATCTCGACTGCATTCTGCATTCTGCATGCATGCATTACATCCCAGGGCTCGCCCCTAGTTTACTTACGTCGCTTCCCCTAGAAGTAACTAGCCATTAGACTAGACGGCGACACTGTTTCGACCCCTTACTCGATTTGAACACGCCTCACTCGAGTGGAACCCACGCCAATTCCACCCTCCTACCCCTCGCAGTTCATGAGTTGATATCATCCACCACCACCCCCTGGTTTGGCGACATTCAGACTGCCGCCCCGGCGCGGCCAACCCGCTACCAAACAAACATCTTAGACAGGTGCCCGCTTCATCCTCACCATGGACGCCTTTATCCCCATGGGTGGCGTCCGACCGCCCGCTTTCCAGCGCAGGCTGAGCCGCTTGTACAATGACACGAAGAAGTCGTCCGACTTTGTCAAGGATCCCGTTCACCATGCCGAGGCCGACCCCGAGATCAAGTCGCTACACCGCAAGCTGCGCATCCAGAAGGACCGCCTCGTGACATGGGGTCTCGAGTGGTCCGACCCCAACCAGTCGGCGGAGGTGCTGATCGACTCGTCGCTCTCCAAGGCCGGGCTTAGCGAGGTCGTCGGCAGCATCATGTCGACTATCAAGGACATTCTTGCCGAGGCCGAGCCGCTCTGGAATAGCTCGCGCCGCCTGGCGGGCGAGAAGGTTGAACCCGAGGCTGCCCCGAGGCGGGGCGAGAAGATCCGGATGGTTGTCTGGGACAAGAACCGGTTCGAAGATCTGATCCGCGACCTGACCACGTCCATCGACACGCTCTACGACCTCTCGAGGACGCGGTCATCGCAAGCTTCGGCCGCTGTCCGGCAGACCCTGTCCGCGCCGTCCCCAGCCCCGGAGGACCTCCGCCCGTTCGAGTCGTCCCGGATCCAGACGCCCCAGCAGATCGACCCCCAGTCTCTCACCAACCTGCGCTCCATGCAGGCCGAGCCGATGACGGAGCGGGCCGAGCAGGCGCAGTCCCGCGAGATCGTCTTCATGAGCAAGCAGGCCTACGCCGAGCTCACCCAGACCGCCGCGGGCGTGAGGCAGCCGCACGCACCGCTGCTGCTCGAGTACGCCGCCTTCGACTCCATCTACTCCGTGACGGGCATCTCGCCGCCCATGGCGCGCTTCGAGAAGGTGTCGGCCGGCCTGCAGTCGGAGCCGCAGCGGTCGCCAGGGTCATGGACGGGCCTGCCGCGCCTGCTGGGCTACTTTGAGGACATGGAGAACGCGAGGTTCGGCCTGGTCTACCAGTTCCCGCGGACCTTCAACCCCGTCACCTTTGAGCACCTCACCCAGAACCCGCTCTACAACCTGTGCTCCTTGGCCGACCTGCTGGCCCGCCCCGACTTCGAACCCAAGCTCGAGGCCAAGTTCCGGCTCGCCGCCAACCTCGCCAACACCGTCTTCGACATGCACGCCCGCGGCATCACCCACGGCAACCTCGTGGGCGACAACATCTCGTTCTGCAATGCCGTCGGCACCGACCCCGAGGTCAGCGGCATCACCCAGGGCGAAGTCGACATCAGGCGGCCCCTGCTCTCCTCCTTCGACCTCTTCACCGACCCGCTGTCGCAGGACACCCCGAGACCCTTCTCTCTGTACAGACACCCCCTCGATCCCAGAAACAGCGCCCAATCGCCGCTGGCCAACAATGCCGACTCCAAAACGTTCGATCTCTACTCGCTCGCCATGGTCCTCTTGTCCGTCGGTCTCTGGACCAAGCTCGAGAACCTGGTGCCCAACATGGAGTCGCCCACCCTGCCCGAGTCGGTCTTGGAGACGCTCGCCATCCGCTGCGGCTCGCTGTATATGAAGGCGGTGCAGACCTGCTGGAACGCCGTCGACCAGGAGATGTCCGGCGGCCTCGTAACCGAGCAGGTCGTGTCGCGCGCCCAGCTCAAGGCGAGCCGCTACCTCGAGGCCTGCTGCATCCTCGACGGCGTCAGCAATTTGGAGGAGCGGCTCGGCGACGACCTCGGCGAGCCCCGGCCGGAACCAGCGCCGCCGATCACGGCGGGCCCCTCAGTGCGCAAATCCGACAAGGCACGAGAAGCGCGAGCCGAGAGCAAACCGGAGCAGACCGCCGTTCCCACCCAGATCGCGCGGGCCGACAGCCAAGGTAAGTCCGTCCATCAGCATACCCCCCGAGCCGGACTAACAACAGGCGCAGTCGACGAATCCACGAAGCCGTCCAAGAAGACGCGGCTTTACCCCCAAATACCCCTGCCGCCTGACATCATCGAGAAATGGAACACCGTGTTCATGCCGCAGATCAACGGTGCTCTGCGCCACTTTTACCGGAAGAACCCCGAGTCGGTCGAGATTTCACTGGAATCCATCGGCGAGAGCCCGCAGAGGACCAAGCCGACCGTGCTCGTCGTCTGCACCTCGGTGGGCAAGGTGAAGGCAATCTTGAAGAAGAAGCTGGGCGACCTCTTCGACGGGCCCGCGGGCGTCGCGCTCAAGGTGTGCCGGGGCCAGGTCCTCCGCTCGCGGAAGCAGCCGAGCCGGAGCATGGCCAAAGCCGTCGACGACGGCCAGGAGGAAGTGATGGCGGCCAACCCGGACTTTCAGGAACGGCCAAAGAACGGCGCGAGCATCGGCGCCTGGATCGGCGACCGCCACCTGCCTCCCGTCAGCCTCGGCGGCCTCATCACGGTGGACGACAGGCAATACGGGATGACGGTTCACCACATGCTGGATGACCCGGACCAGGCGGCAGCGGCGGGGAAAGACGGCGCGCCGAGGAGCATGGCCGGCCCGAGGACAGACTTGGCGGCGTGGTACGCAGACCAGTACCAGCACGGCGATGACGACCCCGACAGCAGCGGCAGCGAAGACTACGCCTGCGAGTTTTCGGATTCGGAAACCGACGACACCCTCTCCGAATCGGCCATCACCAGCGACTACTCGGACGATGAGGAGGAGGAAGACGAGTTCGAGCCCGGCGACATCCCCGGAGTCGAGCCGGGGTGCGGAGAGGGCTACATCATCACCCAGCCCGCGCTCGACGACGTCCCCGACGGCTTTTACCCGTCCGCCGAGACCGAGGACGAAGACCACCTTGACACCTACACCGTGGGCGAGGTGTACGCATCGAGCGGGATCCGGCGGCGGACCGAAAACGGCCTGCTGCACGAGATCGACTGGGCGCTGTTCGAGTTCAGCGACGACCGCGCGCCCGAGGGCAACCTCATCCCGAACGTCCCGCCGGCCTCCAAACCCAGGCGCCTCTCGTGGCAGAGCGAGGCCGCCGACGACCCCGTCGTCGTCCACCCCACCTCGGTCGTGCCCTCGTCCAGCCTGCCCGGGCTCGAGGTGCAGTGCATGGCGCGCACGAGCGGCCTGCAGAGCGGGCTCGTGCTGCAGGCGGTCGCGTCGGTCAAGATCTACGGGCGCGTCTCGCCCAGCCAGATCTACCAGGTGTCCGGCACGCAGCAGCCCGCCGCACCGGCCCCCGCGCCCGGCCGCGCCGCCCTGCCGATGGGCATCCCTGGGGACAGCGGGGCGTGGGTGGTGGACCGCGACCAGGGCGCCGTGTGCGGGCACATACTGGCGTGGAGCGAGCGCAAGCGCGTCGCCTACATCTGCCCGATGGACGTGCTGATGCTGGACATCGCCGAGACGCTCGAGGCCAACGAGATCCGGCTCCCGGGGGGCGAGGTCATCTTCTCGCGCAAGTCGGCCCGCCCCTACCCCGCCCACGCCCGCATGTCGACCCAGTCGAGCCGCTTCAGCCGCATGAGCGGCCTCAGCAGGGTGTCGGAGCAGGTGTCGGAGCTCGACGAGGACGACGAGCAGTCGCAGCGGACGCCGAGCCTGGTCTCGCCGCTGCAGAAGCGGCTGTCGAACCGCCGGTCGCAGTTTAGTCAGCGGGGCTCGTATCTGGCGCAGCAGCGGGAGCAGGAGCACCAGCACCAGCACCAGCAACAACAGCAGCGGGGTAGTGTCGTGGGCAAGGATGATGATGATGATTCTTATGACGAGGCGGTCGAGGTGGAACTGCCCAAGGACTTCCAGGAGATGCAACTATCGGAGCAGGACGTCATGATGAGGTGGATTGCTTGATACCACGGGTTTTCTTTTTTTTTTTATAATTATTTCATTGTATTTTATTTGCAATTAGCGTATTTGCATCACATCACATAGCGCTTCGTATAATTCACGATCATGTACATGAGTTGCTTCAGCTGCCTATCACCGTTCTGACTCTTGATTGTGACTCTGGGAATAGATGCTACCTGCATGACTCGACAACATCATAACCGGCAAGGAAACAAGACCGAATAAGAGAGGGTATATATGATAGTGATGATACAACAAAGGAGAGTCAAAATACAATTTGATTGCCACCCCCGGCCCCCCCTGACTTTTATTAACCCCCCTGGCTCCGTCTCACACACACGCCCCCCGCCGGCGTCTCCCAATGAAGCAAGTAACGCTCGGAATCATGGTCATGTCTCGTATCATCCGCCTTCTTCCACTTCCTCTCATAGCTCGTCCTTGACCCTGGCCGCCGTGTCTTTGACGGCATCGGTGGCGTCGCTCGCGGCGCTGGCCACCCTGTCGCCGACGCTCCGGGCGGCCTCGCCGGCCTGGCCCGCGGCCGAAGCAGCAGTCGCTTGGGCGGCGTCCGCCACACTCGACGCCGTGGCGTAGGCGGCGCCCAGGCGCGAGATGACGCTCTCGGAGAAGGACGGGTCCTTGCCGACGAGCACTTCGGAGATGATGCTGCTGGCGGCCGAGTACTGCTTGGCGACCTCCTCGGACCCGGCCGAGGCGTAGGCGTCGACGGCGCTGGTGACGGCCGCCCCGCCCTCGCCGGCAGCGCTCAGCACGCTCGGGTACCAGCCGGTGGGTGCCGGGGCGCCGTAGACCTGCACGCTGATCTTGGAGACGACGACGTCCCAGCTCTCGGCGACCTTGTCCCCCGCAGCGGCAGCCGTGTCGTGACCGGCCGCGGCGGCAGCAGACAGGGCAGAGGAAGCACCCTCGCTTGCTGCCGAGGCCGCGGAAGCTGCCGACTCGCCGGCCACAGAAGCCGCGGAAGAGGCGGAACCGGCTAGGTCCGTGGGCGTGGGAGCGGCGGTCGCGGAGCTCAGGGCGGAGCTGGCGGCGGCGAGGAACTCGGAGTACCGGTCATGCGCCAGGCCGATCCCGGCGTAGTAGTTGAGGCGCGCGTTGTCGAGCAGCCTGCTAACTTGCTCGGGTGCGGACGGAGTCGGGGTGGCCAGGCCAATGGCGGTCTTGGCGCTCTCGTACTCCTTTTCGGCCCACGCGCGGCCTTGCTGCAGTCGCTCCGAGGCGATCGCCTCGATCTGGGCCCAGTCAAAGCCAGGGACCTCGGGAACCGGGATGCTTGTGGGGAGGATGCCGGTCTTGGTCGTTTCTGTGCCGTACACCTGGCCAGACGCGGCCTTGATGGCGTTGTCGAGCTGGGCACTCGCCGAAGCCATGGCGTTGCTGTATGCGGCCGTGACGGATGATAGTAGTTGCTCGTGGGCTGGCATCGGGGTGCCGCGAATCTGAACAGACACGATCGAGAGCGCTTGCGAGTATTGGTCGCTGGCACGCGACATGGCCGACGTGTATGCCGACTTGAGATCCTCGCGCATCGACTCCATGGCCGCTGAAATATCGTCCAGCGTATCATCATCCTCGTCGAGGATCGGCTTGCGGTTGGGCACAGACTGGGCGGCGGCGCCGAAGAGCGCCGGCTTCACGGTCGCGGTGTCGGAGACGGGCAGGGCGGTTTCATCGGACTGCATATCCTCACGCTCAGGCTCGGTGGAATCCTCGGTGGAATCCTCTGCAGAATCCTCGACGGGCAACTCGACAGGTGCGGCCTTATCCTCGTCCGCCTGCTCGGTAAAGTTGCCCACCACCACGGGAGTCTCAAAGATCATGCTCGAGGCGACGTCGGGTTGATCAACGGCATCGGGGGTCGGCTCGGATGTGGGCTCGACGACGGTAGAGAGCTCCTCAGAGGCTTCAGCTGCAGGTTCGGCTTCTTCCTCCACTTCCGGCTCGGGGGCATCTTCGACACGGGCAGGGTCGGTCGGGTTGGTCTCCGAGTCTTCCAGCACTAACGAGGCCTCGACGGCAGACTCGGATGAGGGGTCCGAGGTTCCAGAGGCGGAACTGCCCTCCGAGATGACATCTTGTTCCTCGGCCTCCGGCGACCCGAAAGTGGCCTGGGTAGCTTCAGAAGCATGGCTGATGCCTTCGTCGGCGCCGTCGACCACCGAGCCCTCCGCGTCCCCAGCAACATCCGTGGCTGCCTCGGCAGCACTGGCGGCGGCGAGTCTCGCTGCCTCGGCGGCCTCGGCGGCCTGTTCCATCAGGGTGCTATCAAACTCTGTCGTGTCGTCGCCGGCCGTCAGCTTCCAGTTGGCGACCTGCTTCAGGCGGGCGAGCTCCTTGGCGGTCGCGGAAGCAACGCCCATCGCGTCGTCTTCAATGTTGGCGGCCTCGATCTGGGCGGCCTCGAGACTCGGGTGGCTAGTGACGTGGTTTTGGAGATCACCCTTCCATTCGTCAAAGCGGCTCTTGAGGAGGTGGTACTTGGCCCAGTCCTTGTACGTGATTCCGTCGGTCCACGCCCACTTCATGCCGATCTTCTGGAGGGCCAGGTCCCGGATGTTCTCGAGGATGACGAAGTGGGTCTCGGCGGCTTGCGTGACGGACCTCTGCATCTCGATCTCGTACCTCTCGCGCCACGTACGCACGGCCTGGCCCTTCTCCTTGACCGCCATGCCGGCCCGTCGGACGGCCTTGACGATCTGCTCCTGGCCCTCTTCGGCAGTGGCGCCGCCCTTGTTCACGGTCGCGACGACCTGCTGGATCGCGCGGCGGAGATTGACAAGCTCCGAGACGGCCGTGGTTCGCAGTTGGTCCAGGCGCGACTTGCCCGTGGTTCTGGCATCCCGCTGGATCATCGTCTTGGCAATTTCTTGCACGCGGTCGTCAATCTCGGCGGCGGCCTCGTCGGCAGCCTTGGCGTACCGCTCTTGCCAGTCCTTGAGATCGGCCGCCACGATCTCCCGAGTCTCGCGGCGCGTGGGGTCCTCCTTTTCGAGATTCTCGTCGACTTCCGGCGGGGGAATCGGCTCCATCGTTGACCTGGAGCGGGCGGGGTCGGAAGAGGCACGCTCCTTTTCAGTCTCGGCGGCACTGACGGACGGCGCAGAGGTGGGGGCCGTAGTTACCGAGACGGCAGGCTTGGTGAACGAGGAGGTGGTCTCGGTCGAGGCGCTCGTCGAGGAGTCGGCCGGTGGCTTCGGGATGGACTTCTTGCCGGTGCTGCTGTAGCGGCCCAGCCGCTTGCCGATCTTAACAAGCTGGGGCTCGACGTTTTCCACGTAGACAGCTCTGATCTGCGGCCCAACGGTGCCGTCTAAAAAGACATAGGTCTTGTTCCAGGTCCAGACAAATGCCGGCACCACAGTGCCGCTCGTAAAAGCCGAAGTCGCGCGGTAGCCCTCGTGCAGATGCGGCTGCAGGTACAGGTACGTCGGCACCAGCAGCTCGTGGTAAGTCTGCAGCGTGTTGGTCCGCGCAATGTCGTAGTACGGCCCAAAGGCGGCCGAGACGCGGTCGATGTGCGGTGCCAGCTTCTCGTCGTACTGCGCCCTGGCGAGAGCCTGGTATTTTTCGACCTGCGGCTGGACGCTCTTCTCCCACTGAGCGGTGCCCAGTGCCTGTATTTGCTGCAAGTGTGGGGCACCATACTGCTTAGCATAGCTCCAGGTGGGTGTGATGACGGTTTGGTCGACCGTGTTGTAGTATGGCCGCACCAGCTCGACGTACGGAGCTGCGTAGATGTCATAGTAGGGTTCGACGCGGGGCACGACGGCGTGTTTGACCTGGAAGTAGGGCTTGCAGATGCGCGGAGAGGTGTCGTCGCAGGCTTCGAGGGTGGCCGGGCACCGGAAAAGGATCGACAAGATAGAATACCAGGTCAGCAGCCTATGGGGAAAGTCAGCGGGTATACCGTACAGATCACAACCAAAGGCAACAGAGGGCAGGCTTACCGTGCAGCAATGCTAAACGTTCTGGCGAGCATGCTAGGTCGACGGCGCGCCTCCTTCGACTTGGGGCTCATCGCGTGGCCGTTGGCCGGAGATTTTACCGCGCCATTGATGCCATTTTCCGGCCGCGATGCCTTGCCCTTCAGGGTAGCAGTGGTGCCATTCGCGTCGGCCATGATGCAGATGCGGATGCGGCGTGGTTCAGCGCCAGGCTGACAACCGGAAGCCGCGCCAATGCGTCGAGCGGGAGAGCTGCGTGTGCTCGGTCTCTGAAGATCAGGCACGCCCCGGGGGACGGAACAGTCGGTTTTGTCGTCGCGCGATGGCCGGGAGGCTTTGTGCTGAAGAGAGATGGGATGGGATGGGCCGGTTCAAGAAAAAAAGAAACTGGAGGATTGGGGAGCTGTCTGCTTATCTGGCGCCAAGAACACGGGGTGATGTCCTGGAGGGAGAGAACGAAGATACGAAACAGTGGTCGGAGGAATCTGTGGTGCAATGCACGGTCCGAAGTAATTAAATGCAACGTTTTTATTTATTGCCAAACAGAGCCCCCAAAAATTGAACATTGATCTTGATGCCCGTCTTTTGTTCTTCCATCTGACGAGCTGACCAAACTCAAAGCTTGATTCTCCAGTCTTTTAGCGTGACGCAGCAAGCCCCACGCATCTCCGGGACGTCATCTCCAACCCAGGGCCAATCTCGACCGCTGCGGCTGCTCTTGGCTTCCAGATGTGACAGAATTCAGGTGTACTGGGTTTCTGGTGTTCCTTGTTTTCTCCTTCGGACATCATCCCAATCCTTCATGCTCGAGGAATGTCGACTGTTTCAAAACAAGCAGGCCCGCACGGTCGTTACCATGTTTAATCCTGGTTCCGGTGCGTACGGTGACACGGAACCTTCCAGACCGTAACGGCCCTGGGGTCTCGAGGTGAATCTGTATTCGAAGGAAACACATACGACATGGCATGGCAATGACGTGTATCTGTAATTCTCCTGTCCCTCAAAACCTTCACTAAATCAAGCACGTGCACCCTCTCGACCGCCCCACTATATCGGTACTATCGTTTATTTGATTGGTGAGAACAATCAGCACCTTGGGGACCGCTCAGTGACTGTCGTTAGAGCTCCAGCTCCATCAAACAGGCGACCCATATCGGTTCGCCATCGACAAGCCACCGTCAAGCCATCGACAATCCATCGACAAGCCCACCTGTCCATCGCCGACTGTGCTTGCCCAACCGATAACCCGTCTTTACCATCCTGACTACCCCGGGTAGATCACGACAAATCGAAACGTTGTCTAGTTGTTCGTCGTAGTCCACTTCCGCAATCACAGCCATCGTCAATTCGATTGCCTACCATACTCGCGAACCATCGCCACTCAACCACTCGGTCACCGACCACGCGATCACCTAATTATCTGCCACCCAGCGATCGGCCATAAAATCATCCCTCGGATGGGAAATCAATCCCCCCCGTCATGAATTTCAATGGCGTGCCTATCCACCAGCCGCCCGACTCGACGCTCGACGCCGTGATGGGCGGTTTACCCTCCGACCATTTTGCAAAGCTCGACCCCGATACCTGCCGGATATGCCGTGGAGAGGGATCCGCCGACGAGCCGCTCTTCTTCCCGTGCAAGTGCAGCGGGAGCATCAAGTATGTCCACCAGGACTGCCTGATGGAGTGGCTGTCTCACTCGCAAAAGAAGCACTGCGAGCTGTGCAAGACGTCGTTTCGCTTCACCAAACTCTACGACCCCAACATGCCCACGGGGCTCCCGGCCCACGTCTTCATCAGCCACACGACCAAATACGTGCTCCGCAAGCTGCTCGTCTGGATGAGGGCCGCCCTGGTCGCCAATGTCTGGCTGTGCTGGTTGCCGTATATCATGCGGACCGTGTGGGCCTTTCTGTTCTGGATCAGCGACGAGGGGCTGGGCGGCAGGCCCGCCTTCATGGGCCCAGCCGGGGACGTGTTCGACCTCGCCGGAACGGTATATGGCACCGACGTCTGCCCGTCAAGTCCGCTCTTTGCCGCAACCACGACGGTCGCCACGATTGGCGGCGTTATCGATAACCTCCCCCCAGCTTCGGCTAAGCTGGTCAAGGGTCTCTACGGCATCAACCTGACCTCCAGTGATCCCGTTTATTCCACCATCCTGCGGCTCCTCTTTGGCGGCGTGGGCCTGGCCGACAAGTCCGCGGCCATCACCGCCGCGGCGGACGCGACCGCTTCTGCTCGTCTGCGGGACTCGGCGCCTCAATCCCTGTTGGGCGGCGTCACCTTCCTTCGGAACCTTACCCGCCACCCGTCCATCAACCGATTCGTGATCGACGTCCTCGAGGGCCAGATCATTACGATTCTAGTCATAGTCTGCTTCATCCTCATCATCCTAGTTAGAGACTATGTTGTGCAGCAGCAGCCCGAGATCAACATGCGCGCCGCCTTTGCCGCCGCCGAGAACCCGCCCCAGCCGGGCCCGGCAGAGCCAGGCCGCCCGCACCTTCAGCCCCACGTTCAGCCCCACGTCCAGCTCCAGGATATTCCTGATAGGGCAGGAGATGCCTCGGATGATTCCGCCAGCGAGACCGCCGATGAGTTTGAGACGCGTCCCCAGCGAGAGGTTCCACAGGGATTCGACCGGGCGACGGTGCACGAGTATCTCAACGTCTACCGCGAGGCGGGCGGTGATCCGGACCATATGATGAGGATCGCTCGCGAGCGAGGTCTAGAAGACAGACTGGACTACTGGTTGCAGCTCATTGCCCGCCAACAGGAGAACAGAGGGCTTGACGAAAATCAAGCTGGGCCTTCTAACCGTCCAGCTGCCAACCGGCCCCTCGCTAACGGCCGGCAGCGAAGGGCGTCTGCAGACGGGGCGGGCCCTGCGCGCCCCATCGGCGTCAACCCCATGAGGAGCGACCCTTGGACCTATGAAGGAAACTTCCCACCTCTCCCCACGCAGCAAGGTCTCCCTACCCCACCCACGGAAAGGCCGCCTGCTTGGCCTGCTCTCGAGTCTCCAACCGAGGCAGCCAGGCCCCCGAGCCCGACGGCGTCCGCCGGGGACCATCCGGCACCCTTGGAAGTTGAAACAGACACTGGGGACCGAGACCGAGCGCCCCTGGAGGTTGAGATAGAACTAGGCCGGGTGCTCCCGCCCCCGCCACCCCCCGCACGACGGGCCCCCGCCGGCGTCGCTGGTCGGATTGCCGACTTCATGTGGCGCCGAGTGGACGCTATCGATGAGGCAGATCTCGCTCCCGTCAACTTCCGAGGTGACTTTGCCGAAGACGACCCGGAGGAGGACGGCCACGGAAATCCGCCGCCTAACCCGGCGGGACAAAACGCAGCCGCGGCCGATCCGGCCGTCGCGGCAGCGCTAGATGCCGAGGCACTCGAAGACGCCGAAGACCTCGAAGGCATCCTAGAGCTCGTCGGCATGCGCGGCCCCGTCGTCGGCCTGTTCCAAAACGCAATCTTCTGCGCCTTTCTCGTCTCGATCACCATCTTCCTCGGTGTCTTCATCCCCTACAATACCGGCCGCGTCACCATCTGGGCCCTTGCGAACCCCATGCGCATCGCGCGCATCTTCTTTAGCCTCTCCAAGTTCGTCCAAGACTGCGCGTTGCTTGCCCTGGGGTTGGCATCCTCGATCCTGTCCGATTTCGTCCACCTGGTGAGCCGCGCGCTGATGCTGCCGTCCGTCGCCGAGCATTCGATGGGCGTCGCCAACACGTCGTGGACCACGGCCGTCGGCGCAGCCAAGCGAATCGGCGGCAGCTTCGTGACCGAACTGCCCTTTGTATCCGCCTCGGAGGTGCGCAACTTTTCCGCCATCAGCCACGCCGCCCTCTTCACGCTCAAGGGCTACGTCGCTGCGGCCTTCTCCGGGATTTGGCGTCTTCTCGACTTCGTTCTCGGCGGCGACTATACCGCCAAGGGTGCAGCAGCCTCCGCCGTGGCCGTCAAGGTCTTGCCAGCTGTCTGGCAGTCTTTGGCGGCCTTCCCCGCCACCGTTGTTGACCCGAACTCTTGGGTCCTCAACCTGAATCTGCCCGCGGCTACGGTCGCCATCGACACCGAACTCGCGTACTGGGGTGGGACCGACCGGTTCTGGGCCATCCTCGCCGGCTACGTCGCCACGTCTATGATGGCCGCCCTCTACCTGCGCCGCGGCACGCCCTTCTCCACCAACCAGGCTGCACAGCAGTGGGAAACGGTCCTCATGGACGTGCTCAACCAGGCCAGCGGAGTCATGAAGGTCCTCCTGATCATCAGCATCGAGATGCTCGTCTTCCCGCTCTACTGCGGCATGCTGCTCGACGTCGCCTTGCTCCCGCTCTTCGAGCACACGACCTTCAAGTCTCGGCTCATGTTCACGATCAACTACCCGGTCACGTCCATCTTTGTGCACTGGTTCATCGGCACCGGGTATATGTTCCACTTTGCGCTGTTCGTGTCCATGTGCCGCAAGATCATGCGCAAGGGCGTGCTCTACTTTATCCGCGACCCGGACGACCCGGACTTCCACCCGATCCGAGACGTGCTGGAGCGCAGCGTAACGACACAGCTGCGCAAGATCTTGTTCTCGGCCTTTGTCTACGGCGCCCTGGTCATCGTGTGTCTCGGTGGCGTGGTCTGGGGGTTGTCCCTGTCACTCCCCGTGTTACCGATCCACAACTCGTCTAACGAGCCGGTGCTCGAGTTCCCAATCGACCTGTTGTTCTACAATTTCCTCATGCCGTTTGCCATCAGCTTCTTCAAGCCGAGCCACTGGCTGCATGCCATGTACAGGTGGTGGTTCCGCCGCTGTGCCCGTGCCCTGCGCATCACCTGGTTCCTCTTTGGCGAGCGGCGCCTCGACGAGGAGGGCTGGCTCGCCCTCGCCCCCAACTCGCCCGACCGCAAGCTTCCTGCCTGGAGGCAGTGGTTCCTCGAGGTGGATGCCGGCGGCCGCGTTGTGGCGAGGTCGTGGCGCGGCATCCTGGAAGGCGGCGCGACCAAGCGTCCTGCTATCAGGACGGAGCACATGACGTCGTACAACACCAAGAAGGAGGCCCTAGTGTTCACCGGCCAGCTCATCCCGGACGGGCGGTTCGTCCGGACGCCGGCTTCCGACCAGGTCAAGATACCCAAGGGAACCGGCGTGTTCATCGATGTGAACGAGGACAACACGAGACGAGACAAGTTAGCAGACCAGCCCGAGACCGACATCTACTCGACCGAGCAGTACCAGTTCGTCTATTTGCCTCCCGACTTTGGCCTTCGCATCTTCCTCTTCATCCTGTTCATCTGGATCTTTGCCGCTGCTACGGGTGTCAGCATCACCATCCTTCCGCTCGTGTTCGGGAGGTGGATGTTCAGCCAGCTGATCCCGGCTCACGTCCGCGCCAACGACATCTACGCATTCAGCATCGGCATCCACGTCCTCGGCTCGGCAGTGTATGCGCTCCTCCGCGCTCCAGCGGCCTACCAGGCGGCCAGGGCATACGTCGAGGCTGCTGTTGCCGCCGATGGCGCACACGGCATGTTCCGGCGGATGCGGGGTATTGTCGCTCGCGCCGCCCGGGTCCTGTACGCCTATTTCTTCGTCCTCGTGGTGGCCCCGTTGCTTGTGGCGTCGTTGATGGAGCTGTATGCTCTAGTGCCCCTCAACGAGCTCATGTACGGCACCGTGCTCAAGCCGGATTTCGCCAAGGCCCTCGCCGCCGGCACCGCCAAGCCGGCGGCTCCGGTACACACGGTCCCGGTCGTCCAGACTTGGACCATCGGCCTACTCTACCTCAAGCTGTCTATGCGCATCACCAACACCTGGTTCCGGGGCTCGCGGGTGTCCAACGCCGCGAGGGCGGTCCTGCGTCGTGGGTGGCTGGATCCCGACGCCGCCATCCTCACCCGGGCTTTCGTCGTCCCCAGCTTGTCGATATGGCTGGCCGCCGTGGTCACCCCTCTTCTGGTCGCCAGATTCGCTGTCGCCGACGGGTTTGCCGACGCCGTCATGAGAGAACACGGCATGGTGCCGGCCCACGGCCCGCCCGACCGAGCACTGTACGAGGCGTGCGTGGTGCTCATCTACCGCATGAGCTTCCCCATGGTGGCTCTCGCCATCCTCAGCGGCTTCGCCCTGTGGAGCACCGTCGGCGTGTGCCGCAGATGGCAGGTGCGCATCCGCGACGAGGCCTATCTGATCGGCGAGCGGCTCCACAACTTTGGCGCAACAAATGCGCCGAGGCCCCGAGGCGCGTGGAGAGCCACGGGGGTGAGGGCATGATGTGATACCGGGTGTGATATCCGCTGCCGTGGTTACGGATTTTATTTTTAGGTCAGTGTTTTGTTTGAGTTTCGTGTTTCAAGGTCACGGAGAGGATTCTCCTATCAAGCCCGGCGTTTGGTGTCACGGAAGGCATAGCATGTGTGCATTGGAAGGTTGGAGGCTATGTATGCATCAAGATACCTAGGTAGTTCTATCTGAACAAATAATCTCCCAGCATCCCAACCATCAGGACTATACCTATCACGTCACGACATACAATCGTGACTTTGGAAGATACTAATTGGTGCATTGAATCGTGCACCAACAGACTCCCGCGTAACTGACGAGTCAGCAGTGGGGAAGAGGTATTTGCCATGCCCCAGCCCTATCACGTCACCATGGATATCCCTCCCGGATCTTCTGACGACACTGCGACGTGTTTTATCAAACTTTGAGCACGACTCCAGAAGGCTGTGTTTGCCCGGTGGAGTGGGAAACGCGTTCCTACCTCGCTGCGGTCATAGTCAAACTCGACATTGGCCTCTCACAGTCCCTCGGGGGTGGGAACGTGTTGACACCGAGGCAAACCTGACTCGGATCTTCAGGGACAACGGCGCCGTGGCAACTCCAAAACAGTTGAGCCTCAGCCAGGAGCAGCGTATAACCCTCCGAGTCGATCGCCACATCACCCTTTACTGAAACGCCATGGTGGAGAGCATCGCAAAGTTGTGAGATCGAGCCAGGCTTCTAGAACGATTCGGACGAGGGGATCGGGAACAAACTATTTAAATCTATAGCCGGCCTTGAACCCGATCTCCTTTGAATCCGTCGAGTTTGTCTGAGCCGCTTCCTTCGTTGTCTTTCCAACCCCCCCCCCCTCCTTCTTTCGTTTATTAATGATTTCAACCGCTGGCCGGTCTTTCCTACAGTCAAGAGTATGTCAGCACCGCTGCCGGACGGCCCTGTGTACTCCCGCCCAGAGTCCAATCCTTTCGCCGATCAGCAAAGTCACCCGCGTCCAGAGCTACCCGGCTCCCTACACAACCACCCACCGCGCCCTGGAGACGGGGAACGCGGATTCCTACCTCGCCAGTCGTCGTATGTGGACACACCAAGCTCCTCCGGCAGATCGTCGACCGAGTACAACGAGAGCCACCTCGATGACATCGAGAAGAGCCTCCCCATCCATACTGTCCCCTCGCTCAGGCTTCAGATCTTGCGGTCCATCACACGAAACCACCATGGCGACCGCGACAAGACCTCGGAACCGCGGTGTATGGAGGTGAAGTCAGCCGGCGCCGACGAAGCGAGCTCCGAGGCACCCCGGCCCAAGCTGGGCATCCGCCAGCGCCTCGCCCACTTCACCTGGGCATGGTACACGCTGACCATGTCGACGGGCGGCGTGGCGCTGCTCCTCCGCTCGCAGCCGCACCAGTTCCCGGGCCTGTTCCAGATCGGCCTGGTCGTCTTCATCATCAACATCCTGCTCTTCGTGCTGGTCACCTCGGCGCTGCTCGCCCGCTTCTGTCTGTTCCCCGGCACCTTCGTGCGGTCCGTCACGCACCCGCGCGAGGGCTTCTTCTTCCCGGCCTTCTTTCTGTCGATCGCCACGCTCATCACCTGCACGCAGCGGTACTGCGTGCCCGACGACCCCGAGGCCGCGCGGGCGACGGCCGGGACGCTCATGTGGGCGATCCAGATCGCCTTCTGGGCCTACGTGGTGCTGACGACCAGCGTGGCGGTCGGGCAGTACTCGTACGTCTTCTCGGCGCACAGCCTCGGCCTGCAGACCATGATGCCGACGTGGATCCTGCCCATCTTCCCCATCATGCTGTCCGGCACCATCGCGTCCGTCATCTCCGAGACGCAGCCCGAGTCCTCCGGGGTCGCCATCCTCGTGGCGGGGCTGACGTGCCAGGGGCTGGGCATCGCCGTCGCGGTGCTCATGTACTCGCACATGGTCGGGCGGCTGATGCAGTCGGGCCTCCCGAACCGCGAGCACCGGACGGGCCTGTTCATGTGCGTGGGCCCGCCGGCCTTCACCGCGCTCGCCTTCCTCGGCATGGCGAGGGCGCTGCCCGAAGGGTTCGACCACGACATGGACGGGCTGGCCGACGCGGCCACCATCGAGACCATGGGCCTGATCGGGGCCGGGTTCCTGTGGGCGCTGAGCTTCTGGTGGTTCGGCATCGCGCTGCTGGCCGTCGTCCAGAGCCCGCCCCGCTACTTCCACCTCGGCTGGTGGGCGGCCGTGTTCCCCAACACGGGCTTCACCCTCGCCACCATCTCGCTGGGCACGGCCTTCCAGAGCGAGCCGATCCTGTGGTTCGCCACCGCCATGTCCATCGTGCTCGTGCTGACGTACCTGTTTGTGCTGTGCCACCACGTCCGTGCTGTCGTCGTGCAGGACATTATGTATCCGGGCAAGGACGAGGATGTGGAGGATCATTAATCGGCGAGGGGGGGGCTCTTCGTGACGCAGTGAGGAAGGCAGTTGGAAAGTGATAAATATCAAACTCAAATGGTAGCTAGCATCAATCTTGTGGGTTAACTCCCTACGCGACAGTATTAAAAGAAATAAAAGTAAAATAACCTCCGCGAACGACATCCCAGCCCAGCAAAGCTTTATTCCGCCTTCTTAACACTTTGCGGATTGTGAAACAAGTCAGCCGGATCCCAGATCCCCTTGACCTCTCGCAACCTCGGCAAGTTTGACTCCCAGTACTGCTGTTGCGCGCTCGGCAGCCCCGGGTCGACATAACCAGGGTATGTTCCGTATGCTTTGGGCGAACACTTGCTCAGGATCTCGTTATGGAAGTTGCCGATGAAGTCCTTGGATTTCTGGGACAGCGGGAGCCCGACGACATACGACTGGTAGTAGAGAATCTTGTCGCGGTGCACAAAGGAGGTGGCATTCATCGGCACGTCGCCCACGGCACCGCCGGTGGCATCGAAAATGACAGCCCAGGCGACTGTCCCTTTGTCCTGGTCGTTCACCCACTGGAAAAGGTCCTTGATCTTGTCGGCCGTCGGCACGTCCTCCCTCTTGAAGCCGATGCTCTTGGAGTAAAAGGGCACCGGGAGGCTGGACAAGTACAGGTTTCCTTTCTGGGCGCCGTGTGCGAGCGATCCCAGCCAGTCGTTCATGACAAGACTACTCTCCGAGGCCTGCGGTAGCATACCAGGGATACCGGTGGCCGTGAACTCGTCTTTGGTGCCGTAGAAGTCGCCGGTGATGATGGCGCCGAACGGGAGCAGGATGAAGATGGTGCCGAACCTGCGGTCGAGTGCCGGGTCGGCGATCATGGCCTGCCACTTCAGGTAGAATGGGGCGATCTCGGCCGGGTTCCCAAACTTGACGCTGTACTCATATTGGACGATGTTGCCCGGCTCAGGTTGTGTCTTGAAGACGAACTCGGTGATGACGCCAAACCCCGACGCGGCGCCCCTGAGTGCCTGTTGACGTCAGCTCATAACCCTAGAAGGGGAATCCCGGGCGGGTGCATAGATACCCAGAAGAGGTCTGAATTTTGAGAGCTGTTTGCCCGGCGGATCTCGCCGTCGGCCGTCACCACCTCGACCTCAACCACATGGTCCAGCGTGGATCCCCACATGCGAGCCGTCGGGCCTAGGCCTCCCTGTTGGCAGTCAGCAAGGAAGCTCTCCAGGATGGATGAACGTTGGGGAAACCCTACGATAGTAGCATGTCCGCCGATGCCGACGCCAGGGCAAACAGCGTGAGTGATGGCCCTTCCGCCTGCCCTGTGTAGGCTCTTCGACATGGCCCCTAGTTTGGTGCCTGCGCCAATGGTGGCCTGCCAGGTTCTGTTGTCCATACTAAACTGCTTGAGGTTCACTAAATCGATGACGAGGGCTCCGTCCTCGCCGCCGAGCCCATAGTTCCTAGGATCGTCAGGACTACCATCAGGCGGAAACTGGAAGGGGTCTACCAACCCATACGAGTGGCCGCCAGACCTGGCCTGCACCTTCACACCATGTGCGGACGCGCACTTGATGACACCTGATACTTCAGCGGCAGTCTGCGGGCGGACGACTGCAGCGGGAGTGATGGGGATGTCGAGGTTATATGCGTGCACCCAAACCGGCTGGTAGGTAAGCGGGTTGTTGGGGAAACCCGCAAAGCCGGCCCTGTTGTTACCAACTCCGTCGATGCATTTCTGCAGTGAGCTGTGAGCGGTGCCCATGGTGGATATTGTCGATGATGAGGGGAGCATAGGAGGCTGAGATGTCGGGGGATGGACGTTGGGGAATATCGGGGGGGGTGGTCAACCGTCGAGACAACCCAGCAACACTCTCAGCAACACGGCCCCAGACTCCCTGTGCCCTTCCATAACGGCCATTCCACGAAACCGCCCAGAGCATCACAAGAGTAGAACCTGCAAGAGAAGACCGGTACAACCCTCCTCGTCCTCCTGTCCTGCGAATTTGCCACGATCCTCGCCGACGATAGAGCACACGAGGCACATAGCACTGAGAGGAGACACAAACACGTTCACACGCTCACACGTTCACAAGTTCACAGCCCCTGAAACAGAACCTGAGTCAAATCCGTACTTCTCCGTGGTACTAACCGCCAAAGACTGAGCGCTGTCTCACACTAACAACGCACCGAGATCCGTGTGACGAGGTCTAGCATTGCTACGGACGGGGCCGGTAATAATGTGTGGCTGTGCCACTATCGCTTGCTCTCATGACTCGGAGGGGTATGTACCTGTACACACCTCGTTAGTTAATAAAAAGGGGTAACATACCTATGGAGTAAATCCAGTTCCTTTGGACTCTAGGACGGCTTCTGTCGTTCCTACGTTCGAGGACTCGGGGTTTCCGTAGTCGCATCTGCACTTGGAGTTCGGCTTAAACACTTTTTTTGCCCATGTGGTGCCAGGTGAACCATAAAGCAACTAAGTCGCCCATTCAAATCACCAACACCCCATCCGTGCTGTCGTTTTCATAATATATATTCGTCCTCAACAACTTCGTCCTCAACGTCTTCGAAATATACCAGATCCCCCAGCTCCTGCTCAAACTGGCTGACGTCCACGTCGCCCATCTTCTGCTCGTTCTGGATCCGCTCCCTCGCCGACCTATGCATGACCCGCATACATTCCACCTTGTCCCGAGACCGCGGCGCCGCGTCGAGGGGGAACCACACGGGCTTGGCGATGAGCAGCGGCGTGTAGTCGTTCCAGTGGACGCGGGCCTCGGCGTCGGTTTCCGTGTCGTGCATCTTGTGGATGTTGAACGCCCAGGCCATGCCGCCCATGGTCAGGAACAGGTCCTGCTCCACGATGGGGACGCCCTGGCACGTCCGCCGCCCGAACCCGAACTGCGAAAAGCCGGCCAGGCAGGGGTAGGTGCACAGCGGCTCGCTATACGACGGCGAGTCCCCCTCGAGCCACCGTCCCGGGTCGAATATCTCCGGATCGGGGTAGTAGTCTTCCTGACGCGTCATGCTCCTGGCCTGGTTAGCGTGGTGCGGAAGCATGCACGATACGAAAGGGTGGGGATAGTAATTACCACTCGGCCGCGTGTAACGTGGTCTTAGCTGGGATATCAAACCCTTCGTAGACGTCGTCGACTTCGCTGGCGTGGGGGATTCCTGCCGTCGCGTTAACGGTCGAGCGCCGTGGGCATCGCGGGCTGGACGAGTTGCTTACCTGTCGGCACCGGCGGGCGCCAGCGAATCACCTCTTTCACGACGGCGCGCAGCACCGGTAGCCGGTCCCTATCTTCCCACTCGGGGCACCTACCTTCCAGGACACTGTCGATCTCGTCCTGCGTCCTGCTCTGCCACTCCGGGTGGTGGCACATGGCGAGCAGGAAACTCTGGATGGGGCTGCCGATGGTTAGTGCGCCGGCGATGGCCATCAGGCCGACGACGTTGCCAGCCTCTCCCTTCATCGCCTCGTATTCCTCCTGGTATTTCTTGTCCGCTAGTTCCTCCTTCCGCATTTCATCCTCCCACAATTCCCTAATGTACTCTTCCAACATTTCCCTCATGGCCTCCTCCCATATTTCAAGTTTCTCCTTCCCCATTTTCATCACCTCCCGCAGTTCCCTCATCTCCTCCGCCCACATTTTCCTGATGTTCTCCTCCCTCGTTTTCCTCCTCTTTTCCTTCCTCCTTCTCCTCCTGTCCCCCGCCCTCGTTTCCTTCATGTCGAAAAACGTGCCCATGAAGCTGGGGCTCGCTCGGCCCCGGGCCCGGCTGTCGATGACGAAGCGGACGTTGGCGTCGAACAGCCGACTCTCCATCCGGCGCCGGGCCCGCTCCCTCTTCTTCCAGGGGCTGATGGCGGCGGGCAGGTAGCGGAGGAAGTTGACCTTGTTGGGCAGCGACCCGGACGGGCTGATGGTCTCGAGCAGGCCGAACGTGACGTGGCGGAGGACCTGGGCCGAGCGGGCGGTGCCCCAGGAGAGGCGCGAGACGGTGCGGGCGGTGAACTGCTCGACCCACTCGATGTAGCTGCTCGGGTCGCGGCACATTTGGTATAGGAACCGGTCGCGCTCCATGGTTGGGTACGCATGGAGAGACGCGCGGTCGCTGATGCTCATCATTATGCCGCAGAGCCTCCTCTGCCGTATCCATGTGTCTTCCCGTATGTAAGTAGTCCGTGACATCCGGGCTCGCCGTGCATTTGCTTACCTGTCCGTCCTAGCAGGGCGAGATACTGGCCGCTGATGCGGTTGTCCGAGAGATTCGGGATAACGGGGCGGTCCGAGTTGATCGGGGCCCTCTTGGAGAGAATCTCGTAAGCGATCGGTTCTCTGGCGATCCAAACATGGAGCGTCCCAAGGGTCTGAAACTGGTATATTGGCCCATACACCTTGCTCCATTCGTAAATCTTCGTCCACGCCGTCTTGGACGGGATCTTGTGAACGGGCCCGATGTAGGGAGGGCCTAGGCAAATCAGCAACACGTCAACGACAAGACCAGACTCGGAGCACTCTACCGGGCGGACCCGGGAGCGGCCGGCGCCCCCGTCGTACCAGCCTTCGCCATACCAAGGCGCTGGCCACGATGGTCAAAATCACCAAGGTGATCATTCCGAGGTGGAATCGAACGCATGGATTATATATCTCGCCACCGCGACGCGAGGCTACCGTCTAACGCACAAAGGGACAAGCAAATCATGGTGGTTATGCCATGCCACACAGAAAGCTGAACCTCGGTTGCACTCTTGAACCCATCTGAGGCGCTTCCACTGCACCCGTGCCTGCCGGGCAGCCGGGCCGTGGCGGGTGGTCATTTACGATTGGATATAAGGTATGTTGAGTGGCACGATTCAGAATGTCCGTGTGGCCTCGGTGAAGTCATCAGCGAAAACGATGGGTCTTGATTGGTAGGCAGGAATCACGGCAGAACCATCATGTCCATTTGCCGAGGTCAAACTGGTGCCATGGAAAGGCCCAGGACCATCGAGCGTTTGTTGTCAAGTCATTGAGCCTTCACGTGCGGGGGGTTGACCAGTGCATCACCCATCAATCCGACTCGGAATTTGGTCTCAACCGATCCTTCAATGAAGGCCGTGGCCGACGTAGTCTATTGCGCCGACTAGAACCCGTCATCCGAGAGCGGGCGCAGGCCGGCTTTGTACAAGCACATGAATACATTCACATCCTACAGCTATCAGCACCGCACAATCCAAGATGGACGGATCGACTCACCGCTCAACAGGGCTCAACCCGAGCAACCTCATGCCGTTACCCAGCACGGTGTGCGCGGCATCGTACAGGGCCATGCGGGCCTTCATCAGCTCCCGCTCGCTGCCGACGACCTGCAGGTGGTCGTAGCTGCTGCTCAGGGCGTGCGTCATCTTGAACAGGTAGGTCAGCACCGTCGTCGGCTCCAGGGTCCGCAGCGTGTTCTGGACCGTGTCGGGCCACAGGGCGAGCAGGCGGACGATGTTGACGGCGTGGGCCTCCGTCAGGAGCGAGAGGTCGGCGCTGGCGATGTCCTCGTCGCTGAGCCCGGCGCGGCGGCGGATCGAGGACACGCGGGCGTGGGCGTACTGCAGATACGGGCCGGTGTCGCCCTCGAACGAGGTCATGGCGTCCATGTTGAACGTGTAGTTGTTGATCCTGCCAGGGTTAGTCCGACACCGGTGAGCGGCCGAGAGAAAAGAGACCATACCTCTTGCCCGTCATGTCCTGCACCATGACACTGCTGATGCCGAGCGTGTCGGCCGTCGCATCCGGGTTCTCGACCTGGTTGTATTTGGTCTCGTTCTTCTTCATCGTCTCGTGCATCTTGTCGGCCACGTCGCGCAGGATGTCGTCGAGGAACTTGACGGTACCCTTGCGGGTGCTCATGCCGAGGACCAGACCAAAGTTGATGTGCTGGCACTTGGCGGCGATCTCGTTGTGCCCCAGCAGTTCGATAATCTTGAACAGCTGCTTCAGGTGCAGGTCCTGGGCGGACGCGACGACGTAGATCATGTGGTCGAACTGGTACTTCTCGTGGCGGCCGAGCAGCTCGCTGATGTCGCGCGTCAGGTACAGCGCGGTGCCGTCCCTCTTCTTGACGATGGGCTTCTCGAGGCGCTTGCCCTCCTTGCCCGGCACGAGGGCCTGGAAGTCGACGATCTGGGCGCCCTTGTCCTCCTTGGAGATGCCCTTGTCCTGCATCTCCTGGCCGATCTTCTCCATCATGTCCTCCGACACCTGACTCTCTCCGCTGTACTCGTCAAACTTTATGTTGAGGCGGGCGTACGTGTCCTGGTATCGGGTAATGCTGAGGTCACGGAAGCGCTTCCACTGCGCCAGCGCGACGGGGTCCCGGTCGGTCATCTTTTTGAAGTAGCGACGGGCCTGCTCGTCGAGACTGTTGGCCTCCAGCTCGGCCACGTCCTCGCCGTCTTGTTTCCTCTTCTCGATCTGTTCCTTCTCGGCCGACATCTCGCTGTTGATGCGCACGTACAGCTGGAAGAGGTGGTTGATCGGGTCCTTTGTGAGGGCCTCCTCGTCGCCGTACTTCTCAAAGGCCAGGGCGAGGAGACCGTACTGCTTGCCCCAGTCGCCCAGGTAGTTTATCCTGACCACGTCCCATCCCGCGCCCTGGTAGAGGTTCGCCAAGAAACCGCCGATGATTGTGCTGCGCAAGTGGCCTGCGTGGAAGGGCTTCGCGATATTCGGGGAGCTGAACTCGACGATCATGCGCTTCTGGCCCTTGCTGGGGTCCTTGGGGTCCTTGAGGCCGTGGAACTTGTTGCAGCCGAACTGGGCTCCGTGCTTTTGGATCAGGGGAATGACGGTCTCGACGGCCGGGGCGGGCTTGAGGAAGAAGGCCATAAAGTAGTTGACCACGGTCGGCTTCTCGAAGAGGGGGTCATTGTCGGGGAACTACAGGCGGCACCGTCAGTCTTCTCATGCAGCGCAGCGGTTATTGCACATGGGATGCGAGCTCCTTCACCCACCTTCTCGCCCCATTGTTTGGCTAGCTCGTCGGGCTTTTGGCCCTTGACACGCAGTGCTGGGGCTGCCAGTATGAGGTCGCCCTTGTCGAGACTCGCGGTCCAGGACAGCGCCGAGAAGATGATCTTAGGATCGACCCCCGAGATTCCGGAGAGGATATTGGAGATGTGGGCGCGGTAAAAGTCGAAGGGGTTGAGCTCGGGGTGGCAGTTGGGGTAGGCATCGGCGATGGCGTCGAGGCTCATGCCTTCGACCTTTTGCGCGAGCTGCTCCATCGGGGAGGAGGATATCTGGGTCGCGAATGCACGAGTCTGGAACTTGAAGCCGAGGGTGTTGGTCTGGAGAACGGCGCTGCCGTGTGGGATGACAAAATCGAAAGCGGGAGTGGAGGGGTAGCAGGCGGGGTGGGGAAGGAATCGAGGACGTCGAGCCCGAGAGAATGATTTGGTTGATAAAACAGACGTTCGAAGAGAAGAGAAGAAGCGAGAGTTAAATGCCGGACTAAGCGTCATGGGGAGGCTTGCCTCGACCAATTCCGTCCTTTATTGAGTCACAATTCGTTTCAAGCAGCTCAATGACACCGACCCGTTGGGGACTCCTGCGGCACACGACGGCACTCATCAGGCGGCTTTCATTGTTGACTCAGAAAACGCCCGACCAAAAATTCGAGGGGGCGGGGCAAGGAAGCTCAGGTCCGGCCAATGACGGGGGAGGAAGCGCGGATTCACTCAGGCACCTTGGCGGGGTCCTCGCGAGCCGGATGAGCCCCGCCAGACTCACCAGAGCATGGGCCAAGTGCAGGGATTCACGTTCATTTCAACTTTCGATCGCGCTGGTCACTTTGATCATTCCAACTCTCGACCAAGCTGGATTGAACTATATTTACTAATTACTAAAAGCTGTACTCTTCGGCATACAGATGTATCCCCTGCGCCCCCGTCCCTTTGTGCACCGCTCTCTCGTCCGACAGAGACGCGACGCAATTCCTCACCCTCGCGACCAAAGACGGGCCGCCGCAGACGACCACGCTGGTCTCCCCGCCCGTCTCCTCGACCGGGCCCCGGATGAACGCGTCCACGTCCGGCCGGACCGATGAGTGGAACACGTGCGAATCAGTGCTCGCGTGGCTCGCCCTCTTCTGGACCGTGGGGACGGGCTGCTCGATATCGGCCGGCGACGCAGTGGCCTTCTCGCCCGTCTGCTTCCCCACGTTGCTTCCGGAGGACGAGGCCGACGCGGCATCGACGGTCTTGACATCGGCGCCCGAGTCTCTGGCGAACGGCGAGGGCCCCTGGGTGACGGCGATATGCACGCTGAGCTCGATGCCGACCTCCCTAGCGCGCTCAATCAGCTCGTGGAGGCGAGAGACGTAAAAGTCGATTTCCTCCCCCTGCCTCGCCGCTAGTAAAAAGTCGACCCTCTTGACGCATTTCGTGGCTTTCGACCGCAGCAAACTCTCCAGGATCGGCAGCGTAAAGGAGGCGCCGGTCGACGCCGAGACCAAGATGATGGTCTCGTAGATATCCCACCGGGGCGGCGCACCATACGGCCCCGAGACGAAGACAGTTGAGTGCTCTTTCCGCCCTGCCCTTGTCGCAAAATCATGGAGTCGGCGCGAGAACCCACCGTGCTTTCGCACGACCAGCTGAATGCTGTTGCAGATGCACGTGTCCGGCAGCTGGTGGGCGCACGCAATCGTGTACGGGTGCGCCTCGGCTAGGCCGACGCGAGGGATCCAGAGGTAGAGGTGCTGGCCGGCCCGCCACTTGAAATGGACGTCTTTGATGGTGACCACGGTGATGGAGTCGCCCACCGCCTTCATCTGAGCCTGGTGCCCGATGCGCTGTCCCCCACTACATTTCGACTTGTCCGGGAGCACCTTGACGTTTTGCCAGAGGAGCAGGGCAATGCGACAAACCCTGTCAAAGGAGAGGGCGGCGACGGCAAACCAGACGTTGTACTGCGCGCTCGGCGGGACGTGGACGGAGATCAGCCAGAGGAAGAATATGGCGCTGAGGAGATGCTGCAGCACGAAAATCTCATAGGCCATCCGCCGCAAGGGCGCCAGGCCCGAGACCTGCGTCCAGAGCAGGACGGCCCAGGCCCCGAGTCCGTATTTGATCGACGGCATCATCTTGATCTGGTACTCGACGGCGTCGGCGCGCACCCAGTCGGTGTAGAAATGCCAGCCGTGGACAGAGGCCGTGACGAACATGGTGCGTCCGACCCATCGGTGCAGCCAGTTGAGCCGCTCGTGGCTCGTCCCGATCAGGAAGCCCACGATGCTGCATTTGGACGCAAGGAGGTAGAGCAGCGGCACCTGCGTAATGGTGACCCACGCGTTGCGGTAGCCGATGCGCTCCCAGAAGAAGGCGTCTTTCACGATGACATCCGTGGTCATCATGTAAATGATGAGGATCCAATACACCAGCAGGGCGATGATCCGGCCCAGCGGCGGCGGCGTCAACCATGAGAGCCCGCGGAGGGGAATGTGTAGCTGGGGCGCGCTAGCCTCGCGGACGACGGCGGTCAAGGTGGCCCAGAGCTCCAGGAAGCCGTTGCTCGGCTTGGTGGGTGATTCAATCGAGTTTGACGCCTTTCTCCGCAGCCTGTTCTCTGTCAGCAGAAACCTCAGCGGTGATTCACGACTGGAGGCAGCACTAACCGTTGTTGTGACTTGTAGAAGTTGACGCCTCGAATCAGCATGAAAGCCCCAACGAACCCGGCGACGGTGTACCAGTATCGGCGGGCCAGGTCCGTGTTGAGCGGGGAGAACATGCTCGTCCCATGTACATGCGCCATGTTGCCGGTCTAGTACTGCTGCTGCAGCCTCTCAAGGTGAACCTGAAGGCGTAGCGCTTGGCTGGGATGTCGAATCACGATAGCGCCGCCGAGGGGCCAGTGTCAACTCGGGGGCCGACGCGATCGGCTCCACGTCATCCTCCGGCCGAGACGGGAAGTGCGGTGCTACCGCTACGGGCCGTGGTTTTGGCGGAACAAGGCAACGGCAAATCTCAGGTGCGCTCAATATGCGATCGGATGGATCCAAAGGTGAGTCGGAACTTGCCAGAGTTCGACCCCGTGTGCGGTTTTGAGCTTGGTTGAGAATTGGCAGCAGCAGTCAGCAGTCAAGAAGGTCTAGCCGTGGCGGATAAAGCATCGCGGCATGGGAGACGAGTGATATACAGTGCAATGCAAGCCGACCGGGGCTAAATGGGCCCGCAGGACGGGCAGGAATGGTGACAGCCATCATCCCGTCTGGACAAAACCCATCTTGCTCAGTCGGAATCCACAAGCCAAAGCTGCCGCACAGGTCCTTGGGAGGTTCGATGGTGGCAGCATGCGTCCCAGGGACCCCCAACACACTGCGGCTTCCCACGAGCCGGTTTCGAGCATGTTGGAGGCGAGCGCGGGGTTGTGACTGGCTGGCGGGAACGAAAAGTTGGGTGTGGCGGCGACAATTTGCTCAAACCCGCGCTCGCACAAGAACGATGCTGCATGCGGTTAGCCAGCCGCCCGCAGAATCAGTGGCGCCGTGCGCTGGTTCGGTTCTCATGACGTGTGGTCGCGATTCGATCTGGGTGGTGGCTCATTGACGATTCAGCGGGAGGCTGACGACCTGGGACCTCATTGATCATATATTCGTATTCTCGATGGCTTGAGGGTGAACTTGGCTGTTCGAGCCCGTCTGCAATGCCGTCGCATCACAAAAACACTCGAGCCCTGAATCGCTTGGCAACAAAGCTTGGCGTTGCTTGTCGCGGGAGATGGCGGGGTGGGTGGGGAAGCGTGCTAACCAAACTAGGTGTGGAACCCAGAAAGCTGGAGAGCTGGAGGACCTTGAGGGCACGGCGGGGTTCAAGTTGCAAACTGCATCGCGAGAAATGCCCGAGCGATTCGCCCGACAGCGGGCTCAACTGCACCCGGTCTCCAAGAATCCGCAAGTCTGGGTCGTCGATCCATGTGAAATACTCATACTTGATGCAGGTCCGTTGGGGATAGCCATGCAGGCCAGCCGCATTCGCAAATGCACCAACACCAAATGGAAGTCACTGCAAGTCGGCACGGCACCAAAGAGCCTGGGAAGACCAACCCGCATTGGATCAGAAGCAAGTCATCAACCTGGAACCCGTCCGGAAAAGTTGCTCGCAAACCCCCCTTCCCACCCGAGCTGGCGCTACGTCAATGAACGAATTGGGTTGAGGTAGGGACCCAGGAAAACGGTCGCAGTTAGCTTACCTCTAGGTATAAAGCCATTGACCCCAGCATCGCGCTCGCCAGACACGGCCCTCGTTGCTCCCCCCGTTGCTCCTTCGCTTCACCGTCCCATCCTTCCCGTCTTGTTTCTCTTTCCTCGCCCTCGTCTGAACATCCCAAACGCTCTGTTGCCAGGTAGAACACTCGAAGATACGTAGTCCCAATCGCCCACTCTCATCCATCCCACCCGACCGCAACCATGGCGCCCTTGCGGTCTTTGTTCACCGCCGCCGTGCTCTTCCTCTCGGCCGCGAATGCTCACTTCGAGCTCCTCCAGCCGCCCTCGCTCGAGGGCGACCAGATGAACGAGGACCTCGAACCCAACGCGCCCTGTGGTGGTGGCGTCGCCGACCTCAGCACAAACGAGGTCGTCGATTTCCACGTCGATGGCGATGCCGTGGGCTGGTTCCTGGGCCACCCCCAGGCCAATTGGCTCATTCGCGGCACCCTCGACTCCAAAGCCGCCGGCAACTGGACCGAGATGTACCCCGTCATCCAGCAGGACGGCCGCGGCGAGTTCTGCCAGCCTGCCGTCAAGGCCCCGACGGCGTGGGCCGGCAAGAAGGGCATCATCAGCATTGCTTGCGCTGCCCCAGACGGCCTTCTCTTCCAGGTCGGTCCTCATCTCATCACCGCCCACCCGTTCATCTTCCTTGCTGACCATCGCAGTGCGCCGCCGTAAACTTTGTCTCGGGCGCCAACGCCTCCCCCAGCGATTGCAACAATGGGTCCGTGACCGCCACCTTCACCGACGACCCGAACCTCTCCGCCCTGCTAGACGCCTCAACCACGACCAGCCCGAGCCCTTCCGAGACCACCTCGGGGAGCGCGGCCCCTTCCCTGGTCGCGCGGGGCAGCGGTCTGCCAATTGGCAGTCTTGCTGTCACCGCAGTGATGCTTCTGATAGGAGCGGCTCTTCTGTGAGCACCTTGGGAACGTGTGGTTTGTTAGTTGATAAGCTGGACCGGCTGCGTTGAGTGAAGTCATGACTTGGGGGGAGTGTCTTGAGCGGAAAGTAGGGGATCTGATATGCCCTAAACCCATGCCTTCAGCGCGGTAACCCAGCCAGGTCGTGTAAAATAACAAGCTTTTCTTTTTTGGACATCCCGCCGATATTGTAGCGAAAAGTAACCCCGTGTACGAAGACGTGAACCCCCCACCACTTGCACACATGCCATTAGCCGTTGTCTCATCCCTCGGTGTCTACCTAACCAGCTTGACTCAACAACACAGAGGGGAGACCACCGAGTGTACATATATAAAATACCCTGTGCATCCTTCCAGTTCCTTAACCCTTCCCCATGGTCAAATAACAAACCACAATGGGCTCAACCACCATCCTCCGCGGCTTCAAAGTCTCTCCCGCCGTCCTCGACGCCTTCCTCGCCGCCAACGGGGTTGACGAAACATACGGCACGCCACCCTTCTATTAACGCCACCCGGACAAGGACGCCATCTCGGCGCATGGGACTGTACGCAGTCTACACGTACGATATCAGGGGCCTGTACACTCCCCAGGAGTTGCTCGACCGCGCCAAGGTCCGTCCCACATCCACTTTGCCGTCTGCTCTCCTGGTCTCCCTGTTGGACGGGAGTACTGCATGTGCGTTTGCTAAACCCACCACGTTGAGCGTAGTCTCTCCAGCACTGTGACCGGTGTGATGCCGTGTTCTTTGATGGTCCGTATCCGCACCTGGCCTTCTTCAAGAGGCAGTTACATCGCCGGGACGCTGATGGGTGTAAGGAAGGCACCAGTCCACTCCCGAACGCATGAAAGGGGTTGACCAGTGGCCTGTATATGTATCTCGCTGTGAGTGACTGGTGTCATTTGTTGCACAAGCGAAGGAAATAAAAAAAGAAAAAGAAAAACAAATTTAACCAGACGGCTTCCAAGTCAGTACCGACATCAGTGATTGGAAGGCGAAGAGACTTGATCAAGTCAAGTTGTTGCAAATCGATTGATAAACTTTGATTGATGCATTATCATTGCTCAGCAACTAGTCATGGTCTAGACTAGTTGATACTGTTCATTAACTTTGCAAGTAGTACATAGGTCGGGCTATTGTAGCGACCAAGTCGGCGCAGTCATATTACATGCAGTGTAAGGTACTAAATCATAACCCCGAAGAGCGCAAAACAATACAAATTGTAGAATCAAGACTTGGTACTAGGTATTACCACCCATGCTAAACCCTCCTCTATAGAATCGTCTATATCTAATCACGACCAAATGAACAACCCAATCCTTCCCAATCACTCGGTCTCCTCAAACTCGGTAATCTCAAACGCCTTCGGCCCCGCGTAGGCGACGTCGTTGTCGAACGGGTTCGCCTCGTCGTTGAGGCGGACCGAGATGTCCTCGGGCGGGATGTCGCGCAGGCCCTTGACGCCGTTGACGGTCACGTTGAGGGAGGCGCCGCTGCCCTCGGCGTGGGACTGGAAGAAGGTCCAGGTGACGGCGCTGTCGTCGCACTTGCCCGCGCCCTCGTACACGTTGGCCAGCCACGTCGCGCCCGAGAAGCCGGCGTCCAGGGAGGCCGTGCAGTGCGCGGCGCCCTCCAGGCCCGGTGCCGAGACGTCGAAGGCGAAGCTGGAAGAGGTGAGGGTTTAGCAACTACATGTACTACAGTACTCGCAAGGACGGCCCGGGGAAGGCAGGTTCAGAGGGAGGACTCACTCGCAGTACCCGCTGTTGTGCCGCTTGCTCGCGGAGAACTCTGCGATCTGGTAGGGTCCGACGGACTGCCGGGTTTGCTGCTGCACGGGGCTGGCGGCGGCCAGGCCGGCGAGGAAGAGGACAGCCGAGGAGAAGGTCTTCATGTTGGCGGTGTTTTGTTGAGTTTGGGTTGGTTTGGCTTTGGCTTTGGTTGGAAGTGCGTTGTTGAACTTGTTGGCGACAAACATGACTTTCTCAACCTGCCGTGTCTTCTTGGTCATTTATACTTTTGACGATTACCCACGGCCCCGGAGGCGATGCCAGCAACCCGGAACAGGATTGTGTCAGATGGCTTGGCGGTCCTCGTATTCCCGACGAATGCAGGATCGACAATGCCTAAAATAACCCACTCGGTGCTGTGGGCGATGCTTAACGGCCAGACGGCGTGACATTGTACCGTGTGACTGGAAAGACCGGACGGGCCGCCTGAACTTGGACGCCCGGTTCCAGCAGTGATCCGCTGAAATACCTCGTGTTTTGTGACGTCGACATCCCACGTAGCATTGCCGTTGGCCAACCAAAGATCCTTTCACTGTGCCTGACAGCCAAACAGAAAGCGGGAATCATCAGCGCTGAATCCTGACGTGGCTGTACATTCAATGTTGGGTAAGCTGATATAAGAGATTGTCCTCAGTGCGTATGCCGTTGAAATTTAAGGAGACACGGTGAGAAGAACAGTACGGATTTTTACAAGTCATAAATAAAATCGTGGGAAGAGGTCGGTGGCGAGCCGTGTCCTCGTGTAGAGTTGGTTCTGAGGCTGGGGATGTGTAATGGTTTGCCATTTTATTGCCTTCTCTGGAAGGAGGGAAAAGGATACTCGTCTGAGTCTGGCAATGCGATGTCAGGTTGACCGTGATTCACCTCGAGGGAGTTTACTATGGTATGACAGGTTGATGAGATGCGGGTCTGGAGTTCTGGTAGATTGCTGCTTGGTCCTTCATATCATATGGACGGACATTGAGATTGATTGGTTCCTTCGAATGCCTTGGGAAAAAAGACGGAACGTTGCATCTGCCTATCGAAGTATCTTGTTCTCCAGGGGCGCCCAAGTTTGAAAACAACCCTGCAGCTGCAAACATCGGGACTGAGTCCGAACACAAGGGTTTCCGACATGGGTCGTATTTCGTACAAATCTGTCAGACATAGCCGAAGGGTCTCTAACCTTTGTGTGAGGTCTCAGCTGTCTTGGTGTACCACGAACCACTCAAGACTCTGACCGTGTGATGTTTCCCACTGAGCATCACTGACAGACTGCGAGGTTGGGGCTGGTGTGACGCCTTCGACGTAGGAGCAGGATTGTTTACGGGCTGATGATGGTGAGTAGGTATTTAACTATGTTGGTTAATTGTCAAATAGTGACTGGGACAAGGCGCTCTAGGTTCAATGGATTTGTAAATGAATCTTATGCGGTTCACGTTTGATGTACAACAGACAGGCTGGCTTGAAGCGTAATGGTACCAAAAGCCTGGACCTGCAACCGGTATCGCATCGAAGCAGAGCTCTCGTCACATGATGTGGAATGGGTAATGGGAACAATCAGAGGAATGGGACAGAGTGAGGCACGGGGCATGTCACGATGTTTGCGATCAGGGAGTCACAGAAGTTGGGAGTCACGACGGGAGGAAACTTTTAGGTGAAGGATTTCATTGGGCACCTAGGATGTTGCAAACTCGCGAGCGGCCTGACATTATACATTAACTAGGTACAGTAGAATGATACACCCCTTTTTCTGTTGTCCCGCGCAGGTCCCCCGGACGCTACGCCTCCATTTTCTCAAATCAACCAGAAGCTTAGAGGCCGAGGAGGGAGAGGACGGGAGCGAGGAGACTGGTGAGGCCGTCGCAGGTGTTGGTGATCTTGCCAGCGCAGTCGGAGATCTCGCCAAGGATGACCTTGAGGTCGACGATGACGGTGAGCTTGGCAACGAGAGCGAGGGCGAAGTCGACAACGGGGGTGGCGATGGAGACGATCAGGCCGAGGCAGAGGTTGAGCTTGGCGCCGATGACGAGGAGGATGTCTGGTTCTGTTAGTGGGTGTTCAGATGACTCGGTTGAAAGAATGGGACTCACCAGCATCGAGGACGACGAGGGCCTTGAGGCAAACCTCAACCTCGGCGATCAGGGCCTGGACGCGGACAACCAGGTCAAGGACGACCTCGAGGTCGGCGGCGACGACGACATCGGCGTCGATGACCAGGCCATCGAGGGTGGGGACGCAGTCCTGGAGTTCCTGGAGGTTGAGCTCGAGGTCGACGATAACCTTGAGGAGGGCCTGGGCGTCGATCTTGGCGTCGGCAACGATGGAGGCTAGGAGTCATGGTTAGCAGGAGCTTTCATGGAATCGCGGTCAAAGCTTACCAATCAGGTCGAGGTTGGCGTGGACCTTGGCCTCGACGTCGATGACAGCGGTGACAAGGGTCTCGACGACAACGACGACATCACCGGCACCGGCGCTGACCTCATCGCCACCGGCGTTGGACTCATCGTCACCGGTCGAAGGGTGGTTCTTGATGGGGGTCTTGATGCCGTTCGCGTTGCACGCGCCGGGCAGGTCGACGGGGGGGACCTCGACGCCAGACTTGTCGTTGCCGCTGCACGGGCAGGGAGTCGGGACGGTGCGGGCCTCGAGGACGGGGACGGCCATGGCAGAGCCAACGGCGAAGGCGGCGAGAGCGGTGCTGAAGAACTTCATTTTGATGGTTGGAGAATAAAAAGGTAGTCTTAAAAGAGTGACTGTGGTCTGGTAATTAAGTAGTAAGAGGTAGGTGTAAATGAAGGACTGACTGAGCTGATGATGAGCGTGGTGGTGAGAAGATTGTCCAAACGACGGGAGACGACGCAGTATTAATACCCGTCGACGACTGACCTCCTCCGGCTGTCAATGTCCTCGCCCTGACACTGCTGCATGGTGATGGCCGCCCACCCATCTCCGCCTGGCCGGGGCCGGCATGCATTGCCGGGGAGTTTTCCTGGCCTCCAGGCATATTCAATATTGCCCCTCCAACTTGGCCGGGGGTATTCTCTCCGCTCTGAGCATGGTGTTGCACGCAGATCCCAATAGCTTGCACCGGGCTCCACGTACCCGGGTGATCGCCAGCCCTATGACTCGAAGCGGTAACCTGGTTGCACCGCCGTTGGGCGAGCTGGGCATGCTGGGCGTGCTGTGCGTTGGACATGGTCTGTGGCGTTTTCCCTGCGTTGGCAAAGGCGACGCCGTGCGTTTGATAGCGCTCGACTAACTAAGAGCCAGCTTTCTTTTTTTTTTCCCTTCCTTTTCTGCACTTTCCCAGCCTGGCCCCTCTGGATCCCGCCTCGCCGGCAAGAGAGAGCTTGTTGTGCATCAAGGACAGTGTGACAGTGTATCTGAGCAGTCAAATGTGCCCAGGTGCCAAGGGGGGTGGTTAGCGCCGATCATTCTTAAGCTTCGGCAGTCTTGTGCCTGGAACCCTGCGCAGTGGAGGCCTGATATGGCAACTTCCGCTGTCATTCACCCCTGGTTCAAGGTTATGTCGTTGGTTATGAAACCAGCCGGGTTCGCAGCTGGGCCTCAACACCAACCGTTGTGCTCGTGCGACGCAAACAGGCACGGGTTGGGAAAGGTTTTCCCATGGGTCTCCATCACGATCGGCGGTCCAACGCAGGAACCAGATGCAAGCCACCACGCAACGGTTCGGATTGGGGGAGCACAACTGCGGGCCACAAATGGGTGCCCTTCCTTGCGTGCGGCTGAAGGACGGTGCCAAACAAAAAGCAAACGCGTTGTCTTGGAATTCCTTCGTTGTGCTCTGCCAACGTCTGTGTCTTAGACACTCGACGTTGTGGTCTGGACTTGGGTCGAAAAGCAATGTCTCACCGCTTGGAATAATCGATACAAGCGATAAGAAGGAAGGGGGCCATCATTTGCCCCTTTCCCCACAAACCACACCGTCGAGCTGCGATCGCTGTTGACAGCGGCTTTTGCTCCTGGATCCCCCACACCTTGCTTGTCGCGTGCCGCAGGGTTTCCCTGTTTTTGCGAGTCACCACCGTCCAGTTCAGGTGACAGTGACCAGGGAGTGCAGGGTTGCCAGAAATGGAAACCCAAGGCTCTGGGTTTGGGACCCAACCACTGTCGATCCCCTCTCGCCGGCGGATGTCGGGGGTTTCGGGTCTGTCATTTGTGCATGCCGACCCCTATCCGGCGCTGCGATAATATCCAACCTCATTTCACGTGGCCCTCAACCCCCCGAGCGAGGCGAGTCGCCGCTCATCCGGCTGCAAGCTGGGAAATGGGCATGCCCCCCTGAAGAACCGAGATCACCCGTCAAACATGTCAAAAGGAGTCACCGCCAAAACACGCCAAGTGCTCGTATCACGCTCTATTGCCATCTACGCTCTGGTCCACTCCACAAATAAACCTGCGTTCCCTGGCAACGTGCCATCAGCCGCCTCAACGCCTCAACATTCCACCTCGCTAACTAGTGAGTTAGCACCCTTCATCCTGCCTCCTCACCTTGCCCAAAGGGTCAGGCAGGTACTGGATCCTGAAGTCGACCGTCTCGGCGGCGTCGTACTCGGTGGCCACGTCGCGGTCGCCAAAGATGCGCAGGGCCTTGACGGCGAACCGGTACCGCCCCGCGGGCGCGTAGGTGCCGTCGTCGAGCTTGCCGTCCCACCGGTACTCGAACCGGCCGCGCGGGTTCCACAGCGCGGGCAGGCCCTCGGGCTGGCCGATGGTCTTGGTTCCGAAGACGGTGCCGGCCACGCGCGCCGCCGCCGTGCAGTTGCTGAGGGGGACGACGTCGGCGCGCAGGACCGCGGAGCCCATGGCCAGCATGACGACCAGCTTGGGCAGCTCGGTGCGGTTGCCGTAGGACGGGTCGTTGGAGAAGCCCCGGGGCGGGAGCACGAATGTGGAGTTGGCGGGCACGGGCGAGTTGCTCTGGTCGCGGGAGGCGCTGACGCGGGCGCCTTGGGGGTCGAGGACCACGGCCGAGTGCATGCTGCCCGCCACGCCGAGGTAGGGGAGCGAGAGCGCCGAGCTGTCGGATCCGTTGATGGCAATGTAGCCCGAGTAGACCGGTAGCCGCTTCACGTTCACGCCCTTGGGAGCGGTCGCCGTCACGGTGATGATCTTGCGCTGGCCGGCGGGGATGGTGAAGTTGTTGGGGCTGAACGCGAGGGACGCAAAGTCGGCCGTCAGCTCGTTCGGGAATGCCGAGGGGCTGATGGAGGTCTCGTCGCTGAAGGTGTAGGCCGTGGCCGCGCCGATGTTGCTCAGCGAGTAGGTCACCGCCTTTTCGCCCGTGTTGGAGATGCTAAAGTTCTGCACGGGGCTGAAGTTGTCCGTGTCGTTGAACGAGAGGCTCGACACGCTGAGGAGGGTCGTCGCGTGGGCGGCGTCCCAGGCCTGGAGCAGGCCGGCTCCCTGTTGCGCCACGGGGGCGAGCACTGGCAGAGACCTACCTTGCAGCCGGAATACGTTGGGGCGTGCGGTGGCGGACAAGAGATTCTCGAGCGTCTTGGGGTCCTTGGTGCCGCGGCTGTTGATGAGCAGCGCGTAGACGGCCGCGGCCATGGGGCACGCCATCGAGGTCCCGGAGAGCACGCCGTACGAACCGAGAGCCCGGGGGTAGGTCGACAAGATCAGGCCGCCGGGGGCCGAGAACTGGGGCTTCACCTCGAGTTCGTACGTGGGGCCCCAGCTGGTGAAGTCGCTCAGGAACCCTCCCGTCAGGGCGTTCTCGGAGTAGCTGAGGAACGAGCCGGCCTTGAGGGGATCCGTGATGTGCACCACCACCTCCGATCCGGCCTCGAGGGCGCGGACCCAGGTCTCGCCTTGCTGGGGTGTGACCATGGCGACGCCGGTGATGCCCTCCACGCTTGCCGCCACGCTGACGGTCCCGTCCACGTTGTTGTAGAAGATGACGTACTTGGCTCCCTTTTCCGCGGCATAGGCTGCCTTGTCCACAAACGCGCACGTGCCGCGGCGGACGAGCACAATGTAGCCAGAAAGATCGGGGGTCGACTCGGGGTAGGGCTCGCACCCGTTGGCCGGGTCGCTCGTGTCGAAGCCGACGGACCACAGAGGGAGGCGGACATCATCCCAGACGCCCGGCTCACCAGCGGTGTACCCGAAGAAATCCGATGTCCCGTTGATCGCGAAGGAGGCGTTGCTGAGCAGCGCAGGCGTGGCCGTGTTGTCGACAGACGCGATGGCGGTGACCTTCTTGCCGTTGGCAGCGGTGGACGCGTAAAAGATGCCCGCCGCGCCGTCGTTGCCGGCCGAGACCACGCAGGGCACGCCGTTCTCGACGATGCGGGAGACGACCGCAGCCCACGGGTCCTCGCTCCAGCCAGACGCGCCGCCGATCGAAGCCGTGATGATGTCGCTGCCGTCCTCGTAAGCCATGTTGTAGGCGGCGATCAGGATGTCGTTGCCGACGTCGCCGGTGCAGCCGAAGACGCGGTAGGACCCAAGCGTGACGTCCTGGGCGGCTCCGATAATGCCGTACGGGTTGTCTGCCTGGGCCGCAATGATGCCGGCGACGTGGGTGCCGTGGCCATTGCAGTTATCGAGCGGGTCCGCGTCCGGGGTCGGCGTGTTGCCGCCGTTGAAGTCGTCGCCAACCAAGTCAGTGCCGTACGAGACCAGGCAGCCCTCGCCGAAGCAGCCACCGAGGGCAGGGTGGAGGTAGTCGGTCTGTTCCGTCAGTGACACGTCCGGCACGCGCTGGAATGCGCCACCCCGCCTGACTTACACCCGTATCAATAATGCCAATTTTGACGCCCTTGCCGGTGACACCACTGTCCCTGAACTTGTTCACCTGTGTCATCAGGTGGGTGGTGAACGTGTCGTTACCCTCCTCCTGCCGCTTGGCCAGAACGGCCTCGACGGCATCGCTGCCTGTGGAATGAACGACGTGGTGCGGTACGGGATAACGCCGGACCGGGTAGACGCCCTTGATCTTTGGCATGGTGGCCACCTTGGCGATCATCCTGTCCGCATTTTTGGTGTCCTTGAACTGGATAGACGCGCCCTTGAACAGCTTGAAGCGGAGGTCCTTGCGGAGCGACGCTTTGCCTCCTAGGTTGCTAACGAACGCATTGGAGTCCTGGTAGGTCAGCACGCCGCGCCGAGCGACCTAGGCATAGAGGGGCAGCTACCCACCTGATCCTCTTCGTACTCGACGATGTAGGCACCTGGGACGATGGAAGGCGTGCTCGGAGTCACGGCCCGGGCAACGGCCGTGACGGCCAGAAGCACGGTGGCCAAGTCGAGGCGGACCATGGTGCTTGCCGCGTGGGACTCGGATTCGGTGGGGACCGTACGGGGAGGGGAGCGGAACCTCAAGTGAGTGACGAGGACCTACGCAGTTGGTGAGTGAAAAGAAAGGCACTCGACACTAACTACGGTCCATAACTCGGCCAAGAGGCATCGCGAGGCCGATCTGGCGCCATGATGGCACTTATATGTAGCCCCGTTTGCTCGCGGGAGCGGGAGGGTTCAGGGGGTTGTCTCGCTTCCCCACGCGTCAGCCAGCCCGTCAGGGCGAGGTTGCGGCCGAATTTACCCAAATTCTTATCACCGGCGCAATTGGGGTTCGCCATTGGGCAAAGTTGAGCAGATTGTCCCACAGCGGCCTTGCTCGAGAAGGCAGGTCGGCCATGTCGCAACCGTGGAATGCGACCTCGTCGGGCATGAGATCTCTCGCCAAGCGGTCTTTAATTTGTGTAGCCGTGGCCCACGGTACTTGTCCTTGAACCACAGCCGCGAGAGAAGTGCGGTACCACGGCATCGCACGGGTGCTGATGCGCGGAGCGGGCGGGCTGACCCCCCTGCGCCTGGATGATCCGAATTAGGCTGAGCTTGGCAGGTCAGCTCCCTTCGGGGATGGTGCCCTTGGACGCTCGTTAACTTTGGGCTCCCAAGAGCGGAAGAAGCTGGGTCCGAATAGTTATTGTGAGAGAGCTCTTCCTCCAGTCTTCTCTTTCCGATCTCGGCTTCTGCTCGTGGTCCTTGGAAACGGTGTGAGGACTCTGTTCGGTAATCCGTGAAACTACCGCGAACCCCTGTCGTTCAAGAGCCGACGGCGCGTCTCCAGCCAAGCGAGCCTGGCCGGGGTGAATGCCGACGATCCATGGCGTCAGCGACGGGTTGAACACTCCGTGTGAGTGTCCTCTCTCGCAGCTGTGCGGTCTCGGAAGGAGACACGGAGACAAGGCAGCCCGCATCTCGTCGTGTGTTTCTGGTGCCTTGCAGGATGCCACGAGACTCATCGACGCGTTCCTGCAGGGAGATGTCACCTTCCTGGCGGAGGCTCCCCGCACCGCCCCTCCCCTTGGATGATCGCCAGGGCCGATGGGGCCGCCTCCAGGGCTCACCCCGGGCTTTTAAAGCCAAACCATCGTTGTGGTCGTGCGACATGCTGAGGAAGGGTCGTGGAGCGAGGCACGTGCAAGGTTTGATCTGGTGCGAAGCGGTTGGGCAACACCAACTGTGTAGGTAGTTATCGAGTTAGTTAACCATCTATCCGGGAAGCGCATGTTTTCTGCTGTGCAACACTCCATCCGGAACGCCACGCATCACAAACTATTGTGTACCGTAGAGAAGCCAGAAAGAAGCTTGGGTCGAGAGATCGGCTCGGCAGCGGATGCCGTGTTCCTGATGAGCCGGCCGCAAAAATGCCGACACCAAACTTTATGGTCATTTCCAGGCTGCAGCGCCTAAATGGTGGCTCTGCTGTTGCTGCTGCCCGCCGATGCAGCAGAGCACATAAAATCCTTCCGGACGCGGCTCTCCGCGTGTTGCAGCTGCATCGGGGAGATTTCTCGTCTCGCAAACATTCCACGTAGGGTCCTTTGCAAGTCGCCAGCCGTCTTGGGTTCCACGAGAGAAACCCCGGGCGCAACTACATAGAGGCGGCCCAACTTAAACGACGGGTCTGGACTCTCTCCCGAAAGCCCATCGCCCGGAAAGGTATCTGAGGAAACTCACGCGCCATGGAACCACGCGGGCGTTTGGGGGAACACGAGTGGCCTGTTCGAATGTTTGCGATTTACTTGGTAGGAAATACTCCATGATACCCACCCGCGAGGCTGGATCGCAACCCCCCCTCCTCGGACGTCAACTACCCTGAGCGAGCTGTTGCTGCGAGTTTTCTCGATGCGAATTTCGGAGTCCAGATTTGGCGTTTCACTGTTGCAGCTTGTTTGGCGGGCTCGCGGCTTTGGGACGATGGCATGGGCCAAGAGATTCTCGAGATGCGATGTGGATTTCCCCCACAAAGTGGCGCTACTGAGCCAATCACCTGCTGCCTGATTGTCAACCCGGCCCACGGCTTCCAACTTTTTGTGCTGGGCTCGGATTGATGGAGAGTCCGGACCGCCTTAACGGTTGAGCATCGCGAAAGCCGACCTACCGAGATCACGACCTTTTTCGTCCTGTAAGAACTTGCTTTCCGACGCCGTCCGTCGTACCCGCATCAATCGCAGCTGGGCACTGACGTACAGCTCTGACAGATCCGTGAATTGCATCTAATTACCCGACCATGGTCTGCCGAGCCTGTCTGCGAGCCCGGGGTGCCGGGAGTGTCTTCCCCTCCGAAGCTCTTCTCGCGCCAGGGTTAATACGGACGGCGCAAAGACGGTCGCTCTCAACGGCCGCCCCGGGTCTGCAGTTGGCAACCGTGGCCCCTCGCGTCTCTCGGGCTCAGCTTCACCAACAGCGGCCCCAACGCCAGCTCTTCTCCACGTCCGCCCCCACTGCTTCCGCCGCGACGGAACCACAAGAACCTGCGGCCGCTTCTCCTGCCGCCCCAGAAAAGCCGACATATCTCTCCGAAGGCGAATCCCAGATCTGGGACATACTGCTGGCTGAGTTTGCGCCCACGCAGCTCGTGGTACAAGACATCTCCGGAGGCTGCGGGTCCATGTATGGCATCGAGGTCAGCTCGGAGAAGTTTCGCGGCTTGAACATGCTCAAGCAGCAGCGCCTCGTCAATGCGGCGCTGGGGGACCTGATGAAGGAGTGGCATGGTGTTCAGCTGAAGACGAGGGTGCCGTAAGAGAGAGACAACTTCATGCCCCCAGGTTTCTTCAACATCGGGAAGGCGTATGGCGTTGATAGAAGGACCATAATCTGTTCACCGTGAACAGTCGGAATTGGTGATGTTTGTTTTATCACTGGGAGCGATTCTCGCAAGGAGACGACACACGACACGCTCCTCGAACTTCAGTCTCAACTCCAGGTTACTCCACTCCGATCAACATACACAGTATTTGGCGGTTCCGTCGCCCTCTTTCGCCGTGCTTGGGAACCTCATAGGCATGCTCCCCGTGCGTCGCAGCATGTTTGTTAGCCTGTGTGACGCCACCGCGAGCTTTGTCCTTTTATTTCACCGTAGCCAGCCTGTATCAACCCCTTATCATTCCGTGGTCGTGAGTGCTGCCAGGAGCCGAATACACCACTCGCATCAGCCGATGTGGCGGGCGCGGTTCCTGTTCCTTGGCGCATGGATATTCGTTTCGGATCGCTGGAACCATCACGCAGCTTGTGGCCGTGGCTTAATCGGCCCTGTGCGACCGCCCACGCCATGCTCACATGGCGGCTTGTCGTTCAATTCCCAAGTCACCGGTTTCCCCGGCGTTCCATGAGAAATGCTGCCAGGTTAAACTCTCTAGACGCGGCAGGCACCCGGCCACCACAACGGCTTCTCTCTCCTTGATCGATGGCCTGGACGATGTCACTTGCACAGTCAATTTTCTTTGCATGGGGGTCTCAGTGTCCTTGGAGACAGGAGTTGGGCGAACGTTATCCTAACGGGTGTCCGTCTTCCCGGGCATCCCCCGGCGACAAAAAGCCCGGAACTTTCGACCTGATTCGCGGCGCCCGGGCACGGCGCTTCGTGGACAAAAAAAGCCGAACTCCAAGCGCATATGTCGATAATGGAAACCCCGAGTCCCCGACTGTAGGAACACAACGAAAGCTATTCTGAAGCCCAGAGAACCTTTATTTGCCCCATTTACTTTTTCTTTTACCATTGTTCTGTTATTCGATTTATTCTTCTCACTTACCTTTATTTTGAGTTCGGCTTTTTTTGGCCAGAGGGTGCACGGGGAGTCGTTCCGAACCAAGGACAAGGATTGCGATCTGAGCTTTTGACCAGTCACCACCAATCCAAGCCGGGGAAGCGGGGGTGAATGTCACCACCCAGGCTGAAGGTGTGGCAACCGGTCGGAACTGGACATGGTCTCACATCTTGACGTTGCCCCGGTCGCGTCCTCGGATCCTCTGACTTACAGCGAACAAGAGACCCTCTCACCGTAGCCTCTTTACCAGCAACATCGAATTAACTAGGTACTGCCCAAACCACCAACTGCTACCCACACCCAATCGGTCACCGCCCTCCGGCAAGCTGCAACCCTCCACCATGGCCCCGCGCAGCAACCCCGCCGTCGCCTCCCCCACAGGGTGGTCGCACACGCCGTCGACGGCGACGCTCCTCTGGATGGGCGTCTCGCTGCCGCTGGTCGCGTGGGACACGGCCTACATGCTGCTGCGGCCGCACACGATGCCCGGCGGGTGGCTGCACGAGCCGCTGTGGGTGCCGTACGCGCTCTACGGCGAGGTCGACCACATGTACGGCTTCAAGCAGTGGAACCTCGGCAACCCCTTCGCCGCCACCCAGAGCCTGATGAACCTCGCCGAGACCCTGCTGTACCTGGCCTACCTGGCGCTGTGGTATGCCTACGGCAGCACGCCGGCCTCCGGGGCGAGGCGCGCGGTGGGTGGGCGCGTCGGGGCGCTGGCGGTGTTGTTGGGTTTTAGCGCTGCCGTTATGACGGTTAGCAAGACGGTGTTGTACTGTGAGTTTGTTTCCTCCTGTCTGGCCTTTGTGTGTTTGTTGGTATGTGGCAGGGCTCAGCTGACTCGGGTTGGCTACTCACGTAGGGCTGCTTGAGTATTGCTCTGGGTTCGACAACATCGGCCAGAACGACGCCTCAACCCTCTTCTTTCTGTGGATTATCCCAAAGTAAGTCCCGACCTTTTGTAGGCGCCGCAAAGTAGGCTCGCAGGCTAAGATGTGTATAGTGGTGCATGGATCGTTGCGCCTCTGGTTTTCATGATCTTCGGCATGGGTGAAGAAATCATCACGGGGTTGACGCAAGAAACAAACTCGGCAAAAAAGCAGAATTGAAGACATGTATTGCCTTGGGTAAGGTACATACCTAGGTAGTTGTGCACGGCAGTGACGGCACGAAGTCCCTCGGGTCCCCGAGTAGGTACCTAGGCATTCTATCTGTACGGTTCTCCCCCTTCCCCAACTTGTCATTGGGATTGTCAATGTGCATCTGACGACAACTTCACAGTCAATTAGATCGAACAATTTTGCACGAAAAAAACAACCGTACCCAGTATCAATTTAATCAGTTCCCATCCCAACCGCCACCCTGTTCCCTTAATCTTGAACCCCGTCTTGGGCTCCATTTGCGCCAGGTCTTTTCTCCAAGTCCTCACCGCACTCCCCGGCGTCTTCCTCCTCCTCCTCTTCTTCCTCCTCCTCCTCTTCTTCCTCCTCTTCTTCGTTGGGCAGCATGTCAATCACCACCTCTATGGGTGCTTGCATCTCAGGAACGCCCCAATCGCCGGCTGGCTTCATGAAATCACCCCAGGCGCGAAGAGACGGGGTCACGACGAGGTCCACTGGGTAGCCTTCTTGGTAGCGCGGATCCCAGTTGACAAAGTGTGGCTTGACTTCCTTCCGCCTTTTGTAAAGGAAGCCGTGTGCTCGGCCTGTCTCCGGGTCCGTGAAGCTAAATTCCCAGTTTCCTTGGCCGCAATGTATATACCTGCCGCCCTGTTAACCACGAACGCTCCCCGCAGAGGCCGGGAAGACAACATACCAGTCCAGACGGATTGCTTCCTCGGCAAGCTCGTTGACGTCCCTGTCTAGAGTCTTCCATCGGACTCCATTCTTGACCGGCCGGAGCCAGCGGCCCAGCTTCTGGCGGAGAAGCCCAGTCACGGATTCGAGGTTATAGCGACACCTTCTGCCGCCGCGGGCCGACCTCAGAAGCTCCACTGTCAAAGTGCGCCAGAGCAAGTGCCGGTTCTTGAGACGGTCCGCCACCACCGTTCGCCAAAGGGGATTGACATGGGGGGCCTCCCGTTGGTCCGCTCTCAGGGCGTCGGGCGTCAGGTCGGTGAGAGCTGAGCAAATGCCATCCATGCGTTAAGAACAGCCGTGGCGGCAAGCGGGGGATGGCGGGGTGGGGGGGGGGGGGGTTGTACTCACACTGTATCACGCGTAGGAGCTCCCGATACGACTTCCAGTGTGGTTGGTCGCCTGGTCCATCGACGATGTCGTCAACGACGATCCGCCACAGCCACCCCTGAAAGATAACTGGAGCAGGTTCGTTCGTCAGCCGCCGCCTCCGAAAGAACAATTCCGGGAATTTGACCTACTTTCTGCCCCCCCTGAAGTCTCCAGGTACCCCTTGGCCTTTGGCGCCCAGGCCTTGAGCATGTCTTGAGTTTCGACGTCGAGCGTCACCCATTCTACAGCCTCGGCCATGGACTTGGCAAGGGCGAGAATGCGGTTACGCAACTTGTCGAAGCACGTGCCGACAGCATCATGGTTCCAAGGGTTGCTAAAGCCGGTGAGTACGCCATCGTTCCATGAGTTGAGGCCAATCCGGGCCGTTTTTTTGTCCTGCTCCTTGTTAAGGCGGAGGACGGGTCCTTTGCCCCCACAGAACTCATTGTATTCCTGTTTATCCAGGAGGATTGGGCCGTTGTCGTTGTCGTTGTCGTTGGCCTCGCTGGGTACGGCGGCGTCAGGTGGTGCAGCGGCATCAGGTCGGGAAGAGGGTCTCTCCGTGATCATGTCCTCATCGTTGTCGGCCGTGCCGGGCACAGCGGTATTAGGCGGCGCAGCAGTATCAAGTGTGGCAGCAGCATCAGGCGGTACGGCGGCATCAGGGTGGGAAGAGGATCCCTCCGTGATGATGTCCTCGTTGCTATCGGCTGTGCCGGGTACAGCGGCATCAGGTAGTACGGCGGCATCAGATAGGGGAGAGGAACGTTCCGTTACAACGTCCTCGTTGATATCGACTGTACCGGGCGCAGCGGCGTCGAGTGGTGGGGCGGCATTGGGTTGGGAAGAGGATCCCTCTGTGATCATGACTTCGACGCTGTCGGCCGTGCCGGGTCTGGCATCTGGTAGGGGAGTATTCGGTGGGCCGGGTATTGCTGCCGGGTGCTGTGTCTTCTTTTTCGAGGATGACGCCTTGCGCTTGGCCGACGGAGCCTGGCGGCCACGACTCCCCCGTTTCCTAGAGCCTTTGGGCTTCCTGGCCATTGCCGGTGTGTTTGGGGACGCGGCAGCGAGACTCGGGCCTGGGGTTCTCGTGGCGTTGTAGTTCCAAGGCAACAATGGTTGCGGCATGGTCATGCAGCGACACAGACGGATAATAACAGGCTAACATGGGAGCCACGACAAACAAAGGGGTCCCCCGCCTCCAAAGGAGCGGCTGGAATCTGAGCCATGCTAGCCAATGGGAGGAGTTCTTTTTCACTCAAAGCAAACGAAAGTGACCAACACAGCTCTAGCGACTTCTATTATTTACTTTGAACGCTTTCCCCGCCCGTGTCCGGAGATATCTCTTCGTTACGAATGCTCCCACAGCTTACACGCCGGCACATCATGATGATGGACTCAACTTCGTCTCCACGCCCGGAAAAGAAGAAGTTGAAGGTTGCGGCTTACCATCGGTATAGACTTTGGCGCGACGTGAACCCCCTTCTTCTCCATTATTTTGGACTCCTAGTTTCGCCAACTGACTTTGACGGAGGTAGATCAACGGGGGCATGCGTCAGGTTTAGCGGAGAATTCTCTTCGAGGCCCGAGATGAACATTAACAGCTGGCCTAAACAATTTGGCAGTCGGTCGACCGGTAGCAGCAAGACACACACACGGCTCGCCACGGGCGGGCTCGGGGAAGACACTACCTAGCCAGCCAGTTCGCTGGGCCTCCAGGCATCCGATGACTGGATTGGATCACAATGCAGTGTTCAAGTTGTTGACAACGGGCAGAGCACCTCATTCTTTACCTCTTTTTTGCACTTGGTGCTTTTTCTTAGAGGAGCCCCCCCGCCTCCAAAGACAACCCGGGAGACTTTAGACAGAACTCCAAGACTGTGTAGACGACCTGCCTAATAAAACGACATGACTTGCCCCCTTGAGCTTGCGTGCTTGCGTGACGTTTGGAGCAGACAGGGTTAGGGTCGATAAAGTGCAGTGGCAGAGTGGGAGCGGGCGCGTTGAATGAGGGACGGAATACTTGGCGCGTCAAGCTCCCACTTTCTCGATCGTTGGCATACGGCATACCCCCCCCCCACCCCCCAACAATGTAGAGTCGCGATGGCAGCGCTGACTCCATACACGTATATCCAATGTCCATGCTCGGATTTCTCGACGCTCGGCCGGCCATCAGACCCTAACCCACCGACGGGCACCGAGGCCGAGGTCGACGACGACGGCGACGACGACCGCACCTTTGACCCCCGTGCCCCGCGTGCAAACTACAGCCTCTACCCACTCGAGTACCTACTGTACTGCGAAGACTGCCACCAGATCCGATGCCCCCGTTGTATTGCCGAGGAGATTGTGACCTACTACTGCCCAAATTGCCTGTTTGAGGTGCCGAGCAGCAACCTCAAGAGCGAAGGGAACAGGTCAGTCCCGTCGCCTTTCGTCCTGGTCGTCGGCCGACTAGCTAACGAGCCGCTTTTCAGATGCACCCGCAGCTGCTTTCAGTGCCCAGTATGCATCGGCCCGCTCGCAGTGACGAGCGTCGAGACGAAACCCGACCCGAGCCTGCTGGCCGCCCCGGACAACGCCGCCGCCCCCCACGCCGGCCCGTACGCACTGACCTGCTCCTACTGCGCCTGGAGCTCGGCCGAGGTAGGCATCCAATTCGAGAAGCAGAACGGCATACACGCCCAGCTGGCCAAGCTGCGGAACGGGGGCGCGACGAGGTTGACGGCCAAGGAGCGGAAAGAGCGGCGTAAGGATCCGTCCTACCGTTCCCAGCACACAACGGAGGGCCCAGGCGCACCGCACGAGACGGAGGACCTGGACCTCGAGACGCAGTTTGCCAACCTAAAGGCATTCCACCAGGGCCAGCTCGTGGACCCCAACTCGGCCGACACCGGGCTCACGGCCCTGGGCGACCTCGGCTTCTCCTCCCCGACCTCGCTCTCGCGCATCATGAGCATCTACACCGGCGGCAGCTTACAAGACAAGAAGGCCAAGTCGCGGGTCGGCGCCATGCGGGAAGCGCTGGACGCCAACGAGGGCTTCCAGGTGGCCAGGCTAGACGAGTCGGCCGCCATCGAGGCGCTGCGGTCCGAGGGCCACGACGGCACCGCGTCGGCCGCCCAGCTCGCCGACCAGCCCCCGAACCTCGGCGAGGGCCACCTCCACGGCCGCGGCCGCTTCACGCCGGGGCTCCGCCCGATCCCCTACCTCCTGCGCACCAAGCGCTCCAAGCGCTGCCCCGTCTGCCGGCACATCATCAGCAAGCCCGAGGCCAAGGTGCAGGCCACGCGCTTCCGCATCCGCCTGGTCGCGGGCAGCTACATCCCCAGCATCGCCATCCGGCCCCTGGCCCTCGGTAGCGGCAGCGGCAGCGGCGGCGGCGGCACCTCCGCCTCCGGGCCCGCCGTCCCGGGCGCCCTGCTCGAGCCGCTGCGGCCCGCGCACTACCTGCTGACCTTCAAGAACCCCATCTTCGAGACCATCAAGGTCACGCTCGGCGCCCCGGCAAAGACCCCGGGCCGCCTCGCCAGCAAGGTGACGGTGCTGTGCCCGGACTTTGAGATCGACGCCAACACGGACGTGTGGGACGAGGCGCTCAACCAGGGCGGGGCCGGCGGTGGCGGTGGTGCTGGTGGTGCTGGTGGTGGTGGTGGTGGCGAACGAGAGAGGCGGCGGCGGAGGGGCGAGGACGGGGCCGCCGGTGGTGGTGGTGGTGGTGGTGGTAGCCAGAGCAACATCAACCACCAGAACCAGCTGGAGGTGGGCAAGATCTGGGAGCGCGGCCGGAACTGGGTCAGCATCGTGGTCGAGGTGGTGCCGGCGTCGCTGCGCCTCGAGCCGGGGGACGCGCCGCTGACCGAGGACGAGGATATCCTGGAAATACCCATGTTTGTGCGCGTCGAGTGGGAGGGCGAGGCCGGCGGGGACGAGGTCGGCTCTGTTGCTACGAGGGACAGGGAGGCGAGGGAGAAGCGCGAGCTGGCCTACTGGTGCGTGCTGGGGCTGGGGCGCATCCGGCCGTAGTGCTGCTGTGTGGAGTTGGGATGCTATACGTAGGGCTAGAGTAAAGTTTAGATACCCCAAAAGTCATGTTGGCATCGCATGGTCTCGCATTTCAAGTTGTACCATGCATGTTTGGTTGAGGATTGTATTGTCTTGCTCTCTAATACAGTATGTATAACACCCGCCACCGCCGACCACTCACTCAAGGCCCATCAGGCCCCGAACTGGTCCTGGTAGTTGGTCAGGCAGAATCGGTACTTGACGTCGTTCTTGTTCAGCCGCTGCATGATGTCGGCCAGGTTCTTCTCGTTGATGGGCACCTCCTCCACCCACGTGTTGATCCCCTTGTCGGCCGCCAGCTGCAGCATCTCGAGCGTCTCCTTCCTGCTGCCGAGATGCGAGCTGCCGAAGAAGCAGCCGTTGTCGATGAAGGTCTGGTTGCGGATCTTGATGCCGTCGCCCTCGGGCAGCCCGACGCTGACCCACTTGGCGTGCACGTCGAGCAGGCTCAGGTAGGCGTCGAGGTCGAACCCGTCAAAGCTGTTGGCCGTGTTGACGATCAGGTCGAACGTCATGACGTGCGCCGCGTTCCAGTCCTTGTCCGCCGTCGCCAGGAACCCGTCCGCCCCCAGCTTGCGCGCGTCCGCCTCCTTGGCATGCGTCCGGCTGATCGCCCACACCTCGGCGCCCAGTGCCTTCGCGAACAGCACCCCGAGGTGGCCGATGCCGCCCAGGCCCACGATGCCCACCTTCTTCCCGGGCCCGCACCCGTTCCGCACTAGGGGCGAGTAGGCCGTCAGGCCGGCGCAGAGCATGGGCGCCGCGACGGTGCTCGCGAGGCCGTCGGGGATGGGGAACACCCTGGTAGTACAGTTAGCAAACGCGCGCCGGGGTGGCAACGAGAGGGAGAAGAAGCAAATAGTTGACGGACCAGTGCTGGTGTGTCCGCACGTGCGAAGAGTAACCGCCCTGCGAGACGATGCCCGTGTCCGGCCACACGGCGCCGTACGTGTCCAGCTGCTTCTTGCAGTACGTCTCGTTGTCGTTCATGCACTGGCGGCAGTCGAGGCAGGAGTAGCTCTGCGCGCCCACGCCCACGCGCTGCCCCTCCTTGACCAGCGTCACCTTGGGTCCCACCCGGACCGCCGTCCCAACGATCTCTGCGCCTTGTCAGCGGCCGAACTACTCCTCGTGAGCAAGGAGAGAGCCCTACCGTGCCCGACAGCCAGGGGGAACTTCTGCTCGCCCCAGCCGCCGCTGATGGTATGGAGGTCGCTGCCGCAAACGCCGCAGCACTCAATCTTGACGTCGACGTCGTAGTCGCCAAACGGCTTGGGCTGGAACTCGTTCTTGTTGAATTCCAGCCAGGTGTCGGGCCCGTTGACCTGGAACCCGGTGAACTTCTCAGGGTACGACATGATGAATCGGCTTGCGGTTTGGGAGGTATTCAGCGGTGATCGAGCCTTGCAATTCAACAAGCAGCAACGAGAGAGGAGCAAGAATATGACAGATTCACTTCGGGATAAACTGGAACACGAGCTGGGTCTCGCGTTTTAAACGGCCCCATTCAAGACGCCAGGTGAGGAGGGGCACCCCGCGTCCCCCACTCGAGGTTGGGGCATCGTGATATTATCCAGGAATCGTTCAACGGCCCAATTGGTGAATTGGCCGTATCTGGGGCTTGTTTTGGGGAACCCCCCTTCCGCCAGGACGGCGATGCTGCTCCCCTCCGTTATCCCCGCTGTACCCCGCCATGCGCCAGGGGTGAAGCGCGTGCGGGACCGGGCGAACTCTGGAGAGAGCTTGTGCCGGGTTTTCCCACAAATCAGAGCGCTTGCCGGCCGGTCGCCCCGGGGCCGCGGGAATCTCGGCATGGGTGAGCCGCGGGACGTGGGAGGTGAAAAGGTCAAGGGGCGCCTCACTGACGTCCACTTTAAATCGGAGCCGAGTTCAAGGTGATGCGGGCAGAATATGTTTGTTTCTTGAGGTTGGGTTAAGGGAGGAGGCGGGGTGCTTGTGCAGATCTTGGGCTCACACACTTCTCCGCCCGGTTATGCTCTGAATATGTGGGTTCTACCTAGCTGAAGATTGAGGGAATTGACAAGCAAGAGGCGATTACATCAAACGTTTTTATCCGCCCACGCCGGTATCGGTTTGCCTCGAAGGAGCACCCGTCCCTCGGCAGCTTTAGAATGCCCTACCTCGAGACGCTGGGGCTTGAGAACACGAGTTCGAAACAACAAGGCGACGGGTCCTCAGCGGGAGGCATCGGGATGGCATCTCCCCAACGATGCCGAGCCCTGGTAGCCGCCAGAGGCCTGATGTCGGTGCGGGCGAGTGGTCAAGCGAAGAGGTCGTGCAGAAAACAGCGCCGGCTTTCCCGCACCCATACGTGAATTGGCTGCTCAAGCTGCTTTCATGAGCTTGCCCTTGCCGGCAAACCCGATCCCGGCTAGAAACGCAATCCGCATCGAGGCCCCGAGGTAGACAAAACCGATATTCCCCCAGTCGATGGCGTTCCACTCGAGGACGCTCCAGTAGATCTGTGGGCCCAGGACGCTGACCGTGTAGAGGTGGCCCAGATCCGCGACGAGCAAGCAGAAGAGCACGGCGTTCCAGACGCGGAGGTCGGAGGTCGACCGCAGCACTAGGGCCTCGCTGAGGGCAAACGCAAAGTAGAGGTTGGCAAGCTGCGACATGGCGATCGAGGTCCCTAGCGGGATGGGCGACGGCGCGGAGGCAGCATGTGTCAGCTCAAGGTAGCTCCGCTGAGTGAAGAAGGCGGAGTACGCGCCAGCGAGGGTCGCGATCGGTTCAACGAGTAGGAAAAAAAGGCGGTAGGGTAGGGGTAGCGTGAAGCCGGCCGTGCCGGTTGCTTGAGTGGTGGCGGCCATCTTGTGCTTCGTTGTCGCCGTCGTCGTTACGCAGTGGGTTGAATGGGAACGGACGAACTGGTCTTCGCGACGCGTTCACGGTGTGAGTTGGAGGAGCAGGGACCGTGCAGGAACGACAGGGGTTGCAGACGCCCCACATTCGGCCTGCCCACACCGCTTTTCCACCTGACTTGGGCCCACCAAAACTTTGAGGGCTGCAAACCCTAACCGCCCAATTCAACTGGACGACTTTTCGCGCAGCTCTTCCAACTTTCTCGGAATCGCCTCGAAGTCAACCACCGGTACCGTCGACAACCGCCAACATGAGCTCGCCGTCCCTCAACAAGATCGCGGCTAACAGCCCGAGCCGCCAGAACCCGTCGGAACTTGAGCAGGGCATCGCCACCGCTCTGTACGATCTCGAGACCAACACTGCCGACCTCAAGGTCGCCCTCCGCCCTCTGCAGTTCGTCTCGGCCCGTGAGGTGAGAATCCGCCCGTGAAGCACACCCGCACCTGCGACATCCGAACCACGCCCGGGTCCTGTTCCACCGACTGCCGAGCGATTGAGACATCGCCGCGCGTCGGGCGTCGTCGCATTGGAAGATTGATCACAAATGGGAAGGCGGGCAGGCGGGCGGTGGCCTCGGGCGCCGACCCGTCCTGCTCGGCGGCCATAACATCAAAATACCATACAGCACGCGGAATAGGACGGGAGCGGTCCAAGGATTGCAGTGTCATCCTGGAGCTCGCATGCTGACTTGGATCTGGAACAGATCGAAGTCGGCCACGGCAAGAAGGCTATTGTCATCTTTGTCCCCGTCCCTTCGCTGCAGGGTTTCCACCGTGTCCAGCAGCGGTAAGTTGCCTTCTCCCACGAGCGACGGCCGATACTGATGAGTGTGCAGCCTCACCCGCGAGCTCGAGAAGAAGTTCTCGGATCGCCATGTCCTGATCCTCGCTTCCCGCCGCATCCTGCCGCGCCCCAAGCGCTCCAGCCGCTCGCGCAACACCCTCAAGCAGAAGCGCCCCCGCTCGCGCACCCTCACCGCGGTGCACGACGCCATCCTGACCGACCTCGTCTTCCCCGTCGAGATCGTCGGCAAGCGCCTCCGCACCAAGGAGGACGGCTCCAAGACGCTCAAGGTCATCCTTGACGAGAAGGAGCGTGGCGGCGTCGACTACAGGCTCGACACCTACTCGGAGGTCTACCGCCGTCTCACCGGCCGCGGCGTCATCTTCGAGTTCCCCCAGACCAGCGCCGCCGAGTATTAGGCGTGAGCAGATGGGAGGATGGGCTTGTTTGTGGGCTGGCGCACCGAGGTCAGATTTGGGTTTGGGATTCGGGTTCGGGTCTGATGCATGGGACTCAAAAGGGACGGCGTTCAGCTAGCTTGTGACAATGCAAGCTTGATTTCCACCACACCTGGTCCCCACAATACAAGCCATTTTGCGAATAGTTTGATGCTGTAGGGTTGTGTGATTTGTTTCTGGGAGTGGATGCATTGCCCCTTGACTTAAAGTGACAAGGTTGGTATTGGTATTCCTATGGCTCATCTCTGGGTCATAGGCGCACCCCATGGCCAGGGTGCTCTTCCCGTGCCCACTCAAAAATCCTATCCCAAACCTCGGGGCCGTCGTGCTCTCTGTCCATGGCCATTTCGAATTGCAAAAGAGCGGCCTTGTCGCCCTCGTCCACGCCAAACCACCGGGTGGCATCCCGCACCCTCAGCTTAGCGCAATGGGCATCCTTCTCGGGGTGCCCCTGCAGCGTCAGAATCGCGCGGTTGTGGCTCAGGAAGGCCTGGTGACCAACGAGCAGCTCGTAGAAGCCCCTGGGAGGCGTGCCAACCCCCCGCCGGTGGTGCTGCTGTAACCGGACGGCGCCGTTGCCGCTCTGTCTCTCAAAGAAACGGCGGCCAACCGGCGTCAGCTTGGCGTCGGTGACACCCAACTGTGAAGCGTTAGCCGATCGTTCTCCGTGACAACTTCCCGGTCGGCGTTCTACTTTACCTCGGGCGTCTCCATGTCCACCAGCTCGGCACCGAACAGCATCGAGATGGTCTGGTGGCCCCAGCATATGCCGCAGAGCTTCGTCCGTGGGTGGTTGGCAACCACGTCGAGGATGAACTTGTGGACGCGCAGGATCCAGGGGTGTCTCTTGCGCGGGTCGGCGTTCCCGCCGCCGACCACGATCAGGTCGAAGGCGTCCGGGTCCGGGAAGTCGTCCGGCTTCTCGGCCGGGAGGAAGAAGGTGAGCTCGGCGTCGTCGCCGGCGACGGCGCCGGTGGAGCGCACGTACGAGTCCCGGATCTCGGTGATGAAGGGCGAGCGGTACGAGTTGAGCAGGATGGCGATCCGCAACGGCGGCTGGAGGCGTGTTGGGCTCATGTTGAATGACCCGATGGTGTTGTTGACCTGCCCCCTAGGCCAGGAGGGTTACCTCGGCTGGGTTGGGGTCGGCTTTATATGTATTTCGGCTTTGGGCTGTAATTCAAGGTCCGAGTGGATCAGCTGATGCCTTCCCAGAGGGCCAACAGGCTCACGGCCAGCCCAAGGCACGGGTCCCTGGTGTAAATGACATCACTGGTGTTCTGTGGCGGCGCTGAGATTGGATTCGATGAAAGGGATGGGGGGGGTGACATTTGGAGGTCAGTTCATTAACTACTTATAAGAGGGATGTGTGGTTTCAGCGACTTATTTCACAGTAACAGCCACATGAATCAACAACACCGGACGAGAGTAAGAACGGTCTCGGCAATTGGGGTGCGGCCCAGCTGGAACCCAAGACGGGAACCATGCTTATGAGATCCACCTTTGGCCGGAAATAAGTCCTATTGGTGGTTACAGCAAGCTGTTCTCCGCAGCCGTCCTTCGCTCCAGGCTCTGGTCTGGTAGCATCGCATGGGAGTGTGCTAGTGTTGATATTCTTCGCCATCGATCTCGGCCGAACGGGAGACGTATCCTGACATACGCTGACTGAGAAGGGCGAGAAATGAAGTCGTAAATTAACTGTGGTTGAGTTTTAGCCCAAATCCCAAACTAGATTGTCGAGCTGCCACAACTCAAAATTCCAGGCTCATCGCGCCGGTCAGGGGCTGCGGTAACCAACGGCCTCACATCATTTGTTTCTCTGGAAACAAGGCTTCCATCATGTCCCAGGCATACCAAAGCATATCCAAACCCAAGGCCTCTTCTATCAAACGCCCTAGGTTCCCGTCAATGGTATCATCATGCTCGCTCAAGTGCAACCCAAACCCAAAAGCCTCTTCATCATCCATCAACCCAAACACCGAAACCACTCCCATCACCAAACCGCAAACCCACCTTCCTCCCCCTCCCAAACCTCAACCCTCCTCCCCCTCCCCCACCAGCCCCAACAACACCTCACGCACCACAAACCCCTCCTGCCCCTCCTCCACGGCAACAACATCCCACGGCCCAGCCCCGATCCCGACCCCGACCCCATCCGGCCCGCCCAGCCACGCCAGCAGATCGCCCACGTTCCGACACAGCTTCGGCCTTGCCGCGCCCAGCGCCAGCGCCCCCTCCCGCGCGGGCCGCAGCACACCCTCCCGGAACGCGCCGTGCTGCGCGGCGTGCTCGACGTCCCGCAGCGCGGTGGCGGTGGTCCGCCGTAGGTGGGCGATGGCGGGCTGGAGTGACGGGATCGACATGCGCGGCGGTGTCGGTGTCGGTGTCGATGTCGATGTCGGTGTCGTCTGTTGGAGATCCGTGTTGGGCGCGTTGGAGGATGGAGTGTTGGGCGCGGTGTCCAGCGCCGCCGCCTGCTGCGCGTCGAACGTACGCTGCAGCTCGTGGAGCTGGCGGTAGGCGGCGCGGAGGGCGGCATGGTCGCTGTCGTCGTTGTCTGGACTGTCGGGTGGCCGGCGGAGGTACGCCGCCATGGTGGTGTGGTGGGGTGGCGGCTCGTGCCCTGCGACGGTGGCGGCGGTCTCGGCGGCGGCGTGGAGCTCGCGGACCTTGGCCTGCGGTAGGGTCAGCGGGGCGAGGTGGTCGCACAGCAGGGCTAGGACGTCGGTGATGTCCCAGTCTGGGACGACGGTCGAGCTGGCGGGGTCCCCGGGGACGGGCGGGCAGTGGGTGGCGAGGCCGAAGTCGATCACGTACACGTTCGGGATGGCGTGCCCAGCGGTGAAGTGCAGCATGAGGTTATCCCCATGCAGGTCGCCGTGGAAGATGGGCTGGACAACGGTGTTAGCCATTTCGAGGCCTGCGTGTATGCCAAGGGGGGGGACGGGGGGGGGGTGCATACCGTGTCCAGCTTCGTGTACATAAAGTCGAGGGTCTCAAGCGTCTGCACTAGGATGTGCAGCGCGAGGCCCACTGGGAGGACTGAGCCGGTTTTCGAGCACCGCTCGAGGAAGGAGGAGACGCTGCCCCCGTTGCAGAGCCCCCAGTACGAGACCCTGTAGCCCTGGGGAGTGCTCGCTGCCGACACGAGCTCGGGCACACGCAGGTCGAAGCCGTCCTCGGCGGCGGCCGCGTGGAGGAGTCGAGCGACGCGGACGTCCCGGTCGAACTGCTCAACGGCGCCGCGGGTCAACCCGGTCGGCAGGGCGGGGCGGCGGAGGGTCTTCCGGACGCAGGTCCTGCTAGTAGTGTAGTTGTGCATCAGCTGAGTCTGGCAGGAGGTCCCGCGGCCGAGGAGGCGGATGAAGAGTCCGTCATCTTCTAGGTCCCGGAGGAGGTGGCCGTACAACACCTTGACGGGGCCCATGGCGAGAGATGAGGGGCAGCTGGCGGTGGCGATGGGCGGGAAGTGCAGCAGTATTTCGGCGACGGAACCAGCGACTTCGCGGGCCTCAGTCTGCTCAAGAAATAGGAGCAGTAAGGCAATCGCCATAGGCGTCGAGAATTACACTGGACCTGGCTGCACCAGGCTGGAGATATAACGAGAGGCCTTTGCAGACAGCAGCAGGTCTTTGAAGAGGCGAGTTCTGGTCATACCACGCACCGCACGGGGACAAGGGTAAACGAGGTCTTTGCGTTTCAAGCTATCACACTAGGTGTTCACCGACCCGGCCGCTTCGGACGGGTGAACCCTTTCTTCACCTCAGCCCTCGGGTGCAGTTCCTCCATCACGCCCTGTTCCGTGACCTCAGTGGCATCCTCCACCTCGAACTTCTTGTCCGGTTGCAAGCCGGCCTCCTTTTCAGCAATGGTGAGAACGGCGCGTTTCATCAGAGGGTACATCATGCGGAACTTGATGGCCTTGGTGCTGAAGTTGGTCGGGCACGTGTAGAGGAACAGCAGCGGGCTAGACTCGGTGCCCTCGTGCGTGTGCGTAAACCGGTAGAATGTGAAACGGGGCTCTGTGGGTGAGATGGTCTGCACCAGCTCGGGGATTGACGTGGGGGCGGAGTCATCCGTGACCAACTCAACAGACTCGGACTCCGGGTTGATTTTCTAGTCAAGAGCACATCTGTCAGTCGCATGGCATTAGAAAACGAAGCGGTGTTGTACGCACCAGCATGACCAATGTCCGCCCATCCCCAGCGCCGAGTTCTTTCAGGGCCTGCAGGGCATCCTCGGCGATTGGCGTGGCCAGGTTCTTGCTCAGATGGATCTCGCGCGTTCCCGTACCCATGCCCGCCTCCTGCTCAGCGCGCCTGACCTCGCCCAGACTTCTCTCCTCCTCGGTGAGTGGAGCCTCCAGCGCGCTGTGGGCGTCGTGCTTCTTGAACCCCGCCGGGCTGAGCTCCTCGGGCATGGTGGCAAAGAAGGTGTCGCGGAAATGCTCGCTCCCGAGCTCGCGCACGAGGGTCAGGCGTGTCGACGCAAACAACATTTTTTGGCGCACGGGAGCGGTGTCGGGCACGTATGTCACAGCCACGAGGGCCGGTGCGGACGGGTGCTTGCGGACGATGATGTAGAGGGCCTCATTGGGCTTGATGTGCGGCCCCAGCAGAGACTCGACGTTGGAATCGAAGGATGCGGGAGACGACGGCGTCAAGAGTTGCAACGGCTGCAGCTGCTCGGAGGCGATGGTCACGAGGAGGCCGAAGTGTTTGTCGGACGAGAGTAGGTCGTTGAATTGGGAGACCAGCTCCTGCGATGCTGCAGCTGGTGCGTTAGTAGTTTCCTGAGGTTTATATTTTCGGAATCCGAGCACGCACCAGAGATGCCGGACTGCATCGTGACCTCGTAGTTTGATTGACGTAGCGGGAGCTGCTCGAAGCAAAGACGGGAACGACGTCAAGCCGTGAGGTCGTCAGGTCGTGGAGAGTTGTTTGGGCCCCGCCATGTCTGCCTCGAACGTGGGAGCCTGGCCCACCTTCCCTATCGAGTAAGCGGGGAGAGCTGCGAGCCATTGGCTTTCAGACTGATGCGAGTTGGGATGTTTTCTATTTTTACCCAAGGTACTTGCAAGTGCGATTGATGTTGACTTCTCTCCCAAGTCCAACAACGGATTCTGCACAACTCGCCTCTTCGCAAAGCGAATGCGAAGTGGATGCGGCTTGAGGAGCAAACCTGGGTCATCTCCTGTGTCGGGTAACGGCACTATTGGCAGAGTCATGGACTTGCTGTGGTTAGCATGACTGGCAAAAGTTCCCAGCATAATTGGTAGGCAGGCATTGGTACCCTGGAGAAGGAATTTGAAAGCGGAAGACAATCGATTCCTCGCAGATAGGTACCTTAGTCTTTGATCTCTTTTCACAACGGGTCTTTACTTAGCTATCCGCCATATTGTCCTTACTCGCTCGCTGTCTACAAGATTTCTAACTCGGCTTGTCCATCTCTGTCTCTTCCCATTGCTTGCGGGTCGGCCGTTCGGAATGCCAAGACATCAATTTCGGAGAGCAGCGAGCAAACAAACTCGCTTCCGCTGCCAATCATCACGGGCGGTTTCCCCCCTGGGGTATTGGGGGCCAGGCCCGAGCCAGGCACCAAAGGGGCAAGAGTAAAAACAGCATTGAATCCCACCTCTCGTGTTCAATCCCTTCTTTTTTTGCTGGTCGGTCTTTCGCCATCGCTTGTTTTGTCCATATATTTGCCGCCCGCCATGTCGAGATAGAATCGGCGTCCAATCTTTTGTCTGTTAATTGTTTCTGAGTCGCTCTTTTTTTTTTTGCGCCCACCTTCGCGATGGCGCTCCACACTCGCTTATCCATGCTCGCGATCGGCGCACTCGCGGCCACAACCGCCGCCGCCCAGCATGTGCTGCTCCCTTTCTCCCAGCACACCAACAACGACATTAATCTCTCGGCGCGCGGCTCGAAACAGACGACGCTCAAGTCGGCCGAATATGCCTACGTCATCGACGCCACGGTCGGCATGCCGCCGCAAAAGGTGTCACTGATGATCTCGACCTCCAGCGGCGACACGTGGGTTCCCGACGCAAACACCCGCGCATGCTCCCCCGAGTGGTACTACCGGGAACAGTATGGTTACGACGACGAGGATATGGAATATGCATCCATCCCCGAGGCCAAGTGCACGTGGGGCAGCTTTAACAAGACTCTGTCCTCGACCTATCTGCCCCCGAACTCGCGCTACGATGGTTTTAGAGCCAGCTACATCGACACCAACCGCGCTTCCGGCGACAACATGACGGACAAGCTGGCGTTTGGCGGCCTCGAGTTTGACGACTACCCAATGGGCCTAGTCTCGTCCACCTATCGCTGGATCGGCATGCTCGGCCTCGGCCCCAACAACTCGGCAAGCTCCTACTATAGCTCCTCCTTGGCTGGCAGCTACGACAACATCGTGGACCGCATGGTCTCGTCTGGTAAGATTGCGAGCCCCGCCTACAGCATCTGGTTGGACGATGCCCAGGGGACCTCGGGCGGCCTGCTGTTTGGCGCCGTCGACCGGTCCAGGTACACGGGTGATCTCGTGCGCGTCTCGTCCTCCAGCTCCTACTCGTACTATTCGTACGGGTCTGTCACCACGGTCAACAGCATCAACGGCACCACTGCCTCGGGGGATCCCATGCCAGCTATCAGATCCAACGACTTCCCTGTCGATGTCACCGTCGGCCCGGGCGAGGTTTTCTCGTACCTACCCTCGCGGCTGGCCAATCAGATTGCCGAAATGGCTGGTGCAACCTACGACGAAACGGCCGAGGTTTTCATGATTTCGTGCGAGGCCGGCAAGACCAACAATACAAAGTTCGTTTTTGAGCTCGGTGGCACCGGCGGACCTAAGCTGAACGTCGAAACGGCCGATCTCGTACTGCCGATTAGTGCCTACGACGGCTACGGAGGTTCCAGTTATGTGGAGGAGTCAGACTTGTGCATGTTTGGCATCCAAAAGTGGGCCTCGAGCAGCTCCTCGAGCAGCTCCTCGTCTTACAACTTCAACCTCGGCAGCTCCCTTCTCCGGCGCAGCTACATTGTTGTCGACCTAGCCAACGAGGAGATTGCCGTTGCCCCTGTCAAATTTCCCTCTGGCTCCAAGGCCCCGGCGTCTGATCTTGCGGCGTTTGCGAGCTATGGCGATTACACCCCAGGCGCGTCCAAGTTGTGCACCAGCAGCTACTGTCGCGACTCAGACAGCGGCTCCGGATCGGGCTCGGGCTCGGGCTCTGGTTCGGGCTCGGGTGGGCGGTATGGCTACCCGGATAGCGAGTCAGCGCTCGAACACTGGGAGAGGGTTGCCATTGGCGTCGGCGTCACCTTCGGCGTGCTCATCCTCGCCGGCATTATCATGGGCATCATCCTCTGTACCCGTTCGGGTCGCAAAAAGGGAGTCGCAAAGGAGGTTGACGAGGAGGGCCTGGAAGACGAGGCCCCGCCAGCCCCGCCGGCCGCGTCGACGAACCCGCAAATGTCCCAGAACACCAGGGGCTCGGTTATTCTGCCGCCAGGACCTCTACCGTCCATCCAGGAGGGGGCTGAACCACACGCACAGACACAAACACCGGCGCCCCAACTCCCAGCCCTAGGGACGCAGCTCGCCCGGCCGATCACGCCTCCTGAGCCCACGGCATCCGTGAACTCAAACCGCCCATCAGTGGCTGTGTCTGCCCTTTCGCAAGAACAGGAGACGCAGGCACTTGGCTCGGCGCCAGAGTCTAGCGCTGCGGCACCGGCATCGCCGAAGGGCAAGGGGAAGGCTTTGGACCGGGACGAAAACTGATCTGAATGTCACCATGTACTAGTCGTAATTCTAATGGAGATACCCTTTTGTATATGCTGCTACTGCCGCTTTACTTTCTTTCCCGATGCGATCTTTCCGTGACGCGGTCTTCTGCCGAAGCAACGTCATTGCATGAGCTTGCAACAATGTCGCCCAACCCGTTGTTCATTGTTGTGCTAGATTTACGGTCCTCCCAGATCGGGGTACCTCGCCGCAGAGCATTGCCGGCACGGCAAGCCACCTCTGCTACCAGCCGTTGCGAACCGCGCCGGTTAATGGTTGGAGGGGTTGACGTCATTCACCACCCGCGTCGTCAACGGCCGACTTACATGCCGGAACCTGCTTCTATAAATCACCCGTGATCCAGACCGCAGTCCGCATCTGTGCCATACCTTTCATTGTCGTACTCTCACCAGAACCTGAACTGGCTACAGTTGTAAATATCATAGTCATCACAACCGTCACAGCCATCACAGCCGCCCTTAAACCACATACCAACAACACCACACCGTCACCACCACCAAACCCTGCCCGAGAGCAGACTCAGCCTCCCAAAATGGCCGTGACAAGCGCTATTACGGACCTCGTCAAGTCCGTCGGCGAGCTGCTATCTTCGGTCCTCAGCGCCGCCTATGCCATCGTCCACTCCTTTGTCAGTGGCATCCTCGGCCTGTTCGCAGGCTTCTTCGCCTTCGTTGGCGACATCGGCAGGGGCGTGTTCGACCTGGCCGGAGGGATGGGGAAGTTCGTTGTTGGTATGTACGATGTCTCGCGTTTTGTTGTCATGGCATCATGGAACAAGACCGATTACTGACTGAACCCCTCCCAGGAAATGCTGCCATCCTCGCCGTTCTCGCCGCCGCGGGCTACGCATACGTGCGCTTCGTCCAGCAGCCACAGCAGGCCCGCAAGCCGGCCGTCACGAATGGGGCCGGGGCCAAGAAAAAGACCAACTGAGCCTGCGGGCCAACGCGCGCGAGGGTTACTTTGGGAGTTGGCTTCTGTCGGGCGTGTTTTCCCTTGGTTGGCGTCATGTTCATGATACCTTGGTCTGAGTTTAGTGTCTTCAGCACATTCACATAATGCAACTGCTTAGTTAGATCCGCGTGCCCCGGTCGCCAGATTAACAAATGTGTATTTCTAGAACTGAGACGAATGTACGCATCCAACCGAGTGGCATGTCTTTCGTATACAGACCGACCAAAATAAGTGGCGAGAAACAGGTAACCAAGAACCCAATGACCTTGTTTCCAATCCAAACTCCAACCCAACGCTGTCCCGCTCTCCTCTATGTCTCGCATTCTAGTGCATTAGTTGTAGGGTATCCGCATGCTGTCGTCAAATCTCATCACGCGCGGCTAGTCCAGCATGGACTCCACGGCCGTCTCGTACTCCTCGTCGCCCTTGCCCTTCTGGACAATCACTGGATACGGCGCCAGCCCGTCATCCGTCTTGTCTTTCTCCTCCTCTTGGTCTTGCTGCTTTTCCTTCTCCTTCTTCTCCTTATTCTCCACCTCGGTATCGCTCTTCTCCCCGTCCTTCTTCCCCTTCTTCGCCCGGCCCTTCTTCCTCTCCACCTCGCTATCGCCCTCGTACGCCTCGGCGTCGTCGTCCTGCGCCTCGCCCTCCTTCTTCTCGACGCGCGCCGTCCGGGCGCCGCCGGCGTTGGCCTGGGCATTATCCAGGTCGACGCCGCCCTTCTCGCCCATGCCGCCCTCCTCGAGCTCGCCGCCCTCGATGACGACGCGCAGCTCGAGGTCCTCGTCCTTGGAGTAGACGCGCAGCCCCACCACGGCGATGGCGTTCCACGGGTCCGGCTCGTTCTCGTCCTCGGTGTCGTCGCGGTACCTGCTCACCGTCGCCGCGTTGGGCGGCGGCGGCGCCGCCATCCGCGGCTTGCGCGACATGTCGTCGCTGCTGTACAGCGCCTCCCAGTCCTCAGTCGGCGACGCGCTCGACTCGCCGTCCGACGTCACGTACATGTTGGGCGCCTTCTTGGCCGGTGGCGGGGCGGGCGGCGGCGGACCGCCGGATACCTTGGAGGCGTCGGCGGGTGGGATGGGCACCTTCTCCTTGTCCTTGCCGTCGGTGCTGGGGGTGGAGGCACCGCTCTTGGGAGTAGGAGTGGGGGTGCCGGTGGAGGAGCTAGTCGTGGACGCGGGCTTGTCCTCAGACTTGTCCTCAGACTTGTCCTCCGATTTCCCCTCTTCGGCGGAGGCATCCTTGGGCGTCCCGTCTTTCGGGGCCTCTCCCGAGTTGATAGACAGCTGCGAACCATTCTCGGTCGTAGGAGTCTCGAGAGGTGTGGCGATCGGCGTGCCGTCGGGCGACGACTCGTCGTCTGCGTTGTTGGCGGCCTGGGCTTCTTCTTTCTTCGGCTCGGAGTCAACCTTGGGTTCCTTTCCAGTTGTCTTGTCGTCAGTCTTGTCCTCGGCCTTGGCTTCTACCTTGGGTGGCTCTTTGGTCTTGTCGGCACCCTCTTCGGCCTTCTTGTCTTCCGGCTTAGCCTCGACAGGCTGCTCCTTGACCTCATCGGTCTGCACGCCCTGGTCCTTGGGCTTCAGCCCCTCGGCCTTGCGCCTCTTCTCCTCGCGGGCTGCCTGCTTGGCCTCGAGCTTCTGGTTGTTCTTGCGGCCCTGCTTCTTGGTGATCTGGCGGTTGAGGTGCCGCTTCTCCCACAGGCGGTGACGCTCCGTTTGGCGTGCGTTGCTGGCCTTCTTCTGGTCGGCCCTCTTGCGCGCCTTCTTGACAGCCTCGATGTGGGCCGCGGCCTTGCTGTGGGCGAGGTCATAGGCGTACCCGACTTGGGCGAACTTCTCGTTCTCGACCCGCTTTTTGCACTCGCGCTTGACGACGTCCTCAATGCTGGGCACATCGGTGTTGCGTTCACCGGCGACGCTGATGAATACGCTGTAGGTGCCGGGAAGCATGCACGGCAGCTCGATGGTCACGGACCGGTGCATAAGGTAGTTGCCGTGGCTGCGAACGATATAGTCCTCGGGATCCGGCCGGTCCTGCTCGTGGATGCGGAAGTGGAGGCGGAACGAGTACTGGCCGTGGAGGCCCTTGAAGTACCGGTTGTCGAGCTGGCTCAGCACGATGACCAGCGGCCCCTCACGCGTCAACTTGATGTGGAACTTTTCGTGGTATTGCGGCTTCCACGATACGTCGACGCCGATCCACCGCTGGCAGCAGCGCCAGTCGGGGTCGCGGAACAGGCGAGTGCGGTCAAAGTGCTGGTACTTTCGCAGCAGGTCCTCGTACGAGATCCAGAAGACGCTGTCGCTGCCGAACTGGTGGCCGAGCTCCTCCTGCGCCTCGGTCGTCCACTCTTTGGACCCGTCGGACCAGGCACCCTCCCAGATGCCCTTCTTGGTCTTGCCCCACGGGTTCCTGAGCTTGACGAGACGGGTGCCGCTCTTGAGGGTCCGCGCCTCCATGACGACGTAGGCGTGGCCTTCCTCGATGCCGTCGCGGTCACCATAGCCGCCGTCGAGGAGGCCCGTGCTGCAACCAAACAGAAACTCTTCATTGACCTTGCTGAGCTCGGCGTCCCAGAACCCATCCAAGTCGAGGATGTCAGAGGCGAGAAGCTCGGTTGTGACGCCACCAGAGAGATCTTCCAGACCCTCGCCGATCCAGCCGCCAGCCAGGCAAGCATAGTCGCCGTGGGCTTTGGCGTAGGCCTTTTGGACCAGGGGCACCCAGGTCTCGTTCTGATCCTTGCACTGCGCAAAGAACAGCGCCTTGGAGCCTGTCTGATATGTCTTGCGGTACACGCGCTCGACGTCCTCGCGGTCGATCTGCTGCAGTAGGTCGCGCTGCATGCTCGGCGAGTCCCAACACGGCGACTTGAGGAAGAGCTTGTCGTCAACGATCGAGTAGATCCACTCTCCGTCTGAAGTTTGTTAGTCGCGTGACACGGCTAAGCACGAGGTCTCAGGTCTGACTTACCTCGATAAAAGACGAACCCGTAGATGCCGATCCGGGTGTCGTGCTCGACACACATGCGTTTGATGCCATCCTTGACGTTGCACAGACCCGAGAGGCTGGCCATCAGCCAGCAGTCACCGAGGCTCCCTTGCTTGACGTCGTTGCCGCTGATGTTTTCGAGGAAAGTCGGCTTCTCGTAGATCTCGTGAACGCGCTTGACCGCCTTTGGCACGACGGCGCTCGGGTTCATCAGCGTCGACATGCTGAGATCAAACTTGGTCCGGCCGAGGCTGTTGAGACAATGGCCCTTTTCCATCTTGAGGTCCCAGTCCTACGGGCACATTAGCATCGTCCGGTATCAGCGCAACCTTGCCACTCGCACAAATGCAAGCACACGGACTTACCAGGTCCCAGCCCGGGTCTCGGTATCGTGTATTCACTCTCCGGCATTCTTGGATGATCTTTCGGACTTTGCGCCGGCATTCTTCCACGGCGCGCTCGTAACCGGCGTTTACCAGCTCGTTGGACCGGTCCGAGATTATGGGAGGCAGGACCGGGTCGAAGGGCAAGACGGAGAGGGCCTTGTTGAACCGCTTGTTGCTGAAGCGCTTCCAGATGCGGTTGATGCTCTGCTGCGGCGGCAGCTTGCGCTTCTTCTTCTTCTTGTTGGCATCGTTGGCGTTGGTGGTCGCGGGTACGGTCCCCTTGTGTTTCCGGTAGTTGTATTCATCGTCCGACTCCGACGACGACGAGTACCCGTGCATGGCGGGCGACGGGCGGCGGCAACACGCTCAGGAAAGGGCGGTGAATGGTACCCAGCGAGTGTCTTGGGGAGGCGGACAGGGGGGGTGAAGGAGCGAATTTGGCAAACGGAATCGGTGGTCGGAGAGGAAGGAAGTCGAGCAAAGGCACGGAATATAGAGCCGAAATATTATTTATCTGGTGGGAGGCAAGGTGAGCAGGACGGTTCCCAGGGTCTCCCGACAAAGGAAAGGCAATAAGGGTCAGGGGCGGCGCTGGCCCGTTGGGGACTCCCCGAGAGGCCGGCCTCGGTCTGAGCGGTGGCGGGAAGACATGTCTTCTCGAAACGATCGACCAGTCCCCTATGGAGCAAGCCAACGGGATTGGAGGGCGGTGATAGACGGGACGAAACGCAGGAACTGATCGGTGGCACTCACAGTACAAGGAACACGGAGGAACACATCGACATGTCGTTCGGACGGGGAGGAAAGGCGGTGATGGGACGCCTACGCAGGCCCCGGCTGGGTATATACGAATTGCCCAGACCCCATTTTGCGTGTAAGCCACCACGGCCACGACGGCCACCTCATCCAGCCTCGTCCAAGCTGATGCCGGGTAGGGGCAGCTTCGCCGCACGTCGGCCGCGCCAAGACGAGGACCGCATTTCGACACGCGATGGGTACGTTGTCGATAGATAGGCACACCGAGGCGCTAGGTCGGTTTCGCGAACCACCACTCATCCCAGAGCCGCCATGGAATGACAATGCTTACACAGTATTCGGATTGTCGGAGTTGCAGGATGGCCCCGACTTCTCACGGTTCTCATCCCGCGCTGCGGCGAATGCAAGATGTGGGCAAGAGTCATCGACAAGACGCAAGGAAGTGCAGGTTTCGAAACGCCGGGAGGAATCCGGATCGCACTGTCTGGGCTCGAACATGCCTCTCCGAGATCCGACCAGGCCCACCAGGCTGTGGCGCGAAAGAGGCAGAAAAAGCAACGACTCCGCAACTTTGCCGTCGAGATTGAGTGAATGCGTCCATGTCGGTGATCAGTGCAGCACCCCTTCGGAGATTGTCTGCAGCAGACCTTCGTCGGCACAAAACGGAATGCGGTCGCTCGCGAGGAACAATTTCTCTCCAGTGAGAAGAGTGAGGCGGACAGCGATCTCCAGTCGATGGCAGCAAAAGGCGGAAGCGAACGGCAGCGGCCCACCCCCACAATCGGGGATGGTCAGCCCCACCAACTCCCCATCACAACAAGAGTGGAGCATCCACTTCATCAGCCTCTTTCCATCTTGTGCACCACTCAGGCTGTCGATTCATTTGTCAGACCGCTCAACCCCGACCTCCATCTTGAACGCGTTCGGCGACGCTTTGCCAACGGTGTGGCATGTTGCTCGATGTTGTGTCCCTCGAGCAATGATATGGTCCGAGCCAGAAAGGCATTGCCGGTTCCCTCGCAGCATCTTGTATCTCTCCTCAAATTTCTGTGCTGTTGAAACATTTCGCCTCTGAAGGTTTTCGGGTGCGATAGGTGACCCGCTCTTTTCTGCCGCCCCGCATCGAGAGCCTGACCTGTGTGCGTCCAGCGTGTGCCTGAAGTTGCGCAGCGCTGCAGGCTCTCGTCTGAATCCCCGATTCATCAACCAGTCCTCAACAACATTGTGTCGCGTTGGCGCAACGGTGCCACGTTCTCAACACAGTCGTGGAGACCGCTCTGCTGACGACTTCTTCCACGTCCCCAACCCACGGCACTCGCGCAGCGGCGTTCTTGACCGCACTACCGTGTCGCTTATTCTCTTCAGGGAGTCAACAGTTTTGAGATATTAATAACATTGCAGATCTCGAGGCATTTGACGGTTGTCATTCTCGCTCTCGATGTGCCCTCGTGCCTCCCCCAGTTTCGGGTCTCGGCGCGGCGGTGGCTTGACGGATGGCGTCGATTGGCTCCGGCGACAACTCCCCGACCCGCCCCGAAATGGAGGGTGGCAGCCTGGGGTCGGCTGCCCTCACGGCGTGTCTGCCTGCGTTAATGCCGACGTCCATTTATCAGCCTCATCCTTCATCCGACCGAGCCGCCTATCCACGGAAGTGTGAGTGGAATTTGAGAGGGCCTCGTCGGCGATCAGGGTTCAATGCGACACTGCTGCAACGCCCGAGACAATCTCTTTTCTTCGGGTGTGTGACTCCCGCAGTCGGCCACACGCTGCTGACCGCGTACCCCGCGTGCCCACCCGTCCAAGGATGTCAACCTCATCGCGCTGTCACTGGCAGCCCCGGGCTCGCTGCTTTTCTGCAGCCCGCCGCACCACCGCGAAACCCAAGTCCGGGATGGTTGCCGCTTTTATCAACTTTTAGCCAGAGAGACAGCGTCACGTTGAGGAGCACAAGGCCGGTCTCGCGCATCCCGGTCCCACAGGGGAACACAAGATCGAACGCGAATCCGCGGTGCGAGTGCAACTGCGAGTTGCAACCGCAGCGTACACTCGAACCGGATCCGATGCATACTGGCCGCAAACTGAAAAACGACACGTCGCCCCAACAACGGCCACCATATCTTGACACTTGCGCTTGGGAGGAGACACGACGGTAGACCAGCAGATCCCCCAGCCAGTGTCCCGTCTTGCCGGGATATCCATGGCCACGGCGGGCCCACATCGCCGATGCCGCTCACGGCCCCACGGGCCCCGCTCTGTTTCGGACTCGTCTGCCATGTTTCACAGATCCGCCACAGCGCCGTCGACGCCGCAAATGGTAAGCCGTAAGCGTTGGTGGCCAATGAGCTTACCAACTCGCTCAGTTAACGAGCACGTTGTGTTGTTGTTGCAGCGAGACAGAGTGACCCGTACTCCTGGGACCAACAGTCCAATAGAGGAGTGGCCGGAACAGAAGCAGTAAGCTAGCCGTCCGAAGGCCATCTCCTCTTCAGAACTCTAGAGTCCCTTTTTTTATAGTTTCCAAAGACCTGGCGCGGTGGTGAGGATGTAAAGGCCACCCCATTGCCGCCTCGAGCCAAACATCAGCGCACACTGGCATCCTGCTCCTCTAGCATCTTCTACGCCGCACCCGCCGGCCCACCGGTCTGTAGAATCTCTTTGCCCTAACATCCCCAGTCGGGCACGTCTCGGCCGGTTGGCACTCGAATGGGTCCTTAGTCTCTCGCGGGAGCTCCCCAGTCGACACCAAACACCCACGGCCACGTGAGGAAACACTGCTCGCCTGAAGTGCCGTCTACTCCTCGTTCTGGCTGTTGGGCCTGGGTTTCTGCTTGGCGGTTGCAACAACTAGATCACCTATTCGCCATGTTTGTCTTCTTCTATGCTCTGCTCGTCTGCAGTGTCCCGGTTCCAATAAACTGGACTGGTTTGTTCGCATGTGATATGGTCTGAACTACCTAGCCGTTCCTTGATCATACCTTGTCGAGGATGATACGGTTTTACCGGAACCCTCATCTCATTGGTGGCTTAGGCAGGCACTCGGTAGAGGACGTAGTCTCCGAGCCACTACACTGATTAGCAACCTTCTCGCCTGCAGAAACCATGGCACCCCCGCACCGCTCTTTGGCAGAGACGATTCGTTCGGTGTCCGAGTAGGGGTGTTGTAAGCATCGAGGAGGTTGCAGGGTTCTTGGCTATGGCCTGCCGACGGTCATGGAGCCCAAGATGGTACCCAAGCGCTACTATTGCGGAGATCGGCAAACTGCTTGGGTACATTCGCTCCCTCAACGGCCCTTGGGGGTTGGAGGATCTCCTTGCTAGCCAACCACCGGTTTCCCGGCTCATATGGGTTATCAACACTGGGCATGGTCGCGGCTCTTAGGAGATGAAAAAGGAAAGTCGACTACGAGTTCCTCGGAGCCGCAGAACGAAAAAGAAACTCTCCCGCCGGGAATTGAACCCGGGTCTCGAGCGAAGTCGGTGATGACAAGCTCACATACTGACCACTATACTACGGAAGATTTACAGGTGTGGACACCTGCTGTAGCTGCTGGTTGGTTGGAGGCAGGGGCTGAGAGAGCCATTATAAACTCTTGACACGTCTCTCGACCCGCATGTCTTTACATATACTTGATTCAACCAAGGCTTGGTGTGTAAAGTCGAGGGGAATTGGTTTAACATCTTTGAAATTCAAGGGGCATCTAGTTCTTCTATCGATACAACACACACTGCTATCGCTAGGTACATATTCCAGCCACAGTCAGACACACTATTACCGTCATATATCTCAGCTACACCCATCAACTCTCTCTCTGATTGGGCCCAACAGTACAAGCCCACCTTGACGCGGCACTGATGCTGTGCAACGAGGGACTGAGACACCACGAACTTCAACCCCTTCAGCTTGTTGCCATCAGGGCAATGTGCTTGAGCTCACTGCGCTCACATGTCAGCTTACAACCCACAGCCTGGAACAAGAAAACACAACTCACCTCTGCACCTGCTCGCCCACCTTCATGGGCGGATACTGAACCTCCTCCCCCTCGTCCTTGCCTAGGTTGAACTGCTGGGCCCTGACGGCCCTCGCCTTCTCGGCCAGCGCCGGGATGGGGGCCAGGTCGTGGTCGGACGACAGGTGCCAGAAGAAGGTGGACGAGATGCGGACGAGGGGCCGCTCGGGCAGGCGGGCGCGGCGGTCCTCGATGACGCGCACGGTCCGGTCGTTGACGACGACCTCGTGGTAGCCGGCCTTGACGAGCCCGCCCGTGGCGTGCTCGAGCTGCTTGCCGGCCTGCACGAGCAGGTAGTTGCCCGGCGGGATCTTGACGGGGATGCGCTTGCCCGTGTTGCGCGCCCAGATGTGCAGGCCCGGGTACCGCGACCGGCCGTGGATGGTGAGGAAGTTGAGGTCCGTGTGGAAGCCCGCCAGGATCGTGCCCTCTTGCCCGTACTTGGCGAGGTCGGATGCGGTCGGCGCGAGGAGGTGGGAGCTGCCATGGTTAGGATTCGCGTTGCATGGAAAGGGGGGATTAGAGAGAGCCCTTACCCGTATCGGCCCGCATCTTTGAATGTATCTGCCTCGAGACCCAAGCCAACGGCAGCCATCTGGGTGAGGCCTTCAACACTGTTGTTTGTCAGTCAGCATTCACCTTCGGTGCTCACGAGCGGTCGGTCCGTCATGGTCCACTCACGCATTCTTCATTGATGTCCCCCACTGATTCATAGCCGGCCCCCAGCGCTCCCTGATGTGCGGCGCATCGGGAGTGATGTTGTCCGCGCCTAGGGTTGGGAACTGCGTCTTGTACGGTGGCGGCTCGACCATGCGCCAGAAGAAGCGGCACTTGGGGTCCGGCGAGTGTGCCGAGATGTCGAGCGGGCGCTCCGAAGGGGCCAGCCGCTCAATGACCTGCAGGCAAGGCTCATCGACGGCGCACTTGGGCTTCTCGGTGTTCTCGAGCGTCACGCCGATCTGGTACGCTAGCTCGGGCCGCTCGTCCTTTCGGAGGTCGGCCTCGGGCTGCGCAAAGTAGTCCTCGAGCAGGTCCAGGAAGGTGTCGTTGTCTTGCTCCGACACGCGCGAGTCGTGTAGCACTAGCGCGCCGTACGCGATGAGGGCGTCGGCGGCCTTGACGCACTCGGCCTGCACCGCAGGCGAGTCGCGGGGTTGACCGCGGAAGATGTCCAGGTCGATGACCGGGAGGTCCATCGATAGTTCTTGCGCCGACATGCTGTTTGCGGTTCTGGATGTGAGCTGATCGCAGTCGGCTTAAGGTGAGTGTGTTGCTTGGATCCGCGGAATTCACGAGTCGTGAATGAACGATGAGTGAGTGTTCTAGTCCCGGATCAAACTTTGAATTTCGGTCCAGAAAACAGCCTGGAATTTACTTGGCGATGGAGTTGTTCCGTTAAGAACCCCCAAACAGGAAGGTCTCCTCCACAGACCCCAGGGATACCGAACGGTCGCATGCACCTAAAAAGCAGGTCCAGAGCTCACATGGGGCGAGTCCCCCGACCCCGCCATCGAGGGAACCCGCCAGTCGCCGATGGCCGATAGGAATTGACCCTCGTGGCGAAGCCGAGAACAGCCGCAGGCTGACCAGACGTTGATGCAACCTTGACAGGGCTGTCGCCTGATCCGGGAACCGAAACAAAAGACGCAAAGCCAAGGTTGGGAGCCACAACGGCACAACCAAAAAGATCTCTCCCGCCGGGAATTGAACCCGGGTCTCGAGCGAAGTCGGTGATGACAAGCTCACATACTGACCACTATACTACGGAAGATTTGCTGGTGTGGGCACCAGCTGTAGCAAGTCGCTGTGGGAATCGGCGAGCTCCTTCTGCTTTATTAGGTTCTGCTGCAAGTAACAGGATGCCTTTCGTTTACAAAATTTCTCATCTGTGTTCACGGGGTCGATCAAGGAGCTTGAGACTTTCCCGTCCTTACACGTAGTACGAGACCGTCGATGTGTTCTAGGAGAACTCGCTCGCCTTAGCCCCTCTCCTGCCGAGTGCCGACGGCAACCTTTCCTGGGTGCGGGATCGCTTCAATCGCACGAGTAAGGCTGAATATCGCTTGCTGCTCTTATGGTCCGCTTGGGTGTTCATCCCCAAGTACCTCCCTACCTAGGCACCACAGGCGTTGTTTTCTTTTAGGAGTCTCCGCGGCCCCGCGGTATCATAGTATCCCCATCCCCGCAATCCTATTTATGTCGCGGTGCACATTGCTCGTTCTCTTGTCCCTCATTGGTCTGTGGGGGTAGGACCTTGACGGGCGCTCCAGGCTCGTTAAACAAACGGAACTAATCTGAAGTCGTCCCACGCTCTGGGAAGAATGATAGGTTGAATTGTCGCCCATCGGGCCACTATGCATCCTTTGGGTACTGTACTACTGCGTACTAAGTTTCAGGAATGACATCACCCTCCGTGAGGTGCCAAGAGAGATTGGGCTCAAAAACCCCGCCGTGGTGCGCTGCCAGAATTTCCAAGTTGCTTGAACTTCCTTCGATTTCGACAGTAAATTGTTGAAATTGTTGCCGGAGTACCGAGCAGGAACTTTGCAGTATCAGGAGAAATATATTTTCAACTCACCATGTCTTCACTCGTCGAAACCTTGACTGCCTCGGGCGGTGCCGAATCACCAGGTCAGCATCCCCCGAACCCACAACCCCTCCCCCCTTTTCAAACTCGGAATTCCCATAACAAATAGCTGACAGGAGTGGCTAGGCTTTGTGAATGACCTCATTAAGCAACTATGGCCGAACTTGGCTGTCGCGATTGGTCGCACGGTTAAGAGTGTTGCAGAGCCCATGTTCGCGTCGATGCTGCCCTCGCCCCTGAATACCCTGCGTTTCCTCAAGATGGACCTGGGACACATTCCCATTCACGTCGAGAACATCGATGTCCACAATTCCGACAGCGAGGGCATCAAGCTAGACCTGGATCTTCTCTGGGATGGTACTTGCGACATTGAGTTGGATGCCAACATGATGCCCAAGATTGTGAGCCGTGATTCATTCGGGATCAACCGACAATTTTAGTGGTTCTATACTGATGCCGCCACAGGGAGTCGAGCACGTCAAGCTTCGCGGGAGACTGTCTGTCCTTCTATGCCCCTTGACAAATGTTCTCCCTTGTGTAAGTTACCATATGACCCTCCGCCCTGTTCCCTCTGCCTTCTGTCCCCCGCCCCCCTTAACCCTGGCCCACTAACATATCCCAGATCGGCGCCCTCCAAGTCGCCTTCATCAACAAGCCCGACCTCCAAGTCACTTACACCGACGCCGCCAGCATTGCCAGCCTCGGTGTTCTCGACAAGGCCCTGCGCAACGTGATCCTGAGCATCATATCGTCCATGGCCGTTCTCCCCAACCGGTTCCTTGTCAAACTGGACCCGGCCAACGACTTTTTCAAGACCTACCAGCACCCTCTCGGCGTGTTACGGCTCACGGTCGAGTCAGGCTCCAACTTCGGCGAGGAGCTCGGCCAGACCCGGAACTTCCTCAAGAAGCTCGTCCACGACGTCCCCGACTGCTTCGTCGACGTGAACGTCGCGGGCGGGCCCGAGTGGCGCACCAAGACGGTCAAGAACAACCACCACCCGGAGTGGAACGAGACGCAGGACTTTTTGGTCGCCGACCACGACCAGGCGATCGAGGTGGACGTCAAGGACGACGACACGGCGAGCGACGACGACATTGGCCTCGCGGCCACGACGGTCAAGCAGCTGCTCCTTGCTGGCGGACGGCAGGAGCTGAGGTTGGTGCACAAGCAGGAGCAGACGGATGGGAAGCTGGCGCTCAGCGGGAAGTTCCATCGATTCGTCCCCGACGCCGCGAGCCTCTCGGGGACGGAGGACGGGGTGCTCGGGTTGGTCACCGTGCTGGTGGCGTCGGTCCGGGGCATCACGGGCCGGCGCGAAGACCTCAAGCCGAGCGTCAAGGTCGAGTGGGGCGATCAGCTGTTCAGGACTGCCGTCAAGACGGATGCGCCCGGCACGGATATCGAGAACCCGTCCTTCGACCGGGGCTTCCAGTTCCCGGTCAAGTCGGGCATGGTTGGCGGCGGCGCGCCAGTCAAGATCACCCTAATGGACGCCGAGAACGAGACGGGGTCGGTCGCGGTGGAGCTCGACGAGGTTCTCGGGGCGGAAGGCATGAAGTTGGAGAAAGACTTTGACGTCGGGCATGGTGTCACGGTGCGCGCTGGAATCTGGCTGAGGGGGACAAAGCTCGCCGAGTAGGAGCCTGGGCGTCTCGTCGGAATTACACTCCCCCGCCTCTTGTCTCGTCGGTCCTCTGCGTGCGTGAGGTGGGGGGTTTGTTCACACCGCTTGCGCGGTGGCGCGCCGAGGGATTGGTTGGGTGTGGGTGCAGCTGGATCTGCAGACTGCGAGTGATGGGCGCGCAGGGATGAGCGTGATGCCGCGATATCGATCAGCGTTTGTGTCTAAACGATCTCTCTTTGGACATCGCAACGCTCGTCCATTCTCGACGACGTGTCGCGCTAGTTTGTATGTAGTGAACGCGCTCACCTTCCACTCGGTGTCACCGTCCATACCCACCCTCCCATGATAGTTGGACACCCGGACCTGTTCGTCAGAGGTGACCCTGGGATATCTCGAATTCTCTCACCCTTATTAAGTAAGTAACTCCACACTACCAACCAAGCCGGTTCAGCCAACCGGGGGGCTCGGCCGCTCCACGGAGCTGGACGAGCTGGTCTTGGACGGTGGCATACCGGTGGGTGAATGTTGCATGGCTTCCGGAACGGGTCGGCTTCTGTGCACCCGGATGGACCGTGACATTCGTTTGCCAGCCGTCTCTCGGAACGTCGTCGGGGGGATTACTTACAAAATGGCCTGGTGTGATGGAAATGTGAAGGTGACGGATGGGAAGGGGATCTCTCATCGGTGTCGGCGCGGGAGATCTCTTGACCCCGGACGCCGATCGATCAGCTAGCCGGGGTTTGACTGGGGTGGGAGCAGCTGAATGTCTGGTTTTGGGGCGATCCCAGCCCGAGCACAGCACCCGGTGTCCGGGGCTCGAACTTCAAACACCGCCGGAAGCACCCTTCACGGTTGCCATGCACCTCATGGACAAAAAATGCTGAACTCCATATGCAAATGTCGACCATGGAAATTTCAAGTCCTCGACTGTAGGAACAAAATGAAAGCCATCCTAAAGCCCAGAGGAACAGCATTTACTCCATTTATTTTTCTTCTATATCCCTTTTCTTTTTATTCGTTCTTTTTGCTTGATTTATTACCCTGCAGGTTCCTTTCGAGTTCGGCTTTTTTTGGCCAGACGGTGCCATGTTGTGGAGGGAGAGCGAATCATATCCAAGGCAAGCCTTTGGTTCGGAAGAGGTCCCTTCGGGGCCTGCTCAACGAGCCAAGTCAGATGGCAGGTCGAGGTCGTGATTCGCTGGTGCTGCTCGAGACTGGGACTCACAAATGACACTCTTTCCCTGACCGGCTGGCGACTCGATGCGATGCGGTCACTGGTGGTGTACACAGGATGTCCCTCAGAGCAAGGCTCGCCACAATTCAAACAATCCAAATCTGAAGGCGTAATTGAATTGATTGGGTTAATATTTGATTGCGCTTAATTAGATTTGATCTGTTTGACAGGAATCAATTAATTGCCCAGCCCCATATATAACCCTAACCCCCACCCTCCCCCGCGCCTTTGGCCTTCCTGACTTGCAGTCGCCAATCTATCAACTTGAACAAACGCAAAACGCAGTCAAATTATACCGCCCAACGCCTCGATCTGGCGTTCAATGGTGGGTGGGGGGTGCGCGCCGCCGGGAACGCTTGCGCGGGCGGGGGGGTTTCAAATTCCACTGACTGACTGGCTGGGCCGTCTCTGGGCTCCGGGCGGGCTGGTTGGTTGGTTAGCGATGCGAATGTCCCTGCAAACGGGCCCTGTTGTGGTGGCGCCATCAGGGGTCTAGGTTACACAGGGCAGAGGTTGGTGGCTGTGGCGGGGGCTGGGCTGGTTGTGGCTAGTTCAAATAATTCAAATATAATTGATCAATTTTGCCCTGATATTTGATTGACTGGGTGGCCGAATTGGTTTGTTTGGATTTGAATTTGAATAAACAAATCAAATATATTTGAATTGCGGCGAGCCTTGCCTCAGAGACCCTTGCCGTCCCGTCTCGCGCTCCTGTCACAGCGATCTTCAGTGCCCGGCACGGAGATCCCGATTCGATCGGCCACGGGGGAAGACAGGCTGCGGCGGTTGTCTATAAAAGGCAGACTCGATTCCCTTCAGGGTTGAGCCGTATCTGTCCATCCTCATCCTCATAATCAATCCCCTTACCCTCCACTAGTATACCTCCAAATCCAACTCCCCAAGATGGTTTCTCTTCGCTCTCTCATCGCTGGCGTCGCCCTCATCGCGGCGCCGGTCATGGCAGCCATGGAGCCCGCCGATATCAAACTGACCTTCAACATCCTGGAGGCGAGCGCTGAATCTCTCGAGGAGGTCGCCCATAGGATTAACCCGGTCAATGCCCTTTCGCAGCTTATTCGCCAGGGCCCTCTCCAAGTCAGTTTACATACCTAACTAGTTTTGCTTATCCCCTCCGGAATGTCGCAACTGACCTCGTGTAGGATCTGCTCGAAGGCTTCGCCGAAATGACCTCGACCACTAACGACGCCGATGCCGAGCTGGAGGGATCGTCCCCGATCCCCGACGGCGAAGAAGCCGACGATGTTTTCTACGCCCTCCGCGATGTACGGGGTGTTCACATATTCTTGCCATGTTTTTCATCGCTGACCGGTACCAGTTTGTTCGTCGGCACCAAGTCCTCTCCAACATCCTGATGGGCAAGGCGTCCGAGCTCCAGGAGACCCCCTCTGCCGGCCCGCCGATGGTTGACGCGGTTGGCAAGCTTAAGCTTGCCTACGAGGTGAGGAATACCCCAGTTGCAATGCCAGCGGCCTCCTGATCCCCGCCTCGGTTTCAAACACACAAAGCTGACGCCCGATTAGGCCTTCGGCAATCACACTGCCGCCCTTGTCGATGAGAGAAACAACGATTGGCAGTCCCTGTCCGACGAGCTCTCAGAGACCTTCAAGTACCTCATCCAGGAGTACGAGAAGCTCACCGACCCGACCGCGTAAAGCATAACGGGGACATACTGAACGTACCAATTATTATTGCTCTGTATCACTTCCCAAGTGTGCTTGAATCGTTGCCAGTGTCAAGCGATGACTCATGCAGCCGGGCGAGCAAGGAAGGTCGCCCGGGGGAAGACAAGCAAGCGTGAAGGTCTCAACTGAAAAGGATACCAACCTGGAGCCTAGACTAATAGTAATCGGTTGCCATACATCAATCAACTTTGGGCATTACCCCCTCCCAGACCGTACACGTCATGACCGTTTCGTAAAGAGCCCAGTAGCCACCCCCCCCCCCCCCCTCCCCCCACACAACTTCAATACCGATGCACAAACCGCAGCACATGCCTCACCCCGGCCCAGGCCTCCTCCGCCGTCCCACGGATGTGCCGCTCCGGCAGCCGGAACCCCGCCGCGCCCGCCGCTCCACCGGGCCCCCGACCCCGTAACCCCGGCCGCAGCTCCACCGTGTAGGCGTAGTCGACCCCGAGCACCTCGAACGCCCAGTCGGCGCTGTCGCCCGACGCCGCGTACAGCAGCTCGCACGCCGCCCCGGCCCGGTACTCGGTCCCGTGCGCCGCGCCCATCGCGCCCGCCAGCTCGGCGCCGAGCCAGCGCACGGCGGAGAAGGGTGGGAGCTGCTTGTCGCAGGCGTAGCTGTAGGCTGTGGAGGGGGGGAGGGATGGGTTGGTTGGTTAGTGAGTGCGTGTGGTTTGGGTGCGGGTGGGATTAGAGAGGGCTTTGCTTGGGGCGTGGGTGGAGGGGACTCAGGGACTCAGGGGGTTGGGGTGAGTACGGTACATGACTAGCTGCCCAAACGCGTGCCAGTCTATAAACAGCCTGATGCCTTGCCGGGCTTTTATAGCTTCTAGCTCTGTCGCCAACGCCCTCGTCTCGGGCGCATCAAAGGGCTTGTCGCCGCGGTACGTGCTTCGGCAGGGCCGGGGCGAGGCGCCGCCTTTGCTGGCCCAATGGATGTCCCAGTTTCGGTTGAGGTCGCGGCCGACGCAGGGGCTGTCGGGCTGTGTTTGTCGGTTCTTGCGCCACATGCGGTTCGCGGTTTGGCTGTGGACGAACCCTGGGCCGGGTCAGTTGTGAGAGAGACAGAAGAAAGTTGAGACACACCGTCTGGGTTGACGACGGGGAAGATGTAAAAGTCGAAGCTGTCGAGCGCATGCTTAACATCCCCATCGACACCGTACAGCTGCAGGAGGTTATGCGCGATGTACTCGGTCACCATGGTGCCGATCCATTCCCGCGCATGCATAGTTCCGAAGAAGACGACGGCAGGCTTTATACCAGGACCGGATTTCCCAAAAAGATGGATTCCCTAGATATTCCTCTTTTCGAAGGACCTTCCCGCTGTGAAGATGACCGACCGCCGACGGTGCAGTTTTGAAAGGTCGTGGAGGTACTCAACGTGAGCTTGGTAGTCATGGTATTTGTTAAACCAGGATGACGAGACGAGAGCTGGCCGTTGATGTAAGCTTTTTGAAAGAGGGTTTGAATGCGGGAATCTTGGGGATACTGAGGGAGGGTGTGCTTACATCCGTTCACGGGGAAACGACGGGGATCACTAACTACGGGAGAACGAGTGGGAATGGATAAGCAGAGCCTGAGAAGGCCAAGGAATGCAAAGAGCTTCATTTAAGAGCGATGGCAAAGCGCACAAAGTCAATATTGTAGTTCTAGGGGGGTTTCAAGTGACGCGGGCCGTGTGTTCTCACTCAGCTTTCGGAGGGAGGTGTTACGATTGCCTGGTCGTACCTGCTCGCGAACCCACGGTCCTGAGAGCGTCATTGCCCGAAAGACCGAGGGATGATTGGAAACCATCGGATCGTCGGTGCCAGGTTAGGTACCGGGTGCATTATCAACAAAACACGCCTACGATATCGGGTACTCAGTAGGTAGTCAAGAGGACAGGTGATGTCAAATCTTTAGCGGCTAATCATCAAGCTGGAGATTGTTCACACTACGCCTACCCAGAGAGAACACCGATGCCCGAGGAACAGCGTTGGAGGTTCATGTGTAGATCAGGAACTAGATATTGTATTGTTTGATGTGTATATTAGCCGAGGAATCCCTCCATAGGTATCTCAAAAATAGAATTGTTGCTGGGGTGGCTGCCCTGGCGGTGGGTGGGCCAGGAAGTCAAAGTTCATCGAGTCTAGTCCGGTATTGAACGGGTCGGGAGATTCTCAGTATGTCAGCCAGGGCACTGAGAGGAACAGTCACTGAACTTACCCCAAAAGATGGAATCATACAGGTCCATCGGTGACATGTAGCTGGCTGGGTCAAATGCCATTTCGGGGAGCTGCTGCGCACCAGACCCAGGCGGCATCTGGGTGAAAGGGATGCTATGTGGTCCGTTAGCAGCGATTGAGCCATTCGTGGATTGTGAACGCGTACCCGGCAGAGAAGTCAGCCACCGAGCCGCCGCTCTGCTGTTGTAGCTCAGTCATGGCCAGCGCTGCGTTCTGATGCGGATCTAGACTCGCCGGCAAAGACCGCGGGTCTTGGACCATAGTGCCGCCACTGGTGAGAAGCCCGGTCGGCGGTAGGTTCGGCAGCGGCGTGCGTGTGCCTGACGCCGTGCCGGAAATACTCCTTTCCCTTTTGATTTGGGGACCTACGACAGACCCGTGGTCGTAAATGTTCTTGAGCGCCGCCAGGGCTCGCGACAGCGGACCGGACAGCTCGATGTCCAGGTCCGACTTGCGGATTTGGGGGTGGGGCGAGGTTTGCTCCTTGGCCGCGGTCGCCGATAGGGCGGAAATGAGGTCCCCTTGCAGCTGTCGGACCTCGGGGTCTGCTTTCGTCTCGCCCAGGATCCCCAAGAGGACGGCCGACGACAGGCCGTGGTAGGTGAATGCCCAGGAGCGGGTCGGTATCACGGACAGCTGGTGCATCGCGAGGAACATGCGCACGGTCTCGGTCAGATTCGCCTTGCACCTATCCGCGAGGAACTTCTTCTGCCCTGCTTCGAGATGGTTGCTGTCTCGCCGTATCAAGGCAGGTCGGCAGCACACCGATATCATAAACGACGTGTGCAGCCGTATGGCGAAGTGCTGGAGCCTGTCCATGGCTGACTTGCACGCCTCCTTGCTGCGCAGATGGATCGACAGGTTGTTGCGGATATTCTCGACCGCCTCGCAGTTGTCGAGAATCTCAGCGTACGTGGCGTTTGCGATGGTATCGGGATTTAATCTCTGGGATATGATTTGGCACAGGTTGAACATGGCTTCGAGGTACGCCCATCCTTCGGTGTTCGCGGATGGGGACATCGGGATTGGGCAGCAGGGGATGTTTGTCATGGGAGAGCTGGCGAACGTCAGGGGTCTAGCCAACTTTGTTCATCTGGCTGGGGGCTTACCGGTCGAAAGACAAGGACGTGAGCGTATCGTGCCAGAGGCATGTCCACCTGGAAACATCAGCATCCGGCAGGAGGGTCGTCGGGTCCAGGCGGCTTACCATAGCTTCCTCCTGGCTACTTCCTTTCTCGCGGCATCCGGGGTCTGCCGCCCATCCAGCGGTTGTGCCCGATGCAGGCCGAGTGACTGGGCGAGCCGGCAGGTGAGGCCGAGCAACGCCCACGAGGCTTCGGCCTTCATGTCGTTGAGCAGCACGAAGCTGGTCATGAGCAGGGCTTGTATGGAGTCCAGATTCGGCCTGGGGGGGTCAGTGGAGCTCGAAATGGGATCAAGAGTGTGCGTACCTCAGTAGAAAGTTCCCAATCCTTAGGAAGTGGAACGATATCTGAATGTACTTTTGCGAATCCCTCGTCCGCACATGGTAAGGCGAGTCATGGTACTGGGAGCCGACGGCAAGGACAGCAAACAGTATCGATAACCAGGACGCCGATACCGCCTTTGTGGACTTGGTAGAGGATTTGGCATTCTTAGCTCGGTCCTCGAGGTAGACCATGAGGCGGGATTCAAGGTCGTCGATGTCGATAACGAAGCCCCAGAACGGTTGCGGAATTTCCTTGTATGTTCGAAAGAGCCTGGCAACTTGTCAGCCCGCTCCCCGTTCTCAAAACCCCTTCCCCATAATCAAACATCACCCACTTCATCACCTCCCGGTCGGACGGCAGTTCAGACGAAATGTCCAGGGTCAGCCTGTCCAGGTGGCGCGAGGACATCAGCGGGAAGGGCGCCGAGTTGTCCAGGCCGAGTAGGGAGCGCATGTCCTGGCGGATGCCGCTGACCTCCTGGGGCTCGCTGGCGGAGGTTTGTTCTCGAAGTAGGGCTGGTATGCTATTCTGGCCCACATAACGCGTCGTCTCGGTGTTGTCGGGTTCTACACGCAGGACACAAGGCGGGTGAGACATGGCCGCGGTTAAACGATCCGGGTGCGCAAATTCACTCACCGTACGCGCTTATGGCTTCCCGGGCTTCGTTGCTCTGGCTCCTTGATTCCGATTCCTCGGGGGAACGCGCCCTCTTCTTCCCAGACGCAGGGTGTTCCGACGTGCTCGATATGCTCTTCCCGGTGGCTGACCTGTTGGGCTTGTAGGAGCACAGCTGCGGATGCTCCCTCTTGATGCAGTTCTCACACGGGCTCTTGTTGTCGCACTTGACTTTCCGCTGGCGGCACGGCCAGCACGCGGTACCTGTCACGACGACGTAGTTTGAGTAACCTATTCCTATCACCGATTGGGCGGCGGCGCAGGTCGACCCCAGAGACCAGTAGCGCTGATAACGACATCTAAGATAACTCGGATGGCAACCAACCCACTTGGCCTCGGGGGTCTGGCCGCCTGGCGGGGCTTCGGGGTATTCGGGGACAAGCAAGGTCCACATACCGTAGCGCACTTTGCGATGCGAATGGATGATGCGATTTGCTTCTTCTGGTGTCAGATCCTCGAGACTGGGGCTCTCTTGTGTGTCCGACATTTTCTAGAATGATCGGGCGGGGCGTCGGACGGGGGGAGCGGACGGGTAGGACCGTTGGATGGGGGGGATGGGGGCGCCGGGAAGGGAATCCGAGTGAGGCCCGAAGGAGGAGTCCCCGTCGGCAGTCGAACTGACGCGAGTCTGTCCCGCTTGGAGAAGTGGGGTTGGAAGGGCGATAAGGGAGGGTCGCTGGGCTAATTGACGTTGGGGGGGAGGATGTTGGGCATTACCAAGCCGAATGACAAGAATTCCTGGATAACGAGCACCGGATGTTGAATACCGATGCAAATCCGAAATGTCTGAAAAGGCGAAGAAGAAGCCGACAGACCACAGTCGGTCAGAGCGGGAGTGGGGAAGTTCGGGATTGGCGGCAAAGCTTGACTTCAAAGCTGGGACCACTGTGGGGCCCACCAGAAGAGTAAAAGGGCGCCGAGTGCCCTAGAGCGCTGACGGCAATTTGCGTTCTGCAACTTCCTCCAACCCACCTCGGGCAACGCGCTCTTCCATCACCTATGGACGGGAACCTTGGAAGGCTAGCAACCACCGACCCGACTATCATCACTAGAGAAGGGAATCCCGTCCTTGGGTTGCTATGTTTGCATGGGATGCCATCAACAGCACGACTCGGGGTTGCGAAAATGGATGTGACGGTTGCGGAAATGCCCCCACGAAGGCTGGGTGCTCTAACTTGGCGGGGATGCGATGCGGTGGAACGCGCCTCTTGCAGCTGAGGCCTGCAAGACCTGCGAGGCCTGCAACTTTTCGAGACCACCACAATCGCAAAGCCCCAATGCGAGGCATTTACCCAATGTGTCAACCACCAAGAGCTGAACTTTTGATCTGACCTTTCCTCCCAAAAAGGAAGGGCTTCGCGAGAAGAAGGCTGGCCCGTGCACCCTCGCCTTGAGGCCCACCAGATCTTGAAGTGTTTTGATGAAACATAATTTATCTCGCGAGCTCCCGATCCGCTGCAGCCGCTCGACTGCTCTCTACAGGGTTTCCCCTGCACCAGTATAACTTTGCGCAGACCTCCCATGGCCCGTGGAACTTGCAAGTACATATTGCTTCACATTGCGCTTGATCAATTGATCGCAGAAAGTCATGGGCGCGACTCCAGGCCCGGCGATCCCGGTGACACCGAATAATAGGCGCATGGTGGGCAACATCGCCGTCGAGAAGGAGATCCGCAAACTGAACAGCGACTACGGACTCGGCATTGAGATTCCCGACCCGACTCTTAGCCCGTCGCGCCGCAAGCAGCTCGGCGAAGAGGACGAGCAGTACGCGCGGTGGGACCGCATCTGCAGCGGAATCCAGTTTCTCTACTACCAGCGAGGCGACACGCTCGACCAGGCACTCGCCTCTTTTTTCAACGAGGCCAAGGCAGCGAGCCTGCGCTGGGTGCCCAAGCCTCGCGCCGAACCCGGAACGCTTCCCTCATCAACAACACCCCCAAAGGCGCAAACCGCCGGCCAGCAGTGGAACTTGCAATCCATCCTGATCAGCGTCATTGACAACTTCAAGGTTCTCATGAGGCCTACCTTGTTGGTCCCGAAACCGAATGGCAGTACTAGCGTTGCTGGCCTCGCGCCAATTCTCGCGTCCGGTGACGAAGGGGCCTCTGGTTCACCCAGATCGGGTGCCGAATCCCCCGAGTCCCCCGGCTCCAAGCGGTCATACGATAGCGACGATGACCACGGCGCCAAGCGACTAAGAGGGAAAGCACCCGCAAGCTCCCGCGGCCCATCCCCGACCCCATCGGCCTTCACTCATGCCCTAGACAAAGTGCCCACCCGCCGGCACCTTGGCCAACCTCCGGAGCGCTGGACTCCCGAGCGGCGACGGCCCGACGAGCGGCGACGGCCAGACGAAGAGCGAAGCAACTCCAGTGATACTTCCGACAGCAGCAAGGTGTCGAGCATCTTTAGCAATCGTGATCGGCAGCAGTCGACCCAGACCACTCTGGACAGGGCCTCACAGGAGCCGAAGCGCCCTCTCGGCACTCCGATTCCCGCACGCCCCTCCACGCAGTTCAGTATCGCCCATCGGTCTGCTCCCCAAGCACCTGGGTCCCGCGGCCTAACCGAGACTGCTCCGAAATCGTCCCCCCGATCGTCCACTGCCACTGTGAGCACTGTCTACTCCGACTCGTCCGTCTTGAGCAGTTCCTCGCTGGATAAGGCTTCGGAGCCTTCCTGGGACCAGGTGGATGATTTTCTGGATACCAGCAAGCCCACCCCTATACAGAAAAGGCTGCAAAACATTTGGCGTAAGTCAGCCAAACCGTGTGATTGAGATGATTTCGTCTTCTTACGCCGTACAGCCAAGTTCCCGCGCTGGCTCCGCGACGCGCCCCTCGCCGTCGCATGGGAGATCACCCGGATCTGCCTCCACTGCAAGGTCGAGATTGACGATGACACCGTAAAGTACGATCCCGGGTGGGCCAAGTCGGACATGCTCGGCATCTGGCGGAGCTTGAGCCAGCTCGAACCCTTCCGCGGGAAGTCGTTCCCCGAGCGCCCAGCGGCAGAAGTGTTCGCGGCAGCCCTGGCGGGCTTTGAGACGAGGGGAAACACCGTGGTAATGTCGGCCGCGTTGGAATTCAACCCGAGCAAATCCGGCCCTTTGTTTCTGCTGGACATGAAGCCGCTTCGATTCGACGAAGGCTGCAGGCTAACACGGCGCTTCGGCCCAGATCGCTTTCTGGAGGTCCTCATCCCATCTCCCACCGCGATGAATGCGCCTCCGATCATCAAGGACACGGACGGAGGTTCAGATCAGCTCATCCGATGGCTGACTCAGAAGCCACACTCCTTAGTTGGGCGGCAATGGCAAGCCTTTTACTCAAAGGACGCAGGCTACCGAAAGCCGGCGAAGGATTTCAAGCTTGGCCCGGACGCCAAAGCCACATTCAAGGAAAGAGTGCATTTATTCGCTGAGAACGGCCCCAACTTTCGCCCTACCGCCATCCGTTCGAGACACGACATCCCTTCCGACACGGCGCAGCAGCGAGCTCAGATCAAAGTTAGCCACATGTTGGACTGGCTTCTTCAGCTAGAGCAAAACGAGTGGCAGCCCCACTTGAAACTCTTCTCGCGCATCCAGCTGGGCTTGAGCAAGACGTTTCCGGCCGTCAAATTCGAGCCCGAACAGATCCTCCACCACCCCGAGGACATTCTGTCGCCCACCGGAAAAGTCATGAACGACGGCATCGGCCGCATGTCACGTAGCGTGGCGAAGAAAGTTCGAGATGCCCTCGGGCTGAGCGACATTCCGTCCGCTCTCCAAGGGCGGATGGGCTCCGCCAAGGGGATGTGGTTGATGGACGTGACCGATTCCGGAGATAGCGACTGGATCGAGACATACCCGTCGCAACGAAAATGGAACTGCGATTATATCGATCCGTACCATAGGACACTCGAGGTCCGCAGTGTGGCCTCGGAGCTGAAGTCGGCTGGTCTGAACCTGCAATTCCTGCCCGTCCTGGAGGACAGGGCCAGAGACAAGAGGCGTATGAAGCATGCGATCGGGCAGCGGCTCACGAACGATTTGGAGAAGCAGTTCGAGATTCAAAAGACGGCCCTGAAGCGCCCTTTGCAGTTTCGACAGTGGGTCAGCGAGAACTCCAACAACCGGACGGATCGCGTCAAACACGGACAAGTCCCATTCTTGGGTGGGCTCCCCGACAACAAGGGCGAGGTTCTGAACTTCCTCCTAAACAGTGGATTTGACCCAAAGTCGCAAAAGTACCTGCAGGATCTGGCGTGGGACCTGCAAAAGCAAAAGTGTGATATTCTCCGGACCAAGCTCAACATCAAGGTGGGCCGATCCGCCTACATCTACATGGTGATCGACTTTTGGGGTGTTTTGGAGGAGAACGAGGTGCATGTCGGCTTTTCGTCCAAATTCCGGGATGAATCAGATGACATCTCATACACGCTCCTGGCGGACTGCGATGTCCTTGTCGCTCGTTCACCAGCCCACTTTGTCAGCGACGTCCAGAAGGTCAGGGCCGTGTTCAAGCCGGAGCTGCACGCGCTCAAGGATGTCATTGTTTTCTCCGCCAAGGGAAACATCCCGCTCGCCGACAAGCTGTCGGGAGGCGACTACGATGGCGACATGGCCTGGGTGTGTTGGGATCCGGACATTGTCGAGAACTTTGTCAACGCCGACATGCCGGTCGAGCCGGATCTTTCCGCGTACCTGGGCAAGGACAAGACGACCTTCAAGGAGCTGGTGCGCCAAACGGGGCAGACCGGCAACCATGCTCGCTACGAAGCGGTCTACGACATGATCAACAAGAGCTTCCAGTTTGCGATGCAACCAAATTATCTGGGAATCTGCACCAATTACAAGGAGCGCGTATGCTACCACAACAACAGCGTCAACAACAGAGCTGCCGTCCTTCTGAGCAGCCTGGTGGGTAACTTGGTCGACCAGAGCAAGCAAGGCATCATCTTTAACGCCGAGAGTTGGGATCGGCTGCGGAGGGACTACTTCCACGGCAAGATGTTTCTCGAGGACCCTGCGTATAAGGGCGATGGCTGGGGCGGCACAGAAGAGCCGCGCCACATTATCGATTACCTCAAGTTCTTCATAGCCAAACCGGCCATCGACCGTGAGCTCCAGTCATTCCATGAGTCCATGACAGCCGCGAAAGGCTCCGCGGCTGAAGCGTCTGGAGAAGGGGCTCACTGGTGGGACCCAGACCTGGCCATGCACTATGAGCATTTCAAAACCCTCGCCAAGTCATCCCGCTCGTTGAAGGGCCTGCTAGACGCACTAACCAACGCGATCTGCGGCGTCGAGCGTGAGTGGAAGCTCCTCATGAGCAACCGCGACGGCACTCTCGGGTACCCGGACAAGGTCAAGCGGGTCTACGCGAAATGGCTCGAGGTCGACCTCGCCTCGGTCAGCAGCACGGGCTCCAACGTGATCGACTCTAAGACGGCCGGACTGCTGGGGCAGCCGTACCTTGTTGAGCGCGGGGCGGGCGCGACGAGCCTGTGGGCGCTGCTGAAGGCGAGCCTGGCGTTCAAGGTGTACTACAGGATGAGCACCAAATTTGTCTGGCAGATAGCCGGGTGTCAGCTCGCGTTTATCAAGGCGCAGGTGACCTCGGGCGTTGCGGGCAATGGGCCAGACGGCATGGCACTGCTGGTTACGCCCCACATGTACGCTGGGCTGGCGCCCGACGGGCGGTTTGTCAAGCAGTACATGGCGCGGCTAGAGGGTGACGGGTCCGAGTATCCCGACGCGGACGACGGTGAGGAAGATGGCGGCGGAGGAGGGAGAGGTGATGACGTTGACTGACGCCGTATGAGTGACGTTGCTTTTCGATTTTGGTCGCGTTTCCCATTTTCTATTTTGCTCATCTCATGGATGGACCTAATCGACGGACTTTTAGGGATGAATTATGAACGGCCAGGATTATCTCATCTTTGAGCAGTCATTTTCACACGCCGATGGCGTCTTTTTCTTTTTTTGCTCTTGGTAATATTGCTAAGTAGCGTTGTCTGGTTTTTGATTGCTGTTTTATCGGAGCGAGCAATGTTGTAGCGTTTTTTTAATCGCCAGGTTGGCATCATGTCTATGGGATACGGTACCAATAGGAGCCGGAGTCGAACAATGTTGGGAAACGATGATGGCAGAGATATGGCTGAGACGCTGATTTTGACTTTAGTCTAGGTATTATTATGATCTCTCAGAGTTGGTGAGCTCACTCACCCTTAGTACAAGAAGTTCCCTTTCCCCCCTTTCCAACCTGCTCGTGTGGCGACCAGGAGAGTGTCGTACGTACATACAACCCCGCCCCCTCGGCATCACTAGCACCCATATGCGGTTAGAAACGACAAAGCGGGCTTCACGATCCATGCCGCCGCTGCAACTGCCGGTCGGACGCAAGACGACACCACTCAGGGAGCCCCTCGGTCGTCTTCGCCCGTATTGGCGCCACACCCGTTCCGTCGACAGACATCCTCTGTCTCTCTTGGCGACTCCTCAGTCAATAACGACTCGCCCCGAGACCGACTGCTCAAAGCGGAAGCCAAGACTTTCGTTGCATGGTTAATATTCCCCGGGGGTTGGAGTTTGGAGTCCCATTCGAGGCCCGGCTATTTCCCCCCGGATCTTCAACTCTAACTCGGAGTGGCAGACCCAGAACAACCAAGCCGCTGCAACATGGGACGGGATCAAGCCTCCAGACCCGGAAGGAATTGACTCTCTCCCCACTTATTCCTCCCGGCCGTTGGATAAGCTTTCAAAGAATCCACAGCGGTTGATTGCATGCCGAGGGACGGTACCATGTGACGGGTCAAGCCCGAGCAACTTGTCATTGCTGAGAAAGACGGGTTCTGCATGATCTCATCTCCGCATCCTTTAAACCGTACCCCCAGAGAGAACATGGCAATGGAACCACATATAACCCCTGCTGGCCGTTGCTCCGGCAGAGACGGCCAAGGGACTCAGTATGGTTTCCAACTACGGCGCCTCCTATTGTCCAATCGGCAATTCTCCTTGCCTCCCCACTCCGCCGACTGATATCACGCACCCTCCCTCTCGGGAGTGGCCCGGTGGTTGTCTCGGGCTTGGCGGACCTGGATGAAACTTGTCGATAATCTACGAACGTAACCCGAGCACAGCATAGGCACCTCGCGGATTTGGTTCGGCTCCAAGTTGCCGAGGAGGGGGAGGGAGGAGGCGAGTTCTTCCGCAGGGAGAAAAGAGCGGCAGTGGTTCATGCTACAAAACGGTGTGACCTCCCAGGGCCTCTCTCGCGCCTAGGACCGGCTCGACAGTTTTACTTGGACAGACCTTTGTGCGGTCAAGAGTCCTCGAGATGAAGTTTTTCCGAAACCAGGAACGAGGTGGTGCCCTCGGCACTCTCCTCTCCTTGGCCCTCCTGGCCCAGAGCCCGCTGACGGTAGCGCAAAACGCCCCTGCCGACGGTGCTGTCTACGACTACATCGTGGTGGGCAGCGGCCCAGGCGGGGCTGTGGTCGCAGTCAACCTCGCCAAAGCAGGACACTCCGTCCTTTTGCTGGAGGCGGGCGACAACAACCCCGGCCAGGGCTTTGGGCGTTACACTCCGACCGTGACTTGGGACTTTTACGTCAAGCATTACCCGGAGGGCGACCCCCGCGACAACCAGTACAGCCATCTGACCTGGCTCACGCCCGAGGGTCGTTACTGGGTCGGCCAGAGCGGCGCGCCGGCGGGCTCCCAGCTCCTAGGTGTCTACTACCCGCGCGGTGCGACGCTTGGCGGGTCCTCCATGATCAACGCCATGGTGTGCTGGCTTCCGAGCGAGAGTGACTGGAACTACCATGCCGAAGTGACTGGAGATGACAGCTGGAGGTACGTTCACAAACGTTTCTAAACCGCAGCAGGACGCTCACTACTCTAGGGCCGAGAACATGCACAAGATCTTCACCAAGATCGAAAAGAACAACTACGCCACGGCCGGCACGGCCAACCACGGCTTCAACGGCTACTTCCAGACGCAGATGGGCGCGATGCAGCAGTCCAAGCAGACGGGCCCGCTGCAGGGCAACAGCGTCATGGCGGCCTACGCTCAGGACTGGAAATCGACCATGTCCATGTCCAACCTGCTGATCCGCGACCCCAACGAGATCAGCGCGACGCGCGACCAGACGTCGAGCATCTACGGCCTCGTCAACCACCAGTACGCCAACGGCAACCGCTACAGCTCGCGCAACTACGTGCAGGAGGCCGTGCAGGCGGGCGCCAACCTGACCGTCTCGCTCACCTCGCTCGCGACCAAGGTGCTCTTCGACACGACCGGGTCCGAGTGCGGCGACGGCAGCACCCCGCGGGCCACGGGCGTCGAGTTCCTGTTCGGCAAGTCGCTGTACAAGGCCGACAACCGGCGGGCGGCCAACGCGGAGGGGGTCAAGCGCACCGCCATAGCGCGGCGCGAGGTCATCATCTCGGGCGGGGCCTTCAACTCGCCGCAGCTGCTGCTCCTGAGCGGGATCGGCAACGCGACGGAGCTGGCCCAGTTCGACATCCCCCTCGTCAAGGACCTGCCCGGGGTGGGCCGCAACCTGATGGACAACCAGGAGATGCCGATCGTGGGAAGCGGCAGCGGCGGCAGCGGCATGGCCGGGGTGGCCATGTACAAGACGCAGCACCCGGCGCACGGCGAGCGCGACATGTTCCTGATGGGCGGGCAGGGGTTCCTGTTCCGCGGCTTCTGGCCCGACAACCCGGTGCGCGTGCCGGCGGACCCGCGCCAGCCCTACGGCGTGAGCATGGTCAAGGGGTCGAGCGTCAACAACCAGGGCTGGGTCAAGCTGCGCAGCGCCGACCCCATGGACACGCCCGAGATCAACTTCAACCACTACGCCGCCGGCGCCGAGTACGACCTCGAGGCCATGAAGGACACCGTCGCCTGGATCCGCACCGTGTACAAGCGCGTGGGCATCACGGCCGTCGAGCCGCCGTGCGCCGCGGGGCCCGATGCGAACGGGTACTGTGGCAAAGAGGACGAGGACTGGATCCACAAGCAGACTTTCGGGCACCACCCGACGTCGACGAACAAGATTGGCGCGGATGACGACCCGATGGCGGTGCTGGACTCCAAGTTCCGGGTTCGGGGAGTTAGCGGGCTGAGGGTGATCGACGCGAGTGCCTTTGCGAGGATCCCGGGTGTCTTCCCGGCGGTGTCGACCTTTATGATCTCGCAGAAGGCAAGCGATGACATGCTGGCTGAGTTGGAGGCCGGAACTGCGCTGGAGCAGTGCTGACCTTACCCTCGGGGATGTTTCAGGGAGTTGGAGTTCGATGGAAAGTAGGTGATGTGGAGAATGGCATCGTGTGAAGCGATTCTTGTCGAAAATGCTATGATCGATCTCTGCGAATCCGGTGTTGGAACGTGGAAGTGGGCAGTTCATCGCTTGCGAGTGACATGGTGGGCAACCCCTGAGCTCAACGCGGGGCTGCTACCTTAAGGTAAGTGGCCGGCACATGATGGAGGGGTTACCTTCACAATCACAACTTGAATGGGTAGCATGCTCAGGTACACGGCATGATACAACATAGCCGTCGAAGGACTCGGTGGTACCTCTTCCCATTGGGTGCCACCTTGTAAGTGGAGAGGCGGATACCCCAATGATAAAGCTCTACTTGGTGCGATATTTTCGAACTCTTGCAGCAACTCGGGCCTGTGGTGCAGTGGTTAGCATACTTGCTTTGGGATAAGATTCCTTTCTGCAAGTGGTCCCAGGTTCGAACCCTGGCTGGCCCCCTTTTTGTTTCCCACATCTGTCGATGTAGCGAGTCATACCGGCAACGCCGCTGGGCGGCGTGGTTGCTCCCCACCTGTTTGCTGTGGGAGTCCCAATAAGTATGGACATAGGCGTTACGAGCCGAGTTAGACGTGGTTTGATGGGAGAGGTATGATTCTCTTTTGCTGATTTTGATTTACCACCATCGACATTCACCCCTGAATCAAACGGCAAACACCTCGTTTGCTGCCGCCGAGAGCAGCTTCGCAGCAGCGAGATACAACCCTGGCCCAACGCTCACTCTCGCTGTGCCTAATTTGGCAAGGTCGGCGCTGGTCAACGCCTTGGTCTGCACCGGAGAGACCTTGCGCGGCTGGATGTTGGTCCTCCCGTCCAGCTCGTCAATCACGCGCTTCACATCAGCCTCGACCATCTCCTTGACCGGGGGCCAAAAGACGTAGACCGTCGTCGCCCCCGCGTCCAAAAACTTCTTTCCCCGCTCGATCGACACGTCCAACTCCCCGCCCTTGAGGAAAGTATCCGACCTGGCGTTGACCACAAAGTCCGGCACGCCCACCTCAACCGCAACCTTGAGGGCCCGCCGGACCCTCTCCAGCGCCTCGGCCTCGTCCATCATCTTCCCGGTGCGGAGGAACGAGTCCTCTAGGTTAACGCCCACGGCGCCCAGCTCAGTGATGGCGCGGCGGATGACCTCCTCCAGCCGGTCGCCGTAGCCGTCCTGGATGTCGATGGTGAAGGGCAGATTCAACTCGTGCGCCACGGCGGCGATGGGCTTGAGCAGCGCAAAGTTCTGCTCCAGCGTGAGCTCGTCGTCTTCCACCCCGATGGTTTTGGCGAGAGCATAGCTTGCGGATGCTAAGGCGCGGCATCCTGGAAGGGAGCCCACGATACGAGCTGAGGTGGCGTCGTATACGTTGGCGAGGAGGAGGGGGTTGCCGGGGACGTGGAGGGCTTTGAAGGTCTTGGCTTGGGCCGCGAGGGCCGTGATGGAAGGGGTGGTCATGGTGAGGGGGTTGATGTTGTGAAGTGGGAGTGCTAATGGTGGTTGAGAGAGTGCTAATGGTGGTTGAGATGGACAGGGTGGTCTATAAGTTCTTAGTGGGCTAAAATATAAGGAAATCAAGGAAGGCTGTTTCTCTTCGTTCGTCGTTGGCGGCTAACTTTATACTTCCCTTGCTTCTCGGAGAAACCGTGTGAACCCGTCGGGCTTCGGAGCTTTCTGCGGGCTGCTGACACATCTGAACCCCGCTTGGCCCTCCCGACTTTGTAAGCCTGTGTATCAAAGGGCGCGGTTCTGGCTCCCAGGCCGAGAATGCCTGATATCGCGTTTGAGCGTGGGGTTGGCGACTGGTGATGTTCACGCCGGACCCAGTACAAATTGCCCGTTTCGGAAAACGAACCTCGCACCGCATTTTAGGCCTTGGGTCAACGAAAGGGTATTATTTAGACGATCATGAAAGCACGCTCTGTCGTCATTAATTATTGGAGAGAAACTTAAATAGTTCATAACATCGTAAAGTGGAAAAGAGATCATCTAGACATGAAAAAGAAAACAAAGCTCCTGACAATGCATCGCCCGCTCCTGATGGATCATGATGGTGGTACAAATGTTGACAACCGTCCCTCAACCCGTGAACAAGCGAGCTCAAGCGGTCATGACCACGAGCACACAGCCTGACTACCTCCCCAAATAACTCCATGCCACCCCCATGGTGTGCTAGGCCGCCTAGAGGGCCAGTCCGATCGCAACGCGCAGCTGCATAGGCGGCCGAAATCCAGGGCAGTCGGGGATCTCTGTGGCGGACCTGTTACGAGCCGTCACGGCCCAGCACAACCCAGGGGTCGACTTCCTCGTTCGCCTCCACCACGTCCATCGTCGCCGACAGTGCATTTCCATCTCCATCGAGCATGGCCCAAGCCATCTCATCCCTGTCCTCTCCGCCACAAAAAGAAATCTCCGAAACAGAAATGGAATCAAGGAAATCATCATCCGCCGACATGGCAGAAACGGCGTCATCAACCAGCTCGTAAACGACCGTCAACCGGGGGGTATCATGCGCAGTCTCCATCCAAGGCCGGGGCTCCTCCAACGCCGGGGTATCTGATGAAGCAGAGCCAGAACCAGAACCAGAAAGCAGCCACCCCGCCCAAGCCTCGTCCGCGCCAAACGCCGAGAACGCCAAATCCACCGCCGACAAAGAAAGACCATCCGCCGCCCTCTCCTCCCGCCTCGCCCGCTTCGCAGGCCGCACCCGGAGCGAGTAGACCGGCTCGTCGCGGACGATGCCGTCCAGCGAGAAGCCCTCGCCCCGCTCGTGCTCGTCGTCGTACAGCAGGCCCATGCGGTAGAGCTCGGCCACCTCGGCCTGCTCGTCCCTCAGGCCACCGCCGTCATCCTCCTGCTCGTCCTCCCACTCCCGTTGCTGCCGTTGCCGCCTCCGCTTCGCCGTCTTCTCGTCGCGAAACGCGTCCTGCCGCTCCAGCGACGGCGGTCGTCGCCCCGCGGCCGAGCTGGCACTGCTACTCCCATCTCCATCTTCACCCCTACCACCACCACCACTACTACTGCTGCTCCGGGTACTCCTGCTCCGACTGCTCGACCTTCCACCTCCCCGGCCACCGCCGTTACTACTGCTGCTGCGTTCGCCTGGTAGTTGGATGGCGGACCGGGCTAGAGCGCGGCCCTCGTCGGCGTCGGCGGCCCAGGGGCTGCGCGGCTTTGCGTGGTGTGTGTGGTGGGCTTGGCGGAGGCGGTGGCGGTGGAGTCTGCGGTGGTGGTTGTTGGTGGTGTTGTTGTGGTTTGGGTTGGACCGGGAGTGAGGACTCGGCTCCGAGCCCGCCTTTAGGTTGTGGCGGGAGGCAGGGTGCGGATGGAGTCGACTAGGGCGGTTGGTGCGGCGGCACCGGGTGTGGTAGTGGTAACTTAACGGTTCGGAGAGGTCCGGGTCTATGTCGGAGTCGGAGGTCGTGGAGGGTCCGCCAAGGGACGGGGCCCCCGGGTTGGGGGAGATGAAGGAGGTGGAGTTTCGGAGGGGGAGCCCCATGGTGGGCTTTTATCTCGTTAGATCACAAAGTTGTAAACCTGGCCTTTAGGTGTTCGGTGTTGTGTTTCGCCGGTCAAACTCGGTGACTGTGAGGCAGTGTGTGTGTGCCTGTTGCTCATGCCTGCTAATTGCGTGAGGACTCGCCGGTGATGCGAGCAAATCGTCAAAAGTGTCTGACCGAAACGAGGGGAAGACGCCAGAACAAGGGAGAAGGGTTCATTGTCTTATACAATAGGGCGCATTGGGTTGACCTTCGGGCCGCTTATTGGCCTCATCTGTGACAATGCTGGAGTCATGATGCGCCGGGCAAGGCCTCAACCGCCGTGTTGGGGGGCTGAGACAGGGCCCGATTGGTGCATCCTGCCCTGTGAGTCACGCCCCACGGCGGCCCTGCCCTTTCGGGACCGTGGTGGTGGCAGGGCTAGGCAGAGCTGCGGCCTGGCACGACCTGGGTGGTCGCGTCTTCCAACCCCTGTCGTTGGCTCAAGGCAGAATCCCCCACAATTAAGGCTGTCATCTGATGTTCCACAAGCCATTGGGAAGGGGGCCAGCCAGTTGGGAGGACCGGCAAAATCCTGGGGCGGTCATCTGAAGCATTTTAAGCTTATCAATGCCGAACAAATTCACGGACTGGTTTCTTCTTTTATTTCAGTGGTTCGTACTTTGGAGGATGAGCACATGGTTCTCAGTGACGACCCGGCCCAGACCCGGCGGCGACTCCGACTCGGACCCAACAGCACTCAACTTTTGATTGTACAGGTGGCCAGCTTGTTGTCACACATAGGGCTGACGTCTTTTGCTTGGGCGTCGAATTCCATTCAGGTTCCACCGGTCTTGGATTTCCGCAACCAACCCGACCGCGCGGGACAGCGCGGGACAGGAGCACGAGGAGTCACAAGACACATACGCAGATTGGGACGAGCAAATGCAGAGAATGAGACAGGAACATGAAGCCTGGTCTGGAAGCACGATTTAGATTGTCTGCCCGCCCTTCGAACTGGCCAATCTGGAAGCGTCACCACTCTCGCCACATGACGGACGGTCTCGAGTACAGCGGCCCCTCTTCACTGGTTGGGCCGTTTTCCGGAAGTTCTGGGGCGGGCGGCTCCTTTTCCATGCCTGCTGGAGGACGAGTCGTGTAACGTCGAGCGATGGGCCGGGACTCTGTTCACACACGTTTCTGCGTCTTCTTGGTGCTCTCTGGGAGTGTACGGAAGACCACTTTGTAAATCGTGCTACATCCAGCGCAGTTCATTCCTTGCACGCCGACCATCCGAGGTGAATTTGCTGAACTGTAAGGGAAAACGGAGGCTCGTCGTCCCAGCCGCCCGAATTGGACGAGGACCCGGAACTCACTGTGGCCCGCGTCTCCATCTGCAGCCCAGTTTCGCCTGCACCGCACCGTGATGCAAGCCTCGATTGTTCGGGGATGGCGTTGGTGCGTGTATAGACCCCGACTGGCTCCCCGGCAATGTTGGATCGCGTTTGGAAAACGCCGTTGCCTTCTTCGTTGCCGGTTATCGTGTAAGAAGACACGATTATTCCATTCGACTCGGCATCCAGCCGTGCAAATCCGTGGTAGACCACGTCCAGAATCTCAAAGCTGTATCCGAGGGGATGGCTGAGCGTCAGCGTGATGTTGCAGGTTTTGCTCTTGGACGCCGGGGACATCCCGGGACCGATATACGTGTCAAAGTCGTCAAAGCCAAATGTTATAGTGGTTCGATCGGAACTGAAGGCTGTTGACATGGTGCCCTCGGGGCAGCCAGTGCCTTGTGCGCTAATCGAGGTGATGGTGACATTGCTGAGTTGGGGAAGAATGGTAGCAGACGCCACGGGATCGGCCACGGTTACCAACTTGAAGAGGCCCAGAAAGCCAAGAAGTATTGGAAACATAGCTGTGAGTGTGGTCGTCTTAAAGATTAGTTTGCGGGAACTGTTAATATGCGCTCAAAACGACAGAACCAAAGAACGAGTCGGTGGCAACGATACGGCTTAAGACATGTCCCCGCGTGCGTGGCTTACTGTCGCACAACTCGAAGCCTATCGACTTGATTGTAACTCAAAGGATGGAAATAGCACATAATAGATTAATTCGGCTCCGCTGAGATGCTACGTCGAGGACAAATTGGGAGTGAACCATTAAATTCGGGGACAACTCCGCATCTCTACCAAGAATGTGAATATGGCTTTCACCTGCCTTTGGGTCTCGAGGGTCTCGATATCGTTAGTGCTCTGGCCTTTGTCTACCGCCAAGTTCTACCCAAAGTTCCAGCCCATGCCCAACACCGGGCCAGCCCCATGGGAAACCGTCTCCCAGTTCGGTACCTGACTCATTCACCCGCCGTCGCCAAATTAGCCTCCCGCCTCTGGGGGCCAAAACACGTGTAAAATGGTGTAGATGAGCTCATCTTCACCGTCCACGGGTGATATGAGGCGCTGAGGGCACCCCGTCGCTCGGGGGTCGGAGCGTGGCGCACGAACACGTCTACATCGTGTTGCCTCCTGTTCCCTCGAACGCGTCACGGTATCGGTCAGCACGTAACTAACTCAACAACAGTTGACATGAGAGAGAGCAGGGCGAGTTTCCTGCATTGTCATCTTGCCTGTGCGATTGAAAAGCAGCTGACAAATTCTGGTCAGCTCGGTTCTCAAAACCCCCTGTTCTCGAGGCTCGACCAACCAGGGGGCTGGAAGCTGTCGGCGACGGCCCATGCGATGGCCGACCGGATGAGTAAAAACCGGGGGCGGACCGGAGTTACGGCCCCTAATCGTCCGCATCGGCATTTTCAACCAGTGGCCGTTCATCGTGGCCCAGCTCGTCAACACATAGTTCTATGTATAGCTGATGCTATGTACAATACTGAAGCCATGGCGTGCTTCAACGACGGTGTGTATAAAGGGGTCAATGGATTCCGGAGCTCACAACCTCGGTCTTCAGCTCAAGCCATTACATTCTAACATCCGCCATCATTGGAAACAAAGCACCAAGTCACCAACACAGTCACACACATCACCAGCCAGTATCAACCTTTCAACGGTTCAAACCCCATGTCCCAAACAACCCCTAACCTCGCGGCCCTTCTGCCCGCCGCTCGCGGCAAGCTCGTCGTCGAAGAACGCGCCATCCCTTCCCCCGGTCCCGATGAGATCCTGGTCCGCAACCATGCCATCGCCCTCAACCCCATCGACTGGAAGCGCGTGGACTTTGGCATCGCCGTCTCCTCCTATCCCGCCGTCCTCGGCTCGGACATCTCCGGCGTCGTGACCGAGGTGGGCTCTGGGGTGACCTCTTTCCAGCCCGGCGACCGTGTCATCGGCACGGCCTCTGACATGAGCACGGGCAACCCCGACAACGCGGCCTACCAAACCTACACTGTCCTGCTAGCGTCTGCGACCGCCAAGCTTCCGGACGCGGTGTCCTTCAAGGACGGGGCCGCAACGGTCACGGCCGTCAGCACGGGATCCCTCGCGCTGTTCGACGTCCTCGACCTACCCACCCCGGACAGCGACACCAAGCCCTCGCCCGACACGGGCATCCTGGTATGGGGCGCCGCGTCCGCCACGGGAGCCGGCACGGTGCAGCTCGCCCGCCTGGCGGGGCTCAAGGTGTTCGCCACGGCCAGCCCGCAGCACCACGCGCGTGTGCGCTCGCTGGGCGCCACCGCCGTCGTCGACTACCGCTCGCCCACCGCCGTCGACGACCTCGCGGCGGCGGCCAAGAAGGCCGGCGTCAAGGTCATCTTCGCTGTCGACTCCATCTCTACGAAGGACACTCTGCCCTTGGTAGTGGATTTCCTAGCCAAGTTTGACGGCCCCAAGAAGGTCGCCCATCTGCTGCAGTGGCCGGAGGGCGTGGCGAAGCCGGAGGACGTCGAGGCGGCTTGGGTGCAGGGGTTCAGAATCTGGGGCCAGAGGCGGGATTTGTCGGTGCTGGTGTTTAATAACTTGCTGAGCGGGTGGTTGGAGAATGGGGATATTGTTCCGGGCGCTGTCAGGGTTATCGATGGCGGTCTGGATGGGCTGCAGACGGGGCTGGATGTGTTGAGAAAGGGGGTGAGTGGCGAGAAGTTGGTGGTTGAGCTATGAGTCGGTTCTTGAAGAAGGAATGCGAATACGAATAGAGACTGTTACTTGATGCCTGGTGTAACCCTACGTCCCGACTCTTCTACACCGCATCGGTAGGTATGTAGGTATGCCAACACGTGGATGTGTCCAGGATCCCCAACCCTCAACTCCATATTGAGCCTACTCAAGTTCGAAACTTCTTCCCCTTAACGGGACCCTAATTTCCAAGCTCTTACGAATCCTTAATTTGCCAAGACCCCTGAAGTAACGATGGTTATGCCCGGTCGTGGCCCCCGTCCAATGCCGCTCATCTCACGTCATTCGCTTTACCGAAAGATTGATTGCAACCCACCTCGCTTTCCGTTCGTTTGGAGCACGGTTTCCCTTTTCAGCGCCAATTTTGAAGAATCTCTCTATGTGTGGCCTAGGCAGTTATCGCCCGTTCGTCGCTCACTCAGCCCAAGCTTCACACAACCAACCACCGGGGTCTGGAGAGCGTTACCAAAGAATCCCACTCTGCGTCAGCATCGAATGCTGCGTCTGCCAATCTCCGGGCTTATCGGAAAGTTCTCAAGTCCGATGTTGCATCCTAAGCTGATTTCGCCATGGGGACCCAGAGCCGACTGCGTTGCATAAGAGGCGACTGTGCAACTGCTCGAGGATGAGACGTGGTGGGCGCTTCTTGTATTCTTCTCGCACATATTGAATACTACCCACACGCAGGTTACACCGCGTCACGCCCTTGTTCAAGGTTGAAGCCACACTAACAACTCATTGTCCTGACGCCGCCATGAAGAAAGTTTTGTTGGCGGTCAACTCCGAATATGGCCAGGCCAATGTCTTCCTCGCCGTAGGCCACGCCCTCCAGGCCCTCGACCCCGAGACCCAGATACACTTCGTCTCATTCGGTGAGATATCGAAGGATGTCTCGTCTGCTTCGGAGTACTCAGTCCAATCTACGCCAAGCGCACAGCCATGGGACTTCCATTTGTTGGACGGTCCATCCTTCATGAAGTCCGTAGACGCCCACGAAGCGACGAACCGGCTCATAGAAGCCTTGGAGAAACGCCCAAACTTTTCGTCCAGTCTGGAGGTGATTAGCAAGGTTATGAGTCTGATGTCGCCCTGGGACGGACCGGAGTTCGTGCAGGTCTACAAGAGCTTCGTGCGGATTGTGGACGAGATCCAGCCGGACCTGGTCGTCGTCGATTCTCTCCTCGGTCCGGCCACCACAGCCTGCAAGCACCTTGGCTTAAAGTACATCATCTTCTCGCCAAACACGCTCAAGGACTTTTCCGCCGCCGTTCAGCCGCGGGGTGCTATGTTCTGGAAGTTCCCTGTGTAAGCAATCAACCCCCCCCCCCCCCCCCCCCCCCCCCCCCCCCCACACCCTTCCCCGAGCCGCCGCTTGCTGACCCGCAGCGCAGGATGGGCTCCGCCTTTTCCTTCCCCGTGCCCTGGAAGTCCATCCCCGCCAACGTCTTCTACTGCTTCGCCTTGATCTACTACTCCCTGAGGGATAACAAGTCGGGAGCCGTGGCCGCCCACGTCAAGCAGGAGCTAGGCGCGGAGCTGGTCACGTTCCAAACCCTCATGGCCAGCCCGCCGCCGGGGCTCAAGATCCTCGTCTCCAACCGGGCCGAGGTCGAGTATCCGCTCAAGGTGCCGAAGCACCTGACACCGTGCGGGCCCGTGATCCGCCCCGTCCCGGCCGTGGCCGATGTCGATGCCGAGCTGGACGCGTGGCTCCAGCGCGGGCCAACGGTGTTTATCAGCCTCGGAACGCACAGGAACATGGAGGAGGACGAGGCGCTGGGGATGGCAGCAGTAATTACAGACTTGCTGGAGGCTGCGGAGGAGCACAAGGGGGATGTTGCCGGGGTCCCTGGGAAGGTACAGGTGCTGTGGAAGCTGAAGAGGACGAGACTCGACGCGGCGGCTACGTACGGGACTGGGCCGGGGACCAAGGTCTACGCCGCCCTGCAGGCTGAAATCGAGTCCGACCGGGTTAGGATTGTCGACTGGGTGAAGCCCCAGCCGTCGGCTGTCCTCCAGGTCAAGACTGTCATCTGCTCCATCAACCACGGAGGAGCGAACTCGTTCCACGATGCCCTGACGTACGTACACCCCGTTGCACTAATTAGGTGAGAAAGTCAACTAACCCGTTGCAGCTCTGGCGTTCCCCAGGTGGTCCTTCCTGGCTGGCTTGATTGCTACGACTTTGCCTCCAGGGCCGAATTCTTGGGTGTTGGCCTCTGGGGCAACAAGAAGGCCATGCCGCTTACCAGCCCACGAGAGCTTGCGCCGATCGTCATTAACGCGGTGCTGGGACCCAAGGCGGCGCCGATGAGGACGAAGGTCCAAGAGTTGGCGGCACTGTGTGGCGAGACACCGGGTGTTGAGGTTGCCGCATCTGCCATACTGGCTGAGATGAACGGCAAGAAGGAGTGAGACAAGGGGGGTTGTTTGGATATTTAGATAGACCTGGATAGAAGACTCCTAGATGTAATTTCAGAACCGTAAGGGAAGCACCTTAACCGCACCTTGGCTGTCATAGTGGGACGAGGGTCTCGGAGCAAGACCTTTCGATAAATGGTAGGGAGTAGGGGTACATACAAAGATTCATCCCACATCGTGTTCCTGTTACTGCACGTAAACGCGCGTTGAGATCCCTCAAATCGGCTTCCCGCGTAGACTTTACGTCGCACCGCAGGGCGGCTGGGTAATGCCGGGGCTTATGACGAGCGGGGGACTGAGTCACTCAGCGGGGTCCCCACGTTGCTTGTCCTAGAATAGCAGGTCGATACGAAACCGGAAAGTCACTAGGGTGGCTTACACAGGATAAAAGTCATGGCCCGTCCATGGCTCAGGCGAACCGAAACGGACACTTGAACTCTACGGCCTCCTCCAGTTAGCAATAGAAAACAAAACAACATCCATCACGATGTCACTATCTCTCTCATCCGCGGAAAAGATCGCGTCATACGCCATCCGTGGCCCCGAACCCTCGCCGGCCTCCTTGGCCGTCGAACACAGTCAAGCCGTCCACCGTATCAACCTTATCAACGCCTGGGCTCCCGCCATAGGCCCTGGCACTCGCGTTCTCGAGCTCGGTTGCGGCCAGGGTACCTGCACGCAAGCTCTTGCCGAGGCCGTCTCCTCCCCCGACCACCCCGCCAGCTCGGGACACATCACGGCCGTAGACCCCGGCGCACCCGACTACGGCGCCCCCTTCACGCTCGCCCAGGCGCAGTCTCACCTCTCCGCGGGGCCGCTGGGTCCGCTGCTGACCTTCCACCGCGCCGACCCCGTGGACTTTCTCGCCGCCAACCCAGACGCGCAGTGGGACGTGGCCGTGCTGGCGCACTGCGTCTGGTATTTCCGCTCGCCAGACACGCTGCGGCAGACCCTCACGGCGCTGCGGGGTCGCGTGGCGCGGGTGTGTCTCGCCGAGTGGGCGCTGCACGCGACGGAGCCGGCTGCGGTCGCCCATGTGCTCGCTGCGTTGGCGCGGGCGACGTTTGAGGCGCACCGGGTGGACAGCACGGAGAATATCCAGATGCCGGCGAGCCCAAGGGCTATAAAGGACGTTGTGGGGCAAGCTGGTTGGAAAGTTGAGAGTGAAGGGACGGTCGTCCCGGGCGCTGAGCTGTCGGACGGGTTCTGGGAGACGGGCACGGTAGTGGATGAGGAGTTTGCGGAAGAGGTAGAGAAGGAGGTTAAGGAGGAGAGAGTGAAGGCGGCCTTGACATCTGCGAGGGATGCGACTATTGCTGCAGCGGACTCGGTCGGGGGCGCTAGAAAGGTGAGAAGTATGGATGTTTGGGTCGCGACACTGATTCCGGAACAGCCAGTGACATCTCCGTAGCTGGCAAACGACTTGTACCGTTACTTTCAGTTCCCCGTTTCGTTCAATACCAGGCCGAGGGCTGCATTGATATGAACGCAGTTCGCTAAGAGGGCAACCGTGTGATCATGGTCGCGCCCTTTATCCTAGCTCCAGGTTCCGACTCGCAAATCAAGCTTCGGCCTACGTGCTCAACTACGGCCGCCCCGGGATGGCCCATAAACAGCTCCGCCTCCTCTTCCCCTGAAACCCGTGGACCGGGACACATACGGTGACCTGACGCTTTGCCAAATGAGAGAGCATGCTGTGGAACTATAGTAAGCAGGTAGTTTAACCGGAAATATCACACTGGTAACGATGAAGATCTTGAAACCCCCAAGCACGAGAAGTGGCTCGTGGTTGGCTAATTGATGGCCCCCCACGGGTGGTCCGGAGGGGAGAGGGGAGGTAATTTTGCCGTGGGGTGTATGATGATCTGGATATTGCCGAGCAATACCACTGCTCCTCATGATAGGCGGATTGGGTCTTGGATGTTTATCCGTAGAGTACCCCAAGACTGTGAATCCTCAAAGAACACCAGAACGGGTTCATGCAGGGGAGAGCCGCTTCATTTTCCACGCCTTCAGGGTGACATTCTTGTTGATCATCGGCGGAACGAGCTTTCTAGAAGCCAGGGAAGAAACAAGATTGCAACCTGGGTCCACTCATGATCGAGCTGGAGGTAGTATAAAAAGCGCTCTCGTATTGTCGACGAGCAAGCAGCCAGATCGTACACAGAATCTTTGACTTGAACCGTTAATTACCTGTTGCTCTACCAAACCGTGCCCCGACATTCACTCTCCCAGACCACACAAGTGCAATTCGAAATGCATTGCCCAACCCTTCTCGCCACTTTCACGACCTTGATGGCCACCGCCCTCGGCGCTCCCGCAACCGCTTCCCACGCGCTCACAGCCCGCGACGGGCCTTGTGACGCCTCCAGCGAGACCTGCCGTCCCGTCTTGCAGGCCAATGCGTGCTTTGCCGCCTTCATCAGGACGGGCACCAAGGAGCAGGTGCTCCAGTGCGTTAACCACCAGGACGCGGCCCTGGCCGAGGAGCAGGTGGGTGCCGCCGCGGCAAGAAAGTCGAATGTATCTAGGTACTAACCAACGCGTTTAGCTGTGCGCTTGCTATGGGTGTGCCGAGACGACGGTGCAGGATTGGGCTACGAGCAACTTGGAATGTGCAGCGCCGGCTTGAAAGGGAGAGCAAAAGGGGATCCCAGGCGTGAGGAGGTACCTATCGTTATAGATATAGATGGATAGGAAAGCTACCGAGGTTCAATAGCCAGGAGCGTCCATATTTTCCAAAGCCTGAAGGGAGTCGACGTCGACACTGATATGCCTCGCTCATGAATACCCAGCTTATGCTCCGTTCCCGATCCATCCTCTTATTATGCACCCCCCAAATTCTGATCTCATCCACTACCAAACTCCCACCTCCGCTACTGAAACTCCCACCTCCGCTCCTGGAGCTTTGGCGTACTCGGCACCGGGAAGTGCTGGTGTGCCCCTGGGCTGGGAACAAACAGCTCGCTCGGGCCCTGCTCTCCAATCTCCACGGGATACGGGTTAACAATGCGGTACATTGGTTGCGGCATCCGTAGGGCGCCGCCGTATTCGGTTCCTGGACCGAAGCCTGGGGCCGGACTGGCCGGTTGGTACGGTGCCGCTTCCGCCGCGCCCCTAGCCGCACCACTGCCAGCGGGGTAGCCCCGTCGGCGTAACCAGAGGTACACTACCACGGCTGTGGCGAGCATCGCCGCGGGGATACCAAGCCCGAGGCCGAGCTTAAATCCTAACGAATCGTTGGGGCTTGAGGGGGCTGCTGAGGGTTGCGTTGGGGGAGTGGTCTCTGACACATCGTCGGCCTGGGTAATGGTTGCCGGGGGATCGGATGATGTTTCTGCACCAAGTAAAGTGCTCGTACTTGTCGATGCAACATCGGGCGATGGCATCAATGTGTATCTTGATACTCCCCCGGCCACCAGAGGATATCTCGTGATGTAGGCCGTGGCTTTGGTTGACACCTGATTGCCACTCTCATCCAAGAAAATGCCCAACCCCTTCTCGCAGCAGTCTGGGTCGTCATCGCAGCAAAGACTGCCGTCCGGGCAAGTGCCAACCCTTGGAAATCGTTTTCCTGTATCTGAAAGACAGACGATGTTTGAATGAGCTTCGGTGGCGGTTTATACGGACCGTGGATGAGGGGATCGAGAACTGGGCTTACTATACATGCAAATCTGAGGGCAGCTGTCGTCCCATACCTGTATGGCACAAGGTCCCCGTACAGGTTTTGCCTTTGAGTTGGGGTTGCTATCTGCCGTACAGAGCCGGTTTGAGAGGCAAACGGCGCCGGTCCCGCAACATGCGTTCGAGCCGGGACATCTTGTGTTGTTTGCCACGGCTGTACCATCCCAACGGTAACAGTCGATGAGCTGGGCATTGGCCCCGATCGAGTACGACGTGTTGAGAAATAGAATGAAAGGCAACCCCGCACATGTGGCAACCACACGCCGCAACGCGCCGGGCTGGGGAATCATTACCATGGTCGGCGTGGAGTGTGAGGGAAGCTTTTGAAACCAGGAATATATGGAGAAGAATCGGAAGGGAGCGGGGCAATGGAAAGGGAATTCAGCCGTGAAAATGACCAAGAATACGAGGTACCTCCATGGAGGATGCCTTCCTGATGTGCCTCCCTACCGTACCAATCAGGATATTCCTCCGGGGCAACCCGCCAGCGGCACAAGCACTACGGTTACCTTCAATGTTCAGCTACCTGGATCTCGGCAATATTCGAATGCCATTATTGACTGTGTGACTGTGCACGACAGTTGTCGGTAGTACATACACGAATCGTCAAGGGGGTCAGCCCTAGGACGAGCCGGGAAAGGTGAGCGTCGGGTGCCACTCCACTCACTCATCTCCGACCCCGGTCAACGACTTCAGCTGGAGGCGGGGCCCGCATGTTTCCAACTTGGGGCAGTGCTGGTGGGCGCAAAGGGCGTCGGGAAGTTGTGGCGCTGCTGCGACTGCTCAAGACGCGGGTGACGTGAGCGCTTAAAAGGAACAAGAGCGCCACGAGTTATCGGCGTTTTGGGAATGTCGTTGAGAAGGGGTGCTCATTGAATCCAACGGCGACGGACAACATATCAGTAACTCTCGTCACATCACGATGGGGATCAGCCGCGTGATAAAATGCCCGTTTATTCATTACTACGACCAACACCGCTAGGGCGCTAACTCAATTCATACCGCTCTCGCGGCCCGTACTGGCTCCCGTCCATTTCCGTCGCGCTGTGCCCCATTATTTCCACGGGCTGGTACTTCTGCGGCGGTGGATACGCGGGCGACTTCGTGGCGCCGCTATAGACCGTCCCCGCCGAGTATGGGTAGCCGCTCGCAGGGTAGCCGCTTGTCGGGGCCATTTCTCCCGTGTAGGGGGGGTACTGCTGCTGGTCCGGTACGGCTTCGTCGGCGCGGTGCCTTCGCTTGCGCAGGATGAAATAGACGACGAGGGCAGTTATTATGACGGCAAGCGGGATCCCGAGACCCAGCCCGACTTTTAGCCCCATCGAGTCGTCCGAGTCCGAGGAGGGCTCGGGTGTGGGGGTGTTCGAGGGGGACGAGGTTGCCGCACCTGCCCCGGCGCCTGCTGTGGATGACTCGTCGGAAGGGCTGGTGCTAGATGTGCTGGTTGTGCTGGTGGTGCTCGTCGTGCTGGTCGACGGAGTCACGGTGAAGCGCTGGAGACCGTCGCTGACTGGGGGATAGCTGGTGGTGGCGGCCGTCGCCTTCGCAGAAGCCCTATTCCCGCTCTCGTCTAGGAATATCCCGTTTCCATTCTGGCAGCATTGCGGATCGTCGTTACAGCAGAGGCTGCCATCACCGCACGGCGTGACGCGGGGGAATATTCCGGTGGTCTCGTCTACAGGAGAAGGGGACCTTGTTACTACGCGGTTGGGGAAACACAACGACGCTGGCACCTAGTGAGGCTCACTGTACTTGCAGATCTGGGCACAATCGGCATCCCAGCCCTCCACTGCGCAAGGCCCTCGAACCCAGAGGTTCGGCCCGTCCCCGACATTGGCGCAAAGGCGGTTCGAGAGACACGTGGCCGTCGGTCCGCAGCAGGCATTGGAATTGGGACACTTGGTGTTGTTCGCCGTGACGGCCCCGTCCCAGCGGTAGCAGTCGATGAGCAAGGAATCATCCGTCGCCGCGCTAACGGCGGCCGGGTAGAGCGAGGCGGATAGAAAGATGGACGGCAACGTCGACACAGCAGCGGCACAGAGCAGGCCGAGCGAGCCCAGACCTTTCGAAGCTGCCATGGGTGGCAGGCTGCGCAGTGAAGAAGCGAATGATGCTTGGCGACCTGAACACCGCGACCCGACCGTTTGGAACCACACGTGAAAGAGAACAGGAAGAGAAATGCACAACGGAGAATGGCGATGATCGATTTGCTTGCCCGGCGGGGCCTCGCATGGATAAAAGAGATGCCAAACTGGATGGGGGCTTCTCCCAGCCAGGTCCCCGCGTGTGATGCAACATGAGGAGATCTTTGGTTGATTCGGGCTTCACTAGCCTTGCATGGTTTCATCGAGAATCCTACGCCAAGAGGTTTAGCACGCCAGTTCGCCGTTCTGCCAGGGGGCGAAGCGGGCGGTCATCTCCTTGGCCCCATTCTCCATGAGACTCGGTTGTCGGGTGCTGGGGTTGGACAAGGCGAGCAAGGGAACACAACAGCGGACCAAGTTGGTTCGATGGCTTGCCGTAGTGGAGAGTGGAATGGGGCTTGAAGACTCGGCCGGTGCTCAGGGCGATGTTGGATTGTTTTTCATCCACTGGCACTCACTCGTGCAGTGAACTCACCGGCCAAACCGGTTCCTTGCCCCTGCGTCTGCTGTGCCGCCGACGGAATGACTTGGCGAGACCGGTCGCTTGATCGACGCTTTTGTCGGTGTGGATCAACTCCGCGGCCGTCTCGGGCCCGGGCCGGAGCCGGACAGGGTCCCTTGGTCAAGGTGCACACTGGCCAGCAATTGAAGCTTGATCACATCAAAGCTTGTCAAAACTGAACCACGGTCAGTCAGCAAGGATCTGGGCGCAGAATAAATCGGTGTACTTCGTATATACGAATACTCGCCAATATATTGTTACCGGCAGGACTCCTAAGACCGTTGCGCTGGACAGTCCCCAGCATTCATCCATAAATATTTCCTCACCGGTCGAAGAGGCCACGCTTAGCACAAGCAGTTGGTCGGGAGAAGAACGAATAAGAGACCTCAGTAACTCAAATGTGAGCGCGAAATTATCAATTTCTGGACAAGGGACTAGAGCCTCCAAGCTGGAGGAGAATGGATGTGACCGTTGACCGGCGCTGGCGATGAACCGAAAATGGAACATGTGGACTCCAGGATAGGGTGGTATTGAAATTCGATGCAAGCAGGCACGGCAGGAAGCTCGGCAAGCCAGGCCCCTCCCAGGGCCGCAGGGCCCCACTCAACCCCGCAACAATTGGTGCGTGCGGGCGAAGTTGCAACGGCTTTCGCGACCAAAATTTCATTCGCGGCAGCTCCATCGAACCGCCATGAAACCAATCCGCCATATCGCAAAATGGCAGCCAACGAGATTCCAAACATCGTGGCCGACGACCCCCCGAGCGCCCCCGATATGGCGCCTCCTACCGACGCTACCAACAAGAGCAATGGGCACCGTGGCAAACGTGGCGGCAGAGACCGTGGAAACGACAAGCAAAAGCGAAAGCACAGCGGTTTCGGGAGCGCAAAGTAGGCCGTCGCGTCTCGCCATATCTTGCTGGCTTCTCAATGCCGACACTGACGAGTTCATAGGGGCGATGTTCCCGACCAGCGCCAGCAGGTCCGGAACAACCGCGATGCGAAACGCCGCAAGGTGATCGACGAGGACAACAAGGGCAAGAGCTACATGAGCATCGCTTTCACCCCCGAAGAGATCGCCGCCGAGGAACGCCGCCCGAAGCGAAAGGTGGCCGTGCTGATCGGATATGCGGGCACCGGATACCACGGAATCCAGATCAATCACAAGGAAAAGACGATCGAGGGCGACCTGTTCTCCGCCTTTGTGGCCGCCGGCGCCATCTCGAAAGCGAACGCGGACGACCCGAAGAAGTCAAGCTTGGTGCGGTGCGCAAGAACAGACAAGGGAGTCCATGCGGCCGGCAATGTGCTCTCGTTGAAGCTGATCGTCGAGGACGAAGACATCGTCGACAAGATCAACCAACACTTGCCAGAACAGATCAGGATATGGGGAATTCATCGGACCAGCAATGGCTTCAGCTCCTACCAGGCCTGCGAGTCGCGCTGGTACGAATATCTCATGCCCAGCTACTCCCTCCTGCCGCCGCAGCCCCACAGCTTTCTAGGCAAGAAGCTCGCCGGCTCGGCCAAGGAGCAAGGGGTATACGACGAGTACACCGCCCGCCTTGATGATGTCAAGGATTTCTGGGACGAGGTTGAGAAGAACGACATCCAGCCGATCCTCGAGGGGCTAGATGCCGATGTCAAGGCGGAGGTCTTGCGGAAACTCCACGACACACAAGACCAGGACCTTACCGACGAGGGGATACCGACGCAACCCGACCCCGGGGTCGTATCAAAGGATGCCGAGATGAAGGACGTGCAAGAGCAGGACCTCCCGAAAGTATTCAAGCCCGAAAAAGACCTCACCCCCGCCGAATTCGCCCTCCGCCAAGTCAAAGCCGCCTACGTCGCGGCCAAGCGGCGGTACCGCGCCACCCCAGCGCGCATCGAAAAGCTCCAGGAAGCCCTCAACTCCTACCTAGGGACGCGCAACTACCACAACTACACCGTCATGAAGTCCCACAAAGACCCTTCAGCCATGCGGCACATCAAGTCGTTCCAAGTCAACCCGGCGCCCATCACGATCGGCGACACGGAGTGGCTCTCGCTCAAGGTGCACGGGCAGTCCTTCATGATGCACCAGATCCGCAAGATGGTCGCCATGGCCGTCATGGTTGTTCGCTGCGGCGCCCCGCTGTCTACCATCACCGAGAGCTACGGCCCCCGGCGCATCAGCATCCCCAAGGCCCCCGGGCTGGGACTGATGCTGGAGCGGCCCATGTTTACCGGGTACAACAACAAGGCAGCAGGGCTGGGCAAGGAGGCCATCGACTTTGCCAAGTGGGAAGCCAAGATTGAGGAGTTTAAAGACCAACACATCTATCGGCGGATGTTTGAGCTGGAAGAGAAAGAGAACTCGTGAGTTTTTGTGTCGTACGGGCTGTGATGATGCTGTCTGCTGACGCTGTGCAGGTTTCACCTCTTCTTCAACCAAGTCGACAATTTCCGGACCGACTACTTCCTCTGGGTGACTGCCGGTGGCGTCGAGGCATCGCACGAGCGTTCCGACAGGACGGAGAAGGTGCCCAAGGCCCTGCAAGCCGAGCTGGGCGACGACGCCGATGGTGTGGAGGAAGTGGGAACATAGCGAGAAAAGAATTGAAGTCATGTATTCAACGCTTTGGCGGACGATGTATCGTTACTTAGGACAGGACTAGTTCCGGCGAGAAGGACGGCCGGTTGCCGAACTTGATACCCCTATTATGCCGCGTCGGGCAGCAACTGTACACGCTCGCTCGCCACTACCATTTTTGCCTTGGTTTCGTCTTTGCTCTCTCAGGTCTGGTTGTGACCCAACGAGCTCGGATCGTCCGCGATCATCTCTAAAATTTCAGGATCATACTCTCCCCCCTCCTTTTCTAAACCCCCATGCTCTCCAAGTCCGCTCCCACTCCCCGATACAGACCCCACATCCACCGAACCGGACAAAGGCCAGTCTGCCCAGTCCGCCTCGAGCCGAAGAAATCTGCTCCCCTAAAGCTGTTTCATAGACGGCGGTGGCACACTGAACTATTGCGCCTGGGCACCCCCACCCTCAGCAGCCACACCCGTCACCTGCTGGGACTGGATCTGGGGCTGGAGCGGCGGCGCGGGCCCGTCGATGTCGCCCTGCTCGTAGGTGAAGCCTCCACCGACGGCCGCGGCGTGCTGCAGCATGGCCTGGCGCTGGCGGTCGCGCAGGGTGTTGAGCATGGTTAGGACCTGCTCCGCGTCCTGCCGCATGCCCTGCTCGGCTTCGGCGTCGTGGGCGCCGGGCGGCTTGAGCGCGCCAATGACCCAGAGCTCGCGGATCTTGCGCGTCAGGGAGAGGAGGTCCTCGGTTGATTTTATCTGTCCCGCTCGAGCACGGTTAGTGGGGGTTGGATGGGGGTGGTGCGGTTGGGGTGAGGGCGCGCACGATGCTGCTCATTTTGGTCCCCATGGCCATGCTGCTGTAGGCTGTTTGGCCCGTCGAGGCTGTGCTGTCGACTGGGGCGGCGGCGTGGTTGACGAGGTCGCGAAATGAGGTCATGATTTCGGCGATGAGGATGTTTTTCCTCTCTGTTGAAGTTAGCGGGTTTCTGCTCCTCCGGTGGGCTTGGGGTTAGGTGATGTTATCGGAAACCCAGAGCGTGTGCTTGGAACGGCAAGATCAACGGTCACTCTGCGATTCCAAGTTGACTATCAGTGACTGACCTTGAAGGTTGTCGGCTGCATTTGCATCTCGATCCATGGTCGAGCACTGTGCCACGATATGGATCAAAATAGTGCTCTTCTGGATCTGAATGTAACGTCGGATATGTAGCTACGTGACCAAGGGCGGCAATCAGTTGATGGGGGCGGTTGTTGTCTGAGGGTGATTGATGGCTTGAAACAATGCAAAGGGCCCAAAATGAATGCGAACTGGACTCAAGGTGAAAAGCGGGGACTGTGCGAATCGAGCACCCGAGCGAACGAGAAACACTGTCTGACGCGCTGGTATTCGCCCTGAGACGAACCCTGCATACAGTCCATCCGAACAACGGCACACAGTGCTTGTAAACCCAAGTCGTTGCAAATCGAACAATCAACTACTGTCCGCTCTATTACTAACTATCTGTTCCATCTAAGTATTTGTTGTTGCTTCGTGAATGTGAAGTGACAGTGTGTTCGAGTTCCGCCTTTGTCCTCGAGTTACCCGATGATTGGGTAGCATGACGCCTACTCGATGAGCAGACTTGAGACGGAACTGATACAAGCCATCAAACTTGTGCGAATAGTTCGCTCAAAAAGTCCTGATGCGAAGAGGCTATCGCATACGGGATGGGGGGCTAGGATGCGAGGCATCTGTCTGCCTGAGTGGCGGGAATAGCACCGTGGCTGGTTGGAATCAACTATTATCGACTTCGACGATGACCTTCCCTTTAGCCCTTCCAGTCGCGAGTTTCTCGTATGCCTGCTGGATGTCAGTATGTCCGTAAGGCGAATCACGCTTGGGACGCACCTCGATCGCCTGCTTCATAGGAAACACCGAGTCAATGAGCGCCTCCTTGATGATTCCCTGGTCAACCAGCGCCGCAGCCTCCCTCGCAGCTTCGCCTGTCGCACTAAGAAGGAAAAGTTCGTAGCTCCGGGGTGTTCCGCCAAGGAAACAGGGCCTCAGTTTGTTAGTGACAAACGGCACCACGCCCTGTGACCAGCCGCCCACAATGTTGATGAACTTGCCCTCCGGCTTCAGATATCTTGGTGAGTGTGTGTAGAGAGCCTGGTTGCCAACGCAGTCCAGCACCGCGTCGAACTGCTGCTCCCCAAACCTCTCGGCGAGGTGCCCCTCGAGGGGGTCATGCGCCCGGTAATCGATCACCTACCCGGTTAGTTTCTCCCACCGCAGGCCTCCCACATCCAAGACTCACCTCGTCGACCCCCAGCCCCTTGACCATCGCCTCATTTGCCCCAGAACAAATACCTACCACCTCCGCGCCAATCCCCTTACAAATTTGCACCAGCACCGTCCCAACGCCGCCACTCGCCCCATTGACCAACACCCTACTCCCCTTCATCCCGTCACCCTTTCGGAAACCCCCCACCCCTCCAACCACCCTCCGCGCCATGGCACACGCCGTCTGCCCCGCGATGCCCATAACCCCAACCGCCTCCTTACCCCCCCAGCCCACAGGCACTTTCGCCACCAACCCCCAATGCAGCACCACAAAGCCCTCCAGCGTCCCGCACCCCGCCGCAACACCCGTCAGTCCAACCGCGCCGGCCACACGATCCCCCTCTGCCAGCCCGGCCTCCGTCGGCACACCCCCGCCCAGCGCAACCACCTCCCCGGCAAAATCCAGCCCCGGCACGGCCCCCCGGCGGAAGGGCAGCCAGGCCGGCAGGAGGCTCAGGCAGACGAGGTCTGCCGGGTTGAGGGCGACGTGGGTGACGCGGAGGAGGAGGTAGGGGGAGTTGGGGGGCAGGGAGGGGAGGGGGCGGGCGGGGTGGAGGGTTAGTGCTTGGCGGGGGGTTCCATGGGAGGTGGCGGACCAGGAGGGCATTGTTGATGGGAGGGTTGTTGTTGAGAGTGTGGATGCGGGCGGGGGGGATTTGGTGGTGGTGTGGGGAGGCATTTTGGTGGGTGTTTTATCGGTTGGTTGGTGTGAAGTCGAGATTGGAATTTGCGGCGGTGAGGTCAGAGTTGGGACTTTTGTTGTTGTGGTTGTGGTGTGCTGTTGAGGGTAGAGAGTTGGCTTGAAGCTGAATGTGGGTGGGTCCGCACGGCGGTGTGGATCTCTCCAATTTCCGGGGCGTCCAGGATGTTGTCGGCGTGGTCTCCGGGGACCAACCGAGCCGACTTGTTCCCAACTGTGTACAAGTAAATGATAGAAGCCAAGGGGCGCAAGAACCAACTGGAAAGATGGGATCACATTGGTATTCCAAAATACAGTACACTACAGCTCCAACTTGCTCCAGGACCGCCCACCCGGGTATGCCCAAGGAAGTATTCCAAAACCAACGCCGCCATCCAGCCTGTCCCTAAAAACGATAAAAATGATGAGAATGCCCACCTGCTAGGTCACCGTGCCGGTGCCTTGCCCTTAGCTGACCTGGCCACCGTGGGCGTGACAAGCTCGTCTTGCGATCCCGAAGCAGCACCGCCCTCCTGGACTGGCGCCAGCTCCCACCGCGCCAACGGGTTGTTCATACCCACCCAGAGGTCTGTCGGCAGAAACTCGCCTACTTCCTGCCGGAAGTACTCTCGCTGCTTCTTGTCCGCCTCGACAAGGTTGTCCACATTCTCCTTGGCTTTGCGCAGCGTATTGCGGATCTTGGCCTCCACGCCTCGCCGCCTCTCCGCCTCCAGCATCAGACTGCTGTAGGCTCTCGCATACCCCTCGTAAAACACCTTCAGTCCATCCATCTCTTCGAGCTTCGCGTAGATGACGTCCTTCTCAGCGTCCCGGCGCTGCTCGAACTCGTGCTCGGCGGCCACGTAGCTCTGCAGCCGCGTCCCGATATCCTCGAGCACCTGGAAGGCACCAAGCGTGGCTGCCCACGCGTCCCTGATCCGGTCGGCTTGTTCCTTGAGTGTCTCGAAATCCTGCTCTGCCTGTTGCAGCACCGCCTGGATCTCGGCCACGACTTCGTCCACCTCGGGTGCGTCCTCCATGACTACTTGTACGATTTCGGCTAGCTCCTGCGGGTCCATCGGTTCAAGGTCGGTGAGGTGCGATTCCTGTTCGGTGATGAAACCGGATATCGATACGGGTTCGCCGTCGTCGGTGGCTTCGGCTGCACGGCGGCGGGCGAGGGCGGCACCGCCTTCGGTTGCGCGGACCGCTTTGACGCACATGTCGAAATGATTCGTGAGGGAAGCCAAATGTTGTGCCATGGCCTCCGAATGGTCGGCGAGAGCGGCGAGGAGGTGGGGGATCGGCTGGTAGGCGGCGGAAGACGAGGGGGAGTCGACCAAGGGCGCGGCGACCGTGCTCTTATTGAGGAGTCGGAGGTCCTCGTCGAAGCGGAAAAGGTCGCCGTCGTAGGATGTTTGGGTGGCCTGCATCAAGACCGTTCAGCAAATGGTGTTTCCAAGGTCGTTCGGAGCGACTCACCTGTAGTTCGGCGATGCTCCCTTTTAGGGTATCGCGCATCGCCTCGACGCTATCCACATCGGCGAAATCTATCAGGAATTTCCCTTCCTCCCCTGGTGGGCGAAACACGGGGTCGACTCGCGTCTCGCGCAGCATCCGCATCGTGTTCTCGAGCTTCTCGTTGGAGACATCGAGGGCGTGGATGAGCCTCCCGAACTCGCGCCGGCCGTATTTGTGCGCACGCTCCATGCCCCGCCGGAGCTTCTGCAACACCCGCACTTCATCGTCAATCAGTCGGCGTAGGAAACCTGTCTGGGCGCTCAGCACGACGGACTCCTCGTGTATTTGGCGGGCGTTGGTTGACAGGTCGTTGGCGCGGAGGACGAGCGCCATCGACGATAGCGATTGCTTGGCGGCGAGAAGGTATTGGACCAAGACTTCGACTGGGACATCATCGGCGTGAAACTCGGGGGAGGGCGGGTCATGGTACGATGTTGGCCGCGAGCGCGGCTCGCCGGACGAGGTTGGTCTGGACATGGCTCTATCGCGGGCGGGGGATGACGGGATGGAAGGATGCTGGCAGCATTGATGGGCGGTGGAATGTGGAATGCAAGCAATTGCGACCGCTGTTACGTCATCCTTGTCGATGTTGCGGTGCAAAACCGCGTGATGAGGTATGCAAGGCTTGAAATGGGGCATGGGCCTGGAAGCTGAGGAAGCCTTGCCGGCGAAGACGGTCAGCTCTGCAGCTCCCAGCTTCAGGCCGGACCCACTCTTCGTTTCACCCGCTGCATGCAGAGATGCACCCATGCTTCGAAGTACAGATCTGTACCGCGCAGCAAGATTTCCAAAATCCGAAATTCCAACCCGTACATATTTGGGAATCGAGACAGAATCACTCTAGCATATCGATAATTTAAGACAGCCCGAAGGTGAGTTATTCGGACGCGATGCTGATTCGCACCTACATCCATGCCTATCGGCGCGGAGGTACCTCGGTACATCGAGTCGTCAAGCATCTCGCACGGGCAAAACGCGTCCGTTCGTGATAACCTCATAATGCACTTGGTGACGAATTCGCCACGGGATGAGTCACAAAGGAGGTCCGAACTCAACGCCGGTTTGCTAAAGTCCGCCCTCGTCTGGCGCATCCTCCTTCTGTCCAATTTATTTTTTTGTCAACTTGCAAGTCTGACATTCAACCTCGAAACGCAAGTTCCCAATCTGGTTAGCTCATTCTCCAATTAAGCACAGACCAACCCCGCATCGATAAGATAAGACAACACCCCGCCAAAAATTAATTCAAGATGCCTCCTGTTTGGTGTGCCAACGACGACTTGCGCCGCCGTCAACAGCTGCGTCATCGTCGAGACCTCGCCCGCCAAGGGCTTGTCAACCAAAGACCCCAGGACGGAAACGTGTACAATCCATCCCCAGTCATGGAATCCACAGCACCGGCCGTCGGCGCCCTACCAGCTGCCGACTACGTGCATGATGAAGACGAAGACCTGGACGACATCTTCGACTCGGCTGATGAGTCTGGCCATGACTTGCTGCACAACCCCTCTTCGGATCTCAACAAGGCCTATAACCGCCAATCCCAGCTTCATGGCTCCGCGTCCAAGGTTGCCGCGGGTGTGCCCGCTTCCAGCACCCAGAAGCCAACGGCAAACACATTCGCCAGCGTCGACGACCAAGTCGCCGAGCTGTCCAAGCACGCCGGCAAGATCCGTCTCGACAATGTCAAGCAGACGCAGGAGCGTGACAAGGACAAGGCGGACCGTGCCACCGCCGAGCTGGTGCTTGACCAGCGCACTCGCATGATCCTGCTGCAGATGATCAACCAGGGCGTGGTCAGTGAGATTCACGGTGCAATCAGCACTGGCAAGGAAGCCAATGTCTACGGTGCCGTGCAGTATCTCGACAACGACAGCACCCCCATCCAGCGTGCCATCAAGGTCTACAAGACAGCCATCTTGGTCTTCAAGGACCGTGAGCGTTATATCGCGGGCGAGCACCGCTTCAAGCGTGGCTCCGAGAAGGGCAACAACCGCAAGATGGTCAAGCTCTGGGCCGAGAAGGAGTTCCGCAACCTGCGTCGCCTGCACTCCGCCGGCATCGCCTGCCCAGAACCGCTCAGGCTTAAGCTCCACGTACTGGTGATGGAGTTTCTGGGCGACAAGCGGGGATACGCCTTCCCACGTCTGCGGGACGCGCGTCTCACGGGCGACGACGTCGACGAGCAGTGGAAGAACCTTTACGTCCAGCTGCTGGGCATCATGCGCCGCCTCTACCAAGTCTGCAGCCTGGTACACGCCGATCTGAGCGAGTACAACATCCTATACAATGACAACCAGCTGTACATCATCGACGTATCCCAGTCTGTGGAGCACGATCACCCGCGCTCGCTTGAGTTCCTACGCATGGACATCAAGAACGTGAACGACTTTTTCCGCCGCCAGGGTGTCGATACGCTCCTGGACCGCACCATCTTCAACTTCATCACGGTCCCCGAGGGTCCCGTCAGCGAGCCGGAACTGTCCAAGGCCATTGAGCGTCTGTACGAAGTTCGTCCCGCCGCGGCAGAGACGGACGAGGCCGTCGCCGAGATGGAGGTCGACAATGAGGTCTTTCGCAACCAGTACATCCCGCAGACTCTAGACGAACTGTACGACATCGAGAAGGAAGCCGACAAGCCTGTGGATGAGTTGGTGTACAAGCACATGCTGGCAGACCGGGTCGTCGCCGATAAGAAAGCCGGCGAAGAGGGGTCCCAGAGCTCGGACGAAGGCTCAGTCGACGACGCTGCCGCAAGCGGTAAAGGCAGCGGCGACGAAGAATGGTTTATTTTTGACAAGGGCGCGCCGAGGGGGAAGAAGCATGAGGATAAGGACGATAAGCGGTCCCACAAGCAGGCTGTGAAGGAGGAGAAGCGGGAAAAGCGCAAGGAGAAGATCCCGAAGGCGGTCAAGAAGAGACTGGTGTCTACCACGACGCGGAAGAAGAAATAGGCAGCAGTGATTTTTGGCTTTTGTTATTGATGGTATAAACAGCGAAGCACAACCGGATGATGAGAGCTCACTGCTCCGGATGCTCATGAGACAGGAGCGTTTTGCCTCGCGGCGTAACCTCTGCCTCTGACGTCCCTACGCAGGTCCAAGCGAGCCGAAGAGCTTGCGATGACGATCAAAGAGAGCACTGACGGTTGCGGCGTAGCGAATCATTGGTCTTGTTCATGTCTTTCTCGCGGTCATACTGGGTGGGTAGTGGTTTTCACACTTGGGGAGATCCCTAGTATGACATGGCGAAGTATTCACGTCCGGCTCAGGCTTGGACTGTCTGATTCTGACTATTTGGAATTAGCTAGACAGCACTAATAGACCATGATGACCCAAAATGAATTGGATCACCCCGTAGATATCGCTGCTAGTCGTTTTGTAGAAACTTACTCCCCAACGTCCAGGGCGTTCCATCGTATTTTGTCATTGGCTTTTGTGCTGGGGCATTATTGTTAACTTGATCGTTGGTGTGTTATCAAAGCTAGCTCAGCCCAGGTATAGGGTGTCGTGCCCTCCGTATCATCGGCCCGAAGCAAGAATGGTTGTCCGAGGCCTCGACTCGTGTCACTGTGCACTCTCACGTTGACTACTTCGTACCCGGAGCAACTCCAGTCCCGAGCCGGAGTTCAGCCCTACACGGAGGAATTCCAATGCAGCCAAGAAACGATGGCATTGCCGGAGCTGACAACAGATAAGCGAGTGCGGAATCACCAGTGCCAGGGCTCGCCAAGGAGACATGACCTCCGCTCCTGGCCCACGAAAGGAAGCTTGGCTGTTGTTGATTTCTAACCCAGTATCCGAGCGAGCAAATCAAGAGCGAGTCGGTACAAGTCGAGAATGCCTTGCTCCGCGACAACATGGGTTCGATCGGCAGGAACTGCGATCTTTGTAAGGCAACTGAGCATCTTGAGTCCAGTCCGCATAGCTGGTATAAAAGGGTCGAATTCTCCTGACTTTGTGCCACTGAAAATCACCACCAGCTTCATGATTCAACCCAATAGCTTCCTGCCCGTTATCAACCATTCGACACGCCATCCCTGGCCTTAACAGCAATACGCTCAGCTGCCATCATGTCCTCTCTCAAATACCTTGACTACTCACCCTTCACCCGCACCCTCTCCGACCAGTCCCACTACAGCCAAGCGGTGCGGCTAGGGGACCGAATCGAGTGCTCCGGCCAGGGTACGGATCCAGCCGCCCCCCCTTACCCTAAAGCTCGGTAGTAGTTAACGCCATTATAGGCGGGTGGGACCCCGAAACGGGCGCCATCCCAGCTGACCTGCCCGCCGAGATCGAGCAGGCGTTCGCCAACGTAGACGCCTGCTTGCGCAGCGCGGGCGGGCGCGGCTGGGGCCAGGTGTACAAGGTCAACCTGTACACGACGGAGCTGAGCGAGGCGGCCTTCACGGCGTGGGCGGCGTGCATGCGCAAGTGGGCGGGCGAGGACCATCGGCCCCTCCTGACCGGCGTGGCGGTCGCGGGGCTGGGGGTGCCCGGAATGAGGGTGGAAATCGAGGTGGTGGCGCATGACCCCGAGGGGGCGAAGGCCGGTTGAATGGGGGATGTCAATTGCTTGGTTCTTGGGGTGAAGGGATGAGCTAGGTTGACGAGTCGTGTGGCTGTGAACCTACCTATGCGGTTGTGTTTTATAAAAAAAGAGGAAGGAAGGAAGAAAGAGGAAGGAAGGAAGAAGAAAGAAGACAGGAAAGAAGAAAGAAGACAGGAAAGAGGAAAGAAGACAGGAAAGAGGAAAGAAGACAGGAAGGAAAATGGGAAGGAAATACAATTCGGGTTGCCCTAGGGAGCTGATACCACAAGATACTTGGGTTATTCTCGCCCGATTGTAGCTGTTCCTTCGCTGTCCATTGGCGACACCCGAAGACCCACCGTTTAACCAGCGTCAACGGGGCCAACTGACGAGCGGAAGAGTAAGGAGGCCACTAAAGGTACCTATATACCCTAACGGCCGCTTAACTCCGGTAGACCAGTCATTCCCGGTAAAATATGAGTCTCTAAAGTTTATAGCTGGTATTTTGCTTGGTTGATCCTGTCGTGGTGAAGACTAAAACCGGTAATCATGTACAATTATCTCGGTAGGCAGTCGTAGTAGAACCCTGGAAATGCCGTGCAACCGTTGCACAGCGGTGGCAGCACACATCACGGGCCCCAGGTTCACGGGTACTAATCCCCGGGTCCCTGGCAGACGGGGCCAACAGCTGGTACCATGTTGGTGGTTGGTAGCGAGCATGTGGTACGGCAGAATCGTGTGGGGTTCCGATGTCTCATCAACCAACATTTCCTTGTTCGGTTCTGTCTCACGGGGCGCCGTAGTTGGTGCAATGGAGGTGAATCAGCATTGCCTTTCGGGAAGGTTATTTCCGGAATAGACATTGGTGCGAGAACCCGGACTTGAGCGGTGTAGTTACAGAATGCCACTGCCTAAATCAATAACTATCGTCCAACAGCAGCTTGCTGCGGGCGTCCGCGGCGTCCCTGTGGACTTTGGTCTCCCGCCGATCAGCGGGGAGGTCGGGTTGGAGAAGGCGGCCCAACGGAAGGCACTCACCGGCCTCTGTTCACATCCTCTGGGTGTCAATGGGAATATAGCATTCTCAAAGCGGGCTCTCTCATCCCAACATGGCTGGGGCCTAATGGCGTGCTTGTGACAGAGAGGATGCCATAGGAACGACCTGTGACTTGAACCACTCGCCCTCGAGGGCAAGCTGTCCCTGCCTGCGAATGCACACTTTCGCAAGGGAAGTGACGCTGCCATTTCTAATCTGCCATTCCCTTTCGGTTAACCTCAGGTTGAAACCCCTTCCGCCGTCGTATCCGCGGACCTCGTTCCCCTGGCTCAAGTTTCAACGGCTTCCTGTCCAGGTTCAGGACTTACCCTGCTATCTCCGGTTCGGCATTATCGGCACGCGAATTTGACTGAATCCGTCTGCAGGCTGACTTCAATGCAACGTCAATCACCCACAACCCTTGCTCCCACGCCATCCTCGGGTTCTCGACATTCCCGCTGCTGTTCCCGCTTGTCCCAGAAAAACTCCAGAACGCGCCCCCTCTTGGCCTTTCTTGGCTTCAACGGTCAACCTCGGCCTGCAGCACCAAAGACGCAGAAGGCGGTTTCGACAACACAACATCCAACCGCCCGAAATGGCGGGAAACGGGAAACCTCAAAGCCAAGAAGGGCAGGACACAAACGCGGGCAAGGTGGAGGAGAAGCGCGAGCAATCGCTCTCCGATTCGAGCTCCACGGCGGCATCAGTCCGTGCAGCGAAGGCCGACAAGGAGAGCGCGCTAGCCGACAGCGACCATGACCAATCTAGGTCGACACATCCCGATGCTGGCTTCAGCCCCCCGGACTTTGACAACGAAGAGACCAAGGTCGCGGTCCCGGGTCACGATCTCGACGTAGAGCTCGCGCAAGTGAGTTCGCCCTTCACCGCCACCCCTTGGTCTCTCTCCTCCATCCCCGAAGCAGACCACTCACCACTCCCCCAGAACCATGGCGCCGCCGAGCTCTCCCGCAGCAACACGCGCAACAGCACCAGGTCGCGCATCTCGCGCATCATCTCGCGCAAGCGCACCGCCGAGCGCGAACGTATACCGCACGCGCCCATCCCCTTGTCCAACCTCGACGAGGGCGTCGTCGGCTGGGAATCGCAGGACGACCCGGCCATGCCGCTCAACTTCCCGGCGCGCAAGAAGTGGCTCATCGTCGGTCTGCTGTCGGGTATCACCCTGCTGACCCCCTTCGCCTCGTCCATCCTGGCCCCGGGCATCTCCGCCCTGAGCAACGAGTTTGGCAACACCAACCAGGTCATCGGCGCCATGACCGTCAGCGTGTACTTGCTTGGATACGTCATCGGGCCACTGTTCCTCGCCCCCCTGAGCGAGCTGTACGGCCGCCGCCCAGTGCTCGCCGTCGCCAATGTATTTTTCTGCTTGTGGTTGATCGGGTGTGCGCTGGCGCCGTCGATCGAGTCGTTGATCGTATTCCGCTTCTTTAGTGGCATTGGCGGGTCTGGATGTCTGGTACGTGTGTTTGAATGGGAGTGGCGTATGAGGAGTTGGGACTGACCAGTATAAGACTCTCGGAGCGGGTATCATCGCGGACGTGTTCAGGGTCGATCAACGGGGTTCCGCCATTGGGATGTACACCCTCGGGCCGCTAATCGGTATGTGTGCCCATTCCCCTTCGCTGGCCCCTCTTTCGAAACGACACTGATGTTGACTGACCCTCTCAGGCCCGACCATTGGTCCCGTCCTCGGCGGCTGGCTCTCCCAGACCATCGGCTGGCGTTGGGATTTTTGGATCGTCTTCATCATCTCGGTCATCGTCGTCGGCCTGTTCGAGCTCTTCACTACCGAGACCAACCCGCGCATCCTCATCAAGCACAAGGTCAGCCGCCTGCAGAAGGAGCTCAACCGCACCGACCTGCGCAGCTGCTACGAGACCCCCGGCGCCGAGAAGCAGACCCCGGTCCAGACCCTCATCAACGGCCTGATCCGCCCGACCAAGATGCTCTTCTTGTCGCCGACCGTCTTCTTCATCTCCCTCTACCTCGCCTTCGCCTACGGCACGCTCTACCTGCTCTTCACCACCATCCCCACCGTCTTCCAACAGACGTACGGCTGGAGCGTCGGCATTACCGGGCTGGTGTACATATGCCTAGGAGTCGGCAACGTGAGTGGGTGGGCCGTCATCACGGCGACCTCGGACCGCGGTGTGGTCAAGCGTACCCGGGCCAACAACGGCGTCTTCGAACCCGAGATGCGCCTACCCCTGAGCATCTACTTTAGCTTCTTCCTGCCCGTCACCTTCTTCTGGTACGGCTGGTCCACCTACTACCGCACCCACTGGATCGTCCCGGTCTTGGGTCTGTTCCCCTTTTCCTTCGGCGTCATTGGCATCTTCCTGCCGTTGATGACATACCTGGTGGACTCCTTCCCGGTGTATGCTGCCTCGGCCATCGCCGCCAACACCGTTTTTCGCAGCCTGGTGGGTATGCTGCTGCCCCTGGCCGGGCCGTCTATGTACCAGAATCTTGGCCTGGGTTGGGGGAATTCGTTACTGGGGTTCATCTGCGTTTTGATGATTCCGGTCCCGCTGCTGCTAGTCAAATACGGCGGGAGATTGAGGAAGATGGGCTTGCAGTTATAAGACGGGGGAACATGGCGGATAACGGCTGATAATACAGGGCCAGATAGAATCCTGAAAGGAAAAGGCTAGACATGGTGCCATTGTAATGTTCAAAATACAGTAACGACGTACGAATAATCCGCGAACAGCGTTGGTACGTTCGATGAGGCCACCGCGTGCGAGGTTTCGAAACAGATGCAGCCCTTCCCACCCTCTGCCCTCGACCGTTGCACGTACAGGCTCATAATTGTGCTGCTGGGATCCTGGGGGTGGTGAGGCGCTATCGTCTGGCTGAAAAGGGGTTACCCCTTTTAGGTGTTGCAGTCAGGACCGGACCGCTGGCAACGAGATTCACCATACCCTGCTGCAATTCTGTCTTGTTTGCTTATGAGCTCTCCCGAGTCCCGCCCCATCCTACCCGATCGAGATCCTACTTCATCCCGTTCAACCCGATCAACTAGTTCCGCGTTGCCACCACCGGCACCCTCTACGCGTAGAAGACGAGGCCGGGCATCGGCAGTTCTGAGTTATCTTCGTAGAGAAGCAGCAGAACGGCTCTTCCACACTTGATCGCCTCCTCAACTTGGTATCGTGCTTAGCGGCGAAGATGAGGATGTGTTTACCGTGGGCGCGAGCCAAGAAGACGACAGTTACCAGGCTGAGGTCCCATCAGTCTTGATGATGTTATGTACAACGCGAGATTCCCCCCTCGTCGTCATCGAGGTATTTGGACGGCTGCCGGTCACCGTCCCTTGTAGCTGCGTGCCGCGCTCGGCTAGAACGTAGCCGGTAGCAATACCGCAATGGATCAGGGCTCCGCTGCATCAGGACCCAGTGGCCCGTATCGTTGCCTGTTCGCCGTGACCAAGTCAGAACACGGCCCAACCAACGTAAAGACAAAGGTAGGCAGAACAATAAAGGTTAAAGAAACGTCCTAGACGCCTCCATATTTGTGTTGCTTTTCGATAGCCGGCCGGGTGGCGCGAGCACCAAGCCAACCCAACGCCCCTTACCCCTATCATGCAACCCCACCTAAGTACCTAGCCCTGGCAACCCTCTCTACGCACCCCCCCCCCCCCCCCCCCCCCCCCCCCATCCCTTTTTGCCAGCCGCCACCCATGATGAGACGGACCGCCTATGAGGACTAGGGCAGCCGGGCCGTCGTGCCGCGTGGTCGAACCCGGAGTAGCCCCCGGGAGTGACGGCGGCCGTGGCAGGGCCTGAACGAGGCACATGTAGACATGCGTCTGACTCGGCTGTCCCCTGAACTTAGTAGGCCGAATTGAACGACACTACGCTTACACTCTAGGAGACACGTCATTGCTGGCAGAACCTCCGTGGTGACCGCAAATCTATGGGCTTCTCTCTAATGACCTGACTTTCCAATCTGGGCCTAGGTTCAAATACTACCTACCCTGTCTCCTAGCTTTCACGAGGTGCTCTCGGTTTGATTAGTACCCTGTGCCCTAGGTTCAACCCGTACCCGGCCTCTTGTTGGGTGCTCTGGATCCCAGCCCGTAGCCTGAGTTCCAACCTGTGCCTTGTGGTCTGAGTTGTAATATTTGCAAAAGAGGACCATTCTGTAGCATGATAGAAACAACTACACACTCTGGGGCCGACGTATCTACTTCCAGCCTAGCCATTCTAACTTCTAGCTCTTAGTCTTTCGCGGCATCACTTTTCAGCTCGGCACAATATGCACCAAGTTGCGGTGTTCTCCCCAAATACGGACGGCTTACCATAAGGAGGCATGCGTCCGCATTCAAAACTGTTCAGTGTATGCTGCCTTCGATGGCTAGCTTCCGATTAGCCATCGAGAACCGCTCAGCCGTTTTCGGTCATCCCGGTGTATGGGGGTGGACGGATCAATACCATTTGGCGATTTCTTTCTTGAAACCCGCCATCATCAGACAGGGCGCAATACCACTGCCGTATCCTCTATTCATGAGTTGGCGCAAAATGGGGGTCTTGCGAAGCCCGAGTTCTGTCCGCAAAAAAGTCACGCCTAGGGATCGTCAACCAACCGAATGCCAACACTACACCCCCTCTCGCTTTGGCAGTACCATGGGTTCAACACGACGTTGTGAAGCTCCTCATCCGTGAGAGGACGGATATCCACCACAGGGGAACCAGAGAGGATACACATCGCCAGACGCTATAGCCCACCATGCGCGAACCGACTAGGGCACCGTCATGCTGGTGCTCCTCCGACGCCCCTTGCTCGGCGCTGAGGACATCTCCCTAATGTCCGCGGTCAGCCAGACTGCGGAGCTAGACGCTATAAGTCTGTCATGCTATTTTCATTTACTCCACTCTTAGGTATTATCTAAGCCGTCAAGTCTACCCGGTGGTCAGGTAAGTTGCTTTGTAGCTGCTTGTTTTTAACTTGACATCGTCTACATTTCTCCCTGTGTAGGTAGGTTTGGCGGTTTTCGAACGAGATGAGACCAGGTTAATAAATTTGAATTCCAGCTCTAATTATGTATTATTAAATATTAATCTATTCCTACCCAAAATACTTGACCCATCTAATTTTCTCGTCGCCTAGCACGAGCTCCAATCCACGCTCGTCCTCGTCGGGGATTAGCTCCTTCGGGGGCCCTTCCTTTGGTGATAGTGGAAGCGACTCTCCGATCCAGATGCGCCAGGCACACTCTTTGCGATATAAATCAGCAATTTCGTGGCCCTTGGCGATCCCGCTCCCGTCAGGGGTGACTTTACCGCCACGGAGTTGCTGCCGAACCCAGGTCTGAGAGACCTCCATCATCGGCACCACCGACTCCTCAACCTCCGCCACCTCGAATATGTCGGGCGGTTGCCGTCGACAAAGAGCAAAGAACCCCAAACGATGGTCGAAGATCTCATCGTCATCATCCGGCTCCTGCTTATGCAACCACTTCGACCGGCCGCGGAACTTTAGTTGTATCGGCCGGCCTGTTCCGCGGGACTTTTCCACCCGGTCCTTGAAGGCCGCAACGCGGCGGGCTGGTTGAACGTGGCAGCGCCAGGGTCCGAGCTGGACTTCCAGGGGCGGGAACTGCAGGACCTCGGAATGCCCGGCGAGCCACTTGGAGCAAGCGTCGCCAAACTGGGAAAGGCCAGCTAACTGGGCCTCATCTAGATTAGCATAGAAAATGCTTACCATTTCTTTTCCCGCCGTGCGCATGTGCATCTCCTCACGAAGTAGCTCGCTGATCGCCTCCTTCCAGTTGAACCGAATATTCCCGGACTTTAGCAATTTCAAGCCGGGCAGGTGGGTGTCGTTGAGGGTGTATCCGCCTCGGCAACCGCCGCTGAGGACCCCCTCGCCCAGCCGTACCGTGATATTCCTGTACGTTGCTGGGTCGTACATATGCCAGGCCTTCTTTAGATGCTTCTTGGCCACGTTCAAGTCCTGATTGAGACCTATGAGTGGGGTTTGGATCTGCGTCTGTAGGACAAACATGACGCTGTCACGATCCGCGCTCTCGGGGGTGGTGGGAGTTTCGGCGAAAGCATAATCGTATCTGCGGGAGGAGCCAGCATAGACGGTGATGGTCAACTTGGGAAGCCAGTACTCCCGGAAGCGGCGCTCGATTACGCGTTTCTGGTGTGCCGAGAGCCGGCGGAGCTGTGTCCAGGTGTAGGCTGGGTCGGCGAAGAAGTGGGTGTCGACGGTGTGGGAGAATATCTCTTCCGTCATATCATGCGGGAGCGAAAGCCAAATCCTGGAAAGGTTCATTGTGAAATGTAAATGGGGATAATTAGCGACAATTGGAAATACTGGGATACTTGGGGCTTGCCGTCGGAGGGGGGGCCCTGAGTATGTATAGGTAGGTAGGTAGGCACTGGTCCCGGTGGCGTCGTCGGTTTGTGACTGTATTCCGACTTCAAACGCACCCTTCTCATTGGGCAGTGCCGAGCCGTCGAATGTCTGAGCTCTGGTTCTCGGACGTTGTCATTGCAGGTACCAAATCGCGTCTCGCTGGGACCCCCCTGTAGTGCAGCTCGGCAATGACAGGTTGACCACAAGCTTTGACGTCTTTCTACCCGGCGGGAGACATGGCGCCCACGCGGCCTCTGCGTGAGGCAGCCACCAGAACGACAACCTTAGGTGGATGGAGAAGGAGACCGTGATCTATAGGTGATCTGGGACGCAGATCGGGATTGAGCCGCCCTTTTGTCAACGTGTTCGGCCGTTGCCTTCCAGGAGAAAAAGACGACAGGCAACAGAAAAGCCACCCGCGAGAAGAAGAAGGGGAACTTGAAAAAGAAAACTGGAAGCGAGAAGGGAGATGCTAGTCCTATAGTTTAATATTCAAAATATAGTAACGACGTATGGATCATCTGCAGGCAGCGTTGTTGCGTTCGAGGTAGTTACCGCAGGCCAGGTTCCGAAACAGTCGCAGCCCTTCCCACTACTCTGCCCTCCCGTTGCACGTATAGGCTCATGACTGTGCCGCCGAGGCGCCCGGGGGTGGTGAGGTATCGTTCGACTAAAGGACGGCCCCAGCGGCCCAATATAGCTGAAAGGGGGCTACCGCTTTTTGGCGTTGCAGTCGGGACCGGGCCACTGGCAACGAGATTGACCGCACCCTGCTGCGATTCTATCTTGTTTGCTCATGGGCTCTCACCCTAGTCCCGCCCTATCCTACGGGATCGAGATCTGACTTCATCCCCTTTAACTGGTTCTGCATCTCTTGCGCGTGGTAGAACAGGCCGGGGCTCGGCAGCTGCGAGTTCTCCGTAGCAAAGTATACCGCGCGACTCTTCTACCTATTCTATCTCTCTGCTCCTTAAGACAGGTACGTTTCCTTGACGGCCTCTTCCTCCCTCCTCAAAAACTTCCTGAATGTCATGAGCTCAGGAACAAATTGGTTGAGCTCTCCCAGGTCGGTGTAGTTTGACATGTATCTGATACACGGCTCCGAGGAAAAGAAGAGCCATGAGCCTTTTGCCTGCTCCCTTTCAACCTCTTCGTCCGTCATAAATACAGCCTTAATTGACCTGCCATCTCCAATACTCTCGGCAAGCTGGTCCATTGCCTCCTGAACGGGGAGTTCCTCGCTTACGACTCCCAGCGTCCGGCCATGGTACCTGCCAGGGTCCTGAAAAGCCGCTGCGGCAAAGCGGGCAATATCGACGTGATCGACAAGTCCAAGCGGCGAATCGGCCGTCATGGAGTTCGTCCAGGTGCCTTTCTTTGTTTCAGTGTACCCAAACTGGATTTTGGGTTCGACGAAGTTGGCCATGAAGAAGCCCGGCCGCAGCACCGTCCAATACTGGAAGCCGCCATCGATGGCAGCCTGCTCGACCCGCTTCTTGCTCTGAATGTGGGCACTGAAGAACGGGCCAATTTTGACAGGAGGAACGTGGCCCTCCTCGACCATGAAGGAGCCGAGCGTGGTGGACGCGACGATGTGGTCGACTCCGGCTTCGCGGGCAAGGCGGGTAATAAGCTCGGCGCGTCGCGGCGCTTGATCGAAGTCGGTCAGATTCGGAAGGAGGCAGAGGAAGAGCTTGTCGCAACCGCGAAGGCCTTCGTGGAGGGCGTCCTCGTCGTCCCAGCTGCCCGGTGTGAGATGCACGCCGGCGTCGTTCAGAGCCTTCGCTGCGGGGGAGGAAGCGTCCCGTGTCGTCGCGCGAACGCTCCAACCCATCCCACGGAGGAGATGGCACAGCGCGCCGCCCTGGCTGCCGGTTGCGCTCGTGACGAAGACGGTGGGGGTGGGTGTCGTAGTCATCTTTATCCGGTCGCTGCTCTCACGATCTTGACATGAAAGTTCTGTTCTGGTTACATGTACAGGACAGAGACGTACTGTGTAATTGAGAGGGCAGGAGCGGACGGCTCCTTCAATGCTACCCAAGGTTCAAGCTTGTTGAACGGTAGATTGGTGTAAGCGAAGGAGGCTTCGGTATCCCTAAGTGTACGTAGCATCTCGCGAGTTCAATGTTATCCTGCAAGGTTACATGTGGTTGGAGCTGTATTTGGGGCGCAATGGCCGTATGCATGCCTGCGGTACCTGACAAGTACTCTGTATATGGAGACCCTTAGGCCACCGGTCATCCGAGTTTGTCAACAGGCCCCCGATATGCGGCTGCAAATGGTACGTACCGAGGTATCTTTATAGGGGCACACCCCAAGGGATTATCCGGGGCAATGACGGAACTGCCGCCCCTTGCCCTGGCGAGAGGGCATCTCCTGGCCGGTAATACCTTCCCGTTATGGCTCTCGAAGCGGTGTGTTGTTGGTTTGACCGCAGTACAATGTTTGCTTCTTGCACCAACACGCCGTGCTGAAACGTCAATCCGATTGGTTTCCCAAACAGCCAATGTGCAGCAGAAACAGCAGTTATCCGAGCCAACTGCGTTCGGTGAGCCCCCGACTTTCAAGTTGCGACCCCCTTTTGTTGTTTGCTTCCTTTCTTCTCGCGAGCAGAATTCGCTAGCAGTTCACTCACATCCCGTCTCCTTCATCTTGTCTCGTCAAACGTTCAGCACAATGGCTGCCCCCCCAGAGGAGAAGGCGCCCAAGCCGGGCCTCAATATCTATGGCTGCCAGGCCGTCAATCCATACAAGCTGACGATTGCCCTGGAGGAGCTTGGGTAGGTACCCATTAAGCTTTTGTTGTTAGAAGCTGGCGAAACGCGTGGCTAATGATGATGATTGAACAGCATCCCGTACAACTACATCAACCTGGAACTGACCGCCAACGATCACAAATCCGACTGGTACCTCGCCATGAACCCCAATGGGCGGGCGCCAGCCATCGTCCACGTCAAAGAGGACGGCAGCACCCAGACCGTCTTCGAATCTGGCGCGTGTCTGCTCTACCTTGCCAGCGAGTTTGACAAGGAGCAAAATATCTCGTACTCGCTCGGAGCTCCTGAGTACTGGACACAAATTTCTTGGGTAAGTACTCACCGAGGAATTCTAACATGGGCTCTTACGACTGACGGTTGCTTGCTTCACATAGCTCACGTGGCAGGTTGCGAGCTACGGCCCGATGATGGCCCAAGCAGCCCACTTCAACCGGTATGCAGTCGAGCCTGTGCCGTACGGTTCCTGGCGCTTTACGTCGGAATGTCGACGGCTGCATCATGCCCTGAACGAGCAGCTGGTACGTTTCATCTTCCCCAAGCTCGTTCATGACGAACACAACACCCTACATGTAACTAACCTCAGCCCTCGGTTCCCAGGCCACCAGTCCATTCGTTGCCGGTGACCGTTTGACAATTGCCGACATCGCCATCTTCATATTCGTGCACTCCAGCAAGTGGTGTGGGTTGGATGTCCACGAATTCCCCCATCTCGAGGCGTGGAAGGACAAGCTGGCGAAACGGCCAGCGTTCCAAAAGGGACTGAACTCGCCTGCACCATACTCTTTCAGTGACGAGGCCGTGACCAACCCGGACGGCCAAGAATTCTACAAGACCATTCGGAAGATGGGCACCCCGTTTATCAAGCAAGCAACCGATCTGTGGTCCAAGGGCGACCCAGTGCCGCTGCCTTCGGACCACAGCAACTTTGCCTAGGTAAGGTGGGCAGACTTGTGCTGGTTTGTGCTGTGAATCTCGAGGGATCAGGTCAGGGAGCTAGATGAAGGGTTAGTTAGGGTTACGTTCATCCGAATTCTCCATGTTGCCATGAACACATGACCTGCATGGTGATTCGAAAGGTGCGTGCCTAGGTAGAACAATGAAACTCGGAGTAACACCCTAGACGCCCTCCCCAGTTGGGTTACTTTTCGATAGCCTTCCCGGGTTGTCACCACCGCCACGTTAACCCAACGCCCCTTACCCCTATTGCACAACCCTGAACAAACCCACTCGCCAGCCATCACCCACGGTGAGATGGACTGCCTGTGCGGGCGAGGGCAGCCGGGCCGCCATGCCGCGCCGTCAAACAAACCTGGAGTGACGGCGGCCGTGCCAGGGCCTGAACGACGCCTATGTAGACGTGCGTCTGACTCGACTGTCCACCCCCTGGAAGCACTTGGGTGATGTACTGTAGGCTGTATCTAGAGAACCAGAGCTCAGATGCGATGGCTCGGCACTGGCCGATGTCACCGTCGACTGATGTCAGTCAGATATTCCAAGTGAACGGTAAAGTCCCCTGGAGCAGCGACTCTCCGTTAAATTTGGCCGGGGAACTAGCGAAGAAACCGGGAAGGTGTCCATGCCCACAACAACGTTCTCCCACTGTGTTAATCTTTTCAGCCAGATTCACGTCAATAATAATACCCCGCGCTTTTCGCGAATCTTCGACCGACTTCGAAAAACTTCAAACAAAAACGCGATCAACTTGTGAAGGCGAACTGCCCAACACAAGCCCAAATCTTCAAATCGAAGCCTTTATCGCAACCTTTCGTGCCTGCTTCATCGGACAAGATGACAGGCAACTATTCTGACGCTCGCACCGATGACTTCGGTGGCAGCGGTGGCCGTGGCGGCGGAGACCGTGGCGGTGGTGGTGGTGGCCGTGGCGGCGGTTACTTCGGTGGCCGTGGCAGTGGTGGTGGCCGTGGCGGCGGTTACTTCGGTGGCCGTGGCGGCGGTAACTTCGGTGGCCGTGGCGGTGGTGGTGGCCGTCGTAGCGGCGGCACCCGTGGCGGCGGCGCCCGTAACTTCGGTGTCGGTGGTGGCCGGCATCCAGGCCAGGGTGATAACCGCCCGCCTAAGCGCAGGTACGACGAGGACGAGGACGACGAAGAGCCTGGCAACGGCCAGTTCAAACGTGCCCGCCCCAACGCCGCAAATAGCGGTTCCGGCCTTTTCGGCAATGAGTTGCAACTGGCAGCTCAAGCATCGCGGAATCGCGAAATCGCCCCGCAGGTGCTGCCGAGGCTCGCGCCGGGCGCCGTTGCGTTTACTAGTGACGGCCCTGTCGACGCCCGGAACCCGAACCGGGACTTTTCCACGTCGTTCGAGATCGCCGACGGCGTCAGCGCGCACGCAGCGAGGGGGCATCCCACGTCCGTCATCCACGCGATGGCGGAAGCCGCCCGCCCGAATGCCCACAATCCGTCGGTGTCGTCTTTCGGCATCTTCGTACAGTCGATCATCCCCGAGGAGGAGAGCCGCCGGGGCACTCGCCGGCACCTAGCTCCCAATCGCGGGCAGACCAGAGGCCGCGGAGGCCGCCGACCGGTCCCGGAACCCCGGCGTATCGAGGGGAGGGAAGGTGACACCGTCATGGCCGATTCCGCCGGTGACAATGGGGCCGATGCTGCTGGCGAGGGTGGCAATGCCGCCGGCGACAAGAAGGGTAACAAGCCTAAAGTCGTCCTGAGTGAAGCCGTGGCAAGGAGCATGGCCGCGGCCGCCGCCATGGACGTTGATAAGGAGAAGGATGCGGGAACGGGTAGCGCGAGCGGGGCTGCCAATATTCAGGCTGGGGTTAGGGAGGAGGAGGACCTCATCGACTACAGTGATGATGAGATGTAGGCAGTGTGGCTGTCTGGATGTTGTGTCTTGTAATTAGTAATAAAGTTTGTCAACCAATTGTGTCACTCCCCTTAAAGTGCGCCGTGAGCAGGAACTCGTGAATGGTCGAGACCCATTTGCGACAAACGAGCTGATCGACGTCGACAGATGGAAATCATGGAATATTATCCCCCGTTCCCGTTATCCGGTCGACCTTTTCACTATGCTCGCACTTGGGGCCCCAAAGGCAGCTTCTGGTACCTACTCAGTGACGGGCGTCGGTACTATTTCCGACTCCCTCGGCCTAACCGAGTATAGGTTCTTAGAGTTAATGCACCCACTCCGAACGTGCCGCCAAACGGGACGGGTGGTCGTCTGAGGCTCTGTGCGGCCCACTCCCTCGTGCAGATCTCCGATGCCAAGACGGGAGACCCTGGCACCACGCGGCATCCCCGATCTCGCCCGCCGAGAGCGCACCCCAACCCGGAAACCGGTCCCCGTTAAGCTGTATTTTTGAGCAAAGCATACCGCGGTACATCAGGGGCTATGGGACGAAGCCTCGAAGCGAGGAAATAAGGTGAGGAAGCGAGGCGAGGCGAGGCAAGGCAAGGAGGTAAGACGAGGCTTCGATACAAGGCAAGGCGAGGAGGCAAAGCAGGTCTGGAGTCTCTCGTGAATTGGTTCTGGTTCAGCGGTGGCATGGCATGCAGGTGCAGTCAAACACCCTCTCATTATATCGTCTATGCATTCGTCCAAGCCAACTAGGCGGAGCTACATCCCTAAGTGTAAGCTGCAGCTCGCAACCCTTCCAGCGCCTGGCTGCAGCCGATGGATAGGTACCTACCTACCTTAGTGTTCAAGTTTCAGTTCGGAGACTAAGTGATTTGATATTCGGACCTAACTCCCTCTTGTCACTGTCTGGCCGCACTGTGCTGCAAATCGAGACCAGACCGGAGCGACTCTCAAAAATCGCTTCGACCCGATCTTCAACCCCGCTGCTCTCGCAACGACAAACAAACAAAACCAAGACTCTCGCAAAGATGACGTCACAACCTTCTGCTGCGACGCTCGCCCGCCGCGATGCCATCCTCAAAGAGTTCACAGAACTGGGATGCCCGCTCTCGAAAGCAGAGTTCGAAGAAACGCTGCTGGAGGCACAGGAGATGGCGTTGAAGATGAGAGAAGACCAAGAGGCGGTCGCTCTCCACGCCGATCGCCTGCATTTCTTGGCCGATGGAACGTTGTGGTGTTGTCATCGTAAGTTGCTACCGACATGTACTGTTAACCCCCCGTTTCTAACTAACGTATTTGTCTGCTAGTCGACCGCACAGTAGCCGATTTCCGCGCGAAGTATGCCGAACCACCGGTCATGCGTGGGCCCAGCTGCCCCGAGTACGAGCCATACCGAGGGCGAGTTTTGGCGAAGAAGTCGTCTGCTGCAGGGAAGCCGACCGCGTCCAAGACGGAGCCCAAGGCGAAACAGCCGGGCAAAGTCGAGGACATCCCCGACGAGTTTTGGCCCGAGCAGGGCTTCGAGGGCCTGGAGGACTTGGGAATCACCAAGTGGACCATCACGCTGCCGCCTACAGCTGGGCGTCCCGTCGCCACCCTCGTGCCTGGCGCCGTTGACAGCGTCGCGGCGCCGTGGCGTCAGCGGTCTTTTGTTGTTGTTCTTGGCCGGGAGGGAGGGAGAGACTCCCTCAAGCTGCGCTGCCGGATTCGCGCGGGCGCCGCCGTGCCCAAAGCCCCCGCCCACAAGGCATGGATGGACCTCGTGGGTTGGTACTATGACCTGCTCGCGGGCGCCCCTGTTGCTTTGCCGGCCTGGATTGACAAGGCTGCGCAGACGCGCGCCGATGCCGTCCCCCGTGACGCGTCTAGCCTCCGCCGCCTAGTGAGCGCGGTCGGCATAGCCGAGAAGCTCGCCGTCGCCGCGAACAGATTCCGCGCTCTGGGCATGTTGCCGACGGACCGGGACACGGGCGGGTACTCCTACGATATCATCGGGAACAGACTCGAGGGATGGTGGGTCACGGAGCAGTTCGCCGCTACGGGCTTGGACGAAGCCCGCTATCGCAACGTTGGCTGGTCGATGTGGCACTCGGACGCCGTCAACGGCACGATCGATGGCCGACGCCCTCCCAACGCAGCAGAGGCCCGGGAAATCGAACAGCTGTATAGGCAGCGCCGAATTGGCATGCCCATCGTCGACGACGTCGTCCGCCGGCTTCTCGAGCGGACCCGGGGTCCCTTTGGCAGCATCGAAGGCACGCTCGGGGCGATCGATCACTGGGTTAAGCAAAACCCAGAGAATCTGCTGCTGCCCCAGCCATATCTGCACCGCGTGGCCATTGCCGCGTTGCACCGCATGGTGCCTACATCGCTGCCGGTGGTGAACTTTTACGTTCATGCCCTCCTCCCCGCTGCCGCCACCGAGTTTGTCGACGAGGCGTGTAGCGATCTGTCGACCATCCGCGATGCCATGGAGCACTGGGTCAAGGCAAACCCAGATGGGCACCTGGGTTCCGTCAAGGAGCGGACCGAGGCCATGTACAATGCCTGGAACGTGTGGCAGATGAATGTACAGGACGAGGTTAGCTCCCTGGTTCGCGAGCTCTGTCTTAGTTAGTTGAATATACTGCGAGTTTCATTGTTCCACCTGCGTTTGTCTTGACTGTGTTCCCACCTCGTAACGGCGGACAGCCGGGACAGGCCACAACCCTAAGCCCCTAATAGTCTGGCCTGATATCACTGTCCTCCACCTGCGGGGTCCGCTGAAGCTGGGTCGTCTATATCGTCCGGCTTGATGCCTATGCGATGGATCTTCACGCTCCGCTGGTGCAAGCCTACTGTCGTTGATGGACGTGCAGTTGATCTCGTTCCCCTAGGGGTTATATTTCACTCCCAAATAACATGACGGAGATGTTTTAACCCACGCCGTCGACACCCACTTCACAAGATTTCCCGGGCCCTCCCGGGGGAACCGGTAGTGCCGATGACGGAGGACTTTTCTAATTATGCCACTCTCTTTCGCTAACCAACTGCCGGATTAACGCGGCCGACTTCCAAAATTCGAACCCCTCAATCCGTTCATAAGCACCGTCAGAGAGCCACTGCCAGGGATGCACCAGGGAGAGCATTGCCAGGGGGGGGCTAGGAGGTATTGCTAGAGCTCTCTGTGTGCCGCGCAGCTCGTCAAGCGCGTACCGATCCTACCACCACTGGCAGTCATCCACTTCCCCGGAGCAAAGTTCCAACAGCTTGCCGTCCACCACGTTGCCAGGGTCGAATGTCGAATGGACTGCATCAACAGAGGTCCACGTTTTTACTGCAGGCTCCATTGTCAGCCGTCGAGTCGACCCGTTGGGAGGGGCTTGGCTCTCTAATGGGGAAGTCGCGATGCACACCGGGGCCCGGCCGGCAAGCCACCAAGACTCGATCTCGACGCGCCAGATACGGAAGGCGCAATGCTCGCAGTATAGGGCTAATGTCCCGCACCAGGTGGACTCGCCTGAAAATTGTGCACAAGACATCCCAAACGACAAGACGCACAAAATGGAGCAACTGAACAACGCTCTCGCGTCACTGCAGGCCCGCTTGGTGCGGCTCGACCATGATGGCATCACGCGGATGCATGCGGATCTCAGGCGAGCGTTTGTCCTCGAAGCTCAGGACTTTGCGACCATGGCAAGCACATTGGTGGTCCAATTGGCCGCCGACCGAGACTCCATGGACACACGCATGTTCGAACTGGAAGAGGCGTTTGACACCCTCCGAGAAGACACCACCCTGGCGCTGAGTGCCGACGAGCGGGAGCACGCTGCGCAGCTGTCAGAGGTGGAAGCCGACCACCGGCAGGCGCAGCAAGCACTAGCCGAGTGTCGAAGTCAGTGCGAGGCAGCAAATGCCGAGCTCCACACGGTCAAGGCGGAGCTCTCTAGCTCACAGAAGCGGCTGGCCGATCGGGCCAAGGAGTGCAAGGGACTCCAAGCTCAGGTGGTGAACTTTGCCCGCGAGCTGGAAAGGCACGAGGACGGGTCGAGGATAAGACGGTCCATGGTCCTCAAACGCAAACGCAACGAGGAGACACCCATCGACGTCTTCTGGAGGAGCCAGGCAAGGGAGGTCCACGAGGCCTTTCTTGATATTCACCCCGATCCGCACTTTGCGTTCGATACTTACCGGAGTAAGGGGGGGTTCTGTAAGCTGGTATTATATAGCTCATCGCGTGTGAGCGGAGTTTCAACCGCTGATTCAATTGAGGGGCGCGTTATGGTAAACGTTTTCCAATATGAGTAGCTTGTCGTATGAGCCATATAAAAACCGCTCCTTGGGGAGACGTTTCGGCGACTATAAGCTGATTCGGGTGTTGAGGAATTACGGTGCAACTTAAAAACAACGAAGTATAAACAAGGAACTTACTCGTGAAGAGCTGTTTGCTATAGTAGCTGCTTATCGTCTGAGTAGCTGAATGTAATGAATTGCTAGTGTATACTACGTATAGTCTTTAATCCTCGGACTGGCTTCTTAATGCTAACGGCTTCTTGTAATGAGCTGTTTGTGTTTTATAAGCTGCTTATTGTAACGTAAGGGTTTATTAAGTGCTTATAATGCGTAAGCCGCTTATTTGGGCAGCCGCTCATTTGTGTAGGTAGCTGCGGCCTAAAAAATTGAGCGAGCGATATGGTGTATCTGTAGATGGGTGCCTTAGGAGTTAGGTTGTATGCGATATGCTAACCAGCTTAACGTACCCCGCCCTCCCGATCTTATCCTCTTTCTTCTTTGACTTGTTGAGTGTCACGGATATGGTCGCATGCAGACGGCCCGGCGGGGCACGCTGGCAGTGCCCCGAGCCAATCAGCAAGGAATGGCCTTCTCCAATGAGAGCTGGATCGTGAGCTCTGGCCGCGATCCAGGAGTGACCAATCAGGAGTGGATCATTGGATCGAGAAGCGATCTAATGATCCAGGACGGATCGCAGGATCATGAGAATATTCTTCGATCCAGGTACAGAGGTACCTGAGGATGTAGATAGTATATAGTCACTCGTTCTGGAGAGCTCTGGGAGTTCTCCAGTTAGCAATCACAACTACAGTTCGCTACAAGCTCGAGAGCCTACTGTTGAGACAAGTCTTTGTTGTGCACCCTTTGGCTGCACCGAACCTACGCACCCTTGAGAGAATACCTTCGACCGATACTGAACCCTAACAGGACGGGTCCAGAGACAGGTTCGTCACACGTTGCTAACTCCCTTTGATCTGTTACAGTTCAGGCTCGAAGGTAAAACGACATGGCAACTCAACCGACGCCGGGCCAGATCACGGCCGCACTTCAGAGAGTCACCGAACGACTCGATGAAACTGAAGAAGAGCTTGCGAAGACCAAGGCCAGCAACGCGGCATTGGCAGCCCGACTTGCGGCGACCGAGGTCCACACCAAGGACCCGGCCAAGACAAAGGTCAAATTGGAGCAACCCGAGAAGTACGGGGGCGACCAGGAAGCCTTGCCAGGTTGGATCACGGAGATGCGGAACTATCTCGACCACAACTCGCACCAGTTCGCCACTGAGGAATCCAAGACCAGATACGCCGCCACCCGACTCAAGGACAAGGCCCTCAAGTGGTTCACGGGAACACTGAGTGATTTCCTCGGCGGAGCAATCCACAAACCCTTCACCAAAAAAGTCTTCGAGAACTACTCCGAGTTCGAGAGTGAGATTCAGAAGGTGTTCGGTGACAAGGACGAGAAGCTGCACGCCCAGGAACGGCTAGGACGGCTGAAGCAGACTAGGTCAGCCACCGCCTACGCCACGATTTTCCGACAAGACTCCATGAAGGCAGAGATAGACGACGAGGGGCTGATGCACCTGTTCTACGGAGGGCTGAAGGAGGAGGTCAAGGACGAGCTCTACAAGGAGAGCCGACCCGACACACTCGACGAGTACATCGCCATGGCTGTCAAGATTGACGACCGACAGTTCGCCCGCAAACAACAGAAGAAGGGCAGCGAGGTTCAGCGATCCGCAGGCTACCACAAGCCCAACGACAAAAAGAAACGCCAGCACCAGAGCACGTCATACGGCACGCACTCGGGACCCATGGACGTCAGCGCTGCCCAGGCACAGTGGGCAGGAAAGAGAGATGGTGCCAAGGACAAATCAGGCATCACCTGTTACAACTGCGGGAGGAAGGGTCACTTCAAACGTGACTGCCGCAGCAAGAAAGGGTGGAGACCGGTTCCAGGGAAGGAAGCTGCCACCATCGACCAAGACACGGTCGGAAGAAGAACCCGGTTTCTGGAGGTCGCAGCCGCCAGCTACACGCAGGACGACCTCGAAATCGACATTGACCGAGTCATCGAGCAGGACGATGAACTCACCGACTCGGATCAAGAAGACTTGAGGAGCAGCAACCACCAGGAGGGAAATGACACCGCCCATCACGCTTTCATCGAAACGGATGACGAGGGAGAACTGGCTCCCCCGCGGTACATCCGACAAGTCGCTGAGGACTGGGGCATCACCCTGGTTCAGCAAGAGGACGGGCAATGGCGAACCCACGAGGGTGAAGGAGGAGTCAGCCCGAACCTCACCTTCCTACAGCAGAGGGTCCTAAGCCAACGGCAAAGGATCGAGGAGTTGTCAAGAGAGAAAGAAGAACTCGAGCAACTTCTCCAGAGAAGGAACGACCAGTACGGACGACTTTGCGCGGAACTCGATTTCGCCAAGGAACGAGTCCAAGAGATCACCGAGGCCAACAACAGGGCCGGGGATCACGTCGAAAAGACATTAAGAGAGGCACAGGCTTTGCAGGACGACATCCGTCAGGCACTTCCGCACCACACACCGTGGGATGGACCCACCGAAGAGGCGGAAGGATACGAAAACGGAGTACGGTACCCCGAGCAACTTTTCGACTACGCACAGGAACAGAATGCGGCGAAAGGAAGCAAACAGCAGAGCTGGGAAGAATACTGGACGCGACATCAGCACATCGTGCGCGCCGGACGACAAACCTCCGACCTCGAATGGTGGGGTTTCCGGGGCGAGAACAACACGGAGGGATTCCAGTTGTTACCAGAAGACCACGAGCGGGTGGACCCACGAAAAGAAAGTCACATCTACCTGCCCTGGTTCCAGTGCATCGCGCACGAATGTCGGTACCACTTCCAGGACAAATTTCGCAACAGTTTCTGGCCCACAAGAGAAGAAAAGGGAATGCAACCCCTGCCCATCAGATGGGTATACGACAGCGGCGACGCTCCCGCAAGCATGTTGTGGGACACCCAACGCACTCACGAGGGCAGGCTAAGGGTCAAGCCCAAGGCAGCCTGGCCCCGACGCTGTATGACAGGCGTAGGAGTCGACGAATGCCGAAGTGCAGACTGCCTATCACACGCCGACGAGAAAATCTGGGGATACATGGAACAGCAATCCCAGAGGAAGCCACACCAGAGGACAAGAGCGTTCCGAAGGAACGAGAGACGCCCAGTTGAGACATGGGCGGCCCAATGGCTCCAAGAACACCAGACGATTGATGCCGCAAGCCAAGGTGCGGACAGGGACGCCTTGAAGTACTACGCGAGCTTGGGAAACGGCTCAGGGCCCTCCGAGGGGCCCGGAAATCTCTAACTCCACAACAACGGAGACAGGCTGCGCAGTACAGGAAGAACTGGCGCAAGCAGAAGCCTTACAACGACCTCCCAGCAGACGAACACGAAGTAGCTGCTGTACGAAGCACCAAGCCAGACAACAGGCTCTGGATCACAGCGCGATGGGGGAAGATCGAAGCCCTCGCGTTAGTGGATGGAGGAGCGCAGATGGATCTCATTGCGCCCACATTTGTGAATCAACTCAGAATCCCATGGAGGATCAAGAAGCAACCACACGTCGTCAAAGGACCATTCGACACGCAATGGGTACGACGAGAAACAGAACCACTCGACATCGAGGTGGAAGGAAAAACCACCCAAGTGGTATTCGACATTGTGGACATGGGGCCAGAGAAAGACATGATCCTCGGACGCCCATGGCACAAGGACTACGACCCAGACATCAGTTGGAAGGGAGATGGCCATCTGCGACCGCGGGAACAGCGGGAGCATCCGACCAACGCGATGGGAGAACGCGCAGAACAGGAGCCACGGGAGAGCAGCGGGTCAGAACGAACCCCCTCTACGGGCCCACCGCAGGAAGCAGCCAGTGCAGAACCACGCACTCTGGAGTCCGGAAGAAGCGGCACACGACGAAAGAAGCAGACACGGGAGGAACGAACCATCGCCGTCGTCTCAGTCGACGAGCACGGAATGCTCAAACACGAACAATGGGTCAATCAGCTCGAAGCGGCAAGCATCGAGCTGGCAGCAGAGGAAGTCAGGGAACTCGAAGCAGCAAGCATCGAGCCTGGGAACAACAAGTTCGCGTACTACGAAGGTACGGCGAAGAGCGCAAAGACGGGGCAGATCCCAGACGACTACAAGGGGCACCCGGCGTTCACGGCAAAACATCTTGCAGGGCTACCAGACCACGGACCTTGGGATCACGAGATCAAACTCAAGGAAGGAGCCCAGTTGAAGTTTTTCAAGGTGTACCACACCAACGAGAAGCAAGATGCAGAGTTGAGGAGCTATCTCGAAAAGAACCTCGAGATAGGACACATCAGACCATCGACATCTCCAGCGGGCTACCCAGTCCTCTTCGTTCCAAGGAAGGATGGGAAACTCAGGATGTGTGTGGACTACCGACAGTTGAACGGCGAAACGGTGAAGAACCGCTACCCACTGCCACTGATCTCAAGGCTTCGAGACCAGCTGTCAGGGGCACAATACTTCACGCGTCTCGACCTTCCGACAGCGTACGCCCACATCCGCATCAAGGAAGGAGACGAATGGAAGACGGCTTTTCGGACACCCTACGGGCACTACGAGTACCGCGTCATGCCGTTCGGGTTGACCAACGCACCAGCGACATTTCAAGCCGCTATCGACCACGCAATTCGACATTGCCTCGATAAATTTGCAGTCTGTTACTTGGATGACATTCTCATCTACTCCAAAACACTCGAAGAACACAAGAGACACGTGCGGCAGGTGCTGGACGCACTGCACGAGCACAAATTGTCAGTCAACAAGGACAAGAGCGAGTTTCATGTCAAGAAAACAGTGTTTCTGGGTTACGAAATCTCCCCGGGATGGGTCAAGATCGAACCCGAGAAACTGGAAGCTGTTAAGACGTGG